GCACTCTTATTCATATTTGATCAATATATTATTAAATCTAAATAATTATACACTAAATATGAAATTTTATTTTTTTAATAAATAATAAATGAACTCATACACCAATAAATTCATTCAATTATTTATTTATATTGTTCATTCACACATACATACATTAATTAATATATTGATTGATATTGCTGATTTATTCATAGATAGATAGATACATACATTAATATATTCATTCAATTTAAAAATTTTTTTTATGTAATTATGATTATTTGATTTGTTAATATGAAATTATTTATAAAGAAAGTTTTATTATTAATTAAAGAAGAATATATTTATATATTAATTGCAAAAATATACCAATTAAATATTTAAAAAAAATTTAGTGATCATTTTGAAATATTTATTTAATTTTTTATTGATTATTTTATCAATTTAATATAACACACAAAAAAATCAAAAATTAAAAAAAATCTTTTCATAAAATTAAAAATATTAAAAATATAAATAGAAGATATCTAATATTCCTAAACAATTTAACTTTAAAAAAGAATGTCCGAAAACAAAGATCAAAAAGCAATCCCTATTGATAAGTTGAGTCCCAAGCAACTCATTGAAATTAGAAAGAGCTTAGAAGAGGTAAGTTAGCTTTTTATTGTTTATATGCAGAAGTTTTACAATTCTGAAGTATAAGAAATCCAAATCATTTATGATTTCAATCACAAATAGATAACCACTTAACAAATAAATAAATAATTAATAAATAACCTTCAGATTTCACAAAAGCATGAATATTTTTTTATTTAATAGGAAATCTAAGTTTTAAATTAATCCTTGAGTCAATTTAAGGTAGCTATTAGCAAGTACGAAGAAAGTAAACTCATTATTAGATCTCTTGAAGCTGCTAAGAATAACTAAGAAGTCCTTGTACCTATTACAAGCAGCTTGTATGTACCTGGTAAGCAATTCAATTTAATAGCAATAGAAATTATATAAATCAATTTTTAAATTTTGATTTAAAAGAAACTAGCTAGCTATTCCTATTTAATAAATTTAAAAAATCTAATAATAAATGTTAAAAAATAGGTACACTTAAAAATAAAGATTAAGTTTTGATCGATTATGGCACTGGTTACTATGTTGAAAGAAATTTAGTCTAAGCTAGCTAATTTTGCAATAGAAAATTAGAAATGATCAGAGATAGTTAAGATAAACTTACATCTTTGATTTCATCTAAAGCAAACTTTTTAGATAAAATTAATTTGGAATTATAAAAGAAAGTAGCCATGATGTAACAAGAATAAGCTAAGAAGTAATGAAAAAAAGTATTAAAGTAATAAATCTATAGCATAAACCCTGCTTCTAGATGGTTGATTTGTAATTCTAATTTAGCAACTATTAATGAAAAGGTTTTTTAAAAACTCTTAGTTTTTTGCAAAGGAGTTAATATAGATTTAATAATAACTTAATTTGATATATTAAATTTAATTAATTTAATTAATTGCATTAATTTTACATGTTCTATTAATGTATTAATCTTTTCTTTTATTATCATGATAATTTATTTATTTATTTATTGATTTATTTCAATTCATTTCAAATATTCTATTTTAAAAAATAACTAAAAAATAGCACTTTAAAAAATCATTTATTTAAAATTAATTAAAATTTAAAAACTATTTTAAAATTTGTAAATAAATTTAAAAAAAAATAATTCTATACCATGATGTATTTTATAATAGTATTTTTAAAAAAATAAATATAAACTATAAAATAAAAATAATTTTGCTCTCTTAAAATTTTGGGTGTTAATATAAATTCACAGTTTTTTACGAGAACTTACAATATTGAATTATATAAAAATATTTATTTGTATTTTAATTGAGTATTTCAAATTAAAAGTTTTTGATTATTTGCAACTTTTATTTTAAATAATTTAAGATAAAATAATAAAATATCAAACTAAAAAATTGTTATAAATAACAAAATAAATTGTATATGAACATCAGTTAAGAATAAGTTTAAGAGAAATATAGTTTAATTATGTCAGTATAATGCATTAATGCTTATTTTAATTAAAATTATTATTACTTCCTTATTGTTATTTTGTTTTATTTTTTCAACAATTCTAATTTGAAAAAATAGTCTCAAATTATCAATGTTTTTGAAATTATTGGCTTTAGCTTATTGTATCTTTATAATGCAACCGAAACTCTCTATTAAAATTGTTGTTCAAGAGTTAAGATGTTAATTTGGTTATTTTAAAATTAGTTTGTTAGAATCCTCTTAATATTTTCTAAAATTTCCTTCATATTTTTCTTAAATGTGTAAATCAAATTTTATCTCTGAGCAATATCAAGCATATTTGAGTGATCAATTAATTGAGTAAAAGCATTCACAACTATATTTAGCTTTTAATTTATTGGCTATAATAATTAATGTATCTATCCTTGAATTTATTCTATAAATTCTTATGCAGCTTGCTAGTCTGCGACTCGCATAGCTTACTAGTTTTTAAGATACGCTATTTCAAAGTCTTTCAGTTTTATTACATTTTCTTTTATTTCAAAAATATTTTTAATTGAATCTAAAAGAGTCCCTATTTTTAAAATAATTTCAGAGCATGTTTTATAGTCTTTTACACTCGAAGCTGAACTTAGCTCATCAAAAAATATAGAGAGAATAGCCTTTTTTTCATTGAATTCAGTATGCAAATCCATTTTTTAATCATAATTAAACCATTCTATACCTGGGTTTTAAGACTGATTCTAATTAAGATCTAAGCTCATTTAACTATCGATCTATGTACTAAATTTTTTTTGTTCTTTTTCAGCCATAATAGCTACTCTTTGTTAAAAACTTCCTTGATCATTCGGTATCATAACACCTAAACATAACAAATCTTCACAACCTTTCCTCAAGTTTTAAACCAAATCACTCAATTCTTATGAATATTCTCCTCTTTTTTATTTTTCATATAATAAATTAAACATTTTAAACAATAAAAATTGATAAGTTTGTTTACCTTAACTAAAGCTAGGCCATATGTGATTAGATTTTATCTAGCAGCTATCCAAGAGAAGATTCTACCTTCATTATTCTATCAAAATTTAAAGAAATTGTTTTCTGATATCCTCTCGATTGTAAGAAATCAGAAAACAATTTTTGATTTTCAAGAAGTAAATTGGGAATAGAAATATCTCCAATCCCTCCTTATTCTCTAAAGCAAATAGGATTGTGTTTAAATAATTAATAAGTTTTAATTTTTTTAAAGGCTCTGTCTGTTTTTCTCAACAAACTCATAATTGTAACTAGCTTATTGTGAGTATTTTACTATTAAGTTGAGTCTAAATAATCAAACAAAGTATGTACAGGAAAGCAGCTGTGGAATTAGTCAAAAAATAAACGAATTGGATGATTAAATTTAATTTCTGCTTATTGAGTGTGTTTATTTCTTTTTATTGAAAACAACTTTTTAAACTCTTCACTTTTATATTAGAATGACATCACTTTTGAAAATGCAGCATTAAAGTTATCCACAAATTTACGACGATCTTCTACTCCTATTAAGACGGAATACAGCTGCTTATGAGCTTGGTTTTAGCTTATTTAATTGAAAAATACTTGCATAGCCTCTTCAGTTTTAGGCAAATTGGGTTCGATTGCATCGCCTACATTTTAGGATCCTCTTTATGTTTAATTACCACTGTTAGGTTAATTTATATTGTTAATATTTGTTCCATTACTTCCTATTGGCTGTCCTTAATTCATGAAATTTTGGCCTTATTATTTAGATTATGAATTATTTTATTTTTGAACTCCTTTTTAATAATATAATTAGTTTTGCATTGAACTTTTGTGTTAAGATTGGGAATTAAATTATACATTTTTTTCTGTAGTAATATTATCCAATAAAAAGTAACAAACATCAAGAACTTCTTTAAAGCATTTTCTTGAAGAGTTAAGAACTAAATTTAACTACTTAATATGTCTTTGTTATTTATGAATTTAAGCTTTAAGAAGCATTATTCTTTTTTCATGATCAATACTAGAAATCAACTCATCTTCGTTTCTATTTTTTTTACTTTCAAACTTATCTAAGACAGCTTTAAATTCATCAACTTCATTTATTTCGCTCTTTAACTCAGAAATAATATTTTCTAAATAGCTATTTTTCTATTTAAGTTAGTTGATTTGCTTAAATCTTGAATCACTATTTGTGAATAAGTTCTTTGATGTATATTGACTTTTATTTGTAAAATTTGTGTTTAAATAGTCTATTTTATAAGTATCTTCATCATTTACATTAAAATCTTTAAACTCCTCCTATTCCTCTTATAAATTTTAGCTCTCTCTAGATTCAACAAACCTTTAATTTAATTCTCTATTTCCTAGTGTTTCTTCAATTTATAGACCTTCATTCTTTTACTTTTCTGAAAGAGTTCTTCTAATTTATCCAATTTAAATATTTGCCTGATTTTAATTGTTTTTGGTCGGTTATACATTTATATATTCTTTAGCGTTCTAATTAGCTTAAGCAGATTATTGAAGATGAAGTTAAAGTTATTGAGCTATGGAAACATTTTATCTATCCTAAACTGAAAAGTTTACTTGTGAAGGCTAAAATTCTTCCATAGAAGCAAACCTTGTTTGTTATGAGTATTTTTAATTTTAAAAAACAGAATTATCCTGACCATCTTTTAAAATCCTACTTTTTTCAGTCTACTTTTACTTACCTCCTTTAAGGATGGATATAGAACCAATACTATTAGTATTTTAAACAGCTTGTTGCTTAGTAAACATAGATTTATCAAGTATTTTAGAGTCGTGCATGTAATTATTGTAGTTCGATAAATTATTTAATGTAGTTGTATTTAATCTTTAGTTAAGTTCTCCTCTTTATCTTTTAGCTAGTACATTAGATGATGAAACTGAACTTTATGTTTTTATAGAAGATGCTTCATTTCCATTAATTTTTTTCAAGAGAAAAGCTACTTTTTCTAAATGATCGTTTATTTCTAGCTAATTTGCATTATTTTTTTGGTTAGATAATTTTTGAGCTTCATTTTTTAAAGTCAAATTTGACTACTAATTTTTAGTTTTAATATCCTTTGTATTATCAATATATGGTGAATCTCTGTTCCGATTAGTCTCTAAATGAATAAATAAAAATAAATATGGGCTGCACTGATAATATTATATGCAAAGTATTTACATTTAAGCTACTGTGAAGTGCTGTTCCTTATACGATACTAAGGACGTTCTAGAGATTCTTCAGTCTTTTAGTTTGTTTACATTGTAAGATTCGTAAAAATTAGCAATCTTTTTTGTATGATCAATTATTAAATATTTAATTTTTTAGTATTTTACTTTATTTATATGTAAATATTATTTTTTATCAAAGAATTAAGCACCTATGCTTTATTTATTAACTCTGGTTTAATGAATGATAGATAGTATCAACAATTTAAAGCAAAATAAATAAAGTAAAGAGTAATTTATATTTTTATTAAATTAAATGTATTAAATGCATGTTAATCAATAATTTTTACAGATACATATATATACCCATATATCTTTTATCTTAACTTAAATTAAATGATAAAAATTAAGTTAATATCCAGTGATTAATACCCTTTTATAATTATCAAAAATATTTATTAAATTAAAATATCTTCATAAACATCTTTTTATTTTTCAAACAAACCTCTAACAAAAATATTTTACTTCACATTAGTTTGTTTATTATTTCTAGATAAAAGATAAAAAATCATAACCCTCCACAATAGAGAATATTTATAACAGATATTAATTTCATTTATTTTGCAAAAACTGATATAAAGAATTTGAGTGATAAATGTCTGCATAATCCTATTTCCCACTTCTAGATATTAATACCTAGTAGTTAGAATCATTCTAAAAAGATATCTTAATTCCTTTGCCTCATGTATTGTAATAAGTTTAAAGCGATGCTAAATTTGATCAAATTTAACAAAGATCCTTTCAAAACGACAATCTCTTGAAAATTTTAGATCATAGTATGTATATTTTTAGATATAATTTAGACTCAAATTGATTTGCATCATTAATTCTCACATAAACAATGTTTGAATATTTTGTTTGATTAAAATATGAAAATGACAGTTGAAGTGAAAGTCATGATAAAAATAACTTTGTTTAATTAAAATTAAAATTTTTGTTTTATTCTATATGATCATATTTTATTAAAAAGACGATGAATGTTTCAGATCTTATATTTTGACAGGAGAGAATCTTCCTTTGATAGTTTTACTTAAGCCTAGGATTAATGACTCAGAAATGTCTTAGAAAAATTTAATTAGTCACTAATAAATGATACACTTTGCAGAGAACGCAAACATAGAAATATTTTTCAAGAAAAAGGATAAAGACAGCTTTTAAACTCAGTTATTGCAAATTCAATCTCCTTATTTTAGTTCTAACAGTTATATTGAATCTCCGAGAGTATCATAAAGAGAAATCGAATCTTTATATATAATGAATAAATCTTCTGTTGTACACTCTTATGCTTATGAAGAGGCAACTCAAACATTGCTATTATTAATATTTGTTCCAATACGTACTTTTATTAACTCGAGTAAAAATAATAAAAAACATTTTTTAAAATAAAAAGATCTCCCAAGCGACTAACTTAATGAAAAATTATACATAGAATTAGAGTTTACTTGTGAATCACAAGTAGGTAAATCTAAGCTACTCTAAGATAGCTTCTCTAAGAGCGAAGAAAAATTTATAGATTTTCTTTCAAAGGAAAGAGACATTTTCTTCAAACCCCAAGTATTTGAAACAAAAATGCAAAAAAATATAATATTAGTGAATCCTTTTTTTATTTCTTAATATGATTATCAACTTGCAGAACTCAACTACATTTAAATTAGTGTAATTTAAAAAAATATAAAAGCTAAAATAAATATATTTATTAATTTATAGATAAAATATAACAGTTTGATGGAAAACTATATTGATTTGTACCGTAAAAGTAAGATTTTTTTGCTTAAGAACTGCAAACTAACAGGTATGTTTTAATTAATAAATTTATTAAAAATAATATTTATTGTTTTTTAAAAATCAAATGTCAAAAAGAGTAAGAAAAAATTTAAGATCAAACTTTTTTGCTAGACTAGATTGACTTTGCATTGAATAAAAGCTAATCACTATTTATATAAGGTTATTTTTTCTTTTTAAGATGTATTTAAGTATAAAAATATTATTTTTAAACAGATATGTAATCTGACTCTGACAATATGATTGCAATCAGAACTCTTGACAATTATTTTACTTACAAGATTCTTTAAAATAAAGTAAGTATTAATGTACTTTTTATCTATTGTATCAATTAACTTTAATATATAAATTTAGGCTACTGATGAGAAGATAAAGATATTTCCTTTCTGTGAATATACATTTGTCTTATTAATAGAAAAATAATAAAATGCTTATACACAAGAGCTGTAAAATTTTAAGTTTTTAGTAAAATGTGATTAATGCAAATAGAATCAAATAAATTAAAACTCTTAATACCCAATTTCATCTTCAAAAAAAAATAGCTTGATTTCCCTATAACCAGTAGTTAAAAATAGTAAAAATAATTTGTAAATAAGAAAAGCATCTAACCACTCAATAGATGAAGTTTCTTAATTGAGTGGAAACAGTTTAAAGTCAGGAGGGTCAACATCTTACTATAAATCTCAACAAAATAGTGATCAAATAAGATCTTTATCTAAATCATAATCAGCTATTTATATTAATACCTCAGCAATGAAGCGTCCCTCACAATTACAATCCCCTAAAAGCAGTGAAAGATAAATGAACTCAAACAGTAAATTGGTAAAATAGAGATGAAAGTTTAATAGTAATTATTAATAATATCTTTTTATAGAAAAAGCAATTCTATAGTTCTATTAATGACTCAAATACTATTTATGAGTATGATGAGAAACAAGAAAATGGTGTAATATAAAACGATTGTTAATGCTAATACTTGATGAACTTGGGTCTCAACCTTAATAATAGCTCTCATCTTATTATCAGATGGGCACATTAGAATTCATATTAAAAGCTTTACACGATAACATAATATAAAATTATTTGGTCTCATAAAGGAAGTGATATTTTGTAAGTTAAGTTACAAAGAAGTAAATAAAATATTTCTATCTATCAGTTTCAAATCTAACAATTTATATTAAATATTAGGGAAGGATTATCAACTTCAAGTTAATCAATTTTATCATCTAAAAATGACAGTAAAAAACCTTACAAGCAGACCTTTAGATTTAAAGTGTAAACTCCCTGTGAAAATTTCTTCTAAATTAAATAGCGAAGATTCTGATTCAAAAGTAGTTGCTATTTGTAAAGAGAGTGTTCTAGAGCTTGGGTATGATTTTTGTAGAAGTTATATCATTTAATTATTTTACACATATTTTAATAAAAGGTTAATAAATCCTGATTAAGAAATCTAAACTAGTTTTGAGTATTATTTGTTGAGTGAAGGTAGTTTCAGGTTAAACCACTTTGTTTTCTTTGATAAAATAACTTAGAAAGATATCAAAGTGGAAATAAATATTTTCGAGCTGATTAAATGAATAATTAATTACATATATTATATATGTATAAATAAATAAATGACTAACTTTTATTTGAAATATTTATTTTATTTTATTTCTCAAAATGAAGTAATAATTTATGTTATTATTATATTTCAGATTTATTATTAATTAAATGCCTTTTGCTGTTTTTTTGAGTAAGCAAATAAATGCGATGGCTGCAATATATTTTACAATTAAAACTATCAAAATAAGTATTAAATACTATGATTAATTGATAATATACACACTAAAAATAAGGAATAAGTTTATAAAATTGATAAAAAAAGTAATTAATAATAAAATTAAAAATTATATAAAATTAGTATTCTTTTTATATTTTAAGGCTAAATAATTTAATTATTAAATACTAGCTGTTTATCTTTTGTTAATGATATCTGACGTCTATAAATAGATTTACAGCGGTGCCGCTACCAGCAGTAAATAGAAAGAATCAGCAATAATGTCAAATCTCAAAAAAGTACAAAATGAAATATGTGCTGAAATATTACAAAAACTTCATGAGCCAACAAGAAAGCGCACTTTATCAAAAACCCCTGAAAAAAAAACAATTGAAGCTATCAGAAAATCTCTAAATGTGGACTCTTAAAATCATAAAATAAATTCATAAAATTAAATAGATTCTTCTCCTAAAGATATTAATAATTTAAAACCTTGTGCTATTTCTTCAGCATCTTATGCTACTAATTTTTCTAAAACTCCTTAGGCCTAAAAACTGTAAAAGATAAGCTTTAGTCTTTCTAATCGCTCTTAATCTCCTCAGTATTTATCTCTTGATAAAACTAGAGCAAAGGCTGTTAGTAATGCATTTTTAAGTGAAATAAAAAATAATTTTAGTAAGGAGGGCAATTATAAGTAAGGCTATTATGGTAATATTCCATAATCTCCTTTGTCTCCAATAAAAGTATAGGAAGAAGAACACAATAATCATACTGATTTAACTAAAGAATAAATGAAATTATTTTACGAGTAAGAAAAGAAAAAAAATTAATAATAATTAGATAATATGGTGCAATCAAATTAATAAATTTTATAGTCTCATTTAGATGAAATAAATAAATTCTTTGTTTAAGATTCAGATGATTTTTTAAGTTTATCTATTCTTCCTGCTAATGAAAATTCTAAAAGCAACTAATAATTTGATTCACGTTTAACAACTAGTGAATCTTAAGGTGAATATTAAAAAACTCTAAATAATGGTTAAAATTTATCATAGTAATTGCATAAACTCATTTAATAAACTGAAAGTCCTTAATATAATTCCCCTTTAAAACTTAAATAAGAATTAAATACAGATAAAAAATATGATTTAAGTAAAGAAAAGAGCAGTAAAACTTAATAAAATTTTGTGTCCTTTCGTAGAAACTCTAAAAGCCCTATCTCAAGAAATTCTTAGTAAAGAAATTCCAAATCACCTGTTTATAGTAGCAATAATAAAAATATTTAACAATAAATAAGTTAATAGAAGCTAATTTAGCCAGGCTAATAGAATATAAGAAGTAAGTAGGTTAGTTTCTCTTAAGATATTTTTGTTGTAGAAAAGCAGAGTATACCTAAAACATAAGATGATGATTCTATCAGTCTTAACTAAAATGTTTTTGAAAAGAGTTCATTAGAATTAAAAAAGCAGTATGAGCAACATCTAAAAACTAATCCTGCTGATTAACAGCAAAAGTAAGCATGCTATTTATTTTTTTCAATTGCTATTTAGTATGGAAAATTCAACTAAAAGCATAATAAAATATTACTGATGTCTAGATAAAAGTATTTTTATTTTCTTAAATAATTAGGGCTGAATTTGAAGAGCTACTTTCGTTGATTAAGAAAGAAAAATCAATTATTTTGAATGAAATTAAATATTTAATAGAATAAAAAAATAAATATAAGTATTTATACAATGAGTAATTGCAAGTAAGTTTAAAATCTAAAATTTAATGCAGTGATTAACATAAATTTTAAGAAAAATAGTTAAGAAGAGTAATAGACAAAGTAAAACTAAGATATGACAAAGACTCAAGCATTTAAAAAGATAATGAATTACTTGGATAATACCAGTTATAATACAGGTAACTTTGTTAAAGTACAGCAAAGTAAAGGTAAATCCCATTTAAAAATAATAGTAACTTTTCTCATAAATTATTTAATTTATCAGTAGATCAACTCGATTAAATTATATCAACTATAAAAAATAAAGATGAAGTTATTCATGTGTAAAAACTAGTTATAAACAAACTCCTAAATTAATTAAGCCAAAAATGACAAATTTTAATGTTTTTGTAAAGTAAATTTTAATAATTTTATATTAATTCCTAATTAATTAATAGTTTATTTATTCAGTATTATATCTTTTATTCATTCACCTATTATTTTAAAATTTAATTAAAATGATATTTTACATTAAGTAACTTACTCAAGTTGTTTAAACTTTACCATATAATTAACTTTTTTTCTGAAAATCAAATTATATTAGAAATACTGTGTAACGTAATAGTTTATTTATACCATTTTAAAAAGATAGAATTTATAATTTATTCTCTTTATTAAATTAAGCAAAAATAAATCAATTGTTTTAACTTAAAAAATTTACAAAAAATTATGAAATTAAATTATTTGAAATATCTTTGTATTTCTTTATTATCCTTATTAATTTTGATAATATTTTTAATTAATTTATTTCAAATAGCTTTATTTAATATTTTTTAAAGCAGAAAAAAATTATTTTTTTATAAACTCTCTATCAAAGTAAAAAATTAATTAATAAAATTTATGTTATTTTAAGAAAAAATATACTGACTTCTAATTAAAAATTGAATAATAAATAAAAAATTTGAAGATAAATTTAAATATCTCCTCACTAACTTTTTGAATTCCTATATAAAGCAAAGTAATTATTATAATATAATATTAGTATTTATTAAATTTGTGCTAGCTTATTTATGTGATTTACAGCTATTATTGTAAAAATATGAAGATATAAAATCTTTTAATAAAACATATTAAATTCTTAATGTCAAATTTCATATTTTTAATAAAATCTTCAAAGTCTGGGTTTTTATTGAGAAGCTTTTTCAAAAGATTCAAGAACATCAGGATCAGAGGTTTAATCAGGACGAGTATATCCCTTGTTTTAGTTGTATTTTTTATAAAGTGCAACATAGCATGCTCCTCCAAGACCTAAGTTATGTTGGAGAGCATATTAAAGATTGTGGACTTGTCTCTTATCAGCCATACCTCTAAGTTACCAGCATAATTCAGTCAATTAAGCTAAACCAGTAGCTCCTAAGGGATGTCCCTTGGAGATTAAACCACCTGAAGGATTAACAACAACTCTTCCTCCATAAGTGTTATCACCCTTATCAATGAATTCGCCTGCCTTACCTTCATCGCAGAGACCAAGAGCTTCATAGGTAACAAGCTCGTTAGCACTAAAGCAATCATGCAACTCAACTACACCAATACTTCTAGGGCATACTTTAGCCTCAGTGTAAACCTTTTCAGCAGCTCTCTTAGACATGTCATCTATTTATAAAATAATATTTATGAGCTTTAATTATGAAAAAAATAAAAATATTACATCCAGCAAGCTTTCTGAATGACTTATCATCAAAAGTGTTGTTTTTATCAGTAGTTAGAGCGCTAGCAAGAATTTCAACAGCTTAATCTTGTAAATTATTTTCAATAACGAATTTTTCAGAGCAAATAATTGCAGCAGCTGAACCATCAGAAGTAGGACAACATTAAAGCTTGGTTAAAGGTTCATGAATCTTAGGAGACTTCATAATTTATTCCAATGTGTATCTGTCTCTAAATTGACTGTATGGATTGTTGACACTGTGTAAGTGGTTTTTATAGGCAATTTTACCGAAATGTTCAGGCTTAGATCCAAATCTTATATTTAGAAAAATTAATTAAAAAATTTAAAACTCAGTATTTTATGTTTATATAATAAAATTAAAGTGAAAGATTGAATAATAAAGGAAGGAGAAGTTTTTTAAAAGTTTACAAAAAAAATTTATTAAAAATATTATTAAAGGTATTAATTAATTAATCAATTACAATTTCATGTGTTCTCTTCCTGCATTTCCAAAAATTTAAGCAGCAAAAGGAGCTTCAGTGAAATCAGTCCATTCAGAAGTCTTTCCTAAGAAATCGGCAAGAGGATTAGCTCTGTCATTATACTTCATGGCAAGAGATCCTTTTTCCATCTTTTCAAAACCTAAAGCTAAGATGCAATCTTAATTACCTCCTTAAATGAATTAGATAGCCATATAAATAGCGGTAGATCCTGTAGCACAATTATTATTTACATTGTAAATGGGAATACCACTCATGCCAGCTTCGTAAACAGCCTTTTGTCCACAGCAAGAATCTCCGTAAACAAATCCTACGCATGCAGATTATATTTTATTATAAGGAACATTAGCATCTCTCAAAGCTCTTTAGATAGCTTATTTTGCTAAAATGTGGTAGTCAGGATTTGATGGATTTCCAGGCTTGATAAATTTGGTCATGCCAACACCAACTACGAATACTCTGTTCTTGTTTTATGAGCTCATATTTATATTTGAAAAGGGTTTTTTTACAAGATATGTTTGTTTATTGTTTCTATTACTTTTTTACTTATTATTAAAAATAAATTATTTAATTGAAATTGTTTTTGATATAAAGTCAGCTAATTTAATAAAAAAAATCCAAACAGTGCTAAATCAGGAACTTGTAAATTAATACGTGCTGTTTACGTTTGTAATGACATCATAATTATTCAAAAGATTATAATTAAAATAAATTCATAAAATCAAAATCAATTTTACAATTAAGCGACCCGAATTAATTCACCTTGGTTGATTTACTTTACTTGTTTACTTAAGTTAAAATATAATTAAATCCTACTTATAAAATATAAATTAGGAAGTGAAGTTAGTGCTCTTTTTGCCTTACTTTTAGAATAATTAACTATATTTAAATGTTAAAACGGAGGTTAATAATGATCAATTAGAAATTGAGTTGCAATTATTAATCGTAATTTGTGATAAAAATTAGGGAATTGTGACGTAAAATAAAAAATACACACTAAAAACACTTATGACAAAAATTCACAAAATAATTAATTAAATAAGTAAATTAGAAATTTATTTAATTTTAAAACATACTTTCTTTTTAGAAAACACCTTATAAAAATATATTTTTTATTTCTTTTTATATATATAAATTGATTATTAATATAGATGTTACTTTTAGATGTAACTTACTCTCTCCTATAAATAAATTCATCAAAGAAAATTTATATTTACTTTATTTGCTAAAAAATATTATTAATCTTTTAACTATTATTAGGAAAAATTTTTGGTTTGTTAGAGATATTAAATTATAGATTTATTTTATTTAGTTGCTGCTTTTAAGGATTCTACAATTAATTCTCATTAAAACTCATGAAGATTCTTGAAAGAAGTCAATTTTCTAAAGTTATAAATGACATCTAAGGTTTTTTCTAAACGTTTTTCAAGTTCGTTCTTTTTCTCAACGCTTTTTTGAATACTGTAGTTTAATCTACTAACCTCTTCATCTCCATACCTACTTTTCTATTTTTATTTTTTTTAATAATTAGTAAATTAAAATATTTATATATAAATAAATAAATAAATGCTACTTAAAACTACAAAAATAATATTTTTTCTTTTAAAATTTTTATTACTTGCTCAAGGATTTCAAAGCTTTTTTAGTGGCTTTTGTAATTTCTTATGTCTTCGTATTCTTATTTTTTAATATCTAACTCACTTTTTTGTTAAAGGAGCTATCTTCGTTGCATAGCTTACTTATATTTCAGATCTACATACTTATTTTTTAATTAAATTATTAATATTACTTTTAATTTAAAATTAATTATACTGATCTGAACTCTTCTTCAGCATTATTTTAAATTTGAACACTTTTTTCATATTCCCTCCTACTCCTATTCATCAAATATTTGTCTACAGATTATTCTTTAAGAAGTTATTTTTCATCTTCATTAACACTCTTTTAGAAATCCTTAAGTCTTTGATGCTCTTCTCTTTTAAAATTTAAATCAAACTTTTAGTAGGAATTCTCCTCGTCCATTTGAGTTTATTTAGCATATCGCTTATCATCCCATTCAGCTTTGTTAGCACGTTAAGAGAGCTGTATAACTTAGTTTTATACTTCTTAGAGCTTTTCAGATAAATGACTTTTTTAGTGCTCATACTAGTCACACATTTGATGGTAACCGCTAAGTAAATGACTATTATTATTTTTCAAATTTTAACTATTTTAGTCATTACTTAAATTTCTTTGCTTTTTTAAAAGTACATCTTAGTAAATTGGATCACCCTTTATCATTTTTTTAACAAAGCTTTCAACTTTCGGCTTTTTTACTTTTAATTCCATAATTTTTTCTAACCTATTTTTTCTAAAATCCTATTCCTATGGTATCTATTTATCTGTATTTTTACTATTTATAGATTCTTTTAAAGGTTTTGATTAATTTATTTTATTTCTAGATGTGCTTCTATTTATGTTTACAGAGGCTTCATTTTCCTGATTTTCTAAATCCTTACTGGATTTTTTAAATATATTTTTTTATTAATTTATTTTTTGATTTGAAGCATTCAACTGCTATTTTGCCAAGGATGACCCTCTTGGTTTTATTGTATTTTTTTTTTATGAATATACCTCACTTGTTGGAGTTTATGACCTACTTTAAGTTATGTTAGTGGTAAATGTGCTATTTAATTTTTAAGTAGATGGGGAGCCTAACCCATAGTATGTATCTGAAGTTTTATTAAGCACTAAATTTTGTTTAGTTTTTTATGATTTTTGTATCGATTCATTTGATTATCGATTATAGCCATTATTGCTATTATTTACATCAGAAATATATTTACTCTCCTCTAAATTCGAATTAGAGAAGTCATGAGGTTAAATTTTTAATGAATAGTTATCTAAAAAATAATAATTTACATGAATATTTTAAATTTGTTGATTAAAAAATTTACTCCTGCTCTTTGATAAAAAGTATTTCTAATTTCCTGCTTAATCTTAATTCGGAGTGTGATTTATAAATTTATTCATTTTTTTAATGTCACAGCTTTAAGGTGATCTATCATTTTGTGAAACATTCGACTTTCTAGCTTGAGAGTTTTGTATAAATTAACTATCATTTCTGAGAGGTATCTATTCAGATTTATTAGACATAACATAAGAAGTATTTGGAAACATACTAGATTATGTGCTTAACATATTCCTGTTATCCCTTTATTCTTCAAGATAGGATGAAATTTATATACTTTGAGGAATTTAATTTTTATTTTTTGTGTCAATATAAGCATGATTTGGATATTTCTATGCTGATTCCTTTTTATTTTTATTTGTATTCATGTAAGTATCTATTGAAATAGGTAAATTTGATTAAGAAGTTCTGAAAAAATAATCACAAGTTGCTCCTAAAAAGTCAACAAAAACAACCATATTTTCCATAATAACTTAATTTTCAAAATGATTAGATTGCATTTCACTGTATTCTCTGTTTTCTTCTTCCATTTTTACAACTTGCTCAATAGAATCCAATGTTTTAGAAACATATCTTATGTTTCTCTCATTAATTTTACCATTTTTAATTAAAGATTTTGTTCTGCATATTAAATTCATCATCTCTCCTGGCTAATTAAATTTTGGTTGAATTTCTGTCCAATCAACATTCTAAGCATTTTACAAATAATTTTTAAATATAATTAACACTATTTAATAAATTAATACCATTTTCGAAAGAAATGATTCATCTTCATTTATCTCATCAGATAGGCAGAATAAGCCAACCATTCCTCTGCAAATTTCGGAAACCAGTAGAGGTGGTTTTACAATTAGTTTGATCCTCTATTAATATATTAGTTAATTAAATTTTTAGGATATTTTGAAATAAGTAAATTAAAATTTCTTTGTCAAATTAATTTTCTAATTATTTACCGTTAAATTCTTTATCTTTATATTTTTTATGCTATTTTCCAAGCTAAGTTTTGAATTTGGTTGTTGTTTTTTAAAAGAACTTTCAAGGATAGAGTTTGTGATTGGATTGTAAACCTATGATCGCTAAGATTCAGACCCTTAGAGACAGTCTTTAGATTTTCCAAAATTTTTCTAGTCATATTCTTTTAAAGGAGTTGAATATTTTTCACATGTAATATTTTATAAATTGCTTCTGTCTAAATTGGTAGAGTACTTTATTTAAGAAGTATCATTATTACCAAAAGATTCATTAATTTCACTATTTTACAATGCTTATTCATTTACATATTTCTATTTACCGCTGTTTTAATCTTATGACTAATATTTGTTATCATTTTCTTTTAGATATGGCAATCTATTTGATATTTTGCTTTCTTGCTGTTAAATAACTTCTTCTTAATTCTTTTGCTCTTAAATTTGAGCGCCGCTGTGAATACCTTCGGAAAAAGAATAATTTGTTGCATCTTAGTTTACTTCTGAAGATGATGTCTAATCCTAATTTTATTCGAAAATATAGTCCCTTTAACTTTGAGAAACTTTGTTTCTCTTTTGGTTAGGTAACTATTATTGCTGAAGATTTTTATCTTTTTTAAAATTATTTTTAGTAAATCTATCTGCTGAAGATGATCCTGAAGAAGAAAGCTTTTTTAGTTGAGATTCAATAATCTTCTTTTTTTTGCTAGCATCCCTAGGTTTTTATGCTGCCTATTCTGCCTTTTAATTAAAGTCTGATCCAATAACTACATCTTAAAATTACCTAATAAGTATACAAACATAAAATAAAAATCTAATATGTATCTCTAATTTGTATAATACTCGCTAATTGGACTAGTTTCTGAGTATATGTATCCGCCATGCCTTGAAATAATCTCTTTTATCCTATCATTCAAATCTTCTTTAATTTTTTAATAATAATTTTCTAGGTGACTTTAAATTAAATAGTATTGAAATTAATGTAAAGTACCTGAACTCATTGTTTTTTCTTCTTATGAAATGGATTGCTTTTTTTTAGAATTTTCTACGCTGTATTAATAAAAAGAAGGATTCTCAGTCTATTGATTGCTTTGCGTTTTGTTCTATTATAGCTTTTAGTTTGATTATGACTAAGCTTTAATAGTTGAATTCTTGTATTTATTATACTTTGCTTAATTCATGCTTTATTTATGTATTTATCAAATAACCACCAAATCCTTTTTCAGATTATAATTTATTAATTTTTTTTCAGTGAAAAATTATCTAATGGTTTTTAGCAACATGGTAAAGTAAAATTATCAAGATATTTGAGCTGATTACCAAAATAACTACCATTATTAACTTTAAAGGAGAATAATAAGTAAATAAATAACTCTTATCTTCTAAATATATAATATTCTTAATTAATTAATAACTATTTCTACTATTTTTAAACATCTAAGTTTAGCAGTAAATAAACTTTATTAAAAAATTTATTTCATCCAAGTTTATTTAATAAATTCTTTTCTCTACTAAAAATGGCAATTATATTTTTAGTGTTAGAAAAATTATTTCAAGGTGATAATTTTTAGTACTTTTTAATAAAATAAATTTTTGATGCTTTGATTGTAATTAACCCAAAAACAAAAAAATTATCACTCAAAAATAAAAAATAATACAAATAAATATCAAAAATAGATTTAAGTTTTGTTTGAGTCAGTAAAATTTTAGAAGAAAATAATTTAATAATTTGACAAGATTCAATTCAAAAGCACAATAATTTATTTATAAATTATAATATTTAATTGCACTCGCTGCTTTTCTATATTTTTAATAAAAAAATTAGTATTAATAATTTAAGAAATTTTGCCCAATAATTTTAATTTTCCTATTAAAATTCGTAATACTTCTACATAAGAATTTGTCAAATATCTCTTACATTAAAAGAAAATTTAAAGAACTTGCATATATAAGTATTAATAGCTTCTAAATGGACATGTCTTAAAGAAGAAAGTCAATTTTTGACCCAAGGATGCAAGATAGAGCTTTTGGATTAAGTAATCTTATAAAAGAAAAATTAGATGAGGCTAATTTGTACAAAAATATCACCCATAGCAGAAAATTTGCTCTTAACTTTTAAAAATCAAAGGAAGCTGAAGAATTACTTAAAAATATGAATTAAAAAGATGAAGTAGTTACAAAGGTAACTAGAGAGCAGATAATAGCAAGTAAGGTCCAAGAAAGCTAATATATAAAAGATCTTTTAAAAAACAAATTATTCTACAATCAAAGAATAGAAGTATCTAATGTAGACCTTACAAGCAGTGAAGATAGTGATGTATTTTCAAATGAATTTCTACAAATTAACAAAAATAAATAAATTTTTTGATTTAAAAATTAGCTTGTAATACATATTCTGAAAAAGGAGTTTAAAAACAAGAAGGAAATACAATTTTTGAAGTTGGCCATCTCTGGTTTGACACTTTTTAAATAGAATCAAGATATACTTTTCAAAGAAAATATGGCCATGTCTCTATTTAAAGAACTAAAATACGAGTTCTTTTTAGAAAAAGACCCTATTTTTCACTTTGGTAAATATATTTTTACTGTTTTAATTTACTAAACAAACATTTTATTCTTTTTATAGGTGAGTTTGGCTATAAATATTATATTGTCTTAAAAGGTAAAGTTTTTGGCATTTTAGTAAACAAACAAGTCAGTTTTAATATTTATTGTTTCTATACAAATTAGGTTCAGTTTAATTGTTAATACCAAAACCAGAGATTGCTAAAGAAATAGAAAAAAAGAGAGAAGAATCATAAAATATATTCAATTAAAAATTTTTTAAGAGCATTTCTAAAAATGTGGTCTCTGGGAAGTAAGCCCCGAGGAAATCTATCATGGCTGGCGATTTTAATTCTTTACTTTAGTAGAATTTTGAGACTAGAAAGAAAAGTTAAATAATTGGTGCCTCTTCATAAGAAATAGAAGAAGATTAAAATTAAGCATTTGATCCTAATTTAAGTTACGAATAAATTTTAGATACATATTATAAAGGATGGAATTTAATCAAAGTATTTGGTCCTGGAGATGCCTTTGGTGAAATAGCTCTATTAACTAAGTAGAGAAGGTAAATAATTATACAATATAAATTTTATATTAAATTCAATATTTTATTTTTAAAATTATTTATAATATTTAATTTATCAGTAAAACTAACAATATAAATTAAATAGAACAGGAACTATGATTTGCAAACAAGATACTCATATAATGTCACTATCTAAAGAAGCTTTTGATAAGCTTCTTGGCAAGTATCATGAAAGGGTAAAGCAAGAAAAAATCGGATTTCTTAGATAATTCTAAGTGTTCGATGGAGTACCTACATCAAAGCTACTAAGTGTAATTTTTAGCAAAAAAAATAGTTTGTTTAAATTATCTTTTTACTTAATTATATAAAGCTTATTCATGACATGAAAACTAATGTTTACTAAATAAACAATATTCTCTACGAGGAAGGAGATAAAGTAGAAGATATTTTTTTTATCAAAGATGGAGAAGTTGAACTGAGCAAACTTGCAAATGTTTAAAACCAAAAGGATTTTATTCAAAGCTCAAACATGAAGCTTGATGAAAAATTTTAAATGTACAACTTGAAGCATAACAGGTAAGTTTAAAGAGAATAAAAAATAAGAATGAGAATATCAGTTATTACGAATGGGGAATGTTTTGGTGACTATGAAATTAAAAATGATGAGATTTACAGGACGTAGAAGGCAGTGGTAACTAGATAAAATACTCATATATACTCGTTACATAAATCTGTAAATTATTTTGTTAATTTTTCTTTTTTGAACACTATTATAATTTTAAATACAGCTACTTTTGGACATGCTAAAGACACATAAAATTTAAGACAATATAATAAAGTAGAATGATTAAAATGTAAAATTTCATGAATAAAGAGAAAAAGAAATTATTGTGCAGAACATTAAAAACTAAAATGCCACAAATAATTTAGTAAAAAAACACATTAAAAAATAATTAAAGAATGCGATGAAGCTACCTGACTTATCTCTATTAACAGAAGAAGAATAAAAAATACTTTTTGAATAATTCCCTTATTTGAAAAATATGTAAAGGAAATTGAAAAACGACAATTATAGTTTGGAGTGGATTTCAGGGTCAAATTAAAAACTTTAAAAAAAAAATTCATTTTTAAAAAGCCCCGATATTTAAAAAGATGATTCAATTTAAAATGATTCAGACTAAACTCCAAGCATATAAAAAGACAATTAGCTATTTAACCCAACTCTTGATTTAAACACTTACCAAGAATTTACCTCTAAATTTCTGAAAAAACCTATTTGTATGAAACTAAACCAGGATACTCAGTATAAATAAATAAATCTCGACTACATTATTAAGTAAAACAGTAAAGGAGCTATTAGTCGTTAAACTTCAATAAAACCTTTATTAGAACACATATCATCTTCACCTGGAAATGAGTAAGGTCTGTAATACTTACGGAATAGCGATAGTGATAGCTAAGACGAGTAAACAGAGAAAGATATCAATAGTAAATTTAAAATAAAAAGATCCTCTGTTTTTGAAACAAGAAAATCAACTTAGACATCTTAAGAGTTATTTTTTCCAATAAATAAGGAAAATAAAAATTATTTTAGAAAAACTTCTCTTTCCAAATCACAACATAAACATTAAAGGAAAGAATCAGAATCACCATAAAAAGAAGAAACTAAAAGGTTTAGCTTAAAAAATTTATTACAGTAACAAAATCAAAAAGACTTCTCGTAAGATGGAAGTTTTTCAAGCAAGAACAAGAGCTCATCTTTTTATCATAAAATGTAAAATTCATAAAATTACTCAGACGAAAATAAGGTAAATGTAAATACTTCGTTTTAAACAAGCAACTTAGAGCAATCTGGTGAATTTAATAAATCTGAATTCAATAGTTCAGAATAAATATATTTTCATAAATAGCATACACTTAAACACAAAGATATATAGGTTAATAAACCATAAAAGGCATTTTCATAGTATGATGAAGGTAAGTTATAAGAAGAAACAGATTAATTCCATAATCTAAGACCACAGTAAATGATTAATAAAAGTTTTTCAGATCAAAATTCAAGTTTAGATAATCATTAGGGTTTAAGTAAATAATAGTCACACTCTCCTTACTCCTATATTGAAAATTAGGAGAAAAATTAAAATTTTAACGTTGAAAAAATGCACAAATAATAAGAGAAATCTAAAGAAATAGATCAACCATTATTTTGGATAGAAGATAATAGTCTTTTGTCTAGAGAAGAAAAAAGGAGAAAAGTAAATTACGTGATGCATTAAAGTTATAAGATATTAAATCAAATTGGACTATAAAAAAATTAAATAACCTTATTTGTAGGTGACCAGTAAATAAAAAAATAAAATTAATCATTTAAAACCAATAGTGGTCTGAAATTAGACCCAAATAGCCAAAAAGAAAAATAAGATTAAATTTAAAGCCCTTTTAAATAAGAATTGCACAATAGCTACTCCTTCAATTAGCCAGATAAATAAATAATAAATGGATAATTCCTTGCTTAAGGGTAGAATTAAGATAGCTAAAATGGAAATTCGTATGAAAATAAATAAGATGAATTTTTAAATTAGGATCAGAATTGCTCTGATTAGAAATGTGAAATTAAGAATTATTCAGAAAGAAAAAAAATTGGTAAAAGTTAATTCTAAGATTTAAATAGCAGCTTCCAAGATTAAGACTATAAGGATGAAATAATTTCTAATGATTCACAGCTCAAGTAAAATTGCCATAAGAGTAAGAAATAACCTTTGAGAAAGTTGCTGAGTTAAGGTAACTCACCAAAAAATAGCCAATTTACTGAATTAATAAATACTTTACATGACAAAAAAAATAAAATAAGAAAACAAAAAAATAGTTAAAAATCCACTTTATCAACTGAAATTATTTATGACAAAAACACTTCACTGAGGAATCCTGAGTTTACTAATAACCTTGTTTTTTCTTGCGATGTTGATTAAAATGCTAGAATATTTGACCAAAGAAGTTAAAGTTAAGATCAAATTAAAAAAGTTGATAAAATTTTAGAGAATTTCTCTAGAGCACAAAAATTTGATAAATAGAACCCATTTAAGAGTGTTTAAATGACTTCTAGATAAAAAAGGGAAATGCTCTTTGCATCAAATTACTAAATACCTGCTTAAATCTATATTTAAAATTAGTTCTCTCCAAAATTACCTAGTGCTTCTCCTAAAATTAATTAAAATGCTTCATTTTTGTAAAATACAAGCCTAAGCTAATTTAATTTAGCTGCTAAAAGTTCTAAAAATCAAGAAAATAGTTCTTAAAGTTAAATTAAAAAAACTCTAAATATTAATTAAATTAGCTTTTTAAGTATAAATGCTGCAACTAAGCTTCCTTCTGTGCAATAAGATTTAGGTTAATCCAATAATCAAACTGAATAATCTGATAAAATTAACTAATCTTATAGCATATTTTAGAAAAGTAGAAAAGATAGAAAATCTCTTTAGAGCATTTGTGGATTAAGTTATATATGTGAAAAACAATTTACTTCAAACAAAAACAATCAAGAACAAACATAAGACAACATTGTCTAAGAATCTAGATCATAAAATAATTAAAGGCAGAATACTTAAACAAATACCAATACAACAGAGATGAGTATATAATATAAGAGAAATAGTCTTTCTTAAGCTTTATCTTCTCCAACAGACCAATAAATTAAAGGTTAAAATTTTGGCATTTAATTACCTGGATAAACTGCAAAGCCAGTAAAAAGTATAAATAATTCTGCCTAAATGTTGTAGAGTATCGTTGGTTTTTAAAGTCCATTGCCTTCACATCACAAAAAATCTTATTCTAGCTTTCTATCTTAGTTTGACTAGGTAAAAGAGTAATCAGAAACTTCGAATTATAAGGGCTGGAATTAAGGATAGAAGCAAATGTGGAATAGTTAGTTAAAAATAAATCTAGCTCAAGTATAGATCAATTAGTCAGAAATTAGTTCACCTAAAGTATCCAGTCTATCAAATAAAATAAATAACTAAAGTATAATGCCAGCTTTTCCTAAAATACTACCTTCTCCTAACCTTTTATTTAAAGAAAATTCGAGAGACTTAAAAGCCTAACAATTATTACAAAAGAGAAATTTAGTTTGAAATGATCAGAAAAAGATCTCCTTTTACCAAAAAATAATTATTAAATGCATTTTTAATGGTTTGCAAAAATTAATAAAAATTATAAAAAGTGGAAATAAAAATTTTAGGGTTTGTGTTTTATTTAATCTGCTTGCTTTAAAATAAATAAATAAATATAATTTAATATTCGACCAGTTTAAATTTGATAATAACTTATTAATCAATCGTTTTTTTCTATTTTTCTATTAGATTTTTCTTTATCGTTTAATAAATATTATCAGATAAAACAAAGTAGTTTTACATAAAACTTGCTGAAAAAAAAAAAATAAAGTTTGAAAAATATGATACAATTACAATCCTTTCATACTACTATCTTGGTTATGAAATGCTTCTTACTTTTAAAATTAGGGTAGAGATTCTCAAAGAAAGACTTTATCTTATACAGATAATAAAATGATTATCTGTGTTTTTGAGAAACTGCGAAGGTTATTAAATTATTTTTCATTTCCCCACACGTGTGAGGAACACATTTTTTTGTTAATTTTTCAAATCATTATAATTTAGATATTGAAATTTACAACATTAATTGTGAATAAGCAAGCAAGCAATTTTTAATCAGTCTTAAAGTTATTAAAAATAAATACTGCTACTTTCCACAATAAATAAATAATTTATTTCTAATAAAATTATATTTGATTTAAAAAAAAGAAAGATTTACTTAGTTTATTAAAAAAGAATAAGTAAATGAAAGTAAAAGTTGCACTCATTTTATTAGCAGTTCTCTTTATAGCAGTACTCGCTGGTAAAGATTATTATAGAGTATTAGGTTTAAAGAAAGGAGCAACTGAAGCAGAAATTAAAAGAGCTTTCAAGAAGCTTTCTTTGAAGTATCACCCTGATAAAAATACAAATGATCCTAAAAAAGCTGAAAAATAATTCCAAGAAATTGTAGAAGCATACGAAATTCTTAAAGATCCTAAACAAAAGGAAATTTATGATAAGTATGGTGAAGAAGGTCTTAAGTAATAACAATAAGGTGGCGGTGGACATGGTGGTCATCACTTCAATTTCGGAGGCGGTGGCGGATTCGATGATATTTTCAGCTAATTCTTCGGCGGTGGCGGTGGAAGAGGTGGTGGTGGCTTCCATCAACAATTTAATTTTGGAGGAGGATAATAACAATAACAATAAAATAGAGATCTCTTTAGCTAAAGTGATGTTTATGAAATTGAAATGGGTAGCTTATCCAAATTCTTACGTCGTCAAGAAGTTTGGATCATTTTGTTCTACAAATCTAACTAATAATAATCAATCAACCTCAAAGATAGCTATAGAGAGCTAGCCAGCACTTATTATGGTATTTTTAAGGTTGCTGCTGTTGATTGTGTAGAAGAAGATGCTGTGTGCGAAGATGAATTTTAAGTATTCGAACACCCTTCTATATAAGTTTACGAATCAGATATCCGTAAAGAAGGCTACAAATACACAGGCCCTCTCAATGATAACACTAAAATTGCATAATTTGCAATTAGATATATGGAATCTTATGTTCGTAACATCAAGACAGCTAATTATGAAGAGTTTATTACTGAAAACCCTGAAAAAAATAAAATTTTGTTATTCACTCAAAAGAAATCCACTCCTCCACTTTTCAGAGCACTCTCCAAAGAGTATAACTCAAAATTACAATTTGGTGAAGTTAGAGATACTGAAAGAGACTTGATAACTAAATTCAAAGTTACAGAATTCCCTACACTCCTGGTTCTTTCAGAGCCTGAAAACTACTTAGGTATAAAGTATGAAGGTGCTTTCAAAAAAGACCAAATTTAGAAATTTTTACGTGAGTATTCATATGTTAAGCAAGCAAGTACAAATAACCCAACAATCCCAGTTAAATTGCTTACTCCTGATATTGCTAGAAATCCAAATAACTGTGGTAGCAATGATCCAAAGATTTGCTTATTAATTATTACTGCTAACGATAGTATTAGTATAGAAGAAGCAGCAACATTACTCAAATAAATAGCTTCAAAGTTTTCGGATTCAAAGATGAAGTTATTCTATATCCCAAAACGTTTGATTGAACTTGAAAATATATTTGATAATGAAGATTTCTCTACCTTACCAGCAGCAGTAGTAATTAAAGGAAAGCGTAATCGTTTCGCTCACTTTAATCCAGAATAATAACTCACTTCATAATCACTTGAAAACTACCTTGAAGATATTTTAGGCGGAGGAGGTAGCTTCCAAAGAATGCACGATTAGTTGAGTGGAAACGTTTTTGGTATGAAAGAAGATCTTTGAAATAGTTAAATTTTTTATTTTAAATAAATAAATAAATCAACCAATTAAATAATTTTTGTTTGTTTAAATTTTAAATCCACTTCAATCTATCAATCAATCTATCTATAGTATTTTATTCTTTTAATTTAATCAACCAAATTAATTTTATTAATTTATTTATTAAAATAAACTCATATAATTAATAATTTTGTATGAAATTTTATTAATTCTTTTTTTTTAATTATTTTAAAAGAAAATTTTCCTTAAAAATAAATATTTTAAAATTATTTATTTGGATTTTCTCTCTTTTATAGTTTCTTTAGATATTTTACTTTCCCATTTTTATTATCATGCATGATTAAATGTAACATTTCTAATATAAAAGAAACTTTTTAAGTTAATGATATTAAAAACTTGATCATTTAACAATCATTTTATTTTAATTAATTAATTTTTTGATTTCACTTTTTTAGTTAACTCTTTTAATTTTAGAAATTTGATTTTTTACTTTTTAGAAACTTTGTTTGATATTGATTTTTTGTTAAATTTGTGTGTTCTAACTTAATCTAAAGAATCAAATAGGAAAAGTATTTAGATTTTTATTTGTGAAAATTATGATTGATTTCAAGTATTTTAGGCTAAGCTAAGATATCTTTATAAAGAGATTGTATTGAAGTGTATTATTTCTTTAATTTAAGATTTTATAAAATTGAGTTTTAAGGTTGCAAACAAAATTTTAATAGAAAATTATATACAAACATAATATTTTTAAGGTAATCATATATATATTATATTAATTTTGTAACTAGTTTATTATTCAATATGCATTAGTAATTTTTAATAAAAGATAAGATACTGCTAGCTAGATTATAGACATCAAATATAAAATATTCTTTTAAGATAACTCTTGGAAATTTACCTCACCTAAATTTAATTAATAATAAGTTAATATTTAATTATTATATTGCTTGTTTGCTTTTGTAATTTGTAGCAATTCCTGGAATAATTCATACATGATAAGAATGAGTTATAATGAAAAATTGCTATTCACAGAGTGAATTTATATTGCTTCGGCGTTTAGAGATTAAAAAATAGTTTTATAACAAAATTCTAAAATCCCTTGCTAGACAAAGCTTATTGATTTATTTATTAAAAATGATAGAAATAAATTAATTTACCAAAACTATCAGACATGGTCTAGATATATCTCTTTAAGGTCTTAAAAATAAAGAATACAGATGTTGTTAGAAGATAAACCATTAAAATAAAGGTAAACCATCCTCCAAAGCTCAAGTTACAGATTAGAATGCAAGTGAGGGAAAGGAATCTATATGAAAGATGACTGAGCATGTTGAGGATACCAATGTTTTTAATACCAACGAGGAAGAATACTATTTTATTAATAAATTTTTTAGTTAATGTTTTTATTAATTTGAATAAAATGTTATTTACAGAACTTGTAAAGATAAATTTCTATAAAAGTTATGAATAAGCAGTAGCTAGTATTTCTTTAGATAATTTCAGGTTAAAAGTTATCACCAATACCAACTGAGAGGCAAGAAACCAAAACAAAAGTAATTAAACCCATAAGTGGCAAGTATAAATCAGGAGAGTGAGGATTATCTTTAGGAGATATAAAATTCTACTCTTGAGAAGAAGAGGCGTATTCATTAACCTTCACTTCCCATTCACCTCTTTATAGGAAAGGAAAGAGAATGAGTTTCATTTTACGGAGGATGTACATATTATCAATATCAAAGAATGATCTAACATATGAATTAAATATCCATTTTTCAGCAAAGTTTCCTGTTGGAATGATATTGTCTGGGATTAATTGAGGGCCAAAAGCTGTGAACAAATTTTTGGCAGTGCTAGCATATTAATTGAATTAATTATTTCCGAACTAAGTGGGAAAACCGCCTTGTTATTAAGGTTGTTGTTATGTGTTTGAGTTGAAATCATTATAAAAGTTGTTTAAGCTCATTTTATGAGAATTATTTTTTAGTTAATTTGTTTTATTTTAAAAGAGAAAATTTGAAATAAGATATGGTAGTTTATAATGGTGATTATTTGAAAATATAAGTTTTTATTGAAGCTTTTTTTAAAAGTAGATTAAGACAGGTGGCTGTAGTGTTTGAAATAAATAATTAATTGATCACTCAAATAGTTTTTATGATGCTGATTAGAGTTTTTTGTTTAGTGGTTTGAATAAATTTTATTGGAAAGATAAAGGCAGCAAACTCTTCGATGAACTTTTTCCTTTTAGCTTCAGATGCTTTTAACCTATTCTAGATGAGGATCTCTTTCTTAAAGAATATCTTTGTGAAGAAAAAGTGTTTTCTTATTTATATTTTATTTATTTTGCTTAATTTTAATGTTTTTAAATAACTATAAATTAATAAATTATTCGGCTAAATTTAAACTTTTCTTTTAAAAAATTGCAAGTAAAATAAATACAAGCAAATAAAAAAATATACAAATAAACAAGCGCTTTTCCACGAAATCTTATTTCAGTGCTTACAAAATGCGCTGTTATAAATATGCTTCAAATTATTATATTATTTACACGTATAACTACCAAATAGAAAGTAAATAATTTATATCTTTTGTTAATATTAAAAAATATCATTATTTTTAATAATAACAAATTCTGTTGAAGTTTATTTTAAATATTAAAATTAAAAGATTATGAACATTTATTACAACAAATTTTTATGATTATTACTATCTAGCATGCAAGCAAACAAGCAAGCTAATTAACGAACTAACTCGAAGCTTGTTTAAGATTTTATTTAGTAAAATCTGTAAATAAAAATACAAAAAATAGATACAAATTATGATTATTTTGATAATTAGTTTTTTTTCCTTTAATTGTAATTGATAGTTTTGGAATTATTTGATTCCATATGTAACAATCAATCCATTTTACCATTATTGTAAATATATCTTACAAATTTCAATGAAGCCAAGAAACTTACACTACCAAGCATCTTTTTAAATAAAAATTTAAAATGATAAAAACTCAAAATAATTAATAAATTTTACCATAAACAACACACTGCAGAAAAGAACCATATACCCAAAATACATCAAGAACTATTTTTTTTAAATTTATTATTCTGTATCTTTATTAATATAATATATTTTATAATTTACTTGTAGAGTTCCATGCATAGGAGAGACTTACCAATAGTAATAAATTACATATAATCCAATAAAAAGTGATGTGGACCTTTTATAAATATATTTACAGTTAAAACAACTTTAATAAAAAATTATAATTACCCTCCATAAGAGAAAGATTTCCACCACCAATTATAATCCATAGCATTGAGCTAGTAGTAAGTAAGACCTATTGAAACACATGCTTAAACAACTAAGAATAGAATAAAAGCTATACAGATAATACCATACAAATGATAAGTCTAATGACCCCATATACTATTAAAAATTGATCTCAATTCCAAGTAAATAGAGCTGTTATTTTATTTAAATTTTAAATTATTTAAGGATTTTCTTTCTTTTAAATAAAATCTAACCTAAAAGGAAGAAGACCTCCTATTATGAAATGGATAAATGCAGTCTAGTACCTATTAATAAATTAATAAATTTTTTATCGAATAAATAAGTCAAATTTTTACATTTTTTTTTCAGGGACAGGCTTATATAATCTTGGTAATGAAGATCCAACATTTGGGAGAGATTCAGAAGTTTTTACTCTTGAATAAATAGTACCTGTGAAAGTGAGAGGAACATAAATAATTAAGAAGGTTAAAATTACTAAGAAAACAGCTTCAGCTGGAATAGCAGAAGTGGATTATTTATACCAAGCATAAGAGTTAACAATGCTAAAAACTAACAAAAAACTAAACTGTTAATATATAAATAAAATAATACATTAATCAATAAATCTATTTATTTTAAAGTTATAATTAAAGTTACTGGGAAAAGACCGCAAGAGAATATTAAATTAAGAGCCCAGTGCTTTCCTCCGAAGTATTTATAATATTTTGCAGAATAATATCCATTAAATATACCAGTAAATGAGTACAAGAAAACTCCTACTTCCTTTACATTACCTTTTTAGGAATTGTAGTATAGACCAAGGGTACCGAAGAAAATAAGATTAATAACAAGGAAAATGAATTGCAACCCATTTCCCAAAAATCCACTAAGTATCAATTTATGAACAGGGGGCATAAGAGCTTCAGTTCTTATTAGCTTCCAACCAATCTCAACAGCTGTTAAAAATAAAAATGTTAGATTAAAGCACTAAATTTAGACTATATAAAAATTACACTAATCGCTTTCAATATCAGAAGATAGACTGAAGTCTTTTTTTAATATTCTTGCTAATACTAAACAGACTAAAAGGACAAGAAGGACAACAAGTAAAAAAGATAGTATAATGGCAAACCAATGAATTTCTGGGTTTTAATCAGATCCAGATAAATCTTAGCTATTTTTATAAAATAATTTATTTTATTGAATTTTAAGACAAACAAATCTATTGTTTGAAACTTATAATTTTATTTTTAAATAGATATTTTAATAAAAATTAAGTTTATTTAATATATAAGTTAATTGTTTGTTAATTACTCAAAAACATTGTCCTTTTCATAGTCTATGTCTAAAATATCTACATAATAGTAGAAAACAGAGTAAGAGAATTCTATTTCTTGTGACTCCTCTCCATCTTCAAAAGCAGGAATTTACTTATAATACAGATCATCGAAATTTGTATCATAAAAATTGGTGATATTTGCATATAAAACAACAGGATCCTTTTTATTTAAACAGAAAATAATTAATTTTAGGATAATTTCCATAAATCAAATCAAAATAAAAAATTTCTAATGCTTACTTCTATCTAAAATTTATCTAAATAAACGTTAAACTCAATATGAGTCTTCAAATAATAAGACATAGTTCCATTTTCATCCTAATCAAATTTTCCTATCAAATCATGGACAATAAACTATTCTATTTTATTATAAATTTTCATATTGCAATCTATTTATCTAATAAAAAGTCTTTATTACCTACATAAAACTCTGCATAAAACACATTTTCGATAGCCTCTATAAATTGTTGAAGTTCCTATTTTGTGTAATTCTTAGACCCTATTGTTTTTGTCACATTCTCTTTATAAATAAAAAGTTTCAATTACTTTGTTAGCCAAAGGTGCCAAATATTTTTTTGTAAATTATTTTTAAAAAACAAAGTAAATTATAAATTATTACATCCTATTGTTGAATTATAAGGTGAATTGTAAATACGATCACCTGATAAGCTTTATGAAAATGTTTGATCTGATTTTATTTCCTCTTTTGGACGTATAAAAGGGAGAATATAGTACCTTTTTAATTATTTAAATAATGATTATTGATCAGTAACCAGCCATATGGGATTATAAATGCTTAAACTCTTTAATAATATATTTACTTGTATGTTTCGCTAGGATTATCTAGTGGAGCAATATTGTTTACATAAATATTTAATTGCTTAGTCTAATCCTCTGTAGAAAGAACTAAGCATAAAATTGATAAACCTAAAATAATTTGCTTTAATTTGATCATTTTATTTACTTAGAAAACGTGTAAATATATCTTTTAATATTTTTTTAATTAATTTTTTTTACAATCTTCAGGAATTTAATAAGAATTAATTAAAATCTTGATTTTTTTGTTTGTTATCCATAAGTAATTTCTTACTTAATAATTTTTATCAGCAATAAATAAATAAATGAACTCTTAACTAGAAATGTTTCTAATTACTTACTGCATCCTTCTATCATAAGCAAGCACTAAATATTATTAGTATGTATTAGTTAAAACTTAATATTCTTTTTATAGGATTTCATTTGCATTCTAACATGATAAAATAGTAAGTTTACTACATTTATAAAAGATTTTTTCTTATTTAATTTTATCCTTTCTTTTATCGAATTTCATATTTACGATTTATAATAGTTGTTAATTTTTTATTTCATAGTTAATAAGATATATTCAAAATTGTGTTTAAAATTTTTAAGTTTTTTATTAGTTCTTTTAAAAAAAGCTAAAAACATATTTTCAATTTGTTTCCAATAATATTTATCTATTTCAATTTAAACACTTAAAATTATTAGATGTTAAAGATGACAGTTTATATTTTACTTATTTATTTATTATTTATGTAAACCCTTTTTCTAAGAAGATTAACCTTGAATTATTTTGATATATAAGACCTAAAATAAATATTAATTCTTAAAAAAAAAATAATTGATTGATATGAAAGTATTTTTAAATCTAAGAAATCTAAGAAATTCATTTAAATATCATGATCAACAATTTGTTTTAGATTTTCATTTTAAAAACTAAATTAACACTCATTAATAAGTTGATAAAATTCAAAATTTAACTGATTTATGTGTTAATATGAAAGGAGGTATTGATTAATTGATTGCGTACTTTTATTGTGGTTGATAATTTGTATTGTTGCAAAATAAACTATATGAAAAATATTAGGTAAAATAAAATAATATATGTTTTATAAATAAGTGAATTTAGAAAATAATAATTAATCAAATATATATACAACTAGGTAGTAGTATATGCTTTTGATTTATATTACTTATTATAATACAATTTAAAACACATTAAATTATTAATATTTGTTATATTTATATCATTTTTAGATAAGAAAAAAATTTTTAGCAAAAAAAGAGTAGCTTTTCTTTAAGGCTTAGTCAATTTAATTTACAAAAAGTGTCAGAAAAAGTTAGTTTAGTTGCTCAATAGTCTAACTTTTTAGACTTTTTGAGTATTTGTCAGGGTTAGTAAAACAAAATAGGTTAGATTGATAACAATAGATATATGAATTCTAATAATGGAGCTACTAAGCAGATTAAAAAAACGTTAAACCTCAATTACTTGAGCTAAATTTCGCCCTATATAACAAATCCTAGCAGTAAAAATCGGTCTAAAAGCATAAAGAATAATTCATAATCAATTAATATAACCGAAAATGAAAAAATTACTTAGAATTAGTAAAATAATTAAAATGTTATTCGACAAAGCCTAATTCATGAATAATTGAATAATTAAGTAGAAAAGTTGGATAAATATAAATTCTCGATGTCTGATAAAAAGTATCCAACTTCACCAGGCAACTAAACATTTTAAAATGTAAGCAACTCTTCTGCTTCAAAAGCTATTTAGAACAGTATTTTTGCAATTAGATCTTCACAGAAGGGTAATCAAAGTAATATGTAACATAGATTAATGGTAAAGCCAGGCACAGCAAGTAATTTCTATTAGAAAAATAACAAAAAAGCTTATGGAAATAAAGGGTTTGCCACATTATCTATAAGCGGAGTAGACTAAAAAAGTAGTGGCATAAACAACAACGCTGGGTATAGTAAATTTGATTCCTCCGTAAAAATGAAAACAGAATATAACATTTATAGCGATAAACTTGAAAAAAAAATATTGGATGAAAATCTTTAATCTATGAATTAAACTGCTGGAAGCACAAAAAGGAAGAACAGTAGTTAAATAGTTTTCAATACTCAAGCAAGCTAAAAGGATTTTAATGTGCATCAATCATTTGACAACAATTCATTCAGTCAAATGATAAATTCCTATGCAAATAGTGTTTACATTCCTAATTAGAATTATCCTAGTAATTATATTTAACAAAGCCCAAATACATACTAGAGCAACAATTTTTACATGAGCACAAACTCAAACAACTTTTTAATAGCCTAATAATAGAATGATTTTTAAAACACTAATAATTCTAACAATATTTATGCATCTCAAAATAGTGGAAGTTAAGCATAATAAAACTTTGATAATATCCATTCTATGACACACTCTACAAACCTGATTGAAGATATGCCTATATAAGATAGTTAAGTGGTTAACTCTTTTTCAAAATCTACTAATCTTACTTAAAATAAAAACTATTTTCCAATTCATTCAAAGCAAGCAAGCATCAATATAGCTTCAAACATTCAAACTTTATCATAGAGATCTCCATAAATTGTTAATCCCAATAACTGGATTTAATAAAACTCTCAAAAAAATAATACTGTTTACTTTTAACTAGAAAATTAAAGTAATTATAACTCTTGTTTGAATTCTATCAACCACACTCATAATCATAGCATTCTAAATGGGAGTGCAATGCTTGCTGTGAGCTAATCACATAAATCATCTTCGAAGAACTCTTAAAAATAGAGTTTCAGTATTCCATCTTCTACAAACCAAAAACTAAACTCAATATTAAAAATCTCTATCTAAAACAATTAAAAATAAAAAATAAGTGCAATGTCTCCAAACACATCAAATCAAAACTCATACATTACTAATAAAACAAATTATAAGTAATTCTTTAAATAATATTGAATTGAATGCAAACATAATTATTTATTTAATTTTATTAGAAAGTAGTACAACAAGCAGAAAAATTTATCATTTGGGTCTAAAATACTTTAGAATTTTTTAAATACTTAGAGCATCGATTTTAATTAATCTAGCTAAAAGAAACCAATTTCAGTAATATTTTATTAAACAAAAAAATATTTTACTTATTAAATTAACATTTAGACTCCAAACCGTGTAAATAATTCAGAAATGGGATACAGAGAAAAGGTTAATAGTATTTTGAAAGGCATAACAAATTAAATTGAGCAAATACAATTTCAATAGTAGTAATAAACCTCTCATCAAAAAAATAGTAAAGCCTATAGCATGTCATAAAGAATTTCACATACAATGCATACTTAAATGGATACAAACCCTTCTCCGACTAGCTAAGATAAAAATCCAATAATAAAAACATTAAGTTAGCCATAGCTTCCTCCATAATAGTAATAATGTTAAATAAATGACTTTCAATAAGTAAATGCTCTGTAATAAGATAAGCAGAGTTAATAACTAATGATAAAAGATCCTTTCTTAAAAGATCTAGAATACGTCTCAGATTATATGTAATTTAATACTAAATTTATTTAAAATTAATTTTAAAAAATATAAAGGAATACTTTGTAGCATAATTAATTATTTGTAGCCAACATAAAGCATCCTTTTTATTTTTGTTCTGGAATGAGATAGCAGGAATCACAAAATCAAGTTAACATTTGCTTAATCCTATTAATTTTAATTTTTAATTTTAATTCAAGAAGGAAAATGTGAAAGTAGATGAAATAAAGCAAACCATATAGTAATTATCATAAAATAAATCTTCTATTTCAGATTGGAAGCAAGTAAATATTGTTTTTTTTAGCAATTTAAATTAGATGATTTAATAAAAAATAGAAAATGCTGCAAAAACTTGAAAATTTCGAAAATACTAACAGTAGTTTTTAAAAATAAAAAAATAATTTTAATAGCTAATTTACTGATTAATAACAACAAAAATAAATAGTGTTCCAAGGTTAAAGTCTAGAAATGTAATAAGAATATCAAATTTATAAATAAAATAACTTAAACTTAGATTAACTAAACTCCTAATAAAATAATTAAATAAAGCCTTCAAACTAGTTATAAAATATATTAAGCTTAAATTAAAATTTTAATCTAAACAAAACAAATTATTTAAAGAGAAATAATATTTGACTTATTATATTAAAACAAACTGATATTTATTTATATTTACATATTTTAAGATATTTTATTTATTTATTTATTATTTTCTCTTCAAAAGTAAATGTTATTATATCCATGAATTATAATACTATTTTATTGGTTTAAAATATATTAATAAATTTGATTTCTGTTTTATTTATTAATCTATCTTTAATATAAGTTTAAAAAGTTAAAAATTAATATTGTTTTATCATTCAATTTGATTAAATAAAACCATGTTTGCTGACTTTTTTAATAAATTTTTCATAATTAACTGATTGTTTATTTAAAAAATAAATCTTATTTTACAAAAAAATACTTAAAAAATTAGTTAAAAACATAAAATTTATTTAAATAGTTTAAAATATATATTTAATTAACTAAACTTTTTACATTTAAAACAAATTTAATATTTATTCATTCATTCATTTATCAATTTAAATTATAATTCTATTTATTTATTTAAATTAGATTCATTATTTTTTTTTTATTTTATTTGATAATTTACTTTTAACAAATAATATTAATCCTCGCTAGCTAACTAAGATTCAATTTAATTAATACTAAAAAAATTTTTTTTAATCATTTTTAAAAATATTAATATTTTTAATAATTTGTGATAGTTTATTACATTTAATTAAAATAAATCACTTTGTTGGATTAATTACTTAATAATTATAAATTCACAAAATACAAGCTGAATAAAATAAATCATTAAAACAATTACTATAAATGTTATTTAAAAAATTTTTTAAACTGTCTAAAATAATTATGAATTAGTGGAAAAGAATTTAATTTTATAGACTTTTAATTTATAAATTTCTATTTTAGTTTTTAAATGTTAAATAAATAGAACACTATGAATTATGATTTGGATATAAAATTGTCTAAACTTAAAATTTTCTTTATATATATTACAATTTAAACATAGTTTTAACTATTGTGTTATTTTAATTAAAATATTATTACTAAAGTGTCTTTTTTAATTTATGAATATTTATTTACTTGTTCATAAATATTTTTTAAATTATAATAATTTAAACTTTGATTTTTATGTATTAAAACCATTATATATTTGCTAATTTATTTACTTCTTATTTTGTTCTCAATTCAGTCAGTCAGCTAGTTAGTTCATTAAGGTAGGATTTTCTAATACTTGTATTATCTAATCAAACTTAGGTCTTTTTTTGGGATTTTCATCCCAACACTTTATCATCAGTTTTATTATCTATTTAAATACATAATGAATTTAATTTAAAATTAAAAATAATCCATAAATTACAAATTAAGGAGTATCAAAATGTAGCTTTTGCAAATTCGGACGACCTTTTTCTTCAGAGACATATTTTATTATTGCAGCAACATTTCCTTTTTCTTTGAAAGGAGTTTCCCTTGAAGCTAACTCGTACATTACAATCTTATAAAAAATAATTAATTGTCTTGGGTTAAAAATGTGAAATTATTACTGCAAATGAATAAACATCAGCTTGTGTTGAAACAGGTTGATTTCTCATTGTTTCAGGTGCCATCCAATGCTAGAAGTTATAAATTTAAAATAATTTTAAAGCAAATTATGATAAAATAAATAAACAAGATTACGAAAGTTCCAAGAGCACCTGATTAGAAAGGTACAGCTTAGCTACTTCCTACACGAGTTAAGCCAAAATCAGCTATTTTCATAGTTGGTATGTTATCGCTATTTGGGTCATATGGCTTGTCAAAGAGTAAACTATCAACAATAAAAAAATTTTTAATTAAATAAACAAGTAAATATAAGGATTACTTTAGAGACTTGAGATCTCTATGAATAAGGTTGTTTTAATGGAGATAAAGCATTCCTTTAGCAAGATCTTTGAGCCAACGAATTCGGTGATCCCATTTTATCATTTTAATTTACTATTTTTTCTTGTGAAGCAGCTCAAATAATGTTCCTCCTTCACAAAACTCTGTAATGATATAAAAATTATTATCATAAGAGGAAATTGCGACTAATTAAAGTAAGTTTTCATGGTTTTTGAGCTTTATAAGAGCCTATATTTCTCTTTAAAATTCTTTTAAATGTAATTCATCAGAATTATCAAGCTTAATAACTTTAATTGCTACATCCTTATTTTTACACCTTCCTTTATAAACTTCACAACTATTACCTTTAAAAATTTATTAGAGATATATTTATTAAAATTTAAATTTTACCGCTTCCAATTTTGTTTCCCATCTTAATTTCAGAAAAATCAACAATAAAATCAAAAAATTCACTGCTTACTTCATGTTTAATATAGTTTACTAACTCTGGGTGTTTTCTTATCTTACTTTGACACTGTTCTAATTTTAATTATTCTAAATCTTTTTCAACTTTTTCATGTTCAGTTTCATTTTAAAACTTTAAATGATTTTTATTTGATTTAAATGGTGATATACTCTTTCTCATTTGTTGGCTAGGATCCATAGCTTTTTGTTAACCTAAAAAGCTATCTAAAGGGCGCAATGCTTCACAGTCATCATCAGGAATATTTTCACTACCTAACCTTTAGAGGGCTTCTTTTTTATTTTGCTTTTCTTCATCATTACTATCCTCAGCCCCTATTAATTTCTTACTTCTTCTTTGTGTTTAAGGTTATTCTTATTACTATTATAAGATTATCTGATTTTATAGCTGTAATTTTTAATCTAATAACTATTCTTCTTTATTTTGATAAGAAGTAGGATTTTAAATTGATTCATCTTAAAATTACTTAGGTGGAGACATTCTAGGAGAAGTATTTATTTAAATTACATTATTTTAATTGATTTTGTTCAAGAAAGGATTGTTGATTTATATATATTATTACTCTTGCATATTCGACAATTATTGTTGATAAATCATTTATAATTAGTTTTATATTTATTACTAAAATTATTAATTGGTTAAGTTTTAGTTTTACAATTAATTATTATTAAAATCATTTTATTAATTTACATTACCTTAACCTATTTAGTTTTATTAATCATAAATTTAATTATAAAAATTCTAATTATATATTTATTGGTTCTATTATTTTTATTAATTTTGCTCATTTTAAAGAAAGTTATCAAGCTAATTTACCTATTACTGATTCATATAGAAGTTATTCTATAAATTTTATTTAATATTAATATTTGCATTTGTGTAGTCATAAACATTATTTTATTACCCAAAGTCATTAAAAATGTCATCAGCCTTTACATTTTTTTATTCAAGTTAATAATTATTTTAGTTATTTATTTAATAGTTATTTTAATTGTATTATTGATAATTATAATTATTCTAATTATTTCCTTGAGAATTATTCTAATTACTCAATTGATAATTATTTACTTGGTAATTGTTTATCTGTTAATTATTTTAATTATTAATTTGATATCCATTTTGATTGTTTATTGCTTACTAATTATTCATATTATTTACTTGAAAGTTATTGTATTTATTATTTGGATCTTCATTATTTTAATTTGTATTTTAGCCATTTTTTTACATTTGTTCTAAATTTTAAATCAGATTATTGTTGATATTAGACCAAAAATCAAAAGGATTGCTGTTTATTGGTTGAGTAACATGTGGCTATTATGAAGGAAGTTTTAATAAATCTATATTAATTTACTCATCAAATATATTTAAATCTATCAAATCTTAGCACTTGTTGTTATCTTTAATAACTGATCTGTTTAAATCATTTGCTTCAAAGAATCCTTAACCCTTTGAGTTATCGACATATTTTTCATCTTTTTCTTTTTAATAGCCAACTAGCATTGGATGTGAAGGATCCCAAAATGTAAATTAATTAAACATGTCTTCATTTTAGTTACTTTAATTTTGTATAGCCTGTCCATTCGGTAAATTGTTTTAAAATTACTCAAATAAATTAATAACTTCTTAATTAGCTTACTGTGGTTAGGCCCAAAAATCATGCTTTTAAGAGTTTGGAAAACTGTTAATTTAATTTTTTTCTTAAGCAAGGAATTACTTATCCATTCCATTTATTGAATAAGGATTTGGAATAAAAGGCTTGTTGCTTTTGTGTACTGGAAGCTATGCATTACTATTAGCTGGTTTTTTAGCAAATATATATTCATTTTTAGTTTGATCATTACTACTTTTTATTGCTTTGCTCATCTTTTATTAGTATTCTTTCATAAATTCTCCTTCATCACTTTAATCATCTGAATCTAAGGTACCTTATTTATTTTTTTATGGATTAGCACTGTGAGCTCTCTAATTGTGTTACGATTAGTTAGAAACTGTTATTTAATTTGTGTTTTCAAATTATTATTGATGAGGAGATCTCTTTGAATCATATTATTTTGAAGATATAGCATTCACAGAAGATACGTTACCATTTTCAAATTATTTTTCTGTTTATTTAATAGCATCAATAACTCCTGGGCCATAGCTCAGAGGTAATTTAATTCCATATATATTTTATTTATAGTTGAGATGCTCAAAAATTTTGAATTCAGGCTCACTGTTTGTCAAAATTTCTATTTATTTTATATATTCTATGACATTATTTGGAAGCTTAGGAATCATAGTTGCTATAGGAAGTTTAGTTTCAGTGATTAAAGAACATCTTTAAAAATATAGCTAAGCTTATTTGTATATTTTTTCTAAGTTGATATCTTGAGCTTTAATAAATTATCTAATGTCGTTTTCATCAAATTTATGAGACTCGAAGTTTGTTGATATTTTGAAAGTTTTATAAAGGTGTATTGTGAGGCATAAGAGGCAGTATATTTCATCTAGCATAGACAAAGAGATAGTTGCTTATATATTCCAAAGTTAGCACTAATGCAATAGATTAACATTAACAAATTTTAAAATCACTGCAAGATATTCAATCAAATCAGGGAGTAATAATGGATCTAATGGCTTGAATTTCTTTTTTGCACTCTCCAAAAATGGATTTAATGAAAAATTTCCTTCAAAATATTAGCTGTATTTTTAGTTTAGCAAAAGTTTAGTCTATAGAAATTTCGTTAAATTAACAATAAGGTTGCAGGTGTATTAACTTCTTTTTTAGTCTTTAGGCTTGACAAGTTCTCCATCAAGAATGATTTTCTACCAATTTTATTGAATATCATCTAAAATTTTTTCAGGACTGATCTTCCTATCAACAGGATTTTTTATTGCTTCAGGAGGACCTTTCTTAAAATAATTATGCAAAAGAATCAATATTTTTAAATTTATAATTGTATTGCTTCTGTGCTCTTTCCAATGATTGTATAGCAGCATATAAAACTTATCAGTTTTAGGCCTTTTTTTCCATGCCTTCAAAAGGAGTTTTCTAACATATTTCTACTTGGGACCATACTCATCATACTACAAAGCTCCTTTAACTACATTTATAAGAAAATATTTATATAAAATCTTCAAATTGGTTTTTAAAATTCTACTAAATGCTATTTTTGCTGATATGGAAACTAAAATATGAAACAAATTTATAATTTACTCCATCCCTGAGTATCGAAAAATGCCCCTATAAATTTCGCATTGATGATTTAAAGCCAGCTCGCTTTTGCTTCCTTTTAAGCTTATTTTGTAAATATGTATGGGTCGATCATGCCATCTTATTTATATTCAAATTTTAAGTCCTTGGTAATTATTTATATTATCTCATTAGCAGAAGGTCTATCGGCAGGATTTATGGACAGCATCCTCATTATAAAATTATGAAACTCGTCGGAGGTTATTGGAAACTCTGGCCATAAACAACTACCACTGATAGCTCCCAATATTGAGTCAAAAGGAGGTTTTTTAAAACACAGTATATATGCTAAAACTCCTAATGCAAAAATATCTATTTTCTCGTTGATGGGATAATCAGGGAATATATGTGGATCTAAGATTTCAGGTGCTCTATACATTGGAGTAGTATTTCTGTCCATCTCTTCCTTTATATCTTGTATATTGCATTTACTTATTTTTGGAACTAAATTATTTGTCACAGATCCAAAATCACAAATTTTAAAACGATTTTCCTCTGAATATAATATGTTTTCTATTTTAATATCTCTGTGAATAAGCTTTCTTTTATGTATATGGCTTAGACCCTATGCTACTTCATATATAACTCTGAGAATTTACTATTCAGATAATTGATTCTTAGGTGTCATAGACATGATGTCTACAAGAGATCCTTTAGGACAGTTTTCAATAACTAAGACTCCTAAAGAACCTCCTTACAGCTCTTAACTTCCCAAGTATTAAACTATATTGGAGTGCTAACCTAATTCTTAGTAGTATTTTCTTTCATTTATAAAAGACCTTTGAGATGGTACATAATTTAAATTCATAACTTTTGCAACATAACTTGAATTAGATGTCAGATAAACATTTGAAAACGAACCGGAACCTATTTCTTGCTTAAGTGTGATTTCATTTTTGTTTTCTAACTATATCTTCAAGTTTTTGTATTAATTCTATTTCATAACAGAATTTCAATTTGAGTATTTAGGACTATATTTTTTTGAATCTATTCAGTGCTTATTTACCTACCACTTATATCAATATTACTATAAGATAAACAACTCTATTCAAATAAATTGAATAATTTGATTAAAAATATTACTAAATATATATATTCACTTTCTGCTTATAATAATTATTTATTTTTTTTTTACATCTTAATTAAGAGATAAAAAGAAGAAAAATTAACTAAAAATGCTGGCTTAAATGAGAAACAAAGGATAATCAATCTATTTAAAAAATACAATCACTGAAAAATCTTATAGATTACATATAGAATTTAGTTTTAAACACAAATTACTTTGATAATTTACAATCGAATTTTATAGAATTGAAAATGTTGTGTTTCAATCATTCAATTAATCAATTTTAAAAATCAAATCAATAAAAAATAAATACCTAATACCAATTCTGAATTTCAATAAAGTAATATATACTAAAGTATTTTTTATTCCGATTTAATATTTTTAATTAAGCTTTCACTATCTATTACAAAAATTTACAAACATCAATTTAAAAAATTTTCTAAATTAAAATCTTGAGTCTAAAAAACATAAAATATAGTATAGTATATCCTTTTAAAAAAATACCATTCAAAGTCATATTACAGTTTATTATTGACTTATTTGATGAAAATGAATTTTGGATTTTTGTTTTAAAATGATATAAATTTTTATATAAAATGTTGAGTTAGAAAGAGAGAAAGACTTATGCAAAATATTGTTTATTTTTTATTATTAATCTATCAAAAGTAAAATAAATTATGAGTGATAAAAAACACAATAAGGTATTGTTTATCCTTTTAAAATAAATTTATTTAAACAGAGTCAATTTAAGTTTATTTATACATATTTTGATAAAAAATTAATTTTGAATTACTACTTTAAAATCATGAAATATATTTTTAATTTAAAGTTTGAGCAAGAAAGACATTATATATTATTTACACTTAAAAAAAAAAATAAATTAAGTTTTTTAAAACTTTGATAAAAACTAGATTGATACTCAATTATTACTATCAATATATAGTTCAAGTTCATTATCATTTTTCAACTTAATTTAATTTAAAATTATATTATTATTGATGTTGTTAATAGGATTTGCAGGAGAGTTTTCTTGTATGTTAAAACTTTCGTTTAAGTTATAAACATTTGGTTTTTAATTTAATTGTAAATCGAATGAGAAATTTGAATTTAAAGTTCTTATTTATTACATTCTAGTATCTTGGTTAAATTAATATAGACCAGCTTCTATATTACTATCATTTTTTTTTGTATTGTTAGTAGATATCGGTTACATTTACTATATCTTATGTAAAGAGTTACTTGAGAATGATTTATTTATAATTGAATGTTCTTTGCTAACATCGTCTTCATCCTAATAAGTTTTTGATATAGCATTCACTAAACTTGTTTAGTTCTTTTTTTTATTTTGCTTATTTAATTTTTAGTTATTTACGCTTTCATCATAACCATCTTGTTATTTTAAGCTACTTAAGATTGAATCATCATTTTAATCATTCAAAAAAAATTTACTTTTCTTAATAAAAATACTATTCTAATATTGCTCATCCTCCAGTTCTTTTTAAAATTTTTAAACTACAGAACCAATACTGCTTTACTTATTTTTAAAAATACTTCCCCTAGCCTTAAAATCTTAGCCAATATCTCTTGAACTATTGTTAACGGTTTTAAAATAGCAAGAATTATCAATTTTATTTTTAATTATGATTTTTTTTTTAGCTTCTTTATCTAAAGTCATTAATTTTAATTAATAGCTAAAATTGTTAAATGGAAAATATATTTCAAAGTTCTTAAGAATATCAAAATTATTTAAAGATTTCCCAAAAAAATCTTAATTTAAAATTTCACTTAAGCTATCCGTTTTTTCAACTTTATTTTTTAAATCTAAATACTAAGATTATCTGTTTGACGATAATATAAATGCTGCCTTCAAGCTTTTAACTTAATTTTTTTGGATTTAATCATTGGTTTCTTCTTAATAATTTTCACATGCTTAGCTTAGCATACCTAATAAATCAGAAATTTAACAAATTAAATACTTAGGAGATTTAATTTAAGTATTTCTTTATTGATTATCCTAATTTATTGAATTCAAATTATAATCATATCCAAATGATTTAAATTTCTCACAATTATTTAAATTTTACTGTGTTATGCTTTGCTACCTCATGTTTTTGCTTTCTTAATTAAAAGAATTTAACATATTACTTATTTTTTTTTACTTTAAAAGTGGGCTGATTCTTTCAACAGATTGAAGTGATGAGTAGTTTGGATAATGTGGACTAACATCATAATTTTGATCTTAAGAATTTTGATCATCTTATGTTTACACTAATTTAATTTAACTCCTTATGATAAATATATATAATATTATATAAATGAGTTTCATTTATAAAATTTTACTTTTTTTTGGGGCTTAAAGGGCTTGTTTGACTTTCAATTTTAGAAAATGTATTCTTTTTTTATTTCACAAAAATTAAGGGTGATTTATCATATTAATTTATTTCGTCTTAATATTATGTGTCTTTTAAAATAAAAGATTTATTTTATTATGATTATTGATTTTAAAAATCTTCAAACACTTTGAGAGAATGTGATTTTTTACTGATAAACTAATCGTATAAATTAGATTGTATTTATTATAACTAATCGTCTTAGCCCTGAGAAGAATTTATGTCACAATTTTCGGAGTGGTGATGAAATTAATTTTGAGGTTAAATATTCAATACTGGTGATAAAGAATCAGATTAATGACGATAATTTATCATGTATTATTCTAAATACTCTTAAATATTTTAATGATCAATATTTTGCTAAAATACTATTTCAGCAATTTCTTCTAAATTAAAAAGTTCATTTTATTTGAAGAAATTTTATTTTTTTAACCTTCTACTGATATTTCTTCTTTGCTATACTTCCGTTTTGTTATGCTTGAAAAGAATTTTATCTTTGTTAACCTTTAAGTGTAAAAAAGGACACTAGTACAAAAGATGTTACTGACTTTAACAGGAATAGCATTTTAGATTAATACAAGAGTAATCATTATTAAGCAAGAGTTAGTCTTTAATAGTGCAAAATTATTCTAAATCAGTACTAAAATTTTGAAGTAATTCTAAAAAATTTTCCCTTTTTATCATTAACAAAGTTGTAAATTCTTTTGATCTAACTGAAACGCTTCGAGCCATCCCAGTAAAAAAACTCAACTCTCCAAAACTCTAACCTTACTTTAGTGTTACAAGTGATTTGTAATCTTTTAATTATTAAAAATATAAATATACCTAACTTAAATAAATGAATATACCATAATAAAAATAAAATAAAATTACTCATTAACTAAATTTATTTAAGTATCATTTTAAAAAATGCAAAAAACAAAAATTATTTAGTTTAAAATAGATAAAAAAAATTGAATATTTTTAAGATCAATAAGAAAAATGCAAATTTATAATTTTTTACTTACCTTTTTTAGTTTGAATAAATATGATATTTAGCAGATAAATGAATTTAAGTTTTTAGGTATTTTTTGAAAAATTTACATAATTTATATTTAAAAATTAGTAAAATTATGATATTGTTTAGTACATTTTTAATTATTATCATTATTGGTAGACATATTAAAAATATGTTAATGCATTTAATTTATAATTTAAAAAGCAAAATATTAGAGTTGTATGTTGTAATGGCTGATTTTAGATTTTTAAAATATAATAATTTTTTTATTCATATTTTTTTTTTTTTGAAATACCTACATTTATTTTTTTTTTTTTTCTCATTCATTTTGAGTAAATAAGAGAATATTTGAAAATATAGCACCTCTATATTCTATTTTTAAAAAAGAGGTATAGATCAATATTAAAGAAATTTAATATCGAATAACACTACAAATAATATTTGATAATTAAATTAATATTTTTAATAAATAAATAATTGATAAAATTACCTGGTTTTTATTAATTTGTAGACTAAGTTTCTATAAATATTTCAACAGAGCCTTTTTCGATGAAGAATATCGAGCAATCATCAATATCTCCTTCACTACAAATTAACTCTTCAGGAGTGCACCTATATTCTTTTATTAGGGAGACTATGCTCTGCTTTAACCCGCTACTAAAATATTTTCTAAATACTGGTGAATTCTTAAGTACTATTTTGTTTGCTTCAATTACGAGGTTTTCTCTAAGAGTATCCGAAAGTTAAGATATAATTTTTTGTTCTGATTCTTGATCTCTCTCACTTGCTTCTCTCCAATAATAATCTAAATACTCTCTAATAGCATATTACATTTATTTATTTATATTTTTTTTACTCATATATAAATTAATGACATGCATTTTCTTTGAGAGTTCATTTTCTTCAAAATTAAAATTATCTAAAATATTTCCTATTGTATTCATTGCATAAGCAAACAAACCACAAGAAATAATCATTAAAATTACACAAAATAATTTTTCAATAGGAGTAATAGGTAAAACATCTCCAAAACCTACTGTTGCCATTGTAACAATAGCAAAATAGTAAGCTTCCATGTATTAAATTATCCATTCAGATGAGTATATTGGTCTTACAGTTAGCCATGTTTGTGACAGTCCTTAACCTTCTTCGATTTAAGATAATAAAATCCAAAAACAAGAAATAAAGTGACTTGTTATTATTATGATTAAAATAAGTCTAATTAAGCCTAGTAATTATTTATATTTTCTAGAAGCAAAAATTTCTTCAGATTTATTGTATAAAATAACTAAATTTTTAATTTTAAAAGCAAACGAACATAATAAATATCTCGACCAGCTGAATTAGGGATCACTCCTTAAAAAAATATGAATCTTTACATTTAAAAAATAATTAAATTTGATAATAAAATGAAAAATTTAATTTACAATGTAAGAGACTAAAATAATTAATTCATTTAATGAATGATTCTTCCAGTATTAAATTAATATGGTTGATCTTTTGCTAATTAGTAACCCTTTTTCATAAAATCCAGAGTTCAAACTTATGAATGTATCAACCACAATAAAGATAGGTGCTAAATTAATCATCGTATTGTTAAGTATGTCTCCAAGTTTTTATTAAAATGAAATATATAACGGGATTTATATAAGTAAAATTAATATAATAATCATGCTTATAAAATCCCAAATTAACTTAAATAATTAATTTGGGTGCATTACTGGTAGATTTTAATCTATGGAGTTAAGTATACTGCTAAAACACTCTATATACTTTAAAACTTCTTTAAAAAAGTTAAACATTTTATTTGGTCTTTTATCCTCTTCTAAATCAACAATAGAATATCTTTATTTCATGTTTTAAAACTTGTGTTTTTCTTGCTATGATTTGGGTTTTGAAGAATTTTATTTCTTATTATTTTAAGGAAATTTAAACCAAGATAAATCATTAATTAACTTAAATTGGTAATTGGTGAGATTCAAAAACATTCTTGACTTAGTTTGATTAACTAAGCGCTACGCTATCATTTTTAACTTTAAATTAAATATAATCTTCTATAAATTTGGTAATTTTTCAGATTACATTTAAGATCTTTAAATACTTATTAGTTCATTATCTGCTGATCGTTTAAATATATTTTTTAAATTATGATCACTAATATTGTTAAATTAATTCATCGAAATATTAAATTGATCATCTTTCTTTATTAAGTTAATTTCTTTGTTTCTACCGGAGCTCTCTTAAAACGAAGCATCTTCAATTGCTCTTCTAGAAGATTAATTATCAGCAATCTTGCTATTATAAAAACTATCTCCGCAGCTTAGATTCATAGTTCGCTTAGATAATTATAGAGTATAATTTTAATTATTTATAAAAAATAAAGTCTATTTATAAAAATCCTAAACAAGTTAACAATTTGTATTAAATATTAAATATTATAATTACTTTGAACAAGTTTGAATGTCTTTAATTGTAATAGGTAAGAGCAATTTAAAAATCTTTTTGTTTTTGAATGATAAAAAGTAAATTAATTAATAAACATGCTATTTATCAAAAAATTGCTTATTTTACTTTTAATCATAAACAAAATAGTAAAAATTATTTTTTAAAAATTGAAGCAATATTTTAAATGAGCTAATAGCAGAGCTTTACATATATATTTTTTGAATTTTATTTTAAAAATATCTTGTTTAGGTATTTAAAATTAAAGTTTATTTATTAATCATAATACTTTGAATAAATAAATTAATTAATTAATTTGTATCGTTTTTAAAAATAAATATTCACATACTACATAGTACTTATTATAATAGTTTAATTCATTGATACATTATTATTTGTATATGTTTACTTTACATCGAAAAATTATTAATATTCCTTTCTTAAAAACAATTTTTAGATTAATTTAATAATACTTTTTTAAATTTATTTTAAATAATGATAAACAAAACTTTCTAAAAAATTAAAATTGGGATAAATAAAGAATTATTAAAAATGAGTTGATAAAAAATATTTCTTAGAAAGATTGATTAACTTTTATTTGATATAAATTAAATTAAATTATTTTTAATTTTGAGCTTGATTAATTTTATGATATCAAAAATTAAAATAATATTACTTAATATAAATTTTTTAATTAAACTAACATCAATCACTAATCTCAAATTATATTTATTTTGTAACCGAATCAAACTTAATGTTTTAAAATATAAAACATGATAAACAAAACTTTCTAAAAATTAAAATTTGGATAAATAAAGAATTATTAAAAATGAGCTGATAAAAAAGAAAAAAGATTCCTTAAAAAAGATTTATTAACCTTTATTTGATATAAAATAAAAAATATTTTTAATTAATTTTGAGCTTGATTAATTTTATGATATCAAAAATTAAAATAATATCATTTAAAATAAATTTTTAATTAAAATAAAATAAATCACAAATCATTAATATTTTATTTTTTAGCCAAATCAAACTTATTGTTTTAAAATATATGAGTTATTAACCCTTACTATTAGAATTCGTTTTCATTTTCTAAATTACACATCTTAGAATCTGTGAAATATCTTGTATAGGCTTATTTAAAATCCTAATTGACTAAATTTTTTATTATTAAAACATTGTTTATTTTATTTGTATCAATTTGTAGAGATCTAAGCTTTTTATTATCAGTATTGATACTGTTTTAGAGGCATTCATTATTTTAATCTAAAAGATTTATGTTAAAAGTACTTACTTCACTACATTTATTTTAAATATTATATTCCTCACATAATTTTTTTTTTTTTATAAAATCTTAATCTTTAAATAAATATGAGATTGATTAATCTAAATTATCTTATTTATTCAATTCCTATTAATTCTAAGAAAAAGAGCAGTATTTTAGTTATGATTCATCTAAAGAAATCTATTATTCGGTATGCAATATACTTTTGTTTTATATTTTATTAAATTATTTTTATGTTTAATTTAAAGATGAATTGGCCTAGAATGATTCTTAATTTTCTAAATATTTAACAGATTTTAAATCATCAGAATAAATAAATTGATTTTCCCAAAATTTACTTTTTTTCCTCTCTTTATCTTCTTATAATAAAGGATTTTAACCAGAGTTATCTGTGCTATCTTTCTTTTTTCTAAAAATAATTGAACTTTTTTTGCAATTAGATAAAGAGGTTTCTAAAGGTTTTTTGATATTTTGTGTTTTTTTTAGCTATTTTTTTAATATCTACCTAATCAAGTTTTCGATATTATTTTTGGGAAAGTAAAATAAAAAATTTTTTGCTACGTCAAAGCCATCTTAAAATAAAATTTCATTCTATATATTTTTGCTCAAAGGATTATTTATTATTTATAACAAATCTTATTACATTTTATCAGTAGTTTATGTTTAGTTTAATTTTAAGTTCGAGAACTTCTTCTCATATTATTTTTATTCTTGTTACTTCTAATTCGATTTAATTGATGCAGATTAATTAAATTCATAATATTTATTACTGATATTTTCATTTAAGAATAATTAAGTAATTTAATTAAGAATAAAATTTAGTTTTTAAATGTCAGATTAAGTTTTCATTTTTCTAATTGATTCCTTTCCATTTGTTTAAAGTGATCCTAATGTGAATGATTTCTCAATATTGTTGCTTAATTTGGAACCTTTTATTTCAATTTTAGAACTTTTAGATGTGCTAAAGTTATAATCTTTATTTAAAAGTATCCCTTTATTTAAATTCTAAACCTACTTCAACTTGTTATCATCATCTTATCTAAAATTATTTTATATTAAAATAAATGGGTTTTATAATTTTAATTTTAACCTTTATTTTTATTTTGATAAAATAATAATAATAATAATAATAAAATATTTGTTATTTATAATTACATCTCAAGCTAAATATCAGAGTGACCTAATTCTTTATATTGTTCTTGTTAAGAATTTATCAAATCTTTGTTTTCTTTGGTTTATTATAAGAGATAATTTTTTTAATTTTGATAAAAAGGAGATTTCATGTTTTCTTCAATTATTTTTATATCTTTTTGATCTTCAAATTAAGTAAAAGATTTTGTTTTTGTGTTATTTAATTCTGCCTTTCTTTGTAAATATTTTAAAGGGCTCTCAACTGAAGTGATATTTTCATTCAGATTATCAAAATCTAATTGAAATTTTATCTGTCTATCAGTCGCACTTTAGGGAGAATGCATTTCGTTTGTCTAATAATCAGTCTAACTTTGTGAGGAGTAAGCTTCTACAATTTCATAGTTTGTTTGTAAAGTTATGGCATTCGCTTTTATTAACTAATTATTTAAGATTGTTTGAAATTTTTAACTAAGTTTTCTGCTTTATTTCTTTCTTTCTTGAAGGGGACAAAGTAAAAATTAGTATCTAATTTTATTTTAATTATGAACAAAATGTATTTGAGGGCAATCCTTTACAATATGTCCTAATTGTTTACATGATAAACATTATATATTTAACTTAGAATATTATCTGTAAAGATCGATATTATCTTTGATAAAGCAAAATCTTTCATAGTCTTCTGGAAAATACTTTACTATCTACAAAAAATCTACTCTTTTTATATACAATAATGTTGTAAATTCTAGAGATTTTATAGACATACACCTCGGTTTTCCAGTGAAAAAACTTATTTCTCCAAAACTTTAACCCACTGATAAAACGATATTTGATTTATTTTCTATTAAATTTAATAATATAAAGCATTTTTAATTTAAATAAGAGAAAGAAAAATGAAATTATTTGTTTTTTTTACGATTAATATTTGAAGAAGAAGCTAATAATACAATTTCTACTGAACCTTTCTCTAAGAAATATATAGAACAGTCATCTTCATTATTTTCTGTGCATATTAATTCATCTGGTGTAGCTCTATGTTCTTTAATTAATGGAATTATCTTTTGTTTTAAATCACTACTAAAGTTATTCCTGAAAATTGAAGATTTCTTGAAAATAATATTATTCGACTCAAATTATAAAATTTATTTTAAATTTTCAGATAACTAATTTATGATTTTTTCTTCTGATTTAGAGTCTCTATTACTCTCTTCCTTCCAATAATACTCTAAATATTGACGAATAGCACCTTAAGTTTTTTAATTAATGTTTTTTTTATACATATATGAATTTATAATGTGAATGTTTCTTTTAATAATTAACTCACTTTCATTGAAATTCTTAATTATAGAACCTATCGTGTTCATAGAATATGCGAATATACAGCAAGATAATATCATAGTAAATATTGCTATTACTTTTTCTAAATAAGTAGTAGGAATAAAATCTCCGTATCCTACAGTAATCATAGTTACAATTGTAAAATAATAAGAATTAATATAAAGTTCAGTATATGAAGTATTAGAAAAAGAATAATCTTTCATCCATGTATTTTAATTACCATTTTTAAGCTAATATTTTGCTACTAAGAGCCATATGCAAGAAATAATATGTGCAATCAAGATCATTTTAAATATAAGCATAAATAGCTCTAAAATATATTTTTGTTTCTTCGTTAAATTCATCATTTCTTCAAATTTATTTATAATTTAGCTAATCATTTAAAATCTCAAAAATATTGTGAGTAAAAGAAAGTTGAAATAAGCGGAATTGCTAATGTGGAGATATAATCCAATATAAATCTATTAATATAAATATATTATTTGATTAATAAAATTGAAAATTTAATATAAATTTTTATTAAAAAGAAAAAAAAGTAAATTCTCAAAATCTAGAAAGAAATCGATGTATTATTGAAAATTAATTTTAAATTAAGTTATTTATTTATTTATTAGAAGGAATTAATTAATATTTAATTAATAAATTTTACGAGATAGCTACTTATTATAAGTGCATTAGGTAGAAACAAGTTGTAAAAGTTTAAATTGTAAATCTAATTTCTTTTCTTTATTTATTTTCCTTTATCATAAATAGATGTGTTGATAGCAAATAAGGTATCAAATAAGATAAAGCACGGAATAGAATAAACAAAACTGTGATTATCATTTTCTGTAAATATAAATTATAAAGGTATTTAAAATATGTATGAAGTAAATAAAAGCAAAGATATGATGTCAGAACATATCTTGCCAATAGAGGTAGAATCCATTAGAGGTATATTTTTATCTGCTATATTAACTGCTTTTGAAATAACGCTTTTTAAAAAATTTATTTTCAAGTAATCTTTTATGTATTCCCAAGTGTTTGCTTATCTAATGTTTAAAAGTGCAATCTTTTTAAATCCAAAATCTTTTAACTTATTTTGCTTACATAATATCAAATCATATTTTGAATTCGTTCTTCTATTAATATTAAAGTAGGCCTTATCGTCAATCATTTTAAATTATTTAGATGTTAAGTTTTTAAACATAAATGAACGAGTTTTAATCAACATTTTTTGAGCAATAAACCTTAGCTTTATTTAGAAAAGCAAATTTTTAAATTTTTGAAATGCTCCAGTAGTTTTGCTTTCCTCTTATTCCTTGTAAATATATTTTTAGTCTGCACTTTAGCTCTTCTCAATATTATCCTTACTTAAATCCAATTGCCTGGCTTTATATACAGTCTGTTAAGAATCAAATATGTGGCACTATTAAAAATTAATGTCTTCTACTTTCATTTTGATATTTTCAAGCTAATTTTAACATATTTGTTCTTAATTTATTTCATGATTTTTTCTTTGTTTTTTGTTTTCTAATATCGAATTACTCATATTTAATTTCTTCAAAGTAATTATTTTACTTTTTATTTATTTTTAAAATAAAAATTAATTATATTTTATCTATTTTTCAAATTTTTCAAAATGCTTTAATACTCTTGAATAAAAATCATCAATTAACTAATTGAAGATAAAAAATACTGATTTAAAGCAAATCTAAATTTTGTGTATTTGCTTAACTTTAAAACTCAATCTATTTTTTTTTAAGTAACAAAAAATAAAACTTTATAAATCAATGTTATAACATCAGAAAATAAACCAATTTCATTGGTAAAAAATCTTAAAATCAATGAAAAAATTAATTGAAATAAAAAAAATTCGTTTAACGTTTTTATATGAAAATATTTTTTAGCTGGTTAATTTCATAAATATTTTTAAAATAAATTACAATGCTAATTAATAAATGTTAAAAATAAAATAAACAAACACGCGATATTTTTTAATCAAATTTTTTATTAATATTTTTTCTAGGTCACATAAATATTTGTATGTTTAATACTGTGCTTACTCTATTCAAAATCAGAGGCAATATCATCTAAATCTTGCTCTTTAATTCTTGAATTATTTTGATTGTATTCTTAAAAGGAATTTTCGAAAAAAGTGATTTGCTGTTAGTCCTAGTTCTTAAACCTTTATTAACTAATACTTAAATTATTAGTCATATTATGATTATCTTATGTAATAAATGTGTTATTTTAGTCAACAAAAATAGAATTGGTTTAAAAAATATCATTGTTTTATTAATTCTCATTTTTTTTATTGTTAAATGATGTTCTAATATGATCCCCAGATTCCCCTTCATCTACATAATTCTAATCCTTTAAATTTATTTCATAAGAGGATTTTTATTAGCTATGTTCTTTAATCTAGCCTCTTATATTTTTTAACGCTTTGCTATTTTCTTCGTTATCTTCAATTAGAAATTATTTTTAGTTATGCGGTATTTATTAATCTGAATCTCTATCTTTATTTTATAAGTGAATAAGTGTTCCTTATTCTTAGTTTTGATGATTATCAATTACAGTGCAAGTAGTTAGCTTGTGTTGAAGAGAGTTATCCTTAAAATACTCTGTTTATTTTTTACTAATTGAAAATTTATAAGTAAGATTCTTATTTATAGAGCTTATTGATTAACATGAACTATTAAATTCTTTGTTAACTTCATTATTTTTCCCTATTTTATCTAACTTTTCAGATGTTTAAGAAGTTCTCTTATTTAGCTGTTGAACCATGAGTGTTTTTTAGTTAGTGAAGAATTTACTCTTTCTTCTTTCGATAATTTTATTTTGCTTATCTTTTGCTTCTAAATCAATAGCAATATTAGTTTAAGAGATAAGCTTGGTGTTATTCCTTCCAGTGTATACAATTGATAAATTTCTCTATCTTATACTATTTTGAGTTGCTGAGTTAAATTATTTCATGCAACTCAAATTATCGTACATTGCCCTAAACATAATTTGCTTTCTTTCTGCTTAACTCATTTGCATCAGCTTTATTTATTATGAGATATTATTTAGAGGAAAGTAAAAATTGAAGTTGTGCATACAATCAAAATTTTCTTCAAAATAATTATTCTCATCACAATTGTCATCTTAGTCTACTGGAGTCTAAGACGAGACTAGCATTATTTCTTATTTATTGTTACTATAGTTGAATTAGTTATTCAACATTTTTACATCATTGCTATTTAACTTAGAAAATCTTCGTTTTTAATCTAATGTTCCTGAACCTGCTAAATGAAAACTTGGGATATTTAGAATATTCAAGAATGCTTTGTTATTATTGTCAAGAATTCTAATAGACTTTCTTCTATCAAAGCGTCTAGGTTATTTTGGTATATTTTCATCATCGTTTTAATTTCCTCTCTAAATGAATTTCATGAAATTTTCTTAATTTTTTTATGGTAAAAGAGCCGTAATTCTTTTTGTTTACTATCTAACAACTGGTAATTAGTTAACAATAACTGTTTTTTTCTTTTTGCTATTGCTACTGTTGCTACTATTTAATGTTTCTGTCCTGATGAACTAGTTACTAATAAATGTAGATTTTTTTTCATTAGTGTTATTCGATAAGTTACTTAAAAAGGTATTTTTCTTTTTGTTATTTGACCTTTCTATGCTATCTGAAGTATTTTATTTTCTTAAAAAATAATTTTAAAAAAGTTTTACTTTAAATAAAAATATTACTCTAGAATAGAACCAAATCTAGAACCTTTTCTAGCTTTAATAGGTGAATCTTATCCAGTATCAAGTAGGTAATTTTGACCTCTCTTTTTATTTGCTAAATCTAACTGCAAAGGATAATTACCATTTTCGTTTATTTATAGAGGACTTTCTAAAAATTACTATTTACCTTTTTAGAATTCAGAGTCTTCATCTTCAGAAGTCTTATTATTAATTTCTTTTTGAGAAGATAATTTTTTTACTTAAACACTATTACTAGAAACCTCACTATCAGAGCTATCGCTTTAATCAGTTTTTTCACTTTTTTCTGATATCTAAACCATGGGACTAAGTTCTAAATTTGATTTCCCTTCGTTTTTTGATTTGACCCTTTAAATATCATCTTCGAATTCTTCTTATTTTTGCATTAACTCCTCATAAAATTAACACAAATATTGGAATTCAATAGAATCTGATGAATTGCTGTTATTATTATCATATTCTATTGCTTTTTAGGTTACGACATGTGAGTTTAAAACAGAATTACTTTTTAATATTTTTCTTATATACAGTTTTCTTTACTCTTAGTTTGGACTCCTCATAAAAGACTATTTAAGGAATGTAAAATTAGGAGTGTAATGAAGGTAGGGACATTAGAGTATTTAGTGTCCTTAAGATTTGCATGATAAGCATTCAACATTAATAAGTTGATAATTTTCACAGAAAATTAAACTATCTTTGATTGCACAAAATTTTTCATAGTCTTCTTAATGATTCACAAGTACTTAAAGAAATTCTGCCCTATTCAGAATTAGAAGAGTAGTAAACTCTCTAGATCTAACACTAGCTCTTCTTGCTTCACCTGTAAAAAAACTTGTTTCTCCAAACGATTATCCTTTACCTATGGATGAGATAGACTTAACATCTATTTTAAAACACAAAAAAAGATTTTTAAATAGGTTAATTGGGCTTTTTAAAAATATGACAAAATATTGATTGAAACTTTATTAGAATTTTCTTTAATTATTATATAAAATTAAAAATATTTTTGTTTATTTTAACTTAATTTTTTATTAAAAGTGGTTTAAAAAAATAAAAACAAAATCAAAAAAATAAAATTTAATAAATTTATTATGAAATATTACTTTATTATGATGTTTCTTTATTTTCGATGTAAATTTCTACTGACCCTTTTTCAATAAAATATATAGAACAATCGTCTAGCAACCCTTCTAAGCATATTACTTCTTCAGGATAGCACCTGTATTCTTTAATTAAAGGAACTATCTTTTCTTTAATTTCTTCGCTAAAATTGTTCCTAAAAATAGGAGATTTTTTGAGTACTACATTTTTAGACTCCATCAATAAATTCTTTTTTAAATTATCTGAAAGTATGTTAATAATCTTTTCTTCGCCTTCTTAATCTCTTTCTTTTTCTTCTTTCCAATAATAGTAGAGATATTCTCTGATTTGATCCCTGGTCAATTTACCAACATTTTTTCTTTCCATGTAATAATTTATAATTTGCATATTATGTTTTAATTTCACTGAATCCTCGTTAAAGCTTTCTAAAATAGCACCAACTGTATTCATAGAATAAGCAAAAACACCACAAGAGATAATCATAATGATGATACATATAGCTTTTTCTATACCTGTAACAGGAATAATATCTCCGTATCCCACAGTAATCATTGTAACTGTTGTAAAGTAGTATGCATCAATATATAATTAATACCATGAAGATTGATTCCAGACTGGATACTTTGCCCATGTTTGATATCCATAAAAATCTTCAAATTGAGCTATAATTGCCCAAATGCATGCAATAAAATGCCCTATATATACTATTTTAAAAATGAGCTTCATGAGGGCAATTATATTTCTTAGCTTTTTAGAAAGTGTTTGGTTTTCTTCTAGTTTATTTACTATGTAACCGATATCAGATAACTTCAAAAAAATGGGGAATAATAAAAAATCACACCACCTATAAATCCTTGTTACTTCATATTCAGTGTATGTGATTATGAATATATATACCTGTATTTTTAAAAAATTAATAATTTTTGGTAATTTATGAAATAAATTAAAAAGAAAATAAATTAATTATAAATTTTGAAGGCATATTTAAATAAAAATTTTGAAGGTATTTTTAATTAAAAATATTTGAGTTATTTTACTAGAAATGAAAATATTGCAAATAAAGTTGGGATGATTCTGCTTTTAAGGTAGAGATTGATAAGGGTTAGCCTTTTTTTAATTAAAACACCTTTCTGATAGGTACCAGTATTTAGAGTATATACTAAGTCTATAAACAGGTAAACAGGTACAAAGTAAATCATATATTAGTTGAAGCTTTAGTTTTTATTTTCAGGAAAAGTAATGTACAAAGGAATTTAAATTGTATAAATGAGTATGAGTATAATATTTATGCAATCCCATATTATTTTATTTAAAGATATTGGATTGATAACTGGAAATTTTCTATCATAAGATTTAATTAGTCCTTGTAAAAAAGAACACATAACATATTTCAAAAAATGAAATGCTTCTCTTGGTTTTTCTTTTTTTGAATTGCGAGAGAGTGTTATTGTCTTTTTCATACCTACATTATTTTAAATTAGGCCAGCTTTTATAAGTACATTTTGAGCTTTTGTAGATATTTTCAAGCTTTCTTTATCAAAGCTTGAAGACTTATCATCTATCAACTTAAATTGCTTTATGTTTAGATTCTTAAACATAAACGATCTAGTTGAGTTTAAAAGTCGCCTTGCCATACTTTTGAACTTAATTTTAAAAAACATATCAGAGAAATTGAGTTTCTAATTTTTTCTTTGCTTTGTTTTACGCATATCGTTTATCATTACTTAATTTATTGTCTCTTCTAAGAATAAATTATGAAAGTTAGATTAAGAATCTGATTATTTCATATTTTTGGAGTTGTTTGATAATGAGAGGCGGCTACCTTTCTGATTATCGCTCTGCCCAATAATTGGATTCTAACTATCTCCAGACCTTTTTTCCTCATTTTTATTATAAATATTTTCGAGCTAACTTTCATCTCCTCCTTGCAGCAACAAAATTACTTTTTGCTATTCACTAGATAACATTTATTTTTGAATGTAAGTTCCTCTGAGTGCTGATTATTATATCTATTTAGATAAAAGTCTAAAATTTAGTAATTAAGATTATTAAATTTCAATAATACAAAAATTGATAGGATGTTTAGTTAGTAATATTATCTGCTCAACCATTAAAAAAAAAATTAAAACTATAAAACACTAAATAAAAGAGTGTTAAATGGTAAGTCTTACGCATTTATACTGAATTATCTATTTTATTATACTTGAAAAATACTGAATTATAAAAACTTAAATATATATAAAAAATATTAGCTAAGCATATTGCATTTGTATTTTATATCTGGAGTAGTTGTTGAATTTAAATTTAAGCTGTACGTTAGTTTAACTATAGTCATGTATTTCAAAATTATTATCAAAATTATGTTTATTATTCAATATCTGTGGAATTAAAAAAACAAAACACAAATTAATAAATAAAATTAATCCAAAAAAATTGGGTTTTAATTAAAATTAAGTTGATTAAGTTATTCTTATTTTGATAATATAATAAAATAAATAAATACATAATTATCAATAGAAAAGATTGTAACATAATAATTTAGATACTTTTTAAAACTTCATTCATAATTTTGTTTTATTTTGCATCCCAATTAATATATCATTTGTATTAATATTTCTTCTGTTTTGCGAGTATTCTGTTTGTGACTCAATTTCTAATTCTAAATGTCTTTTGCTATTACTACCTCTTTATTTATCGTCTTGGCTATATTATCTAAAGCCTTTAAGGCTATTTTTTATCTATTATTTTTGAAAGCTATTTTTTTAACTAAATACTTATTCCTTATTATTGCTTTCATTTAAGTCAGAATTAAAAGATTCCACTCTTTTCATAACTTCATCACTTATAATTTTTTTAATATTTATCTACTAATCTTAAATATTCATACTGCCATCGAAAATGTCATTTTCTTTATCTTAAAATGAATCATCAAAATTATTGTGAATTATATCGTTGTTTTTTTAATTTAATTTAATATGTTAAAATTCTAAATTTGTTTGATTAAGTATGCTCTCCTTGTAATTTTTATTGGATTTTTAATTAATTTATGAAATATCAATTTAATTGTTAAAACTCAAGTTATTTAAATTAAATTAAGGTCCCTTCTTCCCTTAGTGCAAACTTAAAGAATCATATTTTTTTTAGCTATCACCTAAAAATAAACTTGATTCTCTTTGGGCTTTAAATTTGTATTTGCTTTAATCCTCTTTGTCATCATTATTATTTTGTTATCTATTCAAAGTATATAAATTTTGAGAAGAACTTAAAGAATTCCTTTTTCCTTTGTGGAAACTAATAGCCAAAGATTTATTTTTTTTAAGAATATTCATGTTTTCAATGTGGGCTCTAAGCATCTTTTTTCTTCTTTATTCTATATTTAATCTCATAAGTTTCATTTAATGCTCAAAATTATTTAAAGGAAAGTAGTACTCGAAATTTTTCATAATATCAAAATCAAATTCCTCATAAAATTCTCTTTAAATGTCTTAATTGCTTTAAATATATTAAACATTATTTGTTTCATCTAAATAAAAATTTGTATCTTTTGTTTAAAATTAGTTAGATTGGTTTATATTTGAAGTTTATTTACTATCCTACTCAGGAACATATCTTCCTATACTCCTCTTTGATACTATGGCTTTTGAGTTGCTTATACTACTCTAATTTTTATACATTAAATTTGATTTTGGCTCTTGCTTTCTATTAAAAGAATTCTTTTTTTGTAACTCATTTTTAGAAGAAACATTATTTTATATCTTATTTGTAGAAAAGTGCTTCTTAATGCTTGGAGATTATAACTCATGCTATTGAGGTAAAGCATTTGGTGCCATATCTTAGAATATTTACAAAATCTTATTAAGCATTGTCTAATATTTTTGTAAGGCTAAACTCAATGGATCTTGCAATTTTTATATCTTTAGCTATGAATTTTTGTAAGCTGGAAGACATTTCTAAGATACAGCAAATGGGATTTAAGCTTGTATATATTGATTCTGATCTGTGTTTTCCCCTTGATGAATATCATCATAATATTGCTTTCCTTTTGGTTTAACAAAATTTTCTTCTATGTGCTGTTTCCTGTTTTCACCTAAAGAACTTTCAATTCTGTAAGAGGAGGATCCTAGCCTAGATTTTTGTAAATTCAGAGAATCTTCGTCCCTTTAAATAAAAATTAATTTGAACTTATTTGATTGCTTAAAATAAAATATGTTTATACTCTTTGTTTACATAGCTTGCATGCCTAGATTTTCCTTTATTTACCTAAGAACTGGGTGTTCTGTGTATTTAGTTACCAAATAGATCTATTTCCTCAGATTATTTTGTAGGAGATATATCATTGTACATATTTTTTTATTTTACTTCTGCTATTATCATTTTTTAGCTTAGTTAACTAGTTGCTTATTACAAGGACTGAATATTTGAATCTCTTTTTTATAAATCTTCTATGTTATTAAATTAACTGAATTAGAATTGATTACCATTTTGATCATCAATAAATTATTTTGTTGAGCTATTTTCATGTTCTGATTTGCTTTCATCTTCACTTCCGCTTTCTCTTTCGAGATAAGTTTAAAAGTAGTATTCAATTTCCGTATCATATTCTATTAATCTATTAATGAATGTTGAGTTTTTTTTAACAAGCTATATAGATTTTAGCTTTTCTTTTAGTTTTCTATTTTTAAACACTCTTTCTTAAGGAGGGCTACTCATAAATTGTGCTCTTAATTTTGCATGATTAGGTAAAAAGTGGACGTATGGGCATTACAACAATTAGTGATTAAGAGATTAACAAGATAAACACTTTAAATCAATTAGCTAGAAGTCTGAATAAATTGAAATATTATCTTTAATGTTACAAAATTATTCAAAGTCTTTCTAGAAATTTTATAACTCGTTCATAAATTCTTGTCTTTTTATTATTTATAATGTAGTGAATTCTTTTGATTTTACATAAGCTGTCCTTGGCTATCCAGTAAAAAAGCTTATTTCCCCAAACGATTACCCTGCAGTAAGAGTTATTATTTATTTAGGATCTATTTTTGGAACTTTAATAAAACATAAAATGATATTAAATAATTATTTACTTGAGGGAGTGCCTTCATAAGCATAACTATCTAAGAGAATATTTACAGAACCTTTTTCAATAAAATAAATATCGCAATCATCTAGCTCTCCTTATTCACAAATCAGTTGTTATGGTATATAATGGCGTTCTTAAATTAAAGGTACTATTTTTTGCTTAAAAGCGTCGCTAAAATTATCTCTAAATATAGCAGTCTATTTTAGAACTATTCCCTTACCTTCCATTAAAAGATTTTAGCGCAAATTTTCAGGTAAAATTTCAAATATCTGTTCCTCCTATTTGTGATTTTTGTCCCTTTGCTCGCTCCAGTAGTATTCTAGGTACTCTCTTATAGCATTTTAGGTTTTTTTGCTAACTTTAGTTCTATTCATAAATTAATTTATAATTGACATATTTTATCTGATTTGTGCATGATCTTCATTGAGACTTTGAATAATAGAACCAACTGTATTCATTGAATAACCAAATATGCCACATAAAAATAACATAAATAAAATGCTAACAGTTTTTTCTTCATAAGAGATTGGAATAACATCTCCATACCCAACTGTAACCATAGTAACAACAGTGAAATAATAAGAATTGATGTAAATTTCATGCCAAGGTGTTACATTGACTTCTGAACTCTTTAACCAAGTTTAAATATTACGATGCTACAAAGACTCTGCAAGAAAAATCCATAAGCAAGATAAAATGTGAGCAATCATCATCAGGGTAAAAATTAATTTAATTAGAGTGATGATATTCTTTTACTTTTTGGTAAAAAATGAAATTTCTTCTAATTTACCAAGTGTATATAAATAGTTTTTAATCTTCCATATAAAACTTAAAAGTAATAGATCATAATATCTTGAGAAAGACAAAGAGTCCATCATCTAATATATATAAATCTAAAATAATAGTTAAAAATATGAATTAAAGAATAAATATTCTCTTCTAAAAATATAAAAACTTACTGAAAAACATAGTATAATAAAGACATTTTTGATAAAGTATATCTCCAAACATCTTTTCATGATTGAAGATCTTTTTACGATCATTTTTCCTTTATCATAAAATCCTGTATTAAATTTAAAGAGATAATCTATTAAGACTATAAAAGGAAGTAAGATAATCAGTTTTTAATAGAATTATTCTTTTCTAAAACTTGTAAATGTCATGTAGATAGGAATTAAAATAAAATATAATGATGTAATAATTAAAATTAGAATATCCCAAACTATTTTCATCAGAGAATTAGGATCAAGCACTTTAATAATTGAGTCTAATTGCTTTAAACACTCAGAAAAGAACTAAGTATCAACCAACTATTAATAAATATTTTGATTATGAGTATTCTATCTTAAAAAAGACTTTTTTAATATAGAAGAATCATTGATATTTTAATTTAATAATTTAGATTTTTGAAGTCTTCTTTTTTCTATTTATCTATTTACAATTAAATTTTAGTCACAAGAAATATCATCAATCAGTTTAAACTACCGCGATGTTAAATTTTAAAACATTCTTGAGCGAGTTTGGTTTAACAATTTCATCGCATAAAATTTGAGCTTTATATTAAATATGAGTTGTTCAAACTTTCCTCTTTCTTTTATTTGAATATCTTATTTTTCTCCACTAGCAATAAAAGGAGAGCTATTTTCTAAATGAGAGTTACATCCTCTAATTATGAAAGACTACATATCAGATTAGTTTTAGATCTTCTAAAATTGATGAACTCGGTGAGATTACCCATCTTTAGATTATATTATTGAAGAATTAGGCTATTTATCTCCTCCGAATACTGCACTTTTAAAGCTTTTATTTTTACTAAAATCAGTCTATTTTTCGTTCATATTTAAATAATGATGGTATATTTATGATTTTTATTAGTAAAATTCAATTATATAATAAGCAAATTATTATTTACAATTAAAAAACAATAACACAATAACTATTGTTAGTCAATTTGATCAGTATCATTCAAAGTTTTAAATAATACATAATTAAAATTTTATTATTATTTACTTCAAACATTTTTTTTTCTCATCATTAATTTGTTACTTTCTGAATGAAATTAGCATTGTTTTATATTTAAGCCAAACTATTTTTAGTAAACCATCCAAAATATTTCAAAATAAATATCTACTAGCAATATTATTTTCAATTATGAAGAATAAAAAATCGAACAAATTTTATTTTTCCACACCAACATTTTAAAATATTTAATACTTTATCATTTGATAATATGTTTTTGCATAGAAAGAATACTATGAAGTATGATTAATTTTATTGTGTATATTTTATTTAAATTTTTATTTACTCTTTAATATATATTTTCAAATATGTTTAAAACATGTTTAATCATTTAAATTAAATGTAAGCAATTTAGATAAAAGAAAAAAAATTTAATCACTTAAAATTTAAGAGTTATAAAAAAATTTTATATTTTAGAGAATATTTTTTTCTTAATTTTTGATTTAAAATATTTAGTGAGACATTTGCTTAAAAAATGTTTTTAATATAGTAATCATTTTTTAGCAATTTGTGTACAAAAAAATGTTTTTTTAAATATTTTATGATAAAATTGATTTTATAAACATGAAAAAAATATTATATAAGTTACTATACAATTTATAAGATTTCAATCAAAAGTGAGATGAAATATTTCATTCTATTTTTGAATTTGTTATAATTAGTAATTATTATTTAAAGATATTAATTAAATTGGAGAAGTTTTTAATTAAATAGAATTTATTTATACTATCTTTGTAAATTACAATGCTTGCTAAACTTTTAGTCAATCCTATCCTTCTTATTAATGCAGGAGGAGAAATGATTTACATTCTTTCATAAAGACTTATTGCTTAAAAAGTTGATCCTGTTAAGACAGTTTAAGTTCTTAATGACATTTTGAGAAGTTTATTTTCTTAGTAACTTTTTACTGAGCTAATGAAACCATAAAAAGTTATGCAAATGTCTTTTTTTAAAACTCTTATTACCAAAATGGTGCATTGTTCTATCATGAAATTAAATGAAGCTTCTATGCAAAAGCTAATTGATTTAATATTAATGGATTTTAAGGCTCAAATCGTCAATACTATGCATCCAGCTGAGCTGTATGATGTTACTTAAAACCATTTTAATGGAATAATTAATATAATGAAAAATGGTCCTGCTGTAGAGTATCTTATTTATGTTCAAAAGAAATTTGAGGAAATTTACTCTCCAATGCTACCATTTGATTTCCTCTAAATTAAAATAGAACTTCTTACTTTCCTCCAAGACGTTAAGCAAAAAGTGTATGTTTTCATAGAAGATAAAACATAAAATTAGAATGGTGATATAAGGATTGTAAATAGTTAAACAGCAGGTCCGCATGTTTAAACTCCTGGTCTTATTACAAAATATGACCAAGAAGGACGTGTTGTTAACAAGAATTAAAAATTTTTAGAGTCTACTGATTAATATATATCCAATACCTCTAAGAACTACATAAACAATGAAACAGAATGGGGATAAAATATGTTCCTTCCTAGTCGTCAAAAAAGAGTTGTTAAATTAAGTTAACATTCTGTAATTACAACTGAGTCTTCTCAAATTCGTAAAGGCTTCAAAAACGACTCCTAGCTACTCTCAGAATTAAAATTAGATTCTCAGACTGCTACTTAAAATTTACAAAATTTAGCATCTATGATAAAAGGTGGAAGTGTTAGTTAAGTGGAAGACACGTTTACTTACAATATTTTCAGTAAGCCTACTGTTGAAGTTAACTATACCAAATAAACCATTGATGAAGATTTCTTTAGTGAAATTATCACTATTGGTAATAATTATTCTATCTTTATTTTGTTCTTATAATATTTATATTTTTTAAATATATTTAAAATAGAATTTAAGCATACTTAATATATTTATTTATTTATTTTTATATTTTATCTAATTAGATACTTCAGGAAGTAAATAAAATATGGAGAAATAAATTGCTGATATGTTTGGAGATTTAGGTACGATATCATTAATATTTTTATCATTATTTTTCATATTTTAGACTCAATAATTCCTACATATTTTTAATGTATAGATATTAAAGAAAATGCAAAAAGTAAGGCTGAAAAAGAAGAAATAGGAGGAGATGATCTTTTAGATATGATGGACTAATTAGATGACTGATGAAATTTAAATAAATAATTATTTTATGTTTCGTTTTTAACTCCTTGTTAAATGTTAACTTAAAATTTTAGAAAAGTTAAAATAAATACTTGAATGATTAATTGTTATTTAATAAAAATTAACAATGTTTAATGAAGAATATTATTTTTATTTTGAAAAAAATGAAATATGTGGTTTTAATATAATTGTTTCGTAAGTAACTGGTTATTGTGAGTTTTAAAATATTTCATGGCTATTATTGGCTTAGTATCATAATAATAGAACTTATGTTAAAAGAGAAAATTGACTGATTATCTATCAATCATTGAAATAAAACAATCAATATTAACCTTTCAATAATTTTTAAAATAAAAATCTTAATTTATCTTAATATATTGAATAATTAATTTATATATTTGCTTAAGTGTGAGAAATAAATTTATAAAAAAGGAACATAATTGAGATATGGCATCAGCTCATAATATTAGAAATAGATCTCCAAAATAATAATTATACAATTAGAAAAAGGAAGGATAAAGTATCATTGATGGTAAAATTGTAGTAGATATAGAAATATGCTAAAATTGTAAAGATCATTAATGGTGTACAAGACATGATGAATCTAAATACAAATTAATGTTTGAGGAAATCAGTTCTGCAATATTAGCAGAAAATCCCAATGTTATCATCACATAAAATAATTTTGTCAAAGTTCCAACTCTTGGAGCATTTGAAATCACTTGCATGAATGCTCTTCTTTATTCTAAAAATAGATCTGGCTGTTTTCCCCACGCAACTGTCATATCTAATTTGGTTAAAAATTTTTTATATGATAAAGAAAACGGGAAACCTACAAACTAGTATGATCTTAAACTGATAGAATCAAATCCTAACAAGGAAGACCAAAAGTTTTCAAATACAAATTCAAACTTTAGAAAATAAAATAGATCACCATAAAGAATGAGTTCTGGCATCAGAGGGAGAACTTCTCATTACACTGGTAAAGGAAATTGCATAGAATCATATAACTATGTGGTTTCAAGCACTTTTGCATAGGGTAAAAGATCCCCTGATTAAAAAAACTAATCCAAAGAAAAGTCTGCAAACATGAATTCTACTGCATAATCAGCTTTCTATCAAACAAATAATACCGATAACAATTAATAAGATAATGTAAATAGAAGAAATTCAAAATAATCAAATAATTCAAACTAAAATTAAAAACAACATCATCAAGAAGCGTATGAGTAAAATGAATAGCAGTAGCATGACTAATATGAAGGTAATCACCACAACAATTAGCATCATGATGAAACTAATGAACATCATCATAATGAAAATAAACACTCAGCACAAAGTAATACTCACCAAAATCATGAGCATAACGACGATAACAATCATCATAATCATAACCATGATAATACAACTAGCCACTAGTAACATAATCACCCTAATAATTATTAAAATGGTAGTGATCAAGAGTAGTTTCATGAGGACCATACTAATAATTATAATAATCATCATGAACAACATAATGCTGAAAATAATCATGGACATAGTTAAGATTATTAAAAAGATAGCATAGATTAAAATGGTTAATAGTAAAATTATGCAAAACATGAATAAGATTAAAACAATCATTAGCATAATTTTGATAATAGCAATGATCATTAAGTTTAACATGAAAATTCTAACTGATGATACATTTAAAGTATAAAAATATAAATAAAAACAATTTATATGTTTATTTCATAAATTAATATCAATACTACATTTTTTTTACTTCTAAAACATTTTTTCATCAATCAATTACTTCTTTCTTATAAGCAGATTTAATAAATAATAAATGAACTAAATACATTTTTTAATTAATATCATGAAAATACTCTACAAATTATTAAATTTTTTTGATAGAAAAGTTGCAATTTGTTTAAAAAATTAATTTAATGAAAGAATTAATATTGTTGTTATAAAATTATCTAAAATAAAAAAGTTTGGTTCTTTAGTAATTTTTTGAAAAGATAATCCAATCAAAAATCAATATTCAAATAAAAATCTGTTTTTTGTTAAATTAAAATTGAGAAATTTAAACGAAATAAATAACATTTATTGAAGGTGAGTGTTATTTCTTAAATTTTCAATTATTTTTAATAATAATATATTTTAATTTTTAAATTTGAGCTCGGTAAATATATTTTAAATAATAAATCTTTGAATATTTAATATTAAAATTATTTATTAATTAATAAAATTTAATAATTTAAATGTAATGTAAAATATATTTTTTTAAATCAAACATTTTAGTAATTTGATGATGAATTATTGATATTTTTATGACAGTCAGAATGCATAATTAGAGAGATTAAAATTTTTTGGTATAAACTAGAGGTTTTGATATTTTTATTTGTAAAATCAAATATAATGCTTTAATTACATATGCATAAATATATAAACATAGAATTTCGAAGGATTACATTTTAAATTTGTTTGATTTATATTATATACAATTTATAAAGTTATTTTAATTGTTCATGTGTTAATCTAAATAATATTTCTATTATTGTAGAAGTTCTCTAGAATAATTTTTTAAAAATATAGAAGTTAATTATTATTTATATATTTTTATTTTTAATTATATCATTTTTATCGCTTATCAACATTAATTTTCATAAGATTGTTATTATTAATATTATTATTATTAAGTTGCTTTTACTTTTTGATAGTCTATAGCTTCATCATAAACCATACCTTGCAACCTTTCTTTGGTTAGCTCGAAATCATCCCATGCCCAATCAAATACTTCAGGACAAGTAGGCTCGTCTTCAGGATTATGAAGACCTTCAAAGTAAGGATGAGCGAGACATTCTTCAATTGTGTAACGATCATTGGGATTAAATGTTAGCATTTTAGATAAAAGATCTAAACCTACTAAATTAGCATTAGGATAAAGATTTTCCCAACTTTGCTTAGTTCTTTTAGGAAGACTTTTCAAATATTTTAATGCTCCTTCATTAGTTATATAGCTTAACTCTTCAGGAGTAGGAGTACCTAAAATTGCAATAATTCTTTATATTTATTCAAGGTAATCCTTTCCTGGGAAGAGTGGAGTTCTACCTAGTAATTCTGCAAATATACACCCAATAGACCACACATCAATAGATTTTGTGTATTTAGAAGCCTTCAAGATAACTTCTGGGGCTCTATACCATCTTGTAACAACATACCTAAAATTAATATAAATTAAAAAATTTATTTTACTATTTTTTTCCCAATTTTACAAAAGCTACAAATATAATATGAAAAATTAATTACTCTGTTTTTCCATCTTCTTCATCAAATTCGAAACCTCTTGCAAGACCTAAATCACAAACTTTGAGGTCACAATTTTTATTAACAAGAATATTAGAAGGTTTCAAATCTCTATGCATAACATTTGCAGAATGGATGTAAAGCATACCACGTAGAGTTTGATATAAAAAGTATTGAATGTGATCATCAGTTAACTCCTAATAATTTGAGTTAAAAAGTTTAGTTTAAAATTAATAAACAAATCAATTCATATTTTTAAAAACTTAATTGTGAATTTCAGTAAAAAAATATAAATAGAAAGAAATAAAGTAATTTAATTACTTGGCGGGAGTATATAACTCTATGGAGATCTGTTTCCATAAGCTCGGTGACAATATAAATATCATTATAGTCAGTTCTCTATTCTGGTACTATAATGTCATGAAGAGCAATAATATTCTCATGGTCAAAAAATTTTAACATTTTAATCTCTCTAACGATTCTTTTTGCATCAACTAAATCTTCAAAAGCATTTGTTATCTAATTATTCAATAAATAAATTATATTTATCAGCTTATTTGATCTTCAGCAAAAAAAAATATTGAGGCTAATAAAATTCGATGAAAAGTAAATTATTATTGGCTTTAAAACCTAAAAATTAATCAGTTAGACATTTGTTTTTGTAATTAAAATTAAATCTTTGGGAAATAAAATATAGTGAAAAATCTAACAACTCATTTCTTTAATAATCATAAATAATTGAAGAAAAAGCATTTATTAATTAATTAATTTATAATTAATTTTGAAATCAGATTAGAAAAGAATGTTAATATTTTTTTTTTTGCATTAATTAAATTACAAATCTCTTTTAACATTGTTAAAGAGATATATAGATAGATAGATACTTCTAAAATCTATCAAAAATAACATCCAATTAAATTTTTTTAACAAATAAATTGTTAGTAAATGCAAAGAAAATAAATAAATTCATTGTTATTAATTACTTTTTTTATAGCAATTTTTTTATTGCATTTTGTGTCAACTCCAGAGCAAACAACACCATAGGCGCCGTGTCCTATTTATTTGTGGAACTCGTAATGATCATCAACACTAAATGCAGTACCTATTATAATAAAAATGTTAATTATAGTTACAAAGAATTTGTTTGTTTTAATTATATTGCTAAGTTGCCTTAATCTAAAAATTTTTTTTAAAAGCTAAAATAACTTTACCTCCACATTCAAAAGTCTTTCTCTTTTTTTAAATTTGATTTTTGGTGTTTGTAGTGCTAGCTTTTAGTGAGGCAGAGATCGAAGAAATTTACTGGTTATTTGATTACTAATTATTGTTGTTAGCATTAATAGAACTAGATATAACATTATTAGTATTGTTTGTCAAAGTATTTTAATTGCTTGTTATTGTATTATTCTGAACTCTATTTTCATTGTTAACCTTGGAGTTGTTGGGAATTACTTAGTTTGTTTGCTTTAAATTTTAAATGGTATTTTAACTTATTTTATTTGTGGAGTTGTTATTCAAAATGTTAGCAACGGTTGAAGGGCGTATATTTCCAGTTTGAGATGATTAAATTTAACTTGATTTGGCATTACTATTATTACTAAGATTATTATAGTTTTCCCTTAGCTAAGAATTTTAATACACTTGGTTTGATTATGTGTGAGACATAGAAGAAGTAGATTATTTAACATATTTTTAATTTTAAGATTGCATGTTATTGGTATTGTTTGTAGCAGAAATGTTAACATTTTCGCTTTAGTGATGAGAGTGGCGACTCTAAGAACGAGAATAAGAAGTAATATTTTGATTTTACTGCTGTAAAGGTTATTAGGAAGATTGCTAATTCTATTGCTATTAATAATACGAAGATGGAATGCTTTGATTTTAGTTATAATTCATATAGCTAAAGTTATTACCACTTGTATTATTACTATTTTAATACATACTCTATCCTTTCATTCTTTTATTTAATATTTGTTAAATATTGAATTTTTTTTCTAATTTTTAATTCTTTCTTTCTTTTAACTTTATATTATTTATGAATTAAGAAGCAAGTAATGATAATTAAAGCTAATTCAATTTTTCTATGAGATTCACAATAGTTAGTTGTCCATAATACTACTAATTTATTTGTTAGTTTAACGAGATAATTAATTATAAAACATAATTAAAATTTTATCATCAACTAATCCTAAAAAAAATTGAATTTATTTATTTTCAGGTGCTATTTCGAAAAATCATTCGTTAATTTTATAAATTTAATTATCATTTTTCTAACAATATTTAATACTGTTCAAAGTCAATACTTGTGATCAAAGCTGCATATTTTGCTTATTTTTAAGTAATTTATTATATAAATAATCATTTTTTCATAAAAATAAAATAAATATTTTATACTTCAAAAAATTATTTTTCAAGAAATATTAATATCTTATTTTTGATACATCTTAGTAAAATATGTGCTTTAAATTTTACTATCTATTTAAAAATTTTAATGTCTAAATTTTGAATTTTAGGATTTGGTTCTATTTTTATACGAAACTGTATTTATATTTTGATTAAATTGTTATTTTTGGTTAAAAATTATTCTTTGAATTTAAATAAGGAGTAGGATAGACTTTCCTATTAAATTGAATTTTTATTTATTTAAAATGTATTAATTTTTATTGTAAAAATAGGTTAGAGTATATTTTTGTAAATTTTATGACTTATTTGTTACATTTTTTTGTTTATATTTATAAAATAAATCGTATTTAAAATAGTATTGGTAGAATTACACCTTTTTATTAGTAAAATCAGTTTGATAGAATATTTGAACTATTATTAAATATATTTCATTTTCTTTAAAATAAATTAAATTGTTTAATTATTTTAATATTGTTATATCCAACAAATAAAATATGAATTATTTTTCATATTTTGGGAAAAATTTAAATATTTAATAAATATACCACAATTTAAAAGTAGATAATATTTATTTAGATTTTAAGAATTATTAATTTACAAATAAATAAAGGAAATTCATTATTGCAAACTTAATCCTATAAAATATTTCTTTTATACAAACTTACTAAAAATCTATAAAAAAATTAGATATGATAATTGACAAAAATTTATGATAAATAAAGTAGCATTATTATTTGATCAAATTAATAAATTGATTACTTTATAAATTTTAGTGTATTAAGTTTAAGCATTTAAAATATTGCATTCTGATTAACTTTAATAATGAGAACTTAGAAAAAAGCAACACAAAACGAAGAAACACAATAAGAAGATTTCATATGCATATAAAAACTGTATAGTTCTTCTACAAAAGTGTCCCTTCAAACAATTAGGTAGAAGAAACATTTACTTTACAACTGGAAATCTAATTTAAACAAATAAAATTTAAATAAATGATAGGAAGCTTATATCAGAATATTTAGGAGTATAAAAATTTAGAGGATTTAGAATTTGAAAGAAAACAATTTATATTATTAAAAGTTTGATTTAGTATTTGATTCTTTAGTTGAAATTATGGAGGAAATGGATCTAAATGACTATCTAAATCAAGACTATGAAGTCTCATTCATTGTTGAAATAATCAATTCAACTTATTTTTAAGAAAGAATACCTCCTGTAAGTAAATTTGAGTTAATATCCCAAAATTAAGTATTAAAAATGAAATTGATAAAAAATTTAATAGATTTTAGGTAAATTACCTAAAGCGATATACCTCAAAACCATAGAATGCGTTCTTTATATAGCGTCACTAAAAATTATAGAGTATATACTACTTCATATATAATAAATTGCAAAATAATATTACATTAAACGGATTATAATTAAATAATATTTAGGATGCCACAAATATAAAATTGCATATAAATATTTAATTCATCAGATTAAGAGTGGATGGTAAATGGTATGCCAATAGATAATGAATTAATTCAGAGTATTCTTTGGGTAAATAAATGAAATCTTAAAATAAATTTCTTGAAACAATTAATTAGAAAATAAATAGATATATAAATGAAAGAAAACTCACACAATGGATATTATAAAACAAACAAGATTTTTTAATTCAGCATAAAATTATGCTACACGAGTTTCTCCTTCTTGCTTGTAATAGTAGTAAAAAAGAAGAAATGGTATTTAAATTATATTAGTTTTTTCAAATTAAATTTTTGATATTGACTCTTATGTTTATTTATAAACTTATTTATTTTTTTTTACTGTCCCAAAAAGTAAAAATTATTGGGTACAATGTAGCAAGATTCATACTAAAAATTAATGGTAAATTAACTTTTTATTTATTTTTCAAAAATTAAATCTCTTACTTTTAAAATAAAATAATAAAGTTGCTAGCTCCCTCATTCATTTAAGGATTACCTATACAGAATAGGTTAAATAGGCCTCAGTCTTCTAGTCATATTTTACATAAAAATAGCACACAGTAGCATGGTTAAATTTAGCAATACTAAACGCTCAAGATAAATTAAATAAACTAGCTTTTTATTGCAAATAAAAATAATTATGTGAGCTCAACTTAAGTTTTAGATGATCCTTAAAAAAAAAGATAGTAGCTCCAACTAAATAAAATTTAGTTGATTTCAAATTAAGATAATAAAACAGAACAAAAAAAATAAAAAAATTTTAAACTCTCTACTTAAAAACCAGTAAGAATAGAAAACTATAAAAGCCAAATATTTGGATATCATTAACTTGACCCTAAGTATAGAGGTGATCTTTTTAATTCTAAAAATTACAAATAATTCTTATTTTTTTTTTTTAATGAAATATGAAAAATAAACTGATATTAAATTTTATTTATCACTTCACATAAAAATAAAATAAATATTCTGATCTTAATAATTGAGGAGGAAGATTGATGATATTTTAATTTTAGATTATTATATTTTTCTAAAAATTTATATTTATAGATTGATTGGTTGCTAGAATTAATTAGTATTCCTTTATTATAATTTTTAAAAACTACTTTTTAACAAAAAATAATGAGATTTTTGAAACAAATTTTGCAATATTTATTTGAAAAAAATAATTTTTGTCAAAGGTAATTGCACTTTTAGTTATAATAGCTCATTCATTCTTCATAGACTTAATATCAAATGCAGAATAAATATTTCAAACTATATTTCTTGTTATAAATTATTTTTTTCATTAACAAATATTATATATTTATATAAAAAAGCTAACTTAAAAAAAATATTGAATTTAAGATAAGGAGCAGATAATAATACACTTAAAAAACAAAAAAGTGATGAAATTAAATTTATAGACTCAAATAATCTTAGGCTATAAGAAAATAATTCGTTTCCACGTCATTTGGAAAATCAATATGTATCAGAAAAAGCTTTAAGCCAAACAAACACCACATATAATTTGAAGAGTAATCCTGAAAACAAAGAAGAGAGCTAATTGCTAAATTACTTGCTAAAAAGTTAGAATTACGTTTTGCATTAAAGACCTCAAAGTGCCTTAAAAGATCCTCCATAGAATCCCTTTGGATTTTGTTACCACCCTGAAAAAGAGTAACCAGGAGTTCCTATTTATGTTCCATCAAGTACAAGCTAAAGCTAATTAGATACAAGCATAGTTATAAATTCTAAAAAATAAAAAAGCTTTTTAAATGCTTCGAATGACAAAAATTTTTTTACAAGTAAAAGAATGAATCAGAGTGGGAGAAATGTATTTTTTTATTCAAAATTTATTATAATATTTAATAAATAAAAATGTATTTTCATATTAACTAAGGTAGCTGAATAAATTCTAGACCAAGAATTACATGTTTGGGAAACTAAGTTAGTAAATAAAACAAATAAAGAAAATAATAAATTGTTTGTGCCATATGGAAATATAAAAAAGTAATCCTTTACAATTAATTTGCCATTTGAAAAAAAGATATGAAATAAAATTTATTAACTAATTATTCACAAATATAAATATTTGTTGAATTTAGGAAACTTTATTCAAGAAATTTATGTTTTATTGAAAACTTATTTAGTTATTTATTTATAATTATTGTTTTGAAAAGAAAAATTTGCTTAATTTCGGTTATTTTGGAGATTATCTTCTTTAATTTGTTTTTTAATAATAATTTAATTTTATACTGTTGTTCTTATATGAATCTTCTTAAAATTTTCTTAAATTTTACTAGTATAGAATTCTTAATTGCAGTATTTCAATATTCATTTCATCTTAAAAAAAAATTTTAAATTATGCTTATTCTTTTAATTATTATCCACAAAATTAAAATCTAATCAAATTTTTATTAAGTAAAAAAAATTAATTATCCTCTAAATTTCTGATAGAAAATTTAACAAGCCCTGAATAGATTGCAGTCTTTATTTATATATGTCTATATTAGAAAACATATTTTAAATATTTTCAAATCCTAAAGTGATATTTTAGAAAAGAAAGCATTTGAAAATGTTAACATTATTTATTAGTAACACATATAATTCAGAAAACGAATTTTGATCTATAAAAACATCTGACTAATGTAAAATAAAAAATTTACTTTAGCATTCCTTTCTGAAATGATAATAAAAACACATTAGAGAGAAAGAAGAGTTTTATTTAGAGTAATTAAAAATTAATAAGTAGGAAGATTTCTCCTGCTATTGTATATAGCAAATTTAGAATAATTTGCTAGAAAATTAAAAATTAAGATGAAAAAATAATTGTATAATAAATAAGCAAAAAATTAATTATTAATTAGTGCTACATTATTTAATGTGTAGTAGGTGCATATAATAATTAGATAGATCAAAAATAAAATAATTAACAATATAAAGGTAAAAGAGGTGGAAAGTAAGTAAGGTAGCGAGAATCAATTCAGATTTGCTTGTATGTATATATATACTTTTCAGAGTATATTATATTGAAGGAAGTAATCAAATAAGAATCTAATACAAAAAGCTTTTCAATTGATATAAACTTCTCCAAAGAAAAAAAGAAAAAAAACTTAATCTGTAAAACATTAATACTATATTATTGTATTCAAAAAAGCAAAATAGATTATAGCTTTTAATTTTAAGAGTAATAACATTAAAAATTAAAAGACAAATCGAATAAGGTAACTCAAAAACATAGTAGTATATTATAGCGAGAAACCTTGCATAAATCCTACCCTAAGAATTTTAAAGAATGGATTCACAAACAGTATTAAATTTAGAATTAAATTAAGTTATTCCAAATATTTTCAGTTTTTAAGTCTCATTTAAATGGTTCAAAACATCACATTTATTCAATGAGACAGCGATATTTATGATATCGCAGCTTTTGATTTTTAGAGAAATTTAATATACAATAGACTTATTTTGCCATTTATCTTATAATTTCTTTTAATTATCTATAAAGTAGGGTAATAACAAATGTACCACGGGAGTTTTGCTTGTAGTAGTCAATAATACCGAAAACAGAACTATCAATCAAGAAACATATCATAAAGTGTTTTCAGCATATGGTGAAGTGTGGAGAGTAAATATTTTTATAGAAAATAATTATGATAAGCACTTAATACAAGTGAAAATGAATTCATATAAATCTAGTTATTTGGAGTTATTTGTTTAATTAACCTCCCTCTTTCAATCAACGATTAATGATTTACTCTTAAAAAAAATATTTTTAGTTTGATATGAAAATCTAATTTATTTGATAAAGTTTAACATAAAGTCCAGCTAATATTAATGAATTAAATTTTGTTTATGACTATTGTTGATTATCATCTATTTAATATAAATTAGCTATTGATTTTTGAAAGAACCCCAAAATGCAAAGCTTTTGTTGAAATGGATTCCATAGAAAATGCATAAAAGTCGCTAGATGCTCTCAACAATCAAGAATTATTACCAGGGTTTCGTATGAATATCTATGCTGCAATACTGAAAAAAATAGTTTTTTAAGAAAATAACCCCGGAGGGTTTGGTAATATTTTTAATTTTTGAATAGTCGGTCAATATTTGAGACTGAAATTTCTAAATTTAAATAAATTAAATTTACTTTTTTATTTTAATAATGTTTTATTTTTATTAAAAATAAATCTAAATAAATAAATTACTTTCTTTACATTTCTCAGTTGTTTATGATTTATTTTATTTCAATATAATAGATTATACAGTTATGAGATAAATTATGATGGGCAACAGCTAAAGCAGTGATAAATAAAGCAGTATTTCAGGACTCGAAGGAAAACCTACCTCAAGCCATAGGTATCAATCACAATTTTATTTTGTTAGTAAATTGCTAATATTTTTTCCTTTATATTTAAAAGGCTTGAAAATTCAACTAACTCATAGGAAGCAAGTATAAATAAATCATTTGGAAATAACAATGAATTAAGAAGTTCTTCTAAGATTTAATAACAATAGTAATAGCAGCAATAATAACAATAGTAATAGCAGTAATAACTAAATTTATAAAATTAATACTCAAATCCTTAAAGCAGTTTATATATGAATAATGCAAACCCAATAGCTCCTTATGATTTAATTTAAAACTAAATTCCATATGTAAACTAACAGGGGATACCACCAATTGGTAGTAGTCCATAAATTCCTGTCATGCCAGCTTAGCCGCTTAATATTAATTAGCCGTAATAATACCCTTAAACGTAATGGAATATGATGCCAATTTAATAGTAAAACTAATTTATGTAATAGTATCCTCCAGTAGGAATGAACTATTCTCCTTTCTAGCAAAATATGTACCCAGGTATTTAACCACCTATGAATTAATTGCCTCATAGCTATCCTATCTAATAGAATCAAGCTTACTAAAAATGGCCTGTTAATTTGAATATCAAATAGTAACCTCATTAGATAATCTAGAATAATAATATGTAACCTAATTTCCCTGCAATTAATAGTGGAGGAATGATGTATCCTTAATACAACATGCAATACAACTAGATGGGATATAACAATAATATGAACAACAACACTTTTGATTTAACTTAGTAATTCAATTAACTAAATTTAAATGTATAAAATAAGGAACAAATTATAGATACTAAAAATTAAGGTTTTACTAACCCATTACTTAATATACCTATTTAGTAATAACAGCAATAATAGCAAATGCATGCTTAACAGATATAAATGAATTAAAATCCATAGATTTAACAGCAATAATATCAATAGAAATAAGCATAAATTCAAAGTAAAAAATCCAAGAAATCATCAAGCAGTCAAAAAAATTCTTTAATTGATTCAAAAAAGAATAATGACCCACTCACTATTCTAGGTGTGCTTTAGACTTCTTCAGATTACTCTGAAAAAGAAGAAGACAATACAAACTTATAAAATATCTTAGACGATACTTCTGCTATTGAAGAATAAAAAATATCGCATCATTCAAATTAGAACAGCTCAAGCTAAAATAATAATATTGATCCTAATATTAGAAAAAACTAATCTTTCGAAAAAGCTAATTTTAGTTTTAACAATTCTACTTTGAATTAATAATAGCAGTAGCAATAATAATAGTATAACATGTTTGGATTTCCTCCTCAAATTAACCCTAAAATAAATCCAAACGATATGAATATGCTATGGATGCAGTAACAATAGCAGTAATAAGTACAATAATAAGGATTTTACTATTAATAACCACAATAGTAATAACAACAATAACCTAACTTTATGCCATTTAACAATAATTTCTTACCATAAATGAGTAATCCTAATATGGTAGGGTTTATGGGAAACAATGAGTTGTTTAATTAAGGTAATAACTTCTAAAACATGTAAAATACCAATCGCACTATGCCTAATTAACTTGAATGGAATATGATGAATTTCATGAATTAGAATAACAATCCTAGTAATTCGTTGAGCAATTTAAATTATTCTTAAAATAATAGCTAAATAAACATCAATAATAACAACAATAATAATAGTTAAGGAATGACATTCTAACCTCCTCATATGAATAATTAAAAATCTCATGAGAAGGTTGAAAAATAACCTAACCACAACCATGATAAGAAAGATAAAGATGATGACAAAAGTAGCTTAAATTCATCGATAGGCATACCGGCTTTCAACTCTTAAAATACTTCTTAAAACATTGAAAGCTAAAGCCTTAATGATGAAACAGGTGGTTCTAATGGAAACTCTTTTTTCCTTTTCAATAACTATAATAGCAATAACAATAATAATGCTAATATAAATAACCACATTAATCAAGGAAGTAGCTAGAGCTTAAACTCAGTAAATGGAGGTAATGCTATCCACAGAAAGACAAATTCTTCTTCCAACAATCTTAATGGAAACGTTTGTGGCAACAATGTCTCTACCTCTTCAAATCAAAACTTACAAATTCTTTCAAATTATCCTTTCTTGGTTAACAATGAAATCAACCCAGGCATGAATATTGGCGACTACGTTAATCCTTAGTTCATTAAATGTAATTAATCAATTAATTAAAAATTTATATTTTTTTTATATTAATTTAAAATAAAAAAATGCAGCTTTGAGAAGATCCAAAGTAATTTATGCTAACTGGTTTGACAAATCTAAAGTAACTCTCAAAATGCTTATCAATATTTTCAGCTATTTTGGACCCATAGAAAAAATAATGTATTTAAAAAATAAATCTTCATGCTTAGTCGAATACACCAGAATAGAGAGTGCATCTGCAGCTAAAGAAAGTCTAAATGACATGACTTTTATGGATCAAGAAATCAAAGTAATATTAAGTTAAAGAAAATAGAAATATAATTAAATACTTTTATAATAAGATATTCTATAGCAATTATGATCAAATCTACATAAAGAATTTAAAGAAGGATAGTAATTCATCTTCTACAACAGGTACAAGCGAAGATAGTGATGAGTATTACGTGAATAACTCATCAAATAAAAAGAATGAGATTAACATTTCTAAAATAATTAACCCACCAAGTGAATGTATAATTATTACTGGCTTAAACAGATAAGCATGCAATATCGATATACTTTCTAATTTCCTCTAAAGAGTTGGCCCTATTTTGAGATCAAAGTAATTAATTTATTAGAGTTTTCTATACTAATTTTTTGAAAATTTTTTCTAAAATAAAAAAGGTTCATCATTGAAGAAGCTTAAAATATTTGCATCCTTAAGCTTCCTAATAAAGAAAAGGCCTTGCTTGCTATTTCACTCTACAACGGTGAAGAAATTTGTGGAAAGTAATTAAAACATAATACTAATTATTTAAATATCCTTAAATAAAAATAAATATAAATAAAATAGGAAAGTTTATATTGGCTTTTCAAAGTCAAAACTGTAAGAAACAGCTGCCCAAAATTTAAATGAAATAAATGACAATAATGAGAGTACAATTGCTTCAATATCAAATATTTCTTGACTAATTTGAATACAAATAATTAAAACACATAATCTTCTTCTTATATATAAATTCAACAGAAATCTTTTTATAGATCTTTTTTATTACTTACTCATAATAACTCTTCTTTTTCTTATATCTCTAATATATATCACAAACTCAAGAGATAAATATAAATATCATCTTACTCTCATAAAAAACAAGCATATGATTGCTATAATATGTTGAAATCGCTCTCAAAAATCTATTTTAATTTTTATGACTTACATTGAGTGATTGCTGTAAAACACATGTTCTTAGTGTTTCGAAAAAGTAAAGGAAATATCAAACAAAATAATTAAACTACAATAGAACAATAGAACAGAATGTTTTATTAGTCATAAAAGGAAAAAATAAATCTCTATATATAAAAATAACTAATTGTATTGCTTTTTTATTATGAAAGTTGTATTTTATTATCATAAATACTTTAACTGAATGAGGTATACTTTTATTACTATATCAAATAAATTTGAAGAAATTATGTATTTTTTATTTTACAAATATATGAATGATCATCAAATTTTAATTTTTGAAATTATTTTTGTTAAAGTTTATTAATTTCAGTCTTTTGATGAATTAAAAAATTAATCTCCAAATTTATTAAATTCTTCAAAATACTTCATTGTTTGTGTTAAATTGAAATTTAAATATTTGTCTATTATCAGATTAAAGTTTATTTAAATAAATGAAATATGTGTTTTTGATGAGCTGAAAAAATAAACTTAAATTATAAAAAAGAATTAATTAAAAATTTTAAATTTATCATAATAAATGAGAATAAATTTTAAAAAACTTAATTAAAATAATCGTTTGAATTATAAAATAAATAATGATCAAAGATACGTGAACTTAAAATGAAAGTTTATATTTATTTATTTATTTTTTACAAAAATTTAATGATATGTTAAAAATATTATTAAAAACTCTGTTATTAAATTCTTCATTGTGAACTACTCTTGAAACGCTTTTGTACAATGTCTTACACTTTTTGTAATTTTTTTTTAATAGAATTTAAAAAAGAAATAAATAATTTACCTTCATGATCATCATCTTCATAATTATTAAAATTTTAACTCTGTTTTATTGGACTTGATGAGTTAGAGCCAACTGGGGATTTTGGACTTGAATTTTAAGAACTTTTTCTAATAAAATCTATATCGATTTCGTCTTTTCCTAAAATATTATCAAATCTTTTGTGACTATCCAAACTGATTTTGACATTTGTGATATTAAACAAACTGTTTGTAGCTTAGCTGGAATTGTTTTCTTCTGGTGGAATACTCTTCCTAATGTCATTTAAGAAATGTTGATATACTATGTTCTTTTCAAACTGTAAATGGATTTGTTGCTGTTTTTAGTAAATTTAATTAGATCATTTTAATAATTTAAATATTTTATATTTACTAATCCACTAATTAAAATCTAACTTGTTTAAGCAAGTTTGAACAGTTTAATAATTTCTGAGTAGATGAGATTGTTTTTGTTTTTAATTTTTTTAACTAGATATGTTGTAAGTGGAACTAGTACATCATATAATACTTAGTGGAATTCAGGTTTCTTAATTATTTAAAAAAATATTTAATTCAATAGGATTTCAAAAGAATTTTATTTACATTTATTTCGATGTAGGATATGTAAAGACTAATTATTTAAGAGTGCAAATGCTTTAGGTTTTTGTGAAATAATGGAAGCATTTTTTATGGAATAGAGAAAAATACTTCATATGTCAGATTTGGTATACACATGCAAATATTGTCTAAGTTTTTAAGTATATTAACAATAATATCTATAAGCAATATCCTACCAAAGATCTTTTCTTCACTATAATCTGCAGTGTAGAAAATATCAAGCATTTTTCCTAAATGTATTTGCAAGAATTATTCAATGAAAACATAATCTTCATCATTCTTGACAGAATTTTCCAAAATTAGCTTAAGAAGATCGCTAAACTAATTGATTTAAATATATTTTTTTGAATTAATTTTGAAATTGTATAAATTTTACATATAATTAGTTATTTGTATATTTCTGATTCATAACTGATTCACAGATCAATTAGAAAAATTTGTATTTTTGGACTTTCTCTTCCATGCTTCTCATGTATTTTAATAATAACTGTGGTTTATTGTTCATGTATTGAATCAATATTGAAACAATCATTTAAGGGATCATTTCTAACTAATTTTCATCTAATATTTACTATTTTTTTCTTTGAATACCAAACGATTGCATTTAATTTCCTTAATTAGGCTTCTCATAATTTCTTAAAAATGAATCTAGCATTTCGAATATTGTTCTCTCATAGAAAGCATCATAAATACTAATAGAAGTTTCTAACTATATATTAAATAAAATAGGGAATGAATGAAATACTTTTTTTCTTAATTTGGATATTCGAATTCTAAATCTTTATCAAATAATATTATTTATTTATTACGAAATTATCCATATTTTTCATAGACTAAAACATATCATAAACCATACAAAGAGACTGATAATCTTTTAGATTCAAAGCATTCAAAATCTGAGAAATCATTTCTCTGCTTGTGATAATGTACTGAATCAAGTTTTTATATATTCTTTGACTTATCTGAAGTTTATTAAAAAGTAAATGAGGATTATTTAATAAAAGGAAGGTTAATTTATAAATACCAAGTTCATTAGATTTAGAGTAGACTCGTCTAAAATGTGAGCAAGTGCTGAGTCTCTTAAATACTAAAGTCTGAAATTGAAGTGAATATCATCTAACTTTGATTGGTCTTTGAATTAAACAACTGATAAGAACTTTGCTCTCTTCTGAAAGAACTATCTGTGAGTCTCCTTCTGTTTGTTGTACATTTACTCATCGTCTATTATACGTAGTGTGATTTTGCAAATAAATTTGAATATTTGATCTATAAATAGTTTTGTTATTGCATTAAAAGAAACTGTCTCTCTTACACTCAAGGATTCCAAATGTTAAGATGTAGTTTTCTTCATTCAATAAGACTTAGAGTAATTCATGCTCTGAGTAAAATATCAGTGACTTAAATATTTAACAGAGGGTATTCAATGCGTCTAAATTATTCTCCTTTTCACACTTGTTGAAGACTTCTCTAAAATTTCTAAACAAGACAGATTGCTTTTATAGAGAAAAGATTTAATTATCCTAAAAAATATTTTTTAGTGATTTACTCTAACCATCATTTCTGAAGAAATAACATTTCTGTCTTCTGCTGGAGTGTCCTAATATGTTAATATAATAAATGATAAGTAATCAAAAAATAGGAAACAATTAACAAATATTACCATTAAAATCTTCAAAAAGGCCTCTAAATTATTTATATTAGGAATAGGAAGAATAAATTATCCTTCTTCCTCAGCCTCTTCAAATTACTTTTTGTATGATCTAAATTCGTCTTCTTGTTTTTGATAGCTTATATTTGATTTAACTTCCTTGATCTATTTCCTTTGTTAATTGGTAAATAATAATCTTTTCTTACTGTTTGAACAGTTTTATTAAAATAGCTAAAAAACTTACCAAAGAGCGAGTCTACCTGCTTCATTTTAAAAGCTGATAGCAATATCGTCTTCTGTCAAATCATTTGAAATAGTTATTTATTTTTCTATTGAATATATTATATATTATCTATTAAAAATTGATAAAATGGAGATTCATAATCAGGCTAAATTAATTCTAATAGCTTTAATTTATTAATAAGTAAAAGCAAATTGTGCTTATTCAAATAAATTATTTCTATAAAATTTAAACATTCAGATATATTATCATCAAACACTCGTTAACAATATGGAAAATCATTGTTCATAAGCTATAACATTTAAAATCTAATTAACTTATCTTGTTATTTATATACTTGCTTGTTGCCTTTATAAAATTATAATCAATCTTGAATTCTACATAAATGAGTTAAAAACAATTATTTTTAAATACCTTTAGGATTTTCTATTATTAGATCGTTAGACAAGTTTTCTGAAAATACTTCAGATTTATTCTTTTCCAAATAGAATTTCAACAAATAACCCTCGCTCTAATTGAAAATTTTTTTACAAATAAGTTTAGATTAACAAAATGTTTTCTAAATGACCAAATAAGAGACTAAATTGTAAATAAAATTAATCATTTAAACTTAATTTACGCTGCTTGTTTAAATAATTTTTGGATATCCAAGCCCTATATCTCTCCATGTATTAGACTATTAATCTAATTTAAATAACTTGGCCCTAAATATTTCTGGAATACCTTCAATCGGATTATAAGGAGCGGGATAGCTCATTTTATAATTTAATATCTTGAAAGAATAAAATATGTAAAAAGATATTAAAATTTATATTTTAATAATTTGTTTTTAAATTAATTTTTGATAAATCATTAATGATAAAAATTGCAGAAATATATAAATAAATATCGTCTACTTATCAAATTAATATTTTAATTGAAAAAGTGATTAGAGATTCATAATAAACTAATAAAAACAAACAAATCTAAATTCTATTTCCAAATTTTTTACACATATAACAAAATTTTACTAATTTTATTTTAAAATTTAATGAAAAGCATTAAATATAAAAATATTTAGATTAGTTAGTTAGTTAGTTAATTGATTAAGTAAATTCTTGCAATAAATTAAATTTCTAGTAATTTTATTAAAAGAAATAGCTAGATAAACAAATTTTTGTTTCATGATAACTTATTTAGCTTAAATTTCTTTTAATCTTATAAACTGTGGAAGGAAAATGTATTTAAGATTGATAAACTATAATTAGTCTAAAACATTAAAAGTTAGTAAACTTATTTTTTACTTAGATTTTATTTTTAATAAAATATATTTTATAAAAATTCAACTTATTATCATTTTAAAAATTAATAAAACGAATAATTTTATAAATAATTATACAAACAATAAATTTTTTGATAAATTAAAAAAATGTAGAAAAAAATAAAAAAATAACCAAAAAATTTAGAAATTATTTTTAAAAAGAGTTTAAAAAATAACAAGCCTTTATTTATTTATGACATAAAATTAAAGAATTAATTTGAAAATAAATAATGAATTTAATAATTTTATAAATAATTTCTTTCTTAGTCTTTTTTAATGAGACACTTGACTCAAATACATCAGTAAAATATAATAAGGATCCTAGTGCTACTTTGATTCTACATATTTTTTCAAGTAATATTGCAAATTAAAAAAAATAAATTTTGTATTTATAAATTTAGGGAGAAAAAACAGTTAAATAATAAATATTACAAGGTAAATTATCATAAATAGTCAGCCTATTATCAATTTTTACTATATAATTTAGGAATTAAAGATATATTTGAATAGGTAACAGGATTAGTTGGTAACATAGCATAGGCTGTTGCAGAGTAATATAACGATCTAATAATATCAACTGATTTTTATGATTTCCAATTGAAGGGGAGATGCAGGATCTCTTCAATGCAGCTACATCTGTTTAAGTCAAAAGTTAATTCATGGTTTGCAATTGTTTCTTTTTTTTTAATGGAAAATTTAGTGTTGATAGCAAATAACTTATTATCTTAATTTCCCAATAAAAAGGTAAAATTTAAGAATTTATTATTAATTTCTTTGCACTAAGATAATCTTATTACTTTCCATACTTTTTATTTCTTATCAAAAATTTACACAATCAATTTTTCAGATTATCCATCATCTTCATCTTCGCTTTCTTCACTTTGTTCTTCTTTTTCAGATTCTATTTTTTCATCCTCAGTTCCGAAATCTTCTTAATTTTCATATAATCCTATGTAAAATATATAGCTATTATTTTAGAGAATATAAGACTTTTTACAATCTAAATAAATGCAATCATCAATTTTTTCAGCTATTTTTGTTTTTATATTGACACGCTCGCATGGAGATAGTTTATTGTATGGAATATTAGGATCTTTGTAGTCTGTTCCGTTGATTAAATAAATATATTCCTAATCACATATAATATATCTATTAACTAAATTTTCGTTTATAGTCTCTATTCCTTCATCTTATAAATTGAGCATACTCAACTTATTTTAATCAAATCTAACTTAACATTTAAAGACAGAATTATAGAACCTGAAATTAGGATAAGATTACGAGAGTTCTGTGTACTCTTCAAGTGATAGAGATTTGTAAAATATGCATACCTTCCTATCCATATTGAAATGGAATGTAAGAAAATGCATTTAATTAGATAGCAGGGAGTCCTTAAAGTCTTCATCGTTAAATCTGATAGTCAGTTAAAATTTTTGTACAATTTAAAACTGATTTTAAGTGTTATCCCCAGTTAGAATGTTAATTAATTTACTAAAATAATTTTAAACAAGGAAGTATTTTGGGATTTATTTATCATCTTAAATAAAGTAGTATTCCTATTAAACTGGATTTAAATATGAAGCTTTTCCTGTGTTTTCATGACATCCAGCTAGATTAATTTAAGATTCAAACTGTAAACCTTTTGATTTAAAATTAATTTTATCAACTAAATCTTTAAAATTCTTGTGTTTAGTATCTTTAACATTTTAGACATCCTATTATTCTAACTTATTAATAGGATCTTCCTTATTTTTTATAGATGAGCTTTCATCTAACATTTTTTAACTATCTTCAAGTTAAACTTTTTCTTATTATTTCTCTTTTTAATGTGCCTTCTAAATTAATGTTTTATCTTCTTATTAAGCAAGAATATTTTTATTTATTTTTGTTTTTTGTTCAATATCCTTAGTCAAGCTATCTTTTTTTGTTTAATCATCACTTTTAATATTTGAAGCTGTTGATTAGCTATTTTTATTAGTAGGTTAATTCTAATGTTAATTTGAACCTTCGGCAGGCTAAGAATTAGCTTATGGCTACTTTTACTATTCATTTGTTTTATTTTAAGTGGCTAAAAATGAAGATTAGTCAGCTTAAAAAGATGACAAAAAGAAAGTTTTAGAGCTATTGTATTCATTTAGTCTAAGTTCCTGTTGCGTTTCATCTTCTAAGGTAGTTTCAATTCTTATATTCTTTTCTATCATTAATTTTTTGTTTGGATCAAGAGATTCTACCAAATTTTGAAGCTGTATTTCTATCGTAGTTGTTTTTTCTAAAATTTACTCTATAGCAGAATTGCATTTTCCCAACAAAGCAAACCATTAAATTTGATTATTTTCGTCATAAAATGCATTTAAATTAACTGCTTAGAAAGGAATGATCTCTGCAAATTTCAAAAATTCTTTTTAGTGCAGTTTCTAATCCATATTTGTTAAATTTAATTTTGATGGTATTTCTTTTCTTTTAAGTGTTTAAACTAATTTGAATTGAGATTCTTTAAAGCTGTATTGCTGGAGGTATACTTAATTAAATCCTCTTAGTATGAGATTTTTATCAATTTCACCTCCTAAAAAGTAAACGTGCTGCTTATAAGTAAAAGTAAAAGGAGAAAAGAGAGGACGGAAAGTCTTTTAAGATAATTTTTTATAGTTAACTTTTAAAAACAATAACTATTATTATCTATTATCCACAGCATATTCTTCAATAAAATTGCATAAATAGCCGTTATATGAAATACCACCAAACACATATATTTTTTCAATTTTATCCTCTTTTTAGTAGACGCATACACATCCAGATCTCGGAAGTGAATTAAAAATGAAATTTTCTTATGAGTAAGGTTCAAGCAGCTTCAATTACAATTATTAATCGTTTTGATCAGGATAATTACTTATTTGCTTACGTGGTACAATAAATATCATCTTTGAAAACTCTTTTTACTTCCATGTAGTAGGATTGATAACCTCTCCAAACATTTTAACAATAAATTAATCAGTAATACATAGAGATGAATTGAAAATTTCTAAATCTAATAAACTCTCTTAATGAATGTATCCTTCAAACTAGCCATTTTAAATAAAGTTACCTACTTAAAACTTATCTGTAACTCCATCTTATGATGATAACTAATTTTATAAATTGATTATTGGTCTAGTTGTATCACCTTATTAAGATTTGCCAGTTATTAAATGAAGTGTGTTTTATGATGATACACTACTTAAAGGCTGGGTGCTCTTCCAATTTACATCTAAAACTTTTTGCACAGAGTATTTAATTTCTTCTTAAATAAATTAATTTTCTCTATACTCTGTCAGAACATAATTTTTAAAGTGCTTACCTCTCTAAACATTAAAAAAGTAAATTGCTATTTTACTACTACTTTGATCTCTATTTTAGCTGTCGTAGTCATAATCAATCACATATTAACTATGTTCTGTGTAGAAGAATTTCAACTCTTAATCTACTCTATCTTATAGATTTAAGATATGGAGGTAAATTTTTTTTTTACGTCTCAAATCATAAACCCAATTATTTAGGAGGGCTTGAGTGTACCTTTTAAGCATAATTTTTACTTTTAATTGGTCACTATAGAGCTTATCGAATTCATTTCGTTTTAACTCACTTACCAACGTTTAAGCATACATTTCAGAATTTTAAGGATATTTTTGCATAACATTTATTATCATAGATTCAGAATTAGCCTTTATTTCTTCTTCTATCCCTTCGCCTTTTGGAACCTCAGTGTATTTATTTTGTTTTGAAAATTTCTATAGGAGATTCACTTTTTCACCGTTTGAGTGAGATACAAAATCAATAATGTGCTTAATTTGTTTAATCTTATTCATATAATCATGAATTTTTATTTGCTGAAGGGTCCATTTTACCTTTTAAACTCCTTTCAGCTATTCTTAGTTGGAATATGATCTTCTAGGCATAACTGATCTTCTTATTTATTCTGTAATACTACTCATAAATTAGACTTATACATGGATAGCTGTTTTTAAATTTTACTTCAATATAATCTTTCTATAATTAATAGTTTCGAATAGACTAAAAAATATTGAATTTAACTGTTCTTGTATATTTTGGTATAAATTTTTGTTTATTAAAAGAAGTTTTTGAACTAAATACTTTCTTTTTTCATCTTAACTAAAATTATTACAATAGAATTTATCATAACAATATGTTAAATATTTTTAATACGCAGTTTGTGATGGCTCCGTTTTCATCCAACTTGCTAATTTATTTATACTAGTTACTGTTTACTATGTAGAGTCACTTGTATAAAAAACAAATTTTTTTTTTTATTAATTTTTGAATGGAATAGTTATATTATCAGTTTGAGATTCTTAAATAATATTATTATTATTTTAAACTAAAACCTCACTTTTATCAAATAAATTAGCTTTCTAATTTTAATTATATGAGCTTGTCTTATCAATATCTTTTGCGTCTTCACTAGAATTTTAATATACGCCATCTTTTTCTTCAATTTTTGATAGATCTTTTACTTTTGAAATAGAAAGGTAATTGGTTGTATTATCAAAGGAATCAAGCCCTTCAAATTTTTATTAAGTTACACCTACTTCTTATTAAGAGCTAAGCTACTCTAATTGTTTTGGGAAAAGGTGATTTTCGTCTTTAGTATTTGCTACAAATAATACATGATTATTAGAAATTTAAGAAAGCATGTAACTGAAATATCCTAAAACATCTGGTTTTAAATTATAATAGTGGTTATGAGATTTTGTTAAAGAAAAATCATATGAAAAAATTATATAATTTGGTTTGTGATGTCTTACAAGCCTCAAAACCTATTCAAAAAGGTACAAAAACTCGCTTTAACCAATAATTTTAGGGCATTTTTACTCATTTTTAATGAAAAGATCATCAAGTTGAGCATTTGATCCATCTTATTTGTTAAGATACTCATTAATTGCAATCTCAAAACAATTTGAGTTTGGCTCAAGTGTTTCATTACCTTCCATTTTTAGAGAAGTATCAGAGGATTATTAATTATCTTCACTCTTAGTATTTTCTTAATGGTACATACTAATATACTAAATGTTGGTTAATTAATCTTTTTTTTGATTAAATTATGAATTCTAGAAAGCATTATAAAAAATTAAATGTTTATTTAATTCTTATTTTTATAAGCCTAATTAAATAAAAGACAATTTAGGAACATCATTCACAGTTCCTCCATTCTTTTCTAAAACTCTCATATTTGCATAGCATACACTTAGCACAGCAGGATTAAGGTTTCTTAAATTATAGTAATCCAAAACTTAAATTATATTTTAAAAAGAGCTATCAGTAACCTCATCTATTATTTCACCAATAGAAAAAATCTATTTTTTAATTGGATGCTTTAAAATGTATTCTTAAGTATTGGCATTTATATTTTTTAAAGATGGGTTCTCATCAAAAAGATTTTCTTTTAATTCATCAAAGATTTTTGGAGCATTTGCAATGTGATCCTATAAAGCTTTCATGAAAGCTCCCATTCTTTCATTATACTTGGTATATTAATATGGAGTCCTTCTAAATTATGTTCCTAATCTATATTATTATTTGTACAAATTATTTATTTATTTGTTATTAAAGAGAAAAACTATTTTGTAAAGATTTAATTTGAATCTACTCAAACTAAGATTAAAAGATGATAATTAATTAATTTGTCTCTAATTTTATTAAATAATTAATTAATTAAATGATTTGATTTTCATTTCAAATAAAATAAAAATTTCTCTATTTATATTTCTTTCTCTAATATTTGTAATTTATGTACTAGACAAAATCATTGAATTCTATTTTAAAAAATATTTTTTATACGATGTATTTTCTACTTTTCTTCTCACTAACAAATTATATTTCTAAAACTATGTTTCTGTTTATTTATATGAAATTTCTAATTATTTATTTGAATAAAACAAAGGGAATTTATCGTTTTCATTTATTATGATGTGATAATTATTTTTTTTAAATAAATAAATAAATTATTTTTATGTTATGTTTATATTAAATATTAGCTTACGAAGGAAATAATTCTAGCTATTATATAATTATATGATTTATATAATGTTTAATTAATGTACTGTCTTCTCTTTTAGCTAAATAGTCATTACATACTAGTAATTTCGGCTTCTTCTAATACACTTATGTTTTATTTTAATTATTTTATTAATTGCTTTTTCTTTCTTCAGAAGTTCCGTTTGCACTTCCTGCACCTAAGCCCTGATTATTTGTATTTGCTTGAGGATTATATGCGGATTTGATAATTTCTGTCCTTTTTGATTCACGAAACGGCAACAGAATTTAAGTATAATTTTACAGACTAATACTCATCTTAAAAAAGTATACTTTTTGATTTATTTCTAAATTTTGCTTCTTGAATTATTATTATTAAGAATTAATAAAAACATAATAAGCAATTATTTAGATATACTAAGAAATTTATTTATTTCAGTATACAAAGAAATTAATAATATTAGAAAAATAAGCCATCGCAATAATTTATATTTATGAATTCATAATAATATTTGTATCTTAAAAATAAACTAGTTTTTAAAAATAGAGAAATAGAAAGTTTTTTATTATTTTTAAGATAAATTAAAATATTTCTATTTCAATTAAAAAAAAAATAAATATTTTACTTATTTAAACAATAAAGTGATATTATAATTTATTATGATTTATTTATTGATATATTTTTTTATTTAACAATGTTAGTCATCGTTGTTACTTTTATTAAAAGAAATTGAATCTTTAAATTATTTAACTTCTAATTTATTACTTTTTATCAAATAATCTTTTTTGAAAAAAACTTTATTAATTTATTATTTGTTTAGATCAAAGCCAGAATAAGTTAGAGTAAATGGAAGAGGAACAAAAGCCATTTGTTTTTACACCTGCAGAAGGAGGAGAAGCTTCAATTAGAGGATTCAAAGGAAAAGCCAGGGCTGAATTCAGTAATGGTGACGTTTATGACGGAGAGTATGAAAATGGATTAAAGCATGGAAAAGGTGTTTATGAATATGTATCAAAGCAAGAAGGTGTACCCAATAATGTTTATAAGGGAACATTTGAAAATAATCTTAAAAACGGTATTGGTGTTATGACATACTACCTTCCAGAAGAGAAAAAGGAAGAATATTATGGTAAAAATCTTAATTATTTTGATAAATTACTACGTTTCAAAACAATTTTTTACTTTTTTGAAAATTATGAAACTTAATTTGCTATCTATTTAGGTTAGTGGAAGAATGATAAAAAACATGGCGAAGGAAGATATACCTATGCTAACGGAGACGTTTACAGTGGGTAATGGTAAAATGGAAAAAAGCACGGAGAAGGTACTTATGTCTTTGCAAAAACTTAAATGAGAGTATAATAATTATTTAAGAAGTAATAAAAAAAAGCTCATATTTTCTTTATAAATTAGTTTAAAGGTGAATTCCATGAAAATAAGTTATTAAATGGATAGTGGATTTATCCAAATGGTACAATTTATCGTGGTAAATTCGAAAACAATAAACCTATTGGAGAGGGTAAAATAAATAACTATAATTTTTTTATTAAAATAAATTTAAAAAATGAAAGTATGCATAACTATTATAAAATAATTAATAGGTCTTTGGACTTTTGCAAATCACAATGAAGTCTTTGGCCAATATACTCAAACTAAAATTCCTCTTAAAGATGATGAAGTAAATAATATATTTAAATATATAAACATAACTGTTCTAATTTAAAATACAAATTTCATTTTTAGAAAAACAGAAATTTACTCAATATAAAACTCGAATGGACCTCAGAGATTCCAGAACAAATTGTTTGAAATAGCTTTTAATTAAAAAAAATTATTATAAATAAATATTTTATTGTATGATATAAATATAAACATATACTCCTTTTGTAATCAATATTTATTTGCTTTTTTAACACTTTCGCTATTGAATATTCAAACAAAAATTAAATTGCTCTCTTATTTTTAATTAAATCATTTAAACTCTATAAATAAATAAAATGATATACTTGTTTACTTAGCTTTAGTATTATCTTTTAAGTAAACATTTGGTTATTTTTATATTTTTACCATTTTTATTGTTAATAAAATATTTGTTATAATCATAAAAGTTGTATTAAAATTATTAATGTAGAGTAAATATTTGAAAACAGTAAAATAATTCAAAAAAAAAAATACTTAATTTAAAAAGTTATTCATTACTTTATATTAAAAAAATCAGTAAAATATCTATTTATTTGTATAAAAGAAAAATAATATGGACTAAGGTTTATATCAAAGCTAACTATTACAGCCAGATCAAATAAAATATTGGGAAATAGCTAAATCTTAAGATTAGTAGAACTTTGTAATGATTATTTTTCTAGTGGAAATCAAAAATAATAATTTCTTTTTGAATTTGACATTAAGATTGATAATTTAGAGAGACAGCTGCTTGATTTGCAATTTTAAAAAAAGGAGCAGGAAGATTAGGCGTATTTTTTAGCATTTTAATATTGTTTCTTATTTTTTAAATAATTTTAGGGTTAAGACTATAGAATTTTACTAAAAGACTATAGAAGAAAAGTAATTTATTACTCATTTTAACATTTTTAACTTGTACTATTTAAGAAATAATTTACTAGATTAATACTAAGTTGAGAAAAACCAAATCAAAAGTAGATAGATCAATGTCTAGGGTCATGTGGATAATATTAATAGTTTAAGCTTGGAAGTTAAAAGATTAAAATCGGAGTTGAGATAAAAGAATGATCGAATTTTTTAGTTAGAAGTATAATTAAATAAATTAAAATGTTTATATGAAATTTATCTTCTATTGAATATTTAATTCAAAAATTAATTTTAATTTATTAATAAATAGCAAATTATAAATATTTTTATAAAATATATTTTATTCTTCTATCTTAAGAAAAAGGTACAATAACTTGAAGATGATTATAATTTTGATATAAAACTGCTAAACAACAAAAGAAATTATGAAAAAGCTCTAACATATAAATTAATGCAGTCATAAGTAGTTGTAGAAGTAAGTTCAAATTAAATTTAAAACTCAAAAAAAATGCTAATTTTTAAATAGAATACATCACTTAAGTTAATAAATTAAGGACTAGAAAAGTAGATATCTGAATTAAATGTAATTTTTAAACATTTTATTTATTTTAAAAACACTTTATAAATAAAGAGAAGATTATTGATGATTGAAAATGAATCTAAAGCTAATAAATAATCTTTGAGAAACCTTCAAGTTGATGCTGCTGCTAGAAAGTAATAAGAATAACTTAATTATGTAAAAATCTTTATAAATTAATAATCTTTTTTTATATAAATTTGAAATTTATCCATGAATTGTTGTATCTTAAGGTACAAAATCCTATAGGATTTTATGATTAGTAGTTTTTAATAACCCATTTATTTATTCATCTATACATCTATAAATTTATCTTTAATTCTAGCAATAAACATTAATTACAAAAAGGAAGATAGGATAAGAATTGAAAAGTTATTAAAGGGCTTAGATGATGAAGAAACAAATAATGAAAAAATAGTTGAAGTTTTTAAAGATGAAATGCTGTTATGTAAATATAATCTAATCAAATGATAAATTAAACAAATTTAACTATTTTTAGAAGGAGTTGTGGAGATTTTTACAAGAATGAGAAAAATGATAGTAAGAAATCTAAATAAATAATTTGTAAAAAGTAATAGATTATCTCAAAAAGGGGAGCTGTATGTATTTTAATTTTATATTTTAATAAATAAATTTAATATTTTAAAAAAAGTAATTCAGTCATAGCCTTTAAAGATATTATTTATGCCCACGTCAGCAATAAAAAAGATGAAGAAATATCAAGCTACCTATTGCTATATAGATAGTATATAACAATTATCAATTATTTGTCTTTGATTTGATTGGATTTTCTTTACTAAAAAGTTTGATATCATTTAGAAATTTTAGAAAGCATTTCATTTCTTATCTATTTTTATTTGGTAAAATAAGTATTTCTCTTTTTTAGAGAAACTAAGATCAAATTTAACTCCAGTTATAAATCCCTAAAATCAAACAATTTATTTCTTATCCTAATTTATTAGAATTTATTTGTTCAAAAATTTAAAAATACTGTTTTTATTATTTTCTTAGTTTTTAATTAAAGAGCTAAATCAGTGTGTAATTTTATTCTAATTAGTTTTATGAATGTTAAAAAAATAGATTTAAAGAGCTTATTTAGCACTATTATCCATAATATGGTAAAATTATATTCTACCGATAACAGTAATAACAAAGTGAAGAAGAGCTGAAAAGTCTATAGTCTACAGATTAAGTAAATGATAAAATTAATTAAAGTATTTAGATTATTTAGGAGAGAGATGAAATCAATAATTGGCTTCTTACCAACTTAGTGCTTTTAAAATCAAAGAGAAAATAAGAAAAATATAATTTAAAGAGAGATGAAAAGTAATAAAATAAAAAAAACGAGGCTGATTAAATTTTATTTTAGTCAAGGCATCTCTTTTAATATTTGGCTCTATATTTAAGACTACAACATATTAACTAAAAAAAATCTGATTAAGATGATAAAGTATCAGAAGGATAAAGTGTTGATAGTGATGATTAAAATACCAAATTTGATATAGATTAAGACTTACAAATAAATTTAGAGGAATAAATAGTTATTTAGTATTACAGATTGCTTTAGATTTTAATAAAACTTTGAAACACAGTAAAACAAAATAGATAAATATATAAAATTTGAGTTATTTTACTTGTTTTTTTGTAAATAAATTATTGTTGTTCCAAATTAAATTAAATTTCAAACAGTAAATAAATAGCCATATAAATTTTTAATTCTCTTTTGTATAAATAAATTAATTAAAACTATTCTACATCTATTTTTAACTTGTACGAGCTAAATCAAATATAGATTAGACACAGATCGATAGATAGATAAATTTATGATCAAATGACTCGACATCTATCAAAAAATTTAATTAGCTTTTGGTGTCATAATATTTGAGGAAGCTAAATTCGCATAATTCACCCTTCCAGCTGTTAATTTTTATAAACTAGTAACACCTCCTAATTATTTTAATAAATATGGATTTTGGATGTTATTTGGGATAGGATTTAGGAGAGGATTATGAACAAGAGAAGTAGCACTTTTAGATTGTTACAAGTAACTTGGAGTTTCATATCTGTTTATTTGCTTTAATTTTAAAAATTGATTTAAAATACCTTGCACTAATTACTATATTTAAAGAATACTTGTTTTTAGGGTGGAATAATCGGTGATTGTGCATTGATTGGGCTTTGATTTCTTTAAGAAAAGTTTTCAGTTTTCTAGTTTTATGAGTTTTAAAATGTTAATTAATATAAACAGCTTGATTATATATTTTAAATTGCTTTATAAATAAAAAATATTACAACAACTTTATTTTCAGTTTAATTTTAGTATCCTAGTTGTTGTTAAGATGGCTGCAAAGATTAGTATTAAGCAGGAGATCTTTGCTCTAAACTTTTTGATAAGATATCTTCTTAATTATAAAGATATCCTTTTTTCTAATATCCATTTTTTTCTTTTTATGCTAGCTATTCTTGTAGACCTGTTTTTAAGTCTACTCTTCTCTATATAAAATAAAATTTATTTTAATTTAAGAAAAAAACTTCAATAATAAACGAATCAAATATTTACACTTATTTAATTTTGCTTTCTGTTTTCTTCTTCCCTCAATTACCTTTGCTAGTCTTACTAAATACCTTTATCAATCATATCTTGTATTCTTTTTTCTTTGTTATGGTCAAACGGTATGAAATTCTTAGCTACATTTGATTAGAATTAGTCAAACTATTGATAATACTATACAAAAATGTTTATTAAATTGCAAAGAGAGCGTTTTGCTGATAATTAAATTAAACTTAATTTAATAAAAAATAAACAAAACCACGCAAATAATATAAAATATAACTAAGCTTTACTTTGCGGTAGTTATCTTCTTTAATTTACTATATTTAAGCCTGTTACTAAATCATTTATCGATATTCTTCCCTTTGCTGATTTCTATCAGCTATTTACTCAGTTTATAGCTTTTTCTTGTTGTTGTAGAAATTTAACATTTCTTATTTAGCTTGCTATCTCTACTAAAATTTTAATTATTACTCTTATTACAAAGATTATTATGCCCTTTGGATATTAAGTTGTTCTTCTTAAATTTTATCTTTTTTCTTATTAAAATTTGTGATTAATAAAATAAATCCATATTTATTTAAATATTACGAATTATTCATCAGCCTATTTTTTATTTGCAATCTAGTCCTTGTAGTTGTTAGATAGAAAAGATCTTAATTCTTTCTAAAAATTTTGTCTACTTTACTCGTCTTAGCGAAATTGTTGTATCTTTTAATCCATCTCAGTTTGTTCTTAAATTCTTTTCGAAACGTTATCCTAAATTTTTTTTTGATTTTCTTGTTAAAACTGCTGATATTGTTATCTTTTGAATAAAAATACATCTTAAAATAGCCAAAATAAGGATGATAATTATTTAAACAAATGAATTAATTTTGTTAGATATATATATTTAAAAATGTTAATAGGAATGAATAATATAGTCTGCAATTAATTACATTAGTAAGTCTTTTTTAGCTTTCTCTAATATTTTCTCTTCTTCCATAATTTATCTATTATACTCCTATTGCTAAGTCATCATCTATTTCCAATCCTCTTCTTCTTAAATTTATTTCTTCATTTTATACTTTAACTCCTTTTGATATAAGTTTTTTGAAATCGCTTTGTAAATTACTTATTTTTTATAAATTTATAAAAAGTTTTTTTTTGTTAATTAGATATATGAATATATATCACTTATGCAATATCTATCTCTATATATTCAATTAAAAAACTAACAATTATATTTCAAACTAACAAATATTTTTTAATAAATCAAAATTTGTTTTTTTGATTAATTCACTTTTTAAACACAACACTAAAATTAGGTAGTAAAAAGTTAAAAAAATTCTGATTTAAAATGATAAATAGTCATCATACTAGCTAGTAAACACTAAATAAGGAAAGCAAAGTAAATAAATAATCACATTTTAATTTGAATTTTTCAATTTTTTTCAATTATTAAAATCATTATTAGAGCTAGATGGATAAAAGTTACAATATAGATGACAGTATTGTTGATGCTAAATTTGAAAATTACACAAAAAAATATCAAGATGATAAATTAAACAAAATTCTACATACTTACATCAAAAATCCATAAATTTTAATGGATGAAGAAAAAGAAATAAAGGAAAGATTTTTAGCTAAACAAATGAAAGATGTAGCTGCCACCAAGTAAAAATTTGACACTAAAAATAAACTTCAACAATTAGAATTAGAAAACGAAAATTCACAAAACAACTCGTACAAAACCTCTAACAACTTATCTAAAGAAGAGGTCATTGCAGTTTTATAAAAACAAAATAGAAAGAGTCAAGTCAATTCAGTGCTCGCTGATAACTCAAATATTCAAAATGATTTTTATCCTTAGTATAGAAAGCCAAAGAATCCTACCACAAAAAAACGATAAAGCACAGATTACACAAAAAGAAACACATTTTAATTAGAGAATTTGAATATTTAATAACAATTAAATAATAAAGATTCACTAAATTAACAAAATTAATAGTAACAAGATTTGGCTAAAAATAGAGTAGATAATTCATAAAACTAAGACATTTAAGCTAGACTTTATGAAAGAACAGAATTGTAAAAGTTAAGAATCAAGTAAAAAGAAGAAGAATAAGCAGCCCTGAAAAATAAGAGATAAACAAATAGAAGCTAATCTATTGAATGTATAGAAATTAATTTCATAAGAATTTATTAGTTTATTTTTTAATTTTAACGTTTAAAAAAGAAAATGTTAATTTCGTGCAGAATGATAATTAAAAGCTCATAGATAGACATAAAGAATATTTAAAGCAGCTTAAACAGTAAGTAACAATAGAAAAAGAAACATAAAAGCAGCTTAAGAAGAAAGATGAAGAAAACAAAATTAGATTAAGAAACTCTGTCTTAGCTTCAATCAAAAACGATTTAACCGAACAAAGAAAATTAATATAGGAAAATCATAATTTATTTTTATCAAAGAGCACAGTATCATAAAGTGCAAAGCAAAGTAATTGGTTGATTATTTATGTTTTAAAATAATTTTAAAGATTTAAAGATATTTAATAGTTTTATAAATAAATTTATGAAAAAAAAAGAAAGATTTTATATTTACTATCAATTTGATTAATTTATTTAAATTAAAATAATTAGTATCCCTTCCTGAAATAAACTAGTCTTTAACTATTTGTTTGGAAAAGCAAAAGAGTGAAGTTGAGCAGGAAAAGAAGGCCGTTTTGACTAGTTAAGCTTTTTTCAGATAAAGCTCTTTGAGGGAAATAGAAGAAACAAATGAAAAAATAGAATCAAAGACTAATTTGTCTAAAGTAAAAAAACTTAGACCTTTGCCATTTATAAGCTCTATGGTTGAATGGAAAAAAAAGCAAAGAATTCCTGCTGATTCTAAAATATTTATAGTTATGGGAGGATACAAAGATTTTAAGAAAGCTCTTTTAAAGAGAGGGTGGATAGAAAACCCATAAACTAATAGTCCTTGTTTTGATCTGAAATGGACTTTGTTAGGAAAAGATATTGACTATGATAATATTTTACCTAATTAAATAGTAAATCATTTTGAAAATAATTCGAAAATATGCTCAAAAATAGGATTGCTAAATAGTCTTAAAAATTTATATTGGTTTGACAATGCAGACCTAAATTGTTTTTTTCCTTAATGTTTCGATATGAATGATCCTGATGAATTTAATGACTTCGTCAAAAATTTTAAGCTCAGCAAAGTAATTTAAATTATATTCTAAAAGAAATTAAAATTATGCTTTTTCGATTAATAGGCTGTTTCAGTTTTGAAAAAGTATTTAAGATTATATCTTGAAAAAGATGAAAAATATAACAACTGTAAAATACAGGCTTAAGTAGCTCTTTAGGTTCTTACACGTTATTATAATGATATTAATAATGTAATAGATGACGAAGTAATTTTTTCTTTTGTTTTTATCTTTTACATAGTTTACATAAAAAGAAATAAGCATCCGAATATTTTAAAAGTATTCCAGATGACGAATGGGAAATCCTTGCTTCAGACGAAATGAGTAATGAGGATTTAGCAAAAAAAAAACATTTCGAATGGATAAAAAAAATAAAATTGGCTTATTAGGGAATTAAGGTCAAAGCTTAAGTCAAAAAGAAAAAGAAAAAATCACTAGCTATGATTAAAAAAATGATTTCAAACGAGGCAATAAAAAGTAGCTATAATTTAAACTTGTGCAATATTTATAATAATTCTTTATTTTTAAGGAAAACAAGATGGAGAAAAGTAATAAATTGATAGCAGCGACAGTGAAGATGAAGAAGTTGAAATGGATGATTTTACATCAGCAGTTAATTAATTTTTAAATCAAAGAGAAAAATGTGATCCATAGTTTAATCTAAAAGGAGAGGATAATATTTGGATAGTAAAACCTGCAGGTTTTTTATTAATTTATTTATTTTGAAAAATATAACTTATTAAATAATTAGGATTATCAAGGGGAAGAGGAATAACTTGCTATAAAAATTTAGTTGAGATAATTGATCATGCAAAATCAATGGAACTCTAAATGATAGTCCAAAAATACATTGAAAATCCTGTTTTAATAAAATAAAGAAAAGTAAAATTAAATTTATTTATAAATGCCTTTTAAATAATATTTTATTAGTTCGATATTAGAATATGGGTCCTTGTTACAGATTGGAATCCTTTAGCAATATGGTATTTTGATGAATGTTACGTTCGCTTTAGTGCTGATAGCTACTCAACAAAAAATCTAAGCAATAAATTCTAGCATCTCACAAATAATGCTATCAGTAAAAAGAAGGCTTAATAAGGATAAGATGAAATAACTTTATAAGGGAATATGTATACTTAAGAGTAGCTTGAGAACTTTTTTATAGTAAAAATATCATTTAATTTTTTCTGTATTTAATTAAAGATTTTTTATAGGAAACTGAAGGATATAATGTATTCTAATAGAAAATAAAACCTCAAATTATAAATATAATAAAATGGTCAATTTTATCTTGTTCTGACACAGTTGAATCAAGGAAAAATAGTATGGAATTGTTTGGGTATGACATTATGATTGATACAAACTTTAATCCTTGGCTGTTAGAAGTTAATACATCTCCTTCTTTAGAATATTCCACAGTAAAATGAACTTAATTTTTATTTAAAATTAAAATAATCTAATTTAATTTAAATTTACAGGAAATTACTAAAAAACTTGTTAAATAAGTTTTAGAAGATGTTGCTAAAGTAGTTGTGGATTATGGTATGGCTCAAAAAAGTGGAATCAAAAAATCAGAATTATAGAAAATTGGCACAGGAAAATTCATAAAAATTTATTAGGGATTAGAGATTTAAGATAAAGGAATCAACTCTATATAAAAAAACTTTATCTGTGAAGGATCTAAAATGAAGATAAGAAAACCAAAAAAGCAAAAGAAAAATACTAAATTAGATAAAAAACAAAATTTACAACAAGATTTAACAATAAATAATTAAATAAACCATGATTAAAAATAATTTTCTTCTTAATAAGCCAACAATATAGAAACATATTCTAGACCATAAACTGCAAAATCATAAACTTAAAGTAGTAAAAAATTGTGAATTAATTCAGATAATTTGAATAGAAATTTATTTAAAAAAATGTAAATACATAAAAATTCTTATTTAAAATTACATATTTAAATGTATCATTTGTTTATAGTATAATTTGAGTTTTACTTTCCTTAAGAATTTTATTTTTTGATAATTTCCTTTGATAAAATATCTTTTGAAAACAAAAATTGTAGTTTTTATTTATATATACAAATATAGAAACATAAAATTTTTTATCTTTCCAAGCTCTTTATGGGATAAAATTCAAAATAATACATTTTCTGATTATTTTTTTAAAACAATCATTTTTAAAATGTAAAAAAACCTTTCTATGATAAATATTATAAAACATTAACAATAAAACCATAAACTTAAAGAATTAAAAATAATGAATTTAAAAAATATTTAAATACTTAAAAATTCTTTTTTAACATTTACTATTTAAAATCATTTGTTTGCTATTTTTGTTATAATCTATTTTTATTTTAAACTTAAAAATTCTTTTTTAACATTTACTATTTAAAATCATTTGTTTGCTATTTTTGTTATAATCTATTTTTATTTTAGAAATTTGATAAATTTCCTTTTATTTATCATTCATTAAAATATTTTTTGAATTTTTAAATAGAATATAAATCTTTTATGATAATTTATTGATAATTAATTCTTCAAATATAAAATATAAAATCTATTTTTGACAAAAATTAATTTAATTTATTTATTACTGATCCAAACAATTATCAAAATAAATATCCTCCAAATTTTCAAATTTTTAAACATATTTTTTAAACTGAAAAATAAACTTAATTTAATTTAATAATTTTTTATATTGTATCAATTTATTATAATTCATCACAAAAATAAATATGTGTGGTAGATTATTTATGAGATTAAATCTTCAACAGCTACAGTAAATTTCAAGATGTGCAGCAATTAGGAATGTTTCGAGATATCGTTCTAGTTATAATGTAGGACCTACTAATTATATTCCATGCATAAGAAAAAATAGTGTAAAAAATAATAAACAAGATATTTCAGATGAGTAAAAAGTTGAGTAGCTTGCTAAATAACAAATTAATAATTCTAATAAATAAAATATTGTGTTCATTTCTGATCCTATTATTTAAGAAGAAGGATGTGAAGCGAGTAATCTATTTATTACTGCTAAGCATTTATTTTATAAAGAAAATTAGAATGAGCAAATCTAAATGTAAGAATAAGTCAACGTAGATAATCAATATGATTAGCCCTAGATAAGCAATGAAAGTTAGCAAACAGATAGAATGTTGGATTTTTTGTATTGGGGTTTTTAGACAGAATTTTAAAATATAATTAATATAAGAAGTGAAGAGGCTGAAATGAAAAAAACATTTAAACCTTTGCTTAATAAAAATAGATGTGTATGCATCACTTAAGGCTACTACGAATGGACTCCAGATAAAATTCCTTATGTATTTTACAACAATTAAAAAGACTATATGCTTATTTGTGGAATTTATAGTGAAGAAAGTGAATAAGTAATGCTTTTAACTAGAGAATCTTTTGGAAAGTTTGATTAAGTTCATCATAGAATGCCTGTATTCATTGAAGAGGAAGAAGTAGAATAATGGCTAAATCCTAATATAGAATATAAAGAAGTATTATTTAAATAGCTTTTAAAAAGAGATAGAAAAGTTTATGATGAAATATCATCATACAGATGCTCAAACAATGTTAATAATATAAGAGAGTAAAGTGTAAAATGCTTAATGAGTTATGAAGAACATAAGAAGTACTTAGAAAAGAATGGCATAGGAAAATTTTTCAAAACAAACAAAGTAGTAGAAGATAAAAAAGATGAAGAGACTCAAGCATAAAGTTACTACAAAAAAGAAATAAATAAATAGTTAACATAAGAAACTAATGATTTAGCTACTTAATTTGAAAATACCTTTTTAAATGACTCTAAAAAGGAAGGAGAAGAAGAAAATAAACTTTATATTTCACAATCTGAAGTAGAAAATGTTCATAATAACATAAATAGTGATATCTAAGAAAGTAAATAAAAAACTTAATAGCAAAATAAGAAAAGTAATTAAATTAATTCAATAAAAAAAGAAAGATAAATATAAGAAAAACAGGAGCAAATACAATAAAGCTCAACAAAAAAAAGTAATAAATTGGTCAAACCTTCAGCGAATACATTTTTAGAAGGTTTAGAATAATTTTTTCAAAATAAAAACAACGAAAAAAAATGAATAATATATTTACAATAAGCTTTATTGCTTGAACTTATTATCTTTTAAATTTATTTATTTATTTTATTCAGTTTTCATGCACCCTTTATGTATTTAATTGTTACTCTTCTATAAAAAATTTGTATCAAAATTTTATTTATTTTATAATAGAAAAAAAATAATTAAAACGAATTAATTTTCATTCAAAATTTATTTAAAATACGCTTGTTTAATTTTTTTTGAAAAATTGTAAAAAATCTTTAATTAAGAGCTTTTAATTAAATTCTGAGGCTTTATTAGTAAATTATTAATTGATATTTTATTGATTTTTTTTCAAATAAATTTATGATTAAAAGAAAGTTTATTGTTTTCTAAACAAAAGTAGTTAATAATATAAATTATTTGAAAAATTACTGATTATATTTGAACAGGAAAAACTCTTAAAAAATAATTTCTTAAATTTAGTAATAAATTAAAAACAAATTACTCAACAGAAATGGGATACTTTTAATAGATTATTATTTTAACGTCTAATTAATTTAAGAATATTACTTAAAGCTTATCAAAAATTTCACTCAAATGTTTTTCTTATTGCTTGACTACGTGCTATAACTTATTTTACTCTTTCATTGAGATCTATGCTAGGTTGATAAGATTAAAGTTAATTAGTTTGTGGTTCTTAGTTAGTTTGATTTACAATTTTAGAATTATTTTATTAATTACCATTTAGTAAGATATTTAATTTAATAGATGAAGGTTTTGATTAACTATTTGGAGATAAGTTTGTTTTACTCCTATCTATTTATATTTCTAATTTATTTTGGTTTTATTATTGAGAAGTATCTAATAAACAATTTTGTTGGAGACTTTATCTATTTTCATTTTAATTAAATTATAAGGATATTTACTAAGATTATTATTGCTATTGCTTTTGTTGAGAAAGAGGTTTATTTATTAATCCAATTTGTTAATTTTCTTAAAAGTTAGACAAATTTGAACTTTGTAAGACTCTCTTATTATTAATTAACTCGGTATCAGCATTAATTTACTATTAAATTTCATTTTAAGAAGTGTCTATTACAACAGACTAAGATTAAATATTAGAATTACCTAACAAACTCACTCTATTTATTATTGCTTATTTAGCTGCTGTACTAAAAATCTAACTATTAGAAGTTTGTACCTCTGAATATCTTGCATTGTTATTTGTTGGTACTGGAGAAAGAAAATATTAATTTTATTGATTTGGCATTTGAGAGTAAGAAACATTAGCTCTTTTAGGCTATTCGAAAAATTCAATATCTTTATCTTAGTTTTGCTAATTAGGAGTTTTAAATGCTGTAGGGCTAATTACTTGAGTTTTAACTAAATTATTTTCTAGTTAATCAGGAGATTATTATTCATTTAGATTAAAATTTGTGTTAGATTAAATTTAATTAATATATTCTTTACCACTTTAGTTTTATTAATTAGGTAATTGTAATGGTATTCTTTACTAACTATATGAGCTCTGTTTATTTTGATAAATTCCCTAATTAATTAAGCCACTATGATTAGGTAAAATTTAATTTTAATATTCTGCTTATTGTTCTTAAATTTATGCAGTGCTTATTAACTCAAAAGGACTTCTTTCAATGCTATTCTAAAGCAAGTGCTCATTATTTTAATTTATCATGGGATTAGCAGTATTAGGTGCTTACTAAAGGATAATGTGAGGATGTTGTTATTTTTGAATATAGATTTTCTTTTAGTTATTGTTTTCTTCCAAGAAATTTTAAGAACTTCTATTTATATTATCAAGTAGCTACTAGTTAGATGTATATTATACAAAGGATTAGCTTCTTTGAGGATGACTTCTATTACTCTATGCTTATGATGGCTGAATGAGCTAATTATTTCCTATGTTAAGAGATTGAATTGCATGGTTATCATTATCTGATCTTTATCCATTAAATAAATAAGGTTTTGATTGAGCATTAAGTAATAAAATTTTTCCATTATTTTCCCTTTAAGGAGAGGCCTAGGCTGAAGCAACAAACTAAGGTTAAGGTAATAGTGCCTATGGTTGATTTAAAATTTTTATATAACTAGAATATGAATTATTAGTATTGGATGAGTTTTGATTAAAACTTTATATCTAGCTTTGTTACCTTGGGTGCTTAAATTTTAACACATTTTAACTCTGAAGTATCATACTCGTAGAAGTGTTAGGATCATTTTCAGGAGCAACTATCTCGATGTCTTAGGTATCGAAATTAGAAGTGTTTGGTTAATTATATTAGTATTGGTAAGGGTGTTATTTTTATAAAATTTACATATTTTTTTAACCTGTAAATTCTTTTTAATTTTACTATTTTGCATCAATTAGCTGATTTTAGTTTGCTTCACTTCCAAATTATTTTTAATACAAAGCCTATATTTCTTACTGCTATTCTTAAAGATTTCTGAGAATTTGAGATGGATTATGTTCAAGTTTTGGTGTTGATTCTCTTGGGTTAGATCCATTTAATAGACTGACTGAATGTTATCTAGACTGATTTGCAATCATAGACTTATGTAGCTACTATTTTTGAGATTCTTATGGCTTATTAGGTTATTCTTATTCTGTTTCTGACTACTCGTAATTTGGATTACTTGTTAAAATTAATTAACTTTAGCCTGTTTCTTTTGTTGTAGTTCTTTCTTTTGAATTAACTCTCTCTTATGAGTATAAACTTGTAGACCTTTCTTTTGATTAAATTTAGTTAAGATTCAAAGGAAGGTTCAGTCTTTAGTTTTATAGATTTGATAATTGCTATTGCTATATGCTTTAATTTTAGATTATTTTAGATTAGTTTTATAATTAATTAGTCTCTTATTATGATTATTATTATAATAATTATTTTTAATAAGTTGTCCTTTAATCAGCATTTGGCTACTAAAATCTTTATTAAATCATTTGACTCTAAAACTGCGGTTGTGATTATCCATTAGTTTTACCAACTCTATTCTACATACTTTACTATTAATATTGTTATTATTATTGTTAATCGCCAGGTAAATTATTTTATGAGTAGACTTGTTAGTACATGTTATTTAGTTATACTCTACTTTGTTATGCAGGAGCTTATTACTAAACCTAAGAGTTTTTCATAGAATAACTATATAATTATGATTATTGTTATTATTGCTACTAGAAAGGTTGTTAAACCTAAATTTGATAGCTATTCTAAATATTGCTTTATTTTAATACGTTGCTTTAAGGAACTTAGATTATTTGGGAATTATTTTGATTAGGATTTTATTATACTTAGTTCTAATTTAAAGATGTCCTAAAATGAGCACTGTCTTATACATCGATGCTGTTAGGAAATTGCAAGCTCAAATCATTGTCTTTAACTTGAAGCTGAGATATTTTTTAAAAGATTTGCCACTCTTAATCTTATTGATCATCAATTATGTATTGATTTTAAGACTATATATGAAGATCCTACTAATACATTTTTTAATTCTAATTATTCGTTTAAAGCTATTTCTAATTTATGTTATTCATAGCTCTTGGCTCTCCTCCAAATTAAGGAACTGCATTCTTTTGGTTATTCTTAACATTTGATTATTATTAATTTGCTATAGTAGTGTTTTGTAAATGTGCAGGTAAAGTAATAGTGTTATCATTTTGTAGTTTATTCCAAAGAGAGAGAGGATCTAAGCGTTTTCTGACATCGTAATCAAGCATAAGCTTCAAGTAGTAGTAAAATTAAGGACTATAGTAATTCTATATGAATTAGAGTCTTTCATTTATTACAGGAGCTAATATTGAATAATTTTCATCGTAACACTCTTAAGATAGTCTTAAGCTAGCAGCTTCAAGTAGAGTCATGCCCAAACAGAATATATCAGCCTTGTATATCATTTCATTTGAAGTAAAAACGTTTGAACCAGACCTCATTAAGGTAATTTACTCAGGAGAAAGATAGCTGAACTTTTTACCACTTTCTGCTAATCTCATTCCAATACATCTACCGCACAAAAAATCTCTATCATAAATAGCAAAATTGTTTCCAGCTGTATTAAAATAAATGCTTGAAGGGTGTATATCCCCATGAGGTATATTTTATCTCTACAAAAAGTTAAGAATGTTTAAGACACTCTTCGCTAAATTGAGTAAATCATCTTCTGGAAAGAGTCTGTTGGAATCCAATCTTTCACTTATAAGGGCCTCTAAAGAAAAGGTATTATACTCATACATTAAATGTAAAGTACTTTCATTAATTTGAGCTTCAGTATGTGCTTGAAGTAAACTGCTGTTGTTATTTCCACTGCTTAAACTCTTCTCTTATAATTGAGATTGCTATTATGGAGGTGGAGGTAAAGTATCTATTCCTAAACAACTAATCAAATTTATATGCTAAAGTTTGACTCTTTCATTAAATTATATTTTGCTTTCTTAATTATAGAATTAAGAAGCTTGATAATCACTCTTGCTAACTGGAACTGAAAACCAAATTTCATTATTCTTTTTTTAGTAAAGACGACAATTAGCTTGAATACCTTCTATATTCTGAAATTAAATGAAAGTTAGTCCGTCGCTTGAGGTAAATTTTTACAAAGATCTGTGAGGATCTTTTTAAATATTATTGGTATTTGTTGCTTAACTAGCAGTTACGTTACCCATTATTATATTTTCCTAATAAAATTAAAAAATTTTAACCCTATTTACACTGCTCTCTTTCTAATTTATTTATGTTTTGTTTTAAAAATATTGGATCTTTAAACCTAAAAAAAATTTCTGTTTATTTGAACCTCTTAAGATTTCCTTAAATTTTTTCTAAATTATGCAAATTTTTGTTTGTTCGTTAATAATAAACCTCATCCGAAGCAATCAAACATTTTAAATTACATAACAATAAAAAAAAAATTCAGATTAGTTGTAAAGACCTTTTAATTTTGTTCATCCATTTCCTTTTTGATGTTAATGATCGTTACTTATTGTTATTTACCAAGTTAAAAATAACTATCTTATTTAACTTTAAACTAAAAAAGAAAAACTTTCAAATATTATGAAAACAAACAAACATAAACAACAAACACATCGATTTTAAATTTATTTTTTTAAAATAAAAAAATATTTAGAATTTTTGAAATCATTTTATTTTATTTTTTGAATAAATAAATTTATAAAAATTTATATAAAAGTAAATTAAAAAATGTTGTAATATTTATTTAATTTGAATTAACTACAATAATCAAACTAATTTCAGTAGAATATTTATGAAAGCCTTAGAACAAATTATTGTAAGAGAATCTATGATATAATTTGTTTAATAGTAAATAATATACAAATAGAAATTTACATGTAATTGATTAGATAGATTATATGTTAATTATTAGTAAAATATTTTTCTACATTAATATTAAATTTTATATTCTTTTTTAATGTTTCTTCTAGCTTTATTAAGAAAGATTGAGAAAGAGAGATAGATAGATAAAGATGGGTAAGTAGTTAAGATAAATAGATATTTGATTAGTTAACTAGCTAGCTAGCTATTTAGATGCTTTAGTATTTCTCTAAAAAACTGAGATTAATATATTTTGATTGATTGATTGATATAATTACTATTTCATTTTATATACTAGTAACTTAATGAAAAGTACTTTTAATTATTTGACTTAGATTACTTCTAGATAAAAGTAAAATCAGTAAGCAAAAGCAAATTGCTAATTTTATTATTTTTATGTGATTTATAGTTTAATTTCATATTTTATCTCAATCCTCTTTTTTGTCAATAGCAGCCCCGTTCTTTATGTCTAAATCAGTTTCATTTTCTAGCCATTTAATTCTTTTACCGTCTTCCCAATAACCAATTTTAATTGATCCATCAGGGAGTATGTATTTTCCTTTACCATGTTACCTTTTTTATTATTAAATTACATTAATTCATATTATTAATTATTAGATATTTATTACTTTCCATAACCCCAGAAACCTTCATATCTTCTTCCGTCTGCCCAAGTGTAAATACCATATCCATGTTTCTTATCGTATTGATACTCTCCTTCGTATTTTCTACCATCTTTCCAAGTGTAAATACCTTTACCATGCATGTTATTATTTAACCATTCTCCCTTTTATTTACAAGTACATTATTATAACAAAATATATTGAACAAATTGTTTACTTCGTATTTACGGCCATCAAGCCATGTATAGGTGCCCTTTCCAGATATTCTAAATTTTTAAAATAGGACAGTTTATTTAATAATGACAAATAAATAAAAAGTTTATTTATACCTGTTTTCAATCCATTCACCTACATATTTAGAGCAATCACTCCATGTATAGGTACCTTAGCCATGTTTTTTACCTTCTTTATAATATCCTTCATATTTTGAGCCATCAGCCCAGGTTTCAACTCCATAACCATCTTATAAATCATCCTTCCATTGACCTTTTGTTAAAAATGAGTGTTTATGTATATATATTAAATTTAATAGATTTTTACCTTCATATTTAGCTCCATTTACATGTACATATGTTCCATATCCGTTTGCCTTATCATCTTACCACTAACCTTCAAATATGTCACCATCAACATGCCAAAATTTACCATTTCCATGAGCTTTATTATCTTTCCATTCACCTTAATTATGGAAGAAGAAAAAAAAATTGAAAATAAATACAATTAATAAATCAATCTATTAAATGTTTTTTTAAGTTTAAGAAAAATAAAGAGCAATCTATCAATCTATCCTTTTTAAGAAATTACTGATTAAAATTTTTTGCAGCTTTTATTTTTATTTTTCGATTTTTAAGAAAGAAGTAAGAATTAAAAAATTTTTAATGGCACATATTTAAAAATAAATACCTTCGTAGCGGGCACCATCAGGCCATGTTTAGATACCATATCCATCTCTCATGTTTCCTAATTATTAATTAAAAAGAAAAATCGTTAGTATGTATCATAATAAAAATCATTTAAAAAATAATAATGTATTATTTATTTTTTTTCTTCTAGTTCTCTGCATAATTTTCAAATTAATTAATAAGAAGAGCTATACAACAAATATTGTTAAAAAATTCTCTTTAACTGAATAAAAAACATACCTATCCACTCTCCTTCATAAATGGCTCCACTTTTAAATTAATAAGGTGAACGTTTTTCTCTTTTTTATGGTTAATCACTATTTTGATTTGGAATTGCTTCTTCTATCGGCTATTCCTTGTACATATTATGCTTGGAGTGATCTCCACTTTAATTCATCTTATTATCGTTAGTATCTAATCTCACAGCTTCTTAGTTAACTTCTTCATTTTTCTTTTCTTGCTAGTATTAATTGGATTAGGAACTCATAGATTGTTGTTAAGCCACATTTCCACCACTAGACTACTATTTAGAAATTATAGGAGCCTTTTGATTCTTATCATTTTTATAATCAGGCATATCTTGATAGTTATTCCCATGGCTGCTATTTTACTTATCAAGAGAATGACTTGACCCTGCAGCATTTTTGTAATTTTCTTTTGATTATCCGTTTTGTGCCATAGTACTTTTTGCATTTATTGCTGAACTTGATTCATTTTCTTGGTAGAGAGCTGCAGTTCCAGCACCACTTTACATTTCATCTTATTAAGTCTTTATTTCAATTTAATTATTACCCTTACAATTAGAGCAGGCAGAACAATCCTATCCCATATTTACTAAAATTAGTCCTTACTTTTGCTGTAAAATACTTATTATATTGATACTATCTAAACTTGTGTAATAAATGATATTTAAATTTTATTATAGCAGTATCTGCAAAAACTTTTTTGTTGATATATTTCCTCTCTCTTTATCAGCTTTTGTTAATTTTTGAAGTAACAATTTTTAATAAATATAGTAAAATGATCAGAATTATTTGTTATTTTTTGTTTAACTCTTTATTTAATAGTTTTTATTCAATAAATCAACCAATAGTCTTAGTACTTCTTAAAGTAAATTAAATAAATAATGTTAATATATATATTAAATTAATTAAATATATTGTTTTACTACTAATTAGGGTCATAAAATAAGATCAACCAAGAAACCACTATCTGTTTAGATTCAATTTTTATTGATTTTTATTGCCAAAAAGATAAAATCAAATAAAAAGCCAAAAAAATATTTTTTTTAAATTAGCAATAATTAAATTGTTTTTACGTTCAAATTAAAAAGAAAAATTAAAAATTTTAATAAAAAGTATTAATAAATAAATAAATTATTATCAACCATTTAATTTGAAATTATTATTGTTAAGGAAGAAAATTCTATTTAATATTTTTATTAAAAAAAATAATTTAATCATAAAAACTTTAAAATATTAACAATCGGTCAATATGAAAAGCAGCTTGTGAATAAAATGATGATACATTTTGTAAATAACTTGGAAGAAAAAACTAGATTAAAAATATATAAATCTACATTTGTAAACTTTAAATAATTATTGATGTTTATGAGATTATATTTAAATTTAATTATTGCTTTTGAATATTAAAAAGAAAAAAAAACGCTGGTTATTATTTTGAAGAAGCTGAGGCATTTTAAAATCAAAAGAACATAATTAGGTTTCAAAAATTTAACTTATTTCATAAATCGTTTTTTAGATTTCAATAATATATTTAGCATTTTTCAAATATTCAATTTGAAGCAGTACTCAAAAACATAAATTGTATTGAATTAAATACCAAAATTATTAATTAAAATATTTGATGAATGTATTTATTTATTTATTTATTTATTAATTACATCTATAAATCAAATATTTACAATAGTAATTAAATATATCAAATATTAATATCCAATTAATGATAAATTAATTTCATGCTTCACTGATGAATGATTTAAATATTTAAAGGATCTCATTCATAGCTATTATTTAATTTTTAATCCACTCACATTTTATTTTTCTTTTATTCATCACTTTATATAATCAAAACATGTTTATTTCTTTTCACATTTAATATTATCAAAATTTTTTGTAAAATTTCTTCAAAATTTGGGATTAAATTCTTGTTTTTTGTATTATAATTTAAAACAATTTAAATAATTAAGTAAGAACTATTTATTGTTATTATAATTTAATAATTAAAATTATTATTTTTTATAAAAATTAAGTTTTCGATATTAAGTAAATTAGAGTATTTATTTATTTTTATATTTATTATTCACATTTTTATGATTTTTACTAATTATTTATTTGATCCAGATATATTTTTGATTAAATTTTTTATATTAAAAATGCAAAGCCAGTACTTTTATTTTTCTGTGGAATTCCTTTTAAAACAAAATTTCTAGCTATCTTAAATAATTTAATAATATATCAATCATTCAAGACTATTACCAACTTTATTTCTTTATATCTGCATAAGTAGATAGAGAGTTTGTTCTCTATTTTTGGATACTCACTCTATGAGCCATCAACGAGCTTTATTCCACTGGTTACAATACTGGTACTTATACATTCTATTTTAAAAAGTGGTCTTTTAGTGTGATTACTTATTTATTTTCCAAGGAAGGGATGATTGCTCTGTCATGAAATTTTGCGGCTGTTGATGTGGTATTCCTTGTTACTTCACTTGGAGAAATATTCTCATTTTTAGTATTGTTTTTGACATCAATGTCTTGTTATTGTTTTTCTTAGATATTATCATTGTTGGTTTAGTATCTTTTAGATTTAGTTTAAATGCAGCCCATTTTTTTTCTTAATATATTATTTTTATAAGTTTTACTTGTTATGATTATGATTTTTTATTTTTTTTGTATTACTAATAACTAATTTGTTTATTTTTTAATTTGTTGTTTGATATAAGTCTTCATACAAACTATTATAAACTGGAATAGAAAGAAAGGATTGTCGTAATTTGTTTAGTGCTTGAAATAACTGTCAGTAATCTAATATAATATAATTTTTTATTTAATTTCTATCAATATCAATAAATGCAGTTAATTATTTAAAAATACAATACATTCTTTCTTTTTTTTTTTAAATTAATAACAAAAAGAATTTGGGTAATTTTTTTTCAATTGAAAGATACGAAGTTAAAAGAGTAAAGTTTTGGTAAGCCAGTTTTATATAAAAATATCTAAATATAAACAATTATATAGTGAATAATGAATATACAATAATTTTTTATTTATTACTTTTATTTTTCTAAATAAATAATTTGAATAAGTAGGTAGAGCTCTCTCTATTTAGCTTTTATAGATGTTATGATGAACACTATCTATTGCTTATATTTTATTTAATCACTTTCAAATTTAATTTTATCTTTTCTCATTATGGAAGCCTCTTTTTATAGTGCCATAAAAGAAGTCCTACAGAACCAAGTATAGCAACAGATCCTCCTACAAGATGACTTACAACTAACATTAAATTTTTTCCTCCTGTGGAGTTAACGTTAGAAAGGATCAATGCTTTCTATGAGTCGTAAATTGAAAGATTATATGCTAATTAATTTTAGTTAATTAAAAATACTTTTCTTGCATGAATGTGAATTTTAATAAATATTACTATTTGTTGTGCAGATATTATATGTTCCAGATTATAAATCAGATTAGATTTTACCAAGAGTTTTACGAAATTTTGAAAGCCCTGATGGTCTCATCCAAATTTAATAAGGTTCTAAATTGATAAAATAAATATTTTAACCAGGCTTGCTCAATTTATTATTTAATAGTTCACTCGTTGAATAGGTATTTAATTAATTAATAAAAATTAATGTTCAAAAGGCTTACCAAACTCCAAATCAAGCCATTGCTAACTAGGTTATTGATTTTTCATATTATCTACATCGTATTACCAAGATATTCCAGTATAACTTAATTCATAACTTTAACCAGATGTTTAATGCCTAATATCACTAAATTTTTCTTATTATTTTATAAAAATAATTTTAATGAAATTGCTATATTTGTTATTAATTACAATTAAGTAATAAAATAAATAAATAATTAACTTAATTAGAAACTAAATACTTAATTAACTTAATGAAAATATAAAATACCTTAAAATACATCATATGCTCTAATACCACAAGGATAAGCAATATTTGAAGGATTTAAATCAGTTTTACCATCAATACTTTTGAAACCAATATAAGGCTTATTACCAAGTATATCTTAATTTGTTGTAAATGGGTTGCAATCGCCTGTGTCCTCACCATTAATATTAGAATATAATTATGAAGCATCATATTTTTTGAAGTATGTATCAGTATTTTAATTATAATTTTTCATTTCTACAAAAAGGTAAACTGGCCCTGACATAAGATTAGGCACATTAAAAGTAAAGCAGCATTTTGTACCATAATTAGAGCAATCTGGTAAAGAATAATAATCTACTCTTATCTCAGTTATATCATTATTTTTTACTTCAAAAACAATACCTGCAATTAATAGGTACAATCCTAATTATACAAAAATTTTAAGAAAATATTTTACAAAATATTTTTTATCAGTTTAGCTTTTTAAATATTTCAGGAAAGTAAATTAAGAAAGTAATACTTCAAACCAAATATTTACCTCCTATAAAATAAAAAATTGCTCCCTTTAATTTATTAGAACCTTTCCATTGGCTCATAGCTAACTCTTATTCTTTAATTGCTTCATTTTTATTTAAACTATAATTTATAAAATTATTTATTGAATCGTGATTTCTTGGTACATGATTCAAATCAGAATTATCTCCTTATTCTTTCATAAGTAATACTAACTTTATTATTTTATTTTAAATATTCTACTTGCCTGAAAAGCTTTTTTTTCAAGTTCACCAGTTGACTTTAAAATTAAACGTATTTACTTTGTTTTTATCACTAAATAGGATTTTTTTTATAGTTGAAAAGTGAAAATTAATTAATTTTTTTCTTTATTTATTATTCCAGCTATTTAATTTAATCGTAGATATAATTTTTAATATACAACAAATAATCAAGCAAGCAAACAAATAAACAAACAAATAAATTATTCCGATTAATAATAATTGTATAAATTTTTTTTAGTTTGTTTGTTTTATTTTTTGAATCTTAACTAATAGTATTAAATCATTTACGTTTTGATAATTTGCATTTTAATTACTTTTTTTGTATTAAACACTAGCAAAATATTTTTTATGGACAATTACCAGTAATACATATAGAGTTTTGCTATAATAATCATAATTTGTTAAATATTTTTATTATTAAATTCTTTTTAAAGCTATGCTATATGAAAGTATATAATGTAAAGACTACTAAATTTAAAAATGCAAATAAAAATATTATTAATCTCAACAAAAAAATAAAGGTAGTTAAATATTTTTAATTAAATTATTTTTTTGATAGATTAAGTAATGAAGTGAGTAAATTTTGATAATAGTTTATGATTAAAAATTAGTAAAATTAATGTATTTAATAAATTGTTACTATTAATAACCTTTAGTGCTAGTATTTTTAAAAATCAAATATAAATTAATTATTAAACTCTGGGATAATGTAAATTAGAACTTAATTTTATACCCTATTTATTGTAAATTTAATGTTAAATTTTATTTTTCAAATTTGTAACCTTTTAAAAAGAGAATTTATTAACCATTAAATAAACTTAAAAGAAAATATAAAAATGAATTTATTAATAGATTTTTTATTAAAAATTAATATTATTAAATGCTTAATAGTAATATTTAGTTATTCTCTCATTTTTTTTTTTAAACTAATAATTTAAGATAATTTTATACTTATTTAGATTAATTAAATGAAAATAACAATAGGTTTTGCCTTTTTACCAGTTTTAGTTTATTCTTTAATAATAATTGATACTTTAAAAGATATAATATATTTACTTTTAAAAAAGTGAGTTGATATGATAATATAATTTTTTTAAAAATTATTGTTTTGACGAATAAACTAAATAAATATTATTAAAAATTATTATTAATTTTTATTTGTTAATCAAAATCTTTAAGATTAATTAAAAATTAATTGCTAATGTTTAGAAAATTATATTTAGTTGTTTTTATAATATATTTATTTAATTCCTTAAATAAATAGAAAAATAGAAAAAATAAACATTTGTCTATTTATTATCATCCATTCAATAAATTGAATACTCTATTTGAAAAAATAATACTTTTAAAAATGAATTATTAATTTTCAATTTTTGTTTGCCGAAAAACCAGCAAATCATTATGTCAAACATCAAAATTGATCATATTATCAAATGTAATCAATGACTACCAGTAAAAATTTTTGTTATTAGCCATTCTAAAATATAATTTTTTGAATAAGAATCCAAAAATTGTATACAAAATACCATTCGTTACTCATTCAATAACACTATTTAAGAAAGAGGGAAAAAAAAATATAAATTATTATTTCTAAAAATTTAATAACAAAAATTATTTATAAAGTCTAATTACCAAACACAAAATTAAGTTGATAAGCCAACCAACAATAAATAAAAGCAGAAATCTATCTAGCAAACCAAAGCAACGATAAATCATTTAGTGGAGACATAAATCAGCAATCTAACAAAAGATAGACTAATTAATTATACAATAGATTATAGGATATTAAATAAATGACAAATCGTGTCAACTACCTTTATTCTGATTACAAGGGATATGGCTTGTAATAAGGAATTTCTTTGACAGCATAAAAAAATGGTAAACTTATTCATTTGAAAAATTATCACCAATTAAATTTTTATTTAAAAAAGGCGCAATCACTTAAACATCTAGCTTTAACTACTAACCTGTTGCAAAAGAAAATATATCAACATTAGGCTAAATTTCTAATTAACCTTTGTACTAATAAATTTAATACTCAACATAATCAGGTCGCACAGTTCAAAGGACTGCTTCACCAATGATTATTCAGCATCCTAGTAGATATGGAACAAATAATGCAAATTTAAGCACCTCACCAAATCAGTCTAGTGCAACTAGTGCAACGAAATATTAAGTTCCTTCTTACTAGAATAATGGCGGTTTATCAACTAATTTTTCATATTCTGCAGAAAAAAGCACAACCTCTAATGGAACAGAAGCTATATCTCGTCCTTCTATAGGAGCTTCATATCTTTCATCCTAAAACAATAACTAATTTAATAATAGTTAAGCACTTCGTTCTCCATATGTCTCTAGTTTTACTTCTAATTTGACATCCAGTTAAATGAATGGTACTTCCAATTCTAACTCTAATCCTAGCGGAGCGTAAGTTACCCATCATCATGGAAGATCAATAAGTATGTTTTCAGGCTAAAATTATACAGCTCCTTCTATAGCCTAGAGCTTATCTCTTTCCATTGGAACTTAATCAAATTAACCATCATCAACTAATTAGTCTTCATTAGCAAGTGGAAATGTAGCAAATCTAGGTAATAATTAAAATAACTCTACTTCATTTTCATAAGTTTATACCTCACTATCAGCAAACAATAAAGTAGCCTTGAATAATAATTTAAGCAGTGGTGTAAATGGATAAATTGTTGGTGATAGAAGTATAAGCTATACAGGAAGCAGTGCCTATCCTCAAATAAATACATAAAGTATAGAAAATTTTTACTAGCAGAATAGCTAGCCTTCAAATGAGTAACTTAACAGATCAGATTCATTATCTCCAAGTAAGCGTGTTACTTTTAATTTAGCTCGTAATACTTACACAGATATAGAGTAAATTGAAAAGCGTTTAAATGAGTCTACTAGATTAAGACCTGCAGATGAAGTAGAAGACAGTAGAGATAGAACCCCAACAGCAACCTTTGGCCATAACCATATATATGAAGATGATTTGAGCAAGAGATTCGATTAAGCTATTTTCCGCAGTGAGAGAATCATTTCTGATTGCCTTCGCATTGGAAGAGAAGGTCAGCAATACAAAAATGCATTAGAAAATAGCACAGTAGCAAATGGATCTACAACACCAAATGGTCCAAAAATGATCCGCAATCCAAGTAGAAGTAAAAGTCCAATAAAATCAAGCTTAAAGAGAACTTCTAGTTTTACTGGTAGTCCTTAAAAATCTGTAAACACTACTCCTAGCACTTATTAAGCTGCATAAGATACTAATTTAGCTGCTTCTTAAAATTTGTAGAAATTTAGTGATGCCTTTGAAAATCCACTAACAAACCAAACTAATAAAATTATCAACAATATTCATACAACAACTGAGACTATTTATTCCTCCAAATAAGCAGCTTCACCATATCTTTAGAGTAATTCTTCATCAGAAAAGACTCCATAATCTTTAACTAATAATTCAGCTTCAACTGTGGTTTCTTCAACAAACTCATCTCAGATTTCTGTTCCCTCTTACTTGGCCTAAACTTCATCCTTGAATAGCCAAAATCCCGAAAAACAAGTACCTTTATCAAGCTAAACCACATATGTCTCTTCTTCAACAAAATAAGTTGGACTTACTAATTCAGTCACTGATGAAAATCAATTTGTAGCATCCTCATCTAATGTAAATAAAGCTATTACTTCATCTAAGCCTTACAGTGCACAAGAAAATGGAATTTCTTCAAGCGTGTACTCTGTGACTTCAGCATATAATACATCTCTATTATCTTCTACATAAAATACAAACCCATAAAAAGCATCTTATCTATCAAAAGTTTCATCATCAAAAGAAAATGAGCAATAAAGTGTCTCAAGTTAAAATAAAGCTCCATCTTAAGTAGAATTTACCTCTATTGCTTTAAAAAAGAGTGAATCTGAGGTAGTAGATTAAAATCAAAATAAACAAGATAAATAATAAAATGATGCAAAGAGATTAAGCTTGCAACCAACTTCTGCTACAAAGCCTCGCCAAGGTATCTTAAGATATTCAGATGGATCCAGATATGATGGAGAAATCTTAAATAATTAAAGACATGGGTACGGTACTTTGCTTAGTAGTGATTTCTAAGTTATTTATTAAGGAGATTGGTAAAATGATACCTATCATGGATAAGGTAAATTCTTCAATCCCTTAGCAGAAAACCTCTTTGATGAATATGAATATAGTGATTTTGATGTTGCTTTGAGTCAATACTGGGAATCATATGAAGGAGAATTTTATGAAGGTAAATTAGATGGTTTTGGAACTTTGATGCTTACAAATGGTGAAAAGCTAGTAGGAAATTTCAAAAAAGGTCGTATCTGTGGAAAAGGAACCTTTTACTGCAATAAAGGACCAGCCGTTACAGGTAACTGGGAAGACAATCGCTTATTAGAAAAGTATTGAAAAATTCAAAGAAAAAACAAACTTTGAAAATATTGTAAGATAGTTAGTTGGTTAGTTATAAAGTTAAAAATAATAAAAATAATTTGAAGGAAAATTAAAGAAGATAGTTTAGAATTTCTACTTAAAATAAATACATACTATAAGGTTTACATAAAATAAATATATTACTAAAAAAAAATAAAATAAACAGCTCATTTATTCATAACAAAACATGTTTACTTGTATATATTTTTATATTATATTTTTTATGTATTGATTTGGTTAATGAATAAATAGATAGATAGATCGATAAATAGATTAATAATCAGGATAATGTAGTAAATATATATAAATAATTACAACAGTTTCATTTGTTTAAATATTTGCCTTTTTTTTTGTTGGAATTTCCACCTAAATTTCTTTTGAAATTTAGATAAATTTATAAATTTAATATTTAATGAGTATAAATTAATTGTAAAATTAGTAAAAAAATTTAATTACTAAGAATTTCAATCAAAGTAATTGCTTTAGAGCCTAGGTAAACTTCTGTTATTAGATAAATTGCCTCTTTAAAATCTATTTTAAAATTAATTACAAGATTCTTCTGTTTTATTTTCGGCTTGGTAATAATATTTTTAGCCAACAGAGGATTATGTATCAAATTGAGTGTTCAAAGATTAGTAATAGTTCTAGCTTATGTCATTATTTTGGGTTCTATTCTAAAACTATTTTTGCTCTTATTAGGAAAATTTATTATTATTTAATTTTGGTTATTGCTTTTAACTATCAATTTTAATATAATTATTATTTTGTTAGGCTTAATTTTAAAAACTGTTGTTATTGATATTTCGTTTATATGTGTTTTAGAGACTAGTTGCTGCTGGACTCCTTGATCTCTTTTAATTTTCTATTATTTTTTATTAGCATTAAGATTTATTCTCTTTACCATAATTAAAAGGTCTAAGTTAATTTTAGTCATTTTACATTTGATTACTATTACTATTACTGTTCTCTTATTTTGCTATATTGGAGTAATTAAAACTAGAAACATGTTAATTATTTTGCTAGAATTAATTAGAATTCTAAGAAGCTATTAACTGTTGCATATGCTGTAATCTATCGTTTTGAGTAATTAAATTTTACACAGCCAAAATTATTTCATGTTCATTTGAAAGTTTAAGCATTTTTAATAATATGTTTGTTGTACTTTAATTCATTTAATCTTCTAATTTTAACTTAATATATTAATTATACAACCATTTAAAATATTTCCAGCAGTCTTTAAGAGTAGGTTATTAATTAAGTTCGCTTTTGGCAATACTTTTAATCATATCTTTAAATACTTTTGCAAAATCTTTATATCTACAGTAATCCTTTTATAATTACTCAATTTCTTGCAAAATTGTTTGTAAGTTTATTGATTCTTAGAATTCACTTTTATCTTAATCATATTGATTTTGTTGAATATTTTAACTATTTTCTTTACCAAATATCTAGCTGATCCATAAACATGAATTTTAAGGTAAACAATAGAACTCTCCCTTTTCACCAAAGAGTCTTTGGATTAAGTCTAACAAATTTCTAGTTGCTTAGTCAATTTATACCTAATAATCTTATTTCTAATTTTCTAATTCTGCATTCAGTCTTTATATTAATTTATCTTACTAATCAATAAAATCCTTTAGCTTGTATTCTTATTTAGATTCCTTTAGCTGTTAGTTTTCTTGAATAACCTATTCTAACTCTTTGCATTTTAAACAATATTCTTCTTTGAGATTTTCATATTACTTCAACAACTTTTCTGCCTTAGCAAGCAGAGACTAGTTGTCTTTGTCATCATTTTACAATTCATTAATTTTTTAATCTTTCTTTTTTAAAAGTTCCTTAATCTCTTTGACCTCGAGCTACAACAGCTTTTAATTCTCAGTTTATTCTTCTATTTATTTCATTAAAAGGCTATTATTTTGCTACAACTATAGTATACTAGTTTTATCTTTTTCATCTTTCTAATGAGATACAGTTTATATTTGGGATTCTAGATCAGCAATCTTTTAAGTCATTTTTAGTTTATTGTATTTTTCATCATCTAATAATTTAGTTAACTTTGCTATTTCATCTCTTTGTCGTTAAATCTTCATTTCAAGTAGCTAATTTTCTCCATTTAGTCTATTTTGTTGTGTTTCATCATTCAAAGAATCCTATTGACTGTTCTTCCTAAATCTATTTTCACTAAAATTCTATTAACTAATTTTATATTTCTAGCTGATCTCAGAAGATTTTTTTTGAGTCATTTCATTTTAACCATTAAGGGAATTATCATTGTTTTCAAAGTCTGAATCATCAAATTCTGAGTCATTTTTATATTTTGAAAGAAGTTTATTGTATTTCTTCTCAATTGAATTAGCATTTTCAGGATTTGATCTTTCAGTGGTAGGAAAATTTTTTTTATTTGTTTTTAAGCTAGATATAGACTAGTGCGATTAATTTAAATTTTAACTATTCAATTAATTTTAATTTTTTTTAAGTATTTCACATTCTTTTTATTTGCTCTCATAATTGAGCAACAGCTCATTAAATTAAGATTTAATCTCAAAGAACGATTTGTCTCTGCTCATTATTTTTTACTCCATCAGTCTATTTTTTTCTCTTTCTTGATCAAGTTATTTAATAAGATCATCTCTGATACGATAAAAAGTGTCTTTTTTAAGATCTTAAACAGAATCTTCAAATTCATAATCAGAAACAGTTTTATCAAAAATTTTATTTTAAGCTAAAGGATTAATAGCTTCTTAATATGTTTATGCTTGTGCATTAGTAATTTCTTGCTTAATTTCATGCAATTTTTTATCATATTGATTGTTTTTTGAAATCAAATAACCTCTTTTTGAACCTTATCTTTGTTATTCGATTATATTTTAATTATCACTATCACAAGAAAAACTTAAATTCTAACTTTCTATTTGATTCTATTATTGTTTAAGAGATCTTTTTATTTTTGGAATTTAGGCATCTTCTGATAAATCATCAAAATCACTAGTAAAGTTGAGCTTTTTTTATTCACTATTTTCTTTTTAAAATTTATAGTTATTAATTTTATAGTTATCTTTTTAAAACTTTTAATGCTCATAATCCAAAGAATCCTCACTCATGTTAACTTCATTATGCTTTTTACCACTAGAATTAAATTCATCTTCATCAGAAAATTTACAATTTATTTTTATTTAATTTTAAAGTTAGCTTTCCCATTTTTATTTTTATAGATTTAATTCATAGTCCTTCTTATTTTCAAGATTAACAAAGCTGCCATCTTTAGACCTTTTAGATAATGCATTGAATTAAGATGTTCTATTTGACTAAGGATCTTAATTATATTCTGCTTCTGAACTTTACTCTAAAATTTGATCCATTTTTTTATTTTAGGCTTTCTATTTAAAATATTGTTTTTTATAAATTTTTATATAAGCGCAAAATTTAAATTATTAAATTGATTGATTGAAATTCGTTTGATTAAAAACAAATCTTTTTTTTTAAATTGCATATTTTTAATTTCTGAAAAATTTAATAATTCAAATATATTTAAAATTTTTGTTGTTAAAAATAAAAGCAAAATAATTTCCTTAGAGAATATATTATTTATCAAAAAAAAAATAGTGTGATAGAATAACAATGTAAAAAACAATAAAATATGATAGGTAATATTATGAATAAATCTAAGATAAAATATATATAATTAAACAAAATGATGAGATGATAACAAAAAAAAGAATAGTCTAATTAATTAAACTATTAGTAATATACAGTTTATATATGACAGCATTATTTTTACATATAATTATTATTTTATTTTCTTTGGGTACTCTTTTAAGATATTTTGAATTAATTTCAGCTAATAAAATAAATATTTTAATAGAAATTCCAAAATTAAGAATTTGAAGTGAACAACTCAATAAAAGTATAAATAGATTTTTAGAGTGATTTACTGCTTAAAGAAATTAATTTTGTATTTTATTTTTTTTGAAATTTAGTAATATAATAGTAAATTTATTTCGATTTTCAATTTAAATAGATTATCAATCAATCTTCTTCACCAAGCTATTTCAAAAGATTGTAATGTCCAACAAGTGCATCCCAAAATGTTTTGTAGCTGAAATATCTAATTATTTATTAAAGTAATAATTAATGATTAGATTTTAGATAATATTTTTAGTTTACCTAACTTTATGTTCTTTGCAATAGTCTTAAACTATTTAACTGATTTCAGGTAGTCTTGTATGGCTATAGCCAGGAACTAAGTGATGCTCAATCTATTCAAATAAATTTTATTATGAATTATTTTTATTAATTTTATCAAAAATTACTTAAAAGTTAAGGCCTCCACTAAGGTGAGTCCAAAAAGGGCTATCTAAAGCGAAGTTTGAAGAGTTTTCGATTTGTAAAATACCCCAGTTAGTGTTGCTAATGCTATTGTTATCAATAAAGGCAGATTCATCTGTCCAGTGATTAACAGCAAAGAAAAAGGTGTACCCATAACTTTATATAACATTTAAATTATTTAAAGTCTATTTTTTTAATTATTTAATATTACCTTTGTGCAACCATGTATAAAAACCAATAGGGGAAAGCATGAAGATATCCAAATTTGAAAGAGGTGAAGACAATAGTTGACATATACCAAATTATTTTAACAATAGATTACAAAATTATTTGCTTCTTTGGGCAGTGACCTTGACGAGTAGGATAGTTAGACATCCAATACATTTCATCAAAAGTTCCAAATAAATCACCGAAATTTGCGAGTCCGTATACTAACCAAACGTAGTATTTTTAATATTTATGCATGGGAGCTCTTTCTTACATACGATGTAAACGTAATAATGGGAAAGTAGTATCAAATGCTCTATCTAGTTCATAATGATTTACACAACCATGATGGCCATAATTATGGGAACGGCGATAAATAACAGAAGATGAAAAAACAAGGTCAAGAGTATATCCTGCTAGTAAAGTAATATATTTATTACTTGAAAAGGCAGCATGATTTCCATCATGCATAATATTTACTCCTACTTATGCAGCGAAGAAACCAAACATTAAAGTGCTTATCAAATCGCAGCGAGTAAAGTACATATAGATAGAGTAGAAATACATAATCATAATGAAAGCGGCCTTTACGAATAATTTCCAATCGTTCTAACGTTTAGAGCGAGGGACCTTCTCCTCAATTTTTTTCTTCAAATTCATATAGAAGTTATCAGAGTATGAGTAAAAACTTTCATAATCTTTTACTTCTCCAATTAGATACTTCTCTTAAACTTTTTTTTCTATCATCCAGCTTGGGTGATAAGATTACCACATGAAAGTGCACTCACCACCAGCACCATCTAATATCATGTCACCACTTTAAATAAAAAATAAAGTTAGAATATATTTTCATAAATATTTATTTCAGTTAAAAGTAACTCCTCAGAATTAATTGCAGAATATTTTTTATTTTTTTGTATTTCAATTATTTTTTTTGCTGAGTAAATAAGATGCCTGGCTATTGTAAGTTAAGTTCTAGAAGAATTGATTAAATATAACTAAATACCCAGGATGATGAGGAAGAAGTGAAGTAACATCATAGACTTTGCCATCAATGACGACCCAGCAATCTTCTCTTCTATCATGCTTGATAATTTCAGGCCAAGTATATACTTTGTAAGATGATGAAATCTTTTCGTTCTATTATTTCTAGCTGACTTCAGAAACGTTTTGGCTTTGCTTGATTTTTTAGATGGTTTCTTGTATTTCTTTTTATTGCAATAAAAATATAATTAAATATTGAATGATTAAGAAAAATAGATTAAAAATAAAAAAACAAATCTTAGAATTGTTAAATCACTTAAAATTTCTTCACATGATTAAAAACAACTTTCCCATCAATATTATTTAATTTAAATTTTTTTAAAAATTGTAAATTCACGCGTTTAATAATAATATTAATTGAAATCTATTGCGTTCGCTTTCTTTTAATTATTTTTGTTATTTCTTACAAATTTTAATCACAGCTATTTTTGTTTTATTTAAATGAATAATACGCACCAGATTTATTATTTTGGTTGAAAGTATTTAGAATAAAATTTGGCAGTAAAAATAAATATAAATTATTTTAAGATGATATCAAAAATAGCACTTCAAAGTAATATTTTTATATATTTTATGTCTTTAAAGTTATGATTTGCTAACAGTTATATTCTGTTTTCAAAATTTTTATTATTATAACTGATTTTTTGCTTGCTAAAATAAAAAGAAAAACCAATTTTTATTGTTTTCTCTTAACCTTAATGCCTTAGTGCGCATTTGATATCCTTTTAGTTATTTTATAAACTAAGGTAATAAATTTTGAAAAATTGAAGAGTATTCAGTAGTTAACCTAAACAAATGTTTTTAAATTCTTACATTTTTCAAATAACTAATAAAAATTAAGCTTTATCTCAATTTAATAAGCTCAAATAACTTTAAAAAAATGGTAATAAATTTGAATAATTCTTTACTTTTAGACTTCATAGACTTTTACTCTCTAATTGACATAATCTCACAAAGAAGTAAGAATGAAAGACCAATAGAGCAAATTCTAATTTTTAGGTGATCAGTAGAAAATGCATGGAGCTAATATTAACGCATGGTCAAGGGAACTTATACAACCATAAGTGTAACGACAAGGACGTTTAATATTTTCCATGTAAGAGGCTTCTTCCATATGAAGATCTTAGGAAGTAAGTCAATTGTATAAAGTAGCATTACGCTAATTTCTAAACCCTTAAAAACTAGATTAATCATGTGAACCTAGTTTTCGTTGGTAACTGAGTATGTAGGGAAAGGCCATATTTCAAAAGTCTCTTAGAAAATCATTTATATGTTAGCAGGGAGATCGAGTACGAATTGAGTGAAAGGTGTGAAAAAAGTCAACAAGTGGATTGAAATTAGAACAAACAGAGATTTACGAAAATTTCTATGAGAGTGAATATCCAGCAATTGTTGGAAAGTAGATTTTGCTTATGCTAAGGGATCACATTAAGTCTCTACATTCTTAAGATGTTGCTTTTATGTTTCCTGCTTCTTTGAATTAACCTCAGAAGAAGGGTTTTACGTAGACTTAGATTTCATTGATATGATTTATTTATTTATATCTCTTACTCTGTGCTATCGTAGAATATTAAATAAATAAAGTATTTATTGAATAATTATGAATTTATGTAAAACTGCGTAGGTGTATTAATTTATCTTTATTCCCTTATTTTGCTTTTAATTAATAATGTAAATATTTATTTTTTTGTTTCAGCCTACAATTTTTTAAGATATTTTTTATAAATTCCTAAATTTTAAATAAATGATTAGACTATTTTTTTTTTCAACTCCTTTGTTAATAATATTTAACCACCACTCTAATTTAAATTAAATATTAGTGGGAGTTGATAGGTAGGTAAACAAATATTATTCTTTTATCAATTAATATTATTTTGCTATAAAAATAAATCTAAAGTTCTATATTTAAATTTTTTTGTTCTGACATAAATTAATTACTACTACGCTTTTGCAAATACTTAATAAAAATTTAAAAATATTTTCAAAAAACTTTAAATTTTCTTAATTTGAAACATTTATAGCTGCGTAAACTGATTCACACAAAAGTAATAAATTAAATGAAAGCAGATTAACAATTTCAAGTAAATTAAGTTTTATGTAAAATAAAAATCGTCAAAAAAATTCAAATTTATTTAAAACACATATCTTTTTAGTGATTATTTATTTATTTATGAATTGAAAGAGTTCAAAAGAAACAAATTAATCAAAAAATTTAAATTCAATCAATACAATAATTATTAATGCATAATAAAAATTATTTAAGAAACTAATACTTAATATTAATCAACCAAAATAGCTCTTTATAGAATTCAATTAATTATTGATTTATTTTAAAACAAAATACTTTAGCTGCTTTTATTTTTCATTTTATTTACTTAACAAAAGCAAAAATAATAAAAATTTAATTATCTTTTTTTGATTTTAAAAGGCATACATAAAACATAAAATTGTCAATCAATCGATTATTAAAAATTATAACAATAGTTAGTAACTTATTAGATCGTTTTATAACTTTTAAATAATAAGCTTAAGCTCTTTACAAATAGGATTAAACAAATTCTTATAAAAACATTCAATTTTATATCTGAATTCATGACTGACATAAGTATCCTATTATTTTCATTTTTACTTAAATTTCATTTTTGATTATTCTAATTTTTATTTTTTCAAATAACAATTTATAATTAATCATTTAAAAAGCATCCGAAATCGTTTAGCGTCTTGACTATGATGAAATTAAAAGGAAAAAGGTTTTTTAGAAATTTATTAGAGGAGAGTTTTACTAGAAAAATTAAGTATAAAATAGAAGAAAAGATGGGCGTGCTAGGAGTCAAGAAGCCCCCCATTCATATTTAAGAATGAATACTATATCAGAGGAAAGTAGTCATTTTAATTAAACGCCTCAAAGAATGGGTAGCAAAAAGAATTTAGGCCATAATCAAAGAGTATTATCAGAGGAAAGTGGAAAGAAACAAAAGTAGATGTATCATGATTAGTAAATGTATGATGACGATAATTAGTATTATGATGATCATCATTACAACAATTAATTCTAACCATATCCTCCATCATATAGATAAAGAGATCAAAATCGCTAATCTCCTTATGGTCATAATGATTTTTATTAGCAAGATTAAAATTTTTAGCATGGCTCTCCTCATCAATAACTAACTAAGAGCAAATCTCCTCCTCAAAGAAATAACTCTTCTCGTGGTGGAGAATTCAGTAACTCTTAAGAGTTTTAAAGATCTTAGGAATTTCCTTAGTAAAATAGAAGATAAAATAGTCAATCTCCTAATAAAGGCTAGCCAATAAAAATAGATAACTATAACAGAAGGTTTCCAATTAAGGACTAATAATATAGCTAAGAAGAAGAAGAGCTAATAGGTCATTCATAGTTAGTACCTGCAAACAATTATTACAGCAGTTATCAAGGAAGTAGAGTATTTCCTCCATATGACAATAATGATACTTATTTTTCTAACTAAAGAATGAAAACGTCTTAAAGCCAGTAAGGACTTAACTAATATTAAAGCCAGCCTAATTAAGCTAGAGAAAATAGATGGTATGATGGAGATTACGATTAATACAATAATTAGTACTAAAGAACTACAGGGAGTGGAGGAAGAACGAACAGTGGTAGCAATAAAGGAAGATAAGCTAACTACAGGTAACCCATGAATTACCCACCACATCCGTAGCAAAGCTTTCCTCCCCATCAATATAGACATCCACAGTATCAAGATGAAATAATATATAATCTTTAATAAAGATGTGCAGATTTAGAATCTTAAATTTCACGTATCAGTTAAAATTTTGATGACTTTAAGCAGTAAGCCTATAAAGACAAGGAATTAAATAAATAAGCAATTTTAAATTATGAAGACACAATTTCGAATCTCAAAGATAGAGTAAATAATTGAATAAAAAAATTAAATATTCTTATGATCTTATTAAATAAAAGCTTTATGAAATGTAAACAAGAGAAGATACTTTAAAGCAAGAAAATGAAAGACTAAAGTAAAAGATAAATTACGAGTAACTTAAACTCACTAAACTAGAGGAAGATAATAGAGATCTTAATAGCCAGTTTGAAGATACTAAAGATTAGTTAAAGTAAAAAATTTTATTTGGGTTAAGCTTTTATTAATTAAATTAATTAAAAAATTGCAGAGAATCAAAGAGAGAAATAATGAGAAAAGAGGATGAACTTTAATATGCAAAAAATTAATTGGAAGCCTAAAAATAAAAATATGCTTAACAACAGTAATTTTAAGTTTATTTATTTAATTCTATTTAATATTTATTAATAATTTCACTTGAGCAAAGAAGCTAATCTTTTATTTTTTAAGTCAAATTTAAAATTTATTTTCAAAATAAAAAATTTAAAAAATAGAATTCAATAAGATAACATAATAAGCTAACTTAGAGATGATAAAGATCAATTGATAAGAGATTTGTAAGGCAGCTAATCTAATAATAAATAATTCATGGACTTATAAACTTAATAATAGAATATTATTAATGAAAATAAAAGACTTTATAGCGAAGTCGATGATTTAAAAATCTAAATCAAAGATATGAACTTCTTTATTGAATAATAAAAATAAGATATTTATAGTGCTAAACACATGTTAATTGAAAAATCATAAAGAGAAACATAGCTTCACTAGCAATTAGAAAGCAGCTATTAGGAGATCTATTAACTCAAAGGTTTACTCTAAAGAGCTGAAACTCAATTAATGGTAATTTTTAAGTATAAATAAATTCATTTTGAAAAAATTATTTCTTTTTTAGAATAAGTAAGAAATTAACTAGCCTGTTGCTATTTAACCTATTCCTTATGGAGGAAGAAGCAACGAAGATATTTCTAGGACATTTAAAACATTAAATTAGTAAGAACAAAATAAAAAGAATTAGTAACTAAACAACAGCAGAGTACAAATGAATAATTCTTATACTTAAGATTAAACTTATGGTAGACGTGCTGGAAATTCAAATGAGAGACTTTATTCATAAAATTCACCTTAAAATAAAAGCTTATTAATGAATGACTCAAGAGGAAAAATAACTGTTTAAAATTAAATGTAAACAACCTATAACATAGGTTCAGAAAATATTTAGGAAAGTCCATAAAATAATAAAAGGAAATAAATGTAAAAGTAAAATAACCAGCAAGCATATATTGATGCTAAGCAAATATCTGCTGAAAATAACTTGATTTTCTAGTAGCTCAAAAACAGAAATACAATTACTCCTTCAAATTTTTTGGCTTGGGAAGTACCTGAACAAAACTAAAAAGCTGAAAAGAATTAAAATAATTAAAATTATTAGCACTAGAATTAAACTAATGATTAAGTTTAAAGATAACTCAATTTTAATGCACCTGGTGCCGGTCAATAAAATTAAAACTAAGAGTAATTGGATAAGATGTATAAAAATGCAAAGTAATAACTAGACAAAGATTAGGAATACGTTAATCAGCAATACCGTATTTAGCAAAATATGAACTAAAATTATCCTTAATAAAATTAACAATAAGGCAGAGGTTAAAATTATGAGAGAAACACAAATAATGAATATTCATAGCTATACAACGACTACATTAACGATAGATTTAAAAATTCTCCACCATAAAACAAAAAAAATAATCAAAGTTTTGACCAAAATCATTAACCTAAAGGATAAGTAGACCCATAAATGTAAATTAAAAATATTGAAAATAACTTGATGATGCTTAACATAGAAAAAGATAAGGTAAAATTTATTTTAAAAAGAAAATGTTTGTTTATTAAATATTTAATATAAAGCTAAAAAATGAGTTATAAAGGCTAGAAGAGGCTAAGTTAAAAAATGCTCAAAATATAAGACGTAAAAATGATATAAATGAAGAAATTCAGCTACTTGATGGAAATATCTCTTAATTAAAAACAAAACTAAGAGAGTTGAATGCTCTTCATCCTTACTGAAAATGATGCTATTTATTTACTTTAAAAATAATTTATATTTTTGAAAAGGCTTCCTAGCTAAGATATTATTATTATTCTAATTGATATATTATTATTTTTTTTAATTTTTATAATAAATTAAATAAAAAAGTAATTCACCTTCTTATTATTTTGATGAGAGGGTATATTTTTTGATTTTGCTATAAAATGCTTGAGTAGAATTATTTTAGTTCTTCTCCCTTTTGAAATTAATAGTTTTTATTTGATTATTTTTGTTATAAAACTTAGATTTCTCAACCAATAATAATTTTATATTAAATTGTTTGTTTATTTTTGGAATTCTAATAGTAAATTTAATTTAACAAACTTATTGATTTTGAAAATTATTTTGATTACTTTAAAGAAATCAAATAAATTATAAAATAAAATATTAATCAAATAAAGCTCGTTTTATTTGCTTTTTATTTCCAAAATAAATCTAAAATTATTAAAAAATAAATGAATTCGTTTATTAAATTAAATATTTATTCAGTGAGTTATAAAGATTATTTGCAATATTAAGAAGAGCTTATTAAATTAATCATATTGATACTAAATAATTATCAATCAATTTTGATTTATAAACTGATAAATTAGATTATCAAAAACCTTAATTGATTGATTTTACTTTGGTCGATTTGTAATTTATTTTTCTCATTTTATTTAATGACATTTAAAGTAATAAATAATTTAATGACTAATTAATTAATCAATTAATTTTATGATGCCATTCAGTGAAATAAATTAAAAACCAATAACTCCAATTCAAAAGAAAATCAATAAAAAATCTAAAGAAAAGGTAACTTGTAAGTATATTAAATAAATATATTTAGTAAAGTAAAGTAAATAAAAATGAGCACACTTACCCATTCAGTAAAATTTTCAGAATAGCCATACTCTTAGAATGACAAATTCTAAGTACATGTTCCTGACCTAGACGAAGCTGCAAATATGCATAATGGGTCTATTCAATAAGGAAATAATAGCAGAGTTCATCAATTCAAAGAAGAAGAATAATAGGCAAGACATTAAAATGCTGTACTCAATAACTACTCTAGCTATCAACCTGGAGCTTCTTAAATCTATTCTCCACACTATGCACATCATGCAAAACTCTAATTATAAAACGATATCGAAAAACAGTTTAACTATTCTGGAAGCAGACTCAGATCACCTCATCACAATCCTTAGAGTAAAATTCAATCTAAGTTAAGAACAAATGTTTATCTAGACTAGCAATACAATTAATTTAATGGTTAGAGCTACTACAATAATTTGGAAGGGGAGCATTGTCCAGAACACTGCCCTCATGTCCATTCAAAGCATTCTTTACATGAATCCAGAAATGCCCTGCAAAAAGATTCTAACTCTAATAAATTACTACTTTACCCATAACCTTACGGCAGTGGAGCATATACTAATTAGCTTTAAAAGCGTAACATTCATGCTAAAACTGGAAACAATTTTTATAATAGCAATGGCTCAAGATAAATATATACTTCTTAAGAAAGTGTAAGAAGAAGCACAAATAATAATTCTACAACCTTTAATTCAATCATGCAAAATAAAAGAGTATAGGAAAAGTTGAGAGAAAAATTGTATTTTGATGAAAGAACCAAAACAGTACCTAAAACTACTATTAAAAATGGAATCATAGAAAATATAGTATCAGAAGGTGATGTTTTTATGGGAAATAAACAGCTAATGGAGAGTATTTACAAATTGAAGTCCTTAAATCTCCTTAAATAGCATGAAAGTCATGTTAATCGTTATAATGGAGTAGGAAAATTCCCATTCGTATTTAATGACTACCATTCTAAGTCTACAAACAATGGATATTCTAGATAAGAAAAGGGAGGCTATTTCTTTACTAGATGATGAAATAATAAATAAATATTCTTATATATTTACAAATTAATTTTTTCTTTCTTTAAATCCCACCATTTTAAATTACTAAGGTCTAGGTGATTTGATTAAATTATAAACTAAATGAAGCAATACTATATATATGCCTAAACCAGTAAACAGTTTTTAATAAAACTTTTAAGGAGTGGCTGAAAATAATTTAAGTTGTTTTCTTTAGAATTTATTTTAGCAGAGAATATTAGCATTTAATTTAAGTATTCATTTAAGTATTTTATTTTTATTGCATAAATCTATTTTTTTTTAATGTTTTTGAATTGAATTTAAAATTTTTATAATAAAATTTATTAATTTGTTAAAATATCAATTATATACAATTGTTTTATTGCTAACAATACAATTTTTTTTAGTCATTTTAATATACCTTTAATCCTCAATTAATACCACTAAATACCTTAATTTTTTAAAGCAAAAGATACTTTATAATATTCTCTTGCAATTTTGGTTTAATGGTTTATTATATTATAGCTAAAAATGAATTTAAGGTATATATAAATTTTACAAGCTAGCTTACTTACTTTTCTGTGCTTATAATTAAAGTTCTATTTTTTTTATTACTTATAATTAGAGAATTTTTATTTGACTGGTTTTTAAAAAATATTTTTTCTATAATTTTAACTCAAATCTATAATAATTATAAATTTTTAATGCACTTATGTTTATCATAAATAAAAACATTAAAAAAAATGTAATTTATAATAAATAGGATTTTATTTTAATAATAATTTATGATTTTTAATTTAGTGGCTAGTTGAAATTTTTATTATAAAAATAAAGAAATTTAATTTATGAGAAATAAATTTAATAAATGTGCCTTATATTAATTAATTTATAATACTAAAAAGATAGATTACATGAAATTATACAATTAATAATATCATAAATTATCAACAGGTATTATCCCTAAAGATTTTCTAGCTCTTAGAATTCCAATGGGAATTTCTCTGATGAGCTTAAAATGTAACTAAAGATAAGTAATTAAAATTATGATAAATCCTCCATACCAGCTGAATTTTTTCCATTTTAAGAAGGTATTCATTTCTTTTTCCATTTATTATCTCAGTTAATCTTTAAGCACAAGTAAACCTTCTTTGATATAAATCCTTTAAAGTGCTCTAGCTTCTTAAATTTTTGGATCTTGTAATATTGTGTCACGGACTATTATTTAAGTTGAATTGTGAGTTGCTTATATCTATGTAAGAGCTTCTCTAGCTACTTTAATGAATAGCTCCATACCATCACTAAGTCCGTTTTTAATAACCCCATTTCCGAATTCTTCACACTCTTCAGCCGTATAAACTTTTGTACTTCCATCAGCAATAACTTTGCAAGGGTCTTTTTTCATAATTTTGTCAAAAATCTTGCGCATTGGCTTATTATTAATATGGCTATCAAAATCATTGATATCTTTCTCCTTTTCTTCCATACTGAGTACATTTAATTTAAAAATATCATATGAGTTTTAATGAATTACAGGAAGAGTCCAGTTTAATAGATTCATATGAAATGTGTTATCACTAAACATGTAGAATGATTCTGAAATAGAAGTTGAATTGTCTACATGTACATATAGCTACATATCATTAGCTAGGTACTTTTGAACCAAGAAATTTGATATAAAGTAAATTATCATTAGGAATACTAAAATTGCAGTTGATACTAAAACTTTTGTTTTGTAAACGTTATAAAGATGTTTTTTACGTTCATCTTCATCTACTTCAGAATTAAGAAGATCATCATTATTATCCTTGTTAGATATACCTGCATCCTCATTAGACTCTTCTTCTACAAAATGCTAGTATCCATCTTTGTTGTGGTTTTTAACTTTGTTAACAACTTCTGTCTCATTTACACCAAGTTGCATTGTTAATAGCGATTTGCATTGTTCATATAATCTTGCTTATGTATCAACAGGAATTTTAAGTAGTTTCTTATAGGCTTTTTGACGCTATTTTCCTACCTTCATGATAAGCCAAGCTAAAATAAAAACAATTTAAAAGACAATAAAAAGAATAAAAACTAGCATGATTGTGTTAGTATCTGCTACTTCTTGAGTCTCGCTTGAGAAATCCTCAACAAACTCCAAATAAAGCTTCTACTGTTGAATAGGGATGTCATTCAAAAGATTCAATAGGATGTATTAAACATTTTAACGTTATTGCTCTCCTTCACTTGTAATTTAATTTGAGTAGTAAGAAAAAGCTTTGGATAAATTGCCTTAAGAGGAAACAGAAAGAATTTAGCTAGCTAATAGAGTGATATTCTAGTTTACTAATTAAACTGAGGATTCAATTGTTTATTGTTAATCTACTCCTGTGTAAGCTTAAATCATCGTTTTTTCATAATCATTTAATCTACTTGTAAAGTTATTTTTAAGGTTGTCAGTGATATTTTGAATGTTTGTGATAGATTCCTATAGGCCTATTAAGTAATTCTATTTATTTTTTTAAATGTTATCTTTCAATTAGTTCTTTTGATTATCAGGGAGATCTTATTAATCTAATTGATATTATTAATACTGTAAAAAGCTTAAGTCTTGGATATAGCTGACTAAACTTTGAGATTCTGTCTACAATTAATTAGTTAACGAAATTTTTCTTAAATTTTTTAGGTGATCTGTGAAGTTATCTGCTGACATGTGCCATTCTAATGAGTTCAGTCCTATAATTATGATGAAGAATACGAACCCTAACACTTTTAGTATGAATGCTGATCTTGGAATTTCTTGATTATTTTAAATAGTGATAATCTCTCTTTTTATGTTTCTCATTTTCTCGTTATCAAAAGGGCTTTCTCTACCAGTTTTATTGTTATTAGAATCGTAGTTTTTAAATTCATTTTCTTGATACATTGATAAATCGCTTTCATATTTTCTTAAGAGGGCAAATCCTTCATCTTTGTGAGGGGTAACATCAATTAAATATTTTATGTATTACATCTTAAGCTTTTTAGGCAAAGCTGATCCTCTTGATGCGATAGCATTTTCCCAAAGCTTTCTAGTTTCTTATGTTTTTTTTTCTATTTTAACAGTCATATCATCAATTTTTTCTATGTCAATCATATTCTTTTAACTTAAGTCCCATAACTCTAAGTATTATTAAGTGTTTTAGATTATTGCTTCTCTTAACTACTAAAATTCACTCATGTTGTTATAGGATTCTAAGTCTACTGATATATTACCTTCATTTTAGCTTAAATTTACATTCTACTAATTTGTGTTCATCTTATTAATAGAATCGCTGTTTCTTATATCTTAAAATGGTTTCTTTCAGGATGTTTGATTGCCTAAATTGTTTCTATTTATTTATTTTTTTATTATGTTATTCAAATTAAAGATTTTTTAAGAATTTTTTAAATTATGCAAAGTTCAATTTCATATAAAAATTTAATTATTCTTTCAATAAAAAAGTTGACAATTATTTATTTTAAATAAGAATACGATTGATAAAAAGTAAGTTTGTTTTAAGTCATAGAGTTTTTTTTTAAGGGAATAGTAAATTATTTAATTTGAAAATTAATAAAATAATAAATATTCGTTTTTTCTATCTTATAATTAATATATTATATAAATAACTACATAATTAATATAAAAAATTAATTAAAATATCACTAATGTTTGCTAAATTTAAACAATTTTGATTAAACTGAAGGGTGGTATATTCTAGGATCGTCTTCATTCCTATGAAAGTTATTCAAGAATCCAACTACTTTGATAAATACTTTCGGATTATGCCTTATTATAATGCAATTTTTAGAAATTTTTGCCATTCTTGCCTATATAAGATCATGGTTATCTTCTTCTTTGAATAACGAATAATAAGTTTTTAGACTTTAACAAAATATTTTTTGATAAGCTATAGAGCAAAGTATAGGCTTTAGTTTACCATACTAAAAATATTCAATCAATTATTTGTATTTGCTTAAACTCTAAATTTTAGCAATATCACTCTCCTTTAATGATTAAAGAACTTTTTCTTTCTTATCATTTTCGAAAGTAACTTTATCAATTCCATAGAAATCTAGATTTTTATTCCTATTTTAACTATAAGAATCTAATTTTTATTCTATTTAATCTATTACAATAACATTTTATTGCTTACCGACAATTTTAAATGAATTACCTAATTTAGAAATATTTTATTATGTATTTTAAGCAACTAAATCTATTTATATTTTATCATTAACTTTTTCTTTGATATTTTTATCTGGAATAACTATTACATTTTATTAATTTTTTAAATTCATGTTGTTTTAATTATTACTTTTTGGTACGATCTCTTTGTTAAATAAAAGCTAAGGATTATTTTATTTTTAGCTTAAAAACTAATGTAAATTCTATTATTTCGTAAACAGTGACTTATTATTATCATTTATCGATTAGCTTTTATGCTGTTAATTTATATTTAAAATAGGTTTTTTATTTTACTAATTATTTTATTTTTTATTTTAAGGTCTTTAAATTATTTTCTACTTAATCTTCAAAGAGTCATCAAATGATTCATCTTTGTTTTATCCTTTTATATAATCTTAGTATCTCTATTTCAACATTTCCTAAATTTATTTATTTTTAAAATATTGTATTATTATATTAATTTAATTTAAATTCTTTTTTTGTACTGACTATTTATAAACCAAAGTCAAAGCTAATTATTAGAAATATAATTCTAATTATTAGAAATCAAAATTAAAATTTTTTTTTTTCATAAATCAAAACAAAAAATAAACAATTTATAGAAAATATAAATAAAATTTATCATTTATAATTTGATTTAATATTTTTCTTTCTAGGATCAAGCATACAATTTTGAAAAGAGAGGACTTTAGGAAGATCTATTTTTACAGCCTCTCCTTGATTAATAACAACAATATTGCAAGAATTTGTTTTTATTTCTATCGGAATAACATTAGTTTCCTTCTATTTTAAATTAAGTAAGTAAACTTTCTCAAAAACTTCTCTTGAAATCTTATTAACATTTTGGTAAGAATAAAAATAATTTAAAATTTCTTTTAAACTTCTAAAACTATTTAGTAAATTTGAAACAGAGGTTTATTTCTCTGCTATAGTTTATGAAATCACCTCATTTTATTTTAAACTACTTCTTATTTAATCAAATTATTCCTACAATTATTTTCCTACATTTAGTTAACCATCTTCATTTAATATTTTATTTTATGGCTTTATTTCGATCTTTTCCAATTTGTTATTTAATTTCTCATATTTATTTGCTTATTTTTCTTCATTTACTAAGAATATTTATTTAGATTATCCACTGCCAATAAAAGCACCTTTTTTTTGTTTAATTTTAATATCCTCATCGTAATTATTGCTTTTGGGATCACTAATTGATAGACTTTCAAATGACTATTCATCATTTCCATTTTAACTACAAAAGGATCTTTTCTTGTAAAAACTTCCTAAATGATTCTTTTTAAAAAAATGCTAAGATTATAAGTTATTGTTTTGGCTTGAAAACTTTTTTTATTCATAAAATCCTTTATTCTTCTCTTTCACAAAGAGATTATTTTTCTATCTTGAAAATCCTTTAATTTGGTATTTGTAGAATTAGTTGTTTTCTCTATTTAATAAAAGTGTCATTTAAATTTGTTTTTATAAAATAAAAAAATAAATTTACTTATCTGTTTCTTGATTAATTTCATATTTTTTCTTATTTAATTCATTTGTATATTAAACTTCTGACTTTGGAATATCTAACTTAGATTGCTAATTGATGTATCGATTATATTATGAATCTGCTTTTAAATAATTTTTTTAAGGAGATTTTTTTGGGTGCAAATGATGAAACTTCTGTGAATTATAAAAGCTGTTATTAGTGCAGCTTTATTACCTACTATCAAAGCTATTATCTATTAAGTGAGATACTTATCTTTATGTTTTATTATCCTAGCCAATCTTTGAATTACTATGTATTGATAAGTTCTACTAATCATTAATGTTCTCAAACTCATTTAGTTTTTAACCAGGTTTGGTAATTTTTTTTTTTTTAAGCTTGTAGTTATTTAAAATATATCTATCTTCACTTTCCTCAACATTCTTGATCTCCTTAAGATCAAGGCGAGCCTTAAGATTAGTTTATTTTTATTCCATAATATCTTGTTTTTTAATCATAATTTTTGTTAAACTTAATTATTGTATTATTTATATTAACAATATTAGATTGATATTTTTGCGTTAATTAATTTATAAAAAAGTAGAAGGATATCATCAAATTATGATAATAGTATTATCAACTAAAAATCAGTGGATTTTATTAACTAGCTTAGCTAAATTTTTTAGCTAAAATTTAATAAAAAAAAATATTAACTAATTGTTGATAAATGAAAATTTAGATTAAACACCAAACATAATTCTAAAAAAATATTTAATTTATAAAAATTAAAATATCTTTTTACAAGTTCCAAAGTTAATTTATTAAAAATATTTATAAAATTTTTTTATAATAAAATATAACAAAACAAAGTAAATAATTCTAGATTTTAATAATTTTTTTTTTACTTCAAATTTTAGATTTAAATAATATTTTATTTTTTAAAATCATTAGAAATAAGATAGTTATTTAGTTAAATGAAATTTAGGTTTTAATTATATGAAATATGATTACAATTTAAAATTAAAACTAATTTTATAGTATAAAAATTAATTTTTAAATTATTTTTCTCAGTATTTTTAGACTGCAGTGAAGTTAGCAAAAGTTCTGGCTTTTAATTTTCCTAGTTCTTCACGCAACAATTCTATTTCTTCGGTCTATCTTTTAACTCTAGTGAATAACTATCTGTTGTTCATGATTTATCTATAATTTGTTTAGAAATAACGCTTAAAAAAGTATTCAGATAATGAAAAATTACTTAAATTTATCGTATGCTTCGAAATCTGTTTTATCGTCTGCTCCTTACTATTGGTTTTTCTTAAACATAGTAGCAGAGAATTTTTCTTCTTGTTGTACAGTATTCTAATAAAGTTAAATATACATTTAGATATTAAAAATTGATAAAATAATGTACTCTTAAACTAACACCCTGTGCACGAAGTTATTCATTTTCTCTTCTAATAAATTCTATTTATTCATCAATTTTTTTACATTTCTTTTCATAAATATTGACTAGCTTATCTGTTGCTTATTTAACTTTTTCAATTTATTCCTATAAATTCTTTAATGCAGACTAATTTTATTTTAAAATTTAAGTTAATAAAAAGCTATAAAATGAATTTAAACTATAATTTTACTTCATTCAATCTCATGTCTTTCTTTGTTAAGGCTACTTACATTTCTTTTTTGACACGTAAAAGTTGAACTTCTCTAGTACTACATCTTACTTTCTATTCATTTAAATCTCTTTTTTTCAAATCATATTCAGCTTCTGCGACTTCGAATTTAATATTTTTGATATCTTCCATAAGTCTAATCTTCTTTTTACCTTCCTAATCTATTCTTTTATTCTTTTTCTCTATTTCATCTCTAGGGATTAATATTGCATCTGTTATACTGGGAACTGGCTTGTCAGAGGGAATTTCAACAAAGCCCTACTTAAATCTGATAATTAATTCTATATTAGATTTTCCTTTTTTAAGTGCCTAAATGTGGGCTCTTTATTCACTCTTTTGCTCTTTTAGCTTTTGTTCTTTTATAAATCAATAATAAATCAAATAAAACCATTTTTCATCTTCAAAATAAAATAAAATGTATAAATAAATATATATTTATTTTACATAATGCAAAGAGATCATTCTCGAAGTTAGTAATTGAATTGTTAATATCTCTAAATTCAACTTCACTTTGATCCAATTCTTTTTTGAATTAGAATCTCTATTGTAAGACGTCTTTTATGAACTTGACTCCATGTTCCTCATCTTCAAAATTAACAGAAATTAATTTATTTTTTTTTTATTTTTAATGATTTACTTTGTTTTTCAAACATTTGCATATTAGTAATTTTTTCTCTGATATCATCAACATATGAGTCGAATATTCCATCAAGTTTCTTTTTAATCTCTATTAGATTTATCATTAAAATTTATGTTTTTTCATTTATGAAAATTTTTTCATTTACCTTTCTTATTTAGTTCGATGAAAGGATCTAATTTTTGTAATTCATTTCTGTATTTTGGATCATTCATAATTTTATCTTCGATTTCTTTTTCTTTATTTATGAGTAAAATGCAAACAAATTAAAAAAATATTTAGAAGGAAATTACTTTTTCTTTCATCCTTCTTCTATTCTTCAAAGGCATAAACCCAAATGTTTCTTATTTTGTTAGGATCAACTCCATAAGATGGTTTAACGTTCAATGAGTTCTAATATTGATCTTATAATTTATTCTTATTTTAATCTACCTCTTATTTGAATTCGTGGAGAATTTCCCTATTCGCTTGTCCTTTTCTAACTTAATCAGTTAGTTTGTTGATGGTTACATCATATTGATCTAATTGTATTATAATATTCTACTACTTCAAGATCTGTTAAGCTAATTTAACAATATATAGTTCCTATTCGTAAACTCTGTAGTCGAATTCAAGCTTTCTTTTGAAAGTCAATAAAAGTTTTTCATCAAACTTTTAGCAGATTTCATTAACATCACTTTTAAGTTTTTTCAACTCATTTTCAAGATTTTTTCTGATCTTTTCTTTTTCTTCTTCAAGTCTTTACTTCTTGACTTCATACTCCTTAAATCTAACTCTTTCTTCTTCATTCATTTCTTCCAATGGCTTGTTCATCCATTCTTCCATTTCAAGTCCTTCATCGAGAGGATTTTCCTTCTTTTCTTCAAGAGTACCTCCCATCATATCTTTTAAAGCTCTAACCTAAAAAAAAATCATTTTAAATACATTAAAATACTTATTATATAGCATACTCCTGCATCGTCTTGCTTGAGTGCTCTTTGTCTTTCTTCTTCTCTTAAACGATCTCTCTCTATTTTTTCTCTCTCTTCACGAGTTAAGAATTTCTTAAAGGCGATTTCAGAAGGATCAACTTCCAATACCCTTTCAGGATTTTCAAGAATATTTTTGTTAGGTTCAAATATTTCTTCTTCTTTGTGAAGTTCATGAAGAATTTCTTAAATTCTTTTATTTTTTTCAGCAATCATATCTACCTAGACCTACCTTTATTGCATCATCTTATCGAATTCCTTGTTGAACTCTTCTTTGACCTTAAAAATGATGTTTTGCAAAATAATTATTTGGTTTCTTTTTCTGTTGTTTGTAAACAATTCAAATGCTCCATATAAAAAGTCCCATTCTCCGAGGTCATCTTCATCTTTCTTTTCCTAAATAAAAAAAATATTTATTAAAATAAATTTTGAAATAATTAATTTAATCACTTCTTCTTTTTCCTCAACTTCTTTCTTTTCTTTTTCTTCATGGTGGACCTCTTCAACTTTCTTCTCTTCTTTCTTAGCTTGTGCAGCTCCATGACGAGCACGTCCTCCGAACCCCTAGCCTGCAGTTTATCCAGCGGGACCAGTTTAAGTTGTACCAGCTCCTTTATTTTTATCATCCTTAGTCTCTTCTTTCTTTTCATAGTCTATCAAGACAAGTTTTTACTTACCAGGACCTGCATTGATGATATATTCTTCTGGTTTCTTAATCAAATCTTCAACAGGAATGATTTCCTTGAGTACTTAATCTTTTGCCTCTTTTCTAGCCTTTTGTTCTCTAATTTCAATTCTTCTCAAATCCTTGACTATCTTTAATCTAAATTATTTATTTAAATAAACACTAATCTCAACAGAAATTTATTTATTTACTTTCTTTCCTCATCTGCAGTTCTCTTTCTAATATGGTAATTATATACGAGATATTTGCTCTTTAAACCATTAATACCTTTTAGTTACACTGCCATCTAATCCCAAGTCTTTTCTTTAATTTTTGAGTGAATAATCTCTTATTTCAAGTTCTCCCTTTTAGCTGTTTCTTTAATTTGCTTGCGTTATTGCTTTCCAGAATCTAAAATTTTGTTTTTAGTATCAATATCAATAACGAAATCATCTCTTTCTAATTTTTCAAGTTCTTCAGCCTCATTTTTGTTATGATCTAGTAATTCCAACAATTTATTTTAAATTTTTTTCAATCCCTCTTCAATAACTTTTTTAGATTGCTCATTTACCTCTTTTTTTGACTTTATCAATTCTTCTTCAAGAACTTAATTTATTTAGTTAATTAAATTTTTAATTATCATGTTTAAAAATAAATAAAATAATATATACCTTTTTGATAATGCATAACTTTTTCATCAGGAAGATCTTAAATATTAACGTCTTCTCTCAATATTTCATAATTTCTTTAGATATTTTGGAAGGAAACTTTATCAAGACTCCAGGCAAAGAATGAACCATCATATCCACCACTGTAAAGTAGTTTGTACTTCTTTGAGAAATCAAGAGTGCTAACTCCGTTTATTTTCCAATTATGAGATTTAATTTGCTAGAATTCAGATAATTTTTCCAAGTTTCTTAAGTAAATAGAACCATCTTATCCTCCAGTAATTAAAAGATTAAACTAATCACTAATTATCATGGCATTAGCTATTTTCGAAAAATTTATTATTAAAATTTTTTATTTGCTTATTTATTAATTAATTACTTGGAAGTGGATGGCCATCTTATTCTTCAATCGGAGCTCCTCCTACTTTTATTCTTGTATCCATCTTTGCATAGAGTTCTTCAGGCTATTTGTATCTTTTCACAATCTTATCTTTTCCTGTCATAAGTATATCACCAGTAACTTAGTTAACAGCAATATGATTCATATCAGGGTCTATTTTACGAGCATAAACAGGGCAAACATCATTATCAATTTTTAATTAATCTTTATTTTAATAAGTAGCATCTGGAACAATGAGACTTATTAAAAAGTAATTTAGAAGGACAAACAAAACATTTTTATGAGTTGGGATAACAAGCTTTTGGGAGGTATTCCAGCAAGCAGTATTTACTTTAGCAGGAAGAGCAATGTATCCAATAATGTTATACTTGGTCGAGTTGATTAGATATATTTTTTTAGATTCAGTTGAACTTACGAAGAACATAGAACCGTCAGGATTAAAGTGTAAATTTGAAACAGGCTATTTAATTAAATAAATATAATCATAAATTATAAATAATGAGTCAAACAAACAATTATTGAATTGCTTCAAAATGAGTTAATTTTTTAAAATTAAGTTCATACTTTATCTTTCAGAACTTTTATTTGTTTCAATAAATGGACTCCATTTAAGTTAGAAATATCCAAAATTCTAATGACTCCGCTACTTGAACCTAGTATAAGTGTTTTAGAATTTGGATGTATATCTCCACAGACTATGGTACAGTTAAGTTTGAAGGTAGAAACTTATATTTCTTAATTTTTTAAAAATAAATTAGTTTTAAAAAACAATCACAATTTTTTGTAAAATAAATTTTTACTTTTCTCAATATCCCAAAAATAGATGTAGCTATTTTATGTAACAGTAATTACTACATTTTAGTTTTCTAATTCACGGATAAAGACAATAGGGCTAAATGGATATGGTCCTTTTTTTTCTGTTTGAATTTCTATTTCTCTGCTTTCATCTTCATTGTCTGAATGCTTTTATTTTTTATTATTTTTTTTCAAATATTAGTAAAAAAAAATATTTCTTTTACATTTTCATTTTCTTTATCTTGCTATTCCTCTTCCTCTTCTATGTCAAATGTTTCACCTTCAACTGGGAATATAATAATACTTCCTTAGTTTGAGCCTGCATAGAGCTTAGAATAAGTTTGATTGTATAAAATATTAACAAGCTTTTCTTCATCATATAAGTAGGTTTTTTCAAGTTTAAATGGTTTAATCTCATCTTCATTCAAGTTAGCTGGATCGTATTTGTAAATCCATTCAAATTTTCTATTAAATTTTGTTTTTAATAAAATGAATTTCTTTAATTCTAAAATACCCATTTTAAAGGATAATGATTAAATGTTTCTAAGTTAAGACAAAGAATTCAACCAAGTATTCACAGTCTTTATTCATAATTTCAGATAAGTCTGTGCCATTCAAATACCTAACAAAATATTCATCTGCCAAGTAAATCTGCAAAAAAACATAACAATTTTACTAAGTTATAAACAATAAAAATTTTATATTTACGTTATTCTATTCATCCCAAATGAAATTTTTGAATGTTGACTTTTCAGATATTTTATTATTTTAGTCAATTCTGATATTCTAAAGAACTTCTTAAGAGTTTTAGTCTACTTCAAAAGATGGAAATATTTCGCATAGAACTAAGTTATTTTCATAAAGAACACAAAATGTTGTATCCTTTGATGGAGAAAACTATGCTTTGATGAACTTATTTCTTAATGGTATAGAACTATTAGTTCCTGAAAGTCTTTGTCCAGTCTCTAAATCATAAACTTGAATTTCAAATTTAGGAACCCCATTAACTACTAATAATTTTTTGCCATCGAATGAAATATCCATTTGAATAATTTCTAACTCAGACACATCTAATATTTTATTTTAAAAATAGCCTTAATAAAATGCTTGTTGATATTTAAAATGTATTTCATTAAAAATTTTAGATTATTTACTTTCTAAAGTTCTCAGAAGCTTTTTTTGAGGATAAGAATAGATAAATACTTTAGGATTCAAGCTATACTCAGCAACTACAATGATTCCTTTTTTTGGATGAGCGACAAACGATTAAAACCCATTTTTCTATGAACTTTATTATTTTTATTTAAATTTATTGAATTTTATTTCAACATTATTAAAATTACTGAATGTAGTCTTTCTTATCAGTAGCAAGATCCCATAAAACAAGAGTGCCTAAATTACATTAAATAATAAAAAATCATTTTAGTTTGCCTACATTTTTATAAAATAAAAAAAAAATTGTTGAGTTTTATCCAAATTTTTACTTCCTTAAATGAATCCAATTGTGTCATTAAACACTAACTAGAATGGGCTTCCATTATAACTAAATGATTCGCTTTTTTTTAAATAAAACAAAGAAATTTGTAAGAATCATTTTCTATTAACTAAGATAAATTCTAGAAAAAAAACAAGCTATACTAAATACTCATAGTTGACTCTATTATTTAATAAATTGCTAACCCTTTCTATTAATAATATTTTGTTTATTGACTTGAGAGTCTAAATGATTTTTTGTTTAATCAAATATTGTGAAAATAAATTATTGATTTATTAAAAAAGAAGGTTATAAAATTCAAAAATTATAAATAAATATAAAGATCCTTGCATTTATTTATAAATCATTGAAATTAGAAACAGTTATTTTCTCTATGTAATTACATATTTTTTTATTATCAATTGTATTTTTTTATATTTTAACTTTTTGATAAAATTAATATTTTTGAAATAATATTTTATTTTTTAATATGAAATGTATTCTTATTATTTAAATAAAACATAGCAAATTTATTTAATTATCTTTCAATTTATTATTTTTAATATTTATTAAAAGATTGTACAATCAAGAAACAATTATTCTTTATTATTTTTTTATTAAAACAAAAAAAGTATAAAATGAAATTTATTTAAAAAAGATATCTGATAAGTTAACTAACTAACTAATTTATTAATTAATTTATTTATTTAGAATAAATAATTTGTATAAAAAATATATTTTGATATTAAAATACAGATTATAGTATAGAAGAATTAAAGTTATTTTCTCAAATAGCTTATTTTCACTTTTCAATGTGGATTTAGCTCTTTAATCTATAGGCGACTGCATCAATAAATTCCTCTGTGTTGAGGTATTTTCCTTTGATGTTATCTTGTCCGTATACTAAAATTGCAAGATCTTTAGTCATTTTACCATTAGAAATACAATCTAATACAGATTCTTCAATACATTATGAGAATGTAAGTAAATCCTAGTTGTTATCTAATTTGGCTCTATGACGAAGACCTCTACTCCAAGCATAAATACTTGCTACAGAGTTTGTAGAAGTTTCCTAACCTTTTTAATGTTGACGATAGTGTCTGGTTACAGTTCCATGAGCAGCTTCAGCTTCATAGACATTATCATTGTTAACAAGTTCACTTGTCATCATACCCAAAGAACCATAGCCTTAGGCGATAATATCACTTTGAACATCACCATCATAGTTTTTGCAAGCCCAAACAATACCACCATCACCTTTTAATACTTAAGCAACCATATCATCAATAAGACGATGTTCATACCACAAACCACTCTTTTCAAATTGCTATTTGTACTTAGTTGTATATAATTCTTCGAAAATGTCTTTGAAAAGTCCGTCATATTGCTTAAGGATGGTGTTCTTTGAAGAGAAATATAATGGGTATTAACGGTTGAGGGCATATTTGAAGCAACTATTGGCAAATGATTCAATACTTTCAATAGTATTGTACATACCCATTGCGACACCACCTTTTCCTGAAAATTCAAAAACGGTTTTACGAATTTCTTCACCTCCATCTTAAGGCTTGAAAGATATTTCAAGTTTTCCAGGTCCTTGAACCTTGAAATTTGTACACTTGTATTGATCACCAAAAGAGTGACGACCAATAATAATTGGCTTGGTCCATCCTGGAACTAAACGAGGGATATTTTGGCATACAATAGGTTCACGGAAAACTGTACCATCCAAAATGTTACGAATAGTACCATTAGGAGAAGGCCACATTTTTTTAAGTTTGAACTCTTTAACACGTGCTTCATCTGCAGTAATAGTGGCACACTTAATACCAACCTTGTGTTCACGTATAGCATAAGCAGCATCAAAGGTAACTTAATCATTGGTGGCATCACGATTTTCTATAGAAAGATCATAATATCTAATATCAGCTGAGATAAATGGCAATATGAGTTTATCCTTAATCATTTTCCAAATGATACGAGTCATTTCATCACCATCTAAATCGACAATAGGATTCTTAACATTGATCTTGTTTCCTGCGTATTTGTATTTAGAGGCAGCGTTCTTGATAGTTTAATTCATCATTTTATTTTTAACCTAACTAACTAACTAGACTAGAGATATAATATCCAAAGTTAATTGCTTTTTTATTTTATGAATGTATCTATTTTTTGTTTTTTATAAAAATTATTACAAATGTTGTTGTTTCTAATCTTAATTAGATTTAATTTACTCTAGAATCTCTTTTTATTCACACTAAATTAATATATTGTGAATATGTTCACTTGATTTATTTTACACATCAAAGATTCAATTATGATCAAGTAAAATAAAAAGGAAATTAATCTATGAATTTACTTGGATTTTATTAACCAATCTGGTTTTTAATTTATAATACTATTTAAAATGCATCATTTTATCAAGTGCAATAAGATTAAACTTACATCATCATCAAATACTCAAACAATAAAAATAAATACAAATTTTCAAAAGACTTATTATTTAAAACAACGTGTATCTCTGTTTTCCTAAAATATAAGCATAATTTTAATTTTGGCTAAATTACTCACCCAACCAACCTCGATATTTTTACAAATCTTTTTAAATATCCGCAAGCGAACAAACAAATAAATAAATAAACAAGCAAATAAAATTATAATATATGTTTTTAATTAGTTTTTGTAATAAATAAATAAATTATTATAAATTATAAAATGATTATCAAAATTAAATTAAAAAATGTTATTAGAGTGTGTAAAAATTTTCAATATTTGAGAAAATAATTCTTTAACATTTTCAAACATTTTCTAAAATATTAAAGCTATTATTTTTTTGTTTTTTATTGTAAGTTTACTTTACTAATTCTTCAGTTATTTAAATACATAATTCAGATTTATTTTCAAGTTGATTCAAAGAGGATTCTAATTTTTCATAATCATTTCTTTCTTTTATTAGAAATTTTTCAATTTTTTTGCTATAATTAAAATACTCTAAAGATGGATTTAAAATTAAGCTTGTATCCTCAGTCTGATTTAATTCCTAGTCAAATTTAATTTAATTTTCTTCAGATAATATTGTTTCAAAACTATCTACCAAATCCTATGAATTGACTTCTGACTAACAGTCAAAAGACAAAACAATTATATTATTGTTTTATAAAATAAACATTTAGCTGTTTACTAACTCAATAAATGCAGTGAATTATTTGCAAGAAGGACATATTATTTATAACAAAAAATTATTACTTTAATTAAAAACCTATTAAATTAATATATTTGAGTGGAAGGGTAGCTATATTTTATACTTTAATTAGCCATCTATTTCAGAGAAGTCACTGCTAATATCTTCTTTCTTTTAGTTTTAGCTAAATAGAATTCGCATGCATCTACAACACTAGAATACTAACAAATAAGAACAATCCTTTGACATTGAATTTTTAGAAATTTTTTTTAAATTATTTAAATATATAAAATAAAGAGAACGAATTTGAAATTAATATTTGTCTTTTTTAGTCAAATTCAGTTAAATAGAAATGAAAAAATCTAATAAAATATTTAATCAAAACTCTAAATATAACTAAAAAGGTGGTAGGTAAATAAATCAAACTATCTGTATGTGTAGTTTATATTTGATGAAAAGGATTATTTATAATTTTACCGGTTAAGATAAAAATTTAAAAATCAATTTTTAAATAATAAAGATATTTAGTTTGTATTTATGAATTATTTAATATAGGTTGAATATGAAAAGATGAGCATTTTAGGATCTTAAGAAAATGAATAATAGATCTCACACATACTCACATTAATAAAAAGAAAGAAAGAAAGAAAGAAATGAACACTAAGTTTCTTCTTACGAAATAATTAGAAAATATTATATAAAACAATTAATATTAGTAAATAATAAATAAGTAAATAAAGATTTGCAAGAAAAAATAAATCATCAAAGTACTCCTAATTATTAGAAAGTTAATAAAAAAGATTTTTATTCGTTAGCTTTTAGTAAAATCAATCAAATAAAAAACTAACATACAATCAGACAAACAAACAAATAACTAGTGATTAGCTAGCTCATTAAGTACTAAATAAATAAAGGTCTAATTATTTCAAGGCAGAGATGAAGTAAGCAATTATCACCTTAGCATTAGCAGGAGTGTTATTTTTCTAACTTTAATATTTCGAGATTATAGACATCTTAGATTATACCAAAAATTCACTTTAATATCTAAAGAAATCATAGTCTTTCCTCTTAATTCTATAAGCAAGCTTGATACTCGTCTTGATTAGCATTTTAATCTTGTACATTTTGTAAAGAAATATTTAAAATAAGAAAGTTATTTACAATTGCGCCCCTAAAAAGAGTCGCTCTGAATATGAAAATGAGGTCAAGAGGGAAACTCGCAAGTCTGTTGATGCATTAATTAATTCAGATGAGTACAAATAGCATAGAAAATTATTTAAAACATCAGATGACTTCATAAGTTAAAGAGAAATGACCGAATTAGATGAGTTAAGTGACTCATTAACAGAAAGTGATAATGAAGTAGAAAGCGGTGAAAATAATTAATGATAAACTTATGAATCAGCGATCTTCTGTTTATTGCTTTGAAAAAGGGATTGAATTAATTCCTTCATTCATTTATAACCTTACCACCTCTAGTTCTAAACTAGTATAAAACAAACAAACTCTTACTTTACCTATAATTTTGTATAAAACTTTTGAATAAATATATATAATAGAGTTTTTGGAAGTTAAATATTTTAACTTTGGCAGTCATCTCTAAATTTTGTATATTTGTAATTACTTATATATTTTTCATGCAATTTTGTCAGTATATCCTTATAGCATAATAACACTCTATAATTTATCAGTATTTGAAATATAGTAAGTTTCTAAATCATATCAATCTTTTTAAAACAAAAATAATTTATTATTTTACAAATTATTACAAACAAATAGCTTTTCTTATAACAAGTAAATAAATTAAATTAATAAAAACATTTTTATTTAAAAAAAGGGAAATTTTTTATTTTAATTACTTTAAATTTAATACCTTTTTAATTTATTTTATTAGTGGGTGATTGGATTTTTATATATTATGGGTTGAACATATACTCAATAGATAATTTATATAAAATTAAATTTGAATTGAATTTGTAAACTATAAATTATGAATCAAACTCTGTTTAAATGAAAAGCAAATTTTAGATAAAATTAAAGGCTGTTTTCAACTAAATATATGAAAGACCTGATTCATTAAATTATTTTAAAATATTAGAAACATATTAAAAAAATAAAAACGGTTTTAATATTATACTTTTACTTTTTTATTTCAAATGAATAAATTACTAGTACTTTTTGTTTAAGAAATATTTTTAAGGATAATATTATCAAGTTTAATTTATTTATATATTTTAAACAACTTTAGTTGTAGATTGAAATGCTTAAAAGAAGTGAAAAATTTGATTTAATATAAGCTGATTCAATTTATAAAGCATTAAGATAAAAATATTTTTTTTTTAAATTTACTTAATAAATTCATTTTTTTGCTATAAAAAAATTTTTTAATTAATTTATCTAAATTATGTTTTAATATAAAACCCTTTGTTTTCAACTTCTAAATAATAAACTAAATTTTCAAACATATTTTAATTGTAGATTTAAATATTTATATTTATTAATAAAAATTAAAACTAATTCAATTGATTTTAAATAGCAAAAATTAAAAAAATGATCAAAATATTTTTATTTAAAATCTTTTTCCAAAATTTTTCTAATTTAATGAATTTAAATTAAAAATAAATTTTTTTAATATTAAACTATTTGTGTCCTTTTTTTTTCTTCTTTAATAAACTAGTTTAATCTTAATAAATGTATAATTTTAAATTATTTTTTTAAATTAAGTTGAGTTAAATTAATACAATACTTTATTGTAATTATATTTGTAAGCTAAATATGTTTAGATTGATTAAAAAATTAAATTTTAAAAACTAATCAAATTTATGTTTTTTAGTAGAAAATTAAAAAAAAATAACATAGCTATTTTATTTTAAACAAACTAAAATTGTTTAAATAAAAAATATTTTGTGTTATTTTTTTAAATAATTTATTTTTTTTAATTTGGATATTGGATTAAAACGTACTATTAAATGCATATTAATTATTTTTTTAAGATGAAATGATACATACATAAGATTATATATTTTTATGTTAAAATTTAAGTAGGATTTAATTTTTAAGATTTAGTTAAATTTATATTTTTGATGTTTTAAATAAGATATTATTAAATTTAAAATAAAAAAAATCATTTCCATGTCTCTTCATCATCTAATTAACCTTTATTTGTTTAGTTAGAATTACTGTAGTCATTAATACTGTTTTAAACTTACTACTAATTTTGTTAACTTGATGATACTTATTATTCTGTATGATCATTAAGCTTTTTCTTTTTTTACAATTCTTCATGTAATTTATCAATATCATCAATGTCTAAATTATTTATTAAGTTATCTTCATACTATTATTTTTAGCGATCTAAAAATGCTTAGTTGAAAGAGTTTTTATCTTGCTCTTCTTGTTGATTTTATCTCTTAAAATTTTGCTGCTAATTCTAGAACCTATGCTATTGATTCATAATACCTTTATTATTGTAATAATTTTATTATTTATTATGTTGATATCCCCTATTATTAGCTTGTTCATTATCATTTGTTTAGCTTTCCCAAGGATTTTAAAGCATATTTTATTTAAAATAAGCTAAAGGATTAAAATTGTCATGATCTGACTAATTGTTTGAGTGAAAATTTTATTATTTTCTAAAATTTTAGTGCTGAGGTCTCTAATTGAAATTTGCTCCTTTCTAATATCCTCTTTAATTGTTATTATAACCATGTTATTATCTCTATTACACATCTTAATTTCTATTATGTTAGTTTTGATATCCTTAATTATTATTTCTATTTTGATTAAATCTCTAATTGTTATTATTATTATAATTTTTGTTGTAGTTTTGCTTGTTTCCTTGCCTATAATTTCCATAATTTTGATTAAAATTGTTCTAACCATTTTAATTTTAATAGCCAAATTAATCTCTTTAATAATTCTACTCTCTGTTTTAATTGTAATCGCCCATTTTTATCAAGGAGATTATTTATTTTTATAAAATTTTGTAAATTAATTATTGTCTATGAAATTAAATGCTTTTAAAATATATATGTGTTGATTGATTGATTGATTGATAGAAATTTTAGATTGATTTAATTAAGAATTCAATAATAATTCTAATATTAAACAATTAAAAATAAATTGAATTGAATTTATTTGTAATTTAATAAGTTAATTGAAATAAAATATGTTTGCTAATAAATATGCATTGTAATTAGATTATAGAATTTAACTTAGCTTTGTTATAATTTACACCTTATTTATAAGTAGATTACATGAAACAAATAAATAAATTATACTAATTTTTATTTTATTTGAGAGCATCAATAAAAATTTAACTAAAATTTGCAAAAATTATCTTTCTTATCTTAAGGAATGAAGTCCGCAAAGCTGTAGATAAAATCTATTTTATCGAATTCATCTGTTTTTATATAAAATTAATTTGATTTGATTGATAATGAAAATAATTTTTTGAAAAAATACTTATTTCGTATGTCAAGCCGATACCAGCAGATAGCCTAACATTTTGCTTGATTAATGAAGAAAGTTTATTTTCTTAATTTAAATTTAAATTAGTAGGGACAAAAGCAGTATAGAGATGTAAGAAAGGGAGGATGTCAACCTTTTGAAGGAAGGGGAATTTAAGGAAGTAGTATTTAAATTAGTTTGTCAGGAAATATCTGCTGCCAAAATTAGTAGAATTGATATTTTTGTCTTATAAATCAATGTTTTTGTAAGATGGCTAATTAGTCAAAGTAAAATTCTCACTAAAATGAAGGTTATTTTTAGAAAAGACACAACCTGCTTAAAATTAATTTTGTGCCATAGCTGGAATTTTTGTTTCTCCTATCTAGATTTGATGAAGCTTTTGTTTCATATTCAAATATCTGGCTTTTGCAAATAGTGACATATTGGATCCAATACCTAATTTTGCTGAAACCTATGTCATTTACTAAGTATTAAATTCCTATTGAATTTAGGTTTTATCAGTGAATGTTGCCTTAAAAACTAAATTTTGGTATGTTTGCATGGTTTAATCGAAAATACTTCCATTATGTGCCAAAACATTAGTAGCGGTAATATCAGGAGAGTAGTGATGAGAGGTAGTTGATACAGCTAGTTTGAATCTAGGATCTTTCTTCAAATAAAAATTACCTCTAAATTTAAACATTTTAGTCCTTAAATCATTTAGAACCTACCTATCAGCCATACCAAATTCATATTCTTATATACAACTTTCAGGAGAAAAGTAAGGGAAAGTGAAAGAAGAAAAGAGCTTTAATTCTTTGTTAAAGTCAAAGTAAGATTTTCTCATACGAAAAACAATAGATTCACACTAACCAAGCATGTTAGTAAACTATGGCATTAGGACAATTCCAAAATTTCTTTACTTTTAATCAATAGATACACCATAATCACATGAAAAAATAGGATCTTCAGTGAATCTAAATTTCAAATCGAGTTAATCATATTAATATTTATTTATTTGATTTTAAAATTCTCCTTCTACTGAAACATCGCGAAAGCAGCCAGCATTTTTAATATTTTCTAAAATACTTTAATTTATTCTTTATGAAAGCTCCTAGAATGTTTTAATTTAATCAGCATTTTCATTTTTCAGGTTTCTAAGTAAATAAGAAGTAATTTTTTTGGAGGTTCTTAAAGATCTTGAAGGATCGCTATTACTTACAGTGACATTTAATTTTGAAGGAAAGTCTATTTCATTCTCATCAAACTACTTTTATACCTCTTTAGTCTATTCAAACTCGCTATTTTTAACAAAAACCTTGTAATTTCCATCCATTGATGCCATCTCTTTATACTTTGAATAATGATTCTAACCTAATTTACTACAACACTTCTAGAAATTCTATTAATATTTAACAATAAGTTCTTCTTTATTTATAAATAATTATTTAAAGATATGCAAGAATGAATCAATTAATCAGTCAAGCAAACAAACAAACATAATTAAAAATCAATTTTATTTACTACCGAAAAATAAAAAATTATCAAGCAGTAAGTAATAATATTGATAATAAATACCCATTCTATTTGTTTTTTTATAAAAATAAAAAAATCAATTAACACTCTAATTTATGCAATCATAATAAAATAAAAACGTATGTCCTATTAATTGATCACAAGCAAGAAGTTGTTTAGTTAGTCAAAAAAGATTTATTTTTTAAAAAGCACTTAAATGATTATAAACCAAATAAATTAATTTAAATACAATTTATTATAATGTTTTTTAAATATTTTTTTTCATTTTGCTAAGAAAGCACCAGCAATTAATGCTATTATTGCTACTATAATAACATGGAACATAGTAAAGTTGGCTTCCTAATTACCTATATTTAAAATAATTTATTTATATTTATTTTACAATATTAATGCTATTTATTTTTTTATTTACTTGCTTGCTGAATCTTCTATAGCTCTTTGACTTTCTTTTCTAAATCTTTATTTTATTAAGCCTAATTTTTATCATTAGCAATTTTATAAAATTCTAAATCTATTCCAAAATAAAAAATTACTAAAATTTAATTTTCACTCTTTGCCTTATTAAGAGCTTCGTTGAGTCTTTTTTCCTCTTCATTTGCATTTACTGAAGCATACAACTTTGAACTGTTCATTAAACCTATTAATTAGTATATATTAGTGTTGTTTTAAATAGTTTATTTTACTGTTTTCGCGTTAAGTGACATTTCCTTCAAAGCTAAAATCAACTATTTTTTCATTCTATTATTACTAACTTACAAGAAAAACATCTACCTTTTTATTACCCTAAACATGCTTTTTCAAAATGTCGCTAACATCTTGCCCTTCTTGGAGCTGAATTATTTACAATAAAAATAATTTTTACACAGTTTAAATCAAATTAGTAAAATACAATTTATTCAGTGAGTTCAGCAACATCTATCTAAAATTTATCTCCTGTTATTTAGTTGTATTCTCTCTATATATATTTTTTAATATTAAGGTTCTTTAATGCTAGATGCAATAAGTTTACTCTTGGTTGCATTGTAAATTCGACAATTACATCGCAATTTGGATGAATTTCTTTTTAGTTTGGTTGAACAGAAAAACACTTTGGATTATTAGTTTTGAACTAAGATTTTATAAAATGAAAATAAAAATTTTAAGGACTCAGATAAATAATACCAAAAAAAAATATACCTTATAATATATTTTATTTCTGGATATATTTTTTAAAGTGAGCGATGTATTCATCAACTAATTTGGCTTGAAGTTGAAGCAAAGAAAGTTATTATTTTTTAATCCATCTATTTCTATTAATTCGTCAAATCTATTTGGCTTATCTCTAAAATATTTTAAAGCATAAATTTAATAATTTAGTCATTTCTATGAACATAGAGTAATGTTTTTTATATTATTTTGTTATGCTTACTATTTTGAAGTCATTTCTATCTTGATTTCTTTATAAATTTTGCTTTTTATTCTAAATAATTCCTTTTTACTTTTATGATCAATATCTTTCTTAAGAATAAATAATAATAATAATTATTATTATTATAATTAATGATTATTGCGAGAATATTTAATGTACTAACTAGAATATATAAAATTAAACTCTAAATTAAATAATACATGCACGTTTATAAATTATTTCTAAGAATTTTATTCTATCATAATAAAATTGAAATTAAGTAGGGTCATCATGGGAATTCCTTCACTAGCATAAAAATGCAACAAATCATTATTAAATATGTTTATTTCTTTTATATTAGAAATAATTTATTAAGGTTTTTTGTGGATCCTGATAAATAAAGCAGAGTTACTCTCTGAAATATTTTTTATTGGTCGATTCAGCAAAGATAATTTATTTTTAATTATTTATTAATATTTTTGTTTAATTGTAATAACAAACATTTTTGTATTAAAAATATAATTGAAGAAAAATGATTAAGAATAGTTAAGGTTAAAAAAAAAGGGTTGATGCTAAAAGTCAAATAACAACCTATAGGGAGAGTAAAGAAAAAGAAAAAGAAATACCAATAGCCAACTTAAAATCAGGAGAAGAATTATATAATGAAGAATAAATCACTAAAAGCCAAAATAGAGTTGCATTTATATAAAAATAATTTGATGATATGGGCATGACTAATCCATTTAAAATAAACTCTCTTAACTTAGAAAAAGCATTTAGTGTTTAGGATATCATAAAAACAATCATTGAAATATTTACTGATGCAATTGAATGTTCAAAACCTTCTAAGTTTAACATAATTAATTATTTTGTTAACTACGTTTATCAAAAGGTTGAATCAAAAACCTTGACAAGCTAATTTTGTTGGAGCCTCATTGATTAAATAGGAAAAGAAGCTGTTACTAGCAATGAAATGAGGATAATATTATCTTTAATTGAAGAAAGTTCTTACGATTAGATAAAATTTTATATTAACTTTCGTAAGATGATTTTTCAATATTTATTTAATCTAGAAAAAAATAAATGTGGTTATGAATCTTTTTAACTCGATGATTATAATGTGATATGTGAGCAATGGGTAAGAATCAATCAAAGGTATTTTGAATTTGTATCTTACGAATAAATAATGTAATACTTTGAGGAAGAAATTAAAAAAATTAAATTTAATTTTGACCAAGATTTATTTTATAAGCTATAATGCTCAGAGTTTATGTTTATAGGTCTACTATTTAACAAGCATTTAACTTCTAAATATGGGAAATATGAAGAGCATATAGAAAAATATCGCAAGCAACAATCTGCAAAAGGGTATTAATATAATTTATAAGCTTAAAAGAAGCATAGATAAGAGTGTAGTGATTTTTTGATTAAATGGGGATGGTCTACTTTTAATTAATAACTAGAAACCAAAAAGTAAATATAATAAAATCTTTAGGTTAGATAAAATTATAATTATGAGCAACAGAAGCCTCAAACGGTAAAAAAACAGCCTCCAAGGTCCCGTAAAAGTATAATAATAACCTAAGATAGATCTAAAAGTGCTAATAACCTAAAAAATAATTAATTAAAACAATAATATCCTTCATTTAATGACGATTCTATCTCAAAAACTCCTGAAAAAAGAAAAGTTAGCAATGCTAGTCGTAAAGTATCGATTACTAACACTGCCCCAAGTTTTAAGTAACAATAATTTACTTCTCCTAATAGCTTTGATAACCAAAAAGATACCTTCTTTACTCCAAATAGAACAGTTAGTCCATTTTCTGACTAAAAATAATCTCACTCTTAGACAAATTTTTAAAACAATTAAAAGATTCATTAATTTAACAAAACCACAAACTAATTTTATTATTAATAACAAAGCAACTAAAAATCTTTTTTTTGAAAATAAATCTGTTAAGTTTATTATATAAAATTTAATAATTATTATAAAATTTATAAAAAAACTATCATATTTTTTAAAAAAGATTTAATAATATTTTAAAAATTAGCATTAATCATTCATTATTTTAATTTTGGCTTTCTTTAAAAAAATTACTTTTATTAAATTATTTTTAGAAAAAAGAAATACTTTATTTTATTACCTTAAAACTAAATTTTTTTACAAAGAAAATTCAATTTTTAGTCAATATTTTTTGATAGTGCTTCAGATATATGAATAAACGGATAGAATTTCATTTCTAAAAGTTAATAAATCTTATAAATTTTGTATTAAAAAAACTCACAAGCTTTTAATATGATTATCAAATTAATACTAATATATATTCTTAATTGTAAAATATATAAATGATTTTCTGAGGATAATAACAATATTTATTATATTCTAAAGCAGATAAGATGCATGTGAATAACTTAAACAATATTTAGATTATTTTATTTGTTATTTTGTTTATTTAAATTCTATTTAAAATTTTTTAAAATAAATATTTATAAATCAATAATAAAATTTAATACAAAAATAAATACATGTCAATTATACTGCCATCTTAATCATTACTTCTATCTGATGCAAAATAAAAGAGAAAATTCACAGTAAATTACAAAATACTTAATCCTATCAAAATCATTTGTTTTTTAAAATAAAATCTACCAACCTTTATGAGCCAATATCTATTTAAATTAAATTTAATAAAGAAATTAAGTATTTTGATTTTAATTTTAAAATAAATTTTGATAAGGAAAATGTAAAAACTTATGTTTTAATAAATTTTTAAATTATAAAAAAGAAAGTAAAAAATTAAACTATAATAATAATTAATAAATTAATAGATTTTTGACAGATTATTACTCAAAATACAGCTATAAAACTTGAAATATAAAAAACAAAAAAATATTTGTTAGCTATCTATCTATCTATCTATGTTTGATTTGAATTAATAAATTAATTTAAAATATCATATATTCTAATTTTAGTTAAGATATTATGAAATTTCCTTTATTTATTCAATGCATTCGTCTTTTTTTGCTTATGCGCTATCTAATCTTTATTTTAATGCTTGTATGCAATCATTTTCACTATGTCTTTATAAATCTGTAAACTTCATTCCTTATAAGCAATTTTCACAAAATACATTTCTGCTTGGACAATCTTGCTTTAAATGATATTATTCGTCTTTTTTTATTATCTAAGAGCTGCACTAAGGGCATTATATTAATCTATTTATGCATAAATTTAGCGTATGATGATCTAGATCCTTAAATTAAATCTTTTATTAGCATTACGTACAATCTATCAATCTAAACTTGCATTGATCCAAATGAACATTTCTTTTTAAGTATTACATTTTGCTAGAACACCCTTAATTGGGACAACTAATAATTCTGTGATCACATTCTTACAAATGTTTATCCTATTCTTCTATTTTTAAAGGATTTAAGCAGTATTTACATTTAATTTTGTTGAATTCGCAATTTTTTTGATGATGATCTAAATCTTTTTTGCAAACTAACTTTTAGCAATTTGCAAATCTACATTTGACTAAAGTAAATTAGCAGTTTGGAACATGTTAATTAATTTCATTATATTTCATCACTACATTACATTATTAAGAAGGATCTTCATTTAATGAGTTTGGACACTTAATCGATAACCAATTGAATACTTTTTCTAATTGTGGTATTTGCTTTTCAAGAAAAGTAGAATTTTATGAGCATTTTTAAGGGCAAGTTTAGTTTAATGTATTCTTCTACCATTTCTTAATGCATCCCTTACAAGCAAAATATCCACAATTAGTGCATACTAAAATGGGTTTCTGTAAAAGCATGAAGCAAATCTTGCACAAAACGTTATGAATTAAATCTTTATGCTCACAATCAATTAACTCTTCTTGAATTTAAATTTCTTATGAAACTCCCTAAATCATTTTTTAATTTACTTAAATACTCCTTTTCACTTAATAAATTTTCAATTTTTTTTTCTACTTAAAATTTTCCTGATCTTTTTTATAACTCAAATTACATAAATTTTTTTTGATGAAACTAACCATCCAACTATAAATAAATACATTTATTAATGCAAATCAATTTATAATTCCAGCACACTTAAAAAATCAAAAAATATTATTTGATATAAATATTATAATTTTTAAATTAAAAATGATCTCTTTTGGCAAAGATATAATATTTCAAAATATTTTATAATTTTTGATAAAATAACTCATAAAATTAAAAACTCATTCTTTTAATTTCTAACTTGACTTAAATTACTTAATCAATATTTACAGTTATTATATAAATATGTATTACAATCAAAACATATTAAAAAAATAAATTATTAAACTTTCTTTTTAGCTAATTTAAACTCATTTCTACATTAATTTAGAGAAAATGTATTTCCATTTTTTTAATATTTTTTTTAATTTCAAATAATTAGATTTTATTAAAAATGATTGATCATAAAATTTGATTGAAATTAATAAAATAAGTTTAAAAAAACTACTTCAAAAATTTTGCTATAAAATATTATATTTTTTAATTTTTTCATTTATAAAGTTAATTCAACCAAAATACATTTAAAAATAATTAAGTAAAATATTTTAAAATATTATAAAATTTTATTGATAAAAAATAATTATTATAGTAAATAAAATATCTGTTTTTCAAAAATATAAATTTTTTTTTTGCTAGAATCCTCAATCAATAATCATATTAAATGATAGATAATTGTTTGCATTTGTTTTGGATATTTATTTATTTATATAAATATAAAAAGAGTTTCATTATGTATGATTGATATTTTAATCTTTTGAATATTCAGTATTATATTTAAAACATAGGAACTGACTGAATCAAAATAAATTTCAAAGTTAAATCTTAGATTATTTGTTAGTTATTAATCAAACTATTCATAATAAATTTTATCATCTTTTAGTAAAAATGAAATCTTCACTTCCAAGCTTAAATAGTAAATTTTTCTATTTCATTATTTCTAGTGTTTATTATATAAAACATTTTAAATAGATGCTTCTAGTTATGTAGGCTCAAGACAATTTAAGCCTGCCTCATCTCAACTAGGTAATTAAACTTAGACTTCTCTTGTTTAAATTATTTTTAAAATGAAAAAATAATTTTAAAAGAATTGTAATTTTTAAAAAAATTAAGCTACTTCTTAATTGAAAAAATCTAAAATGGAAGGCTATGATGTTGTTGAACCTAAGCCTCCTAAAGAAAGTTTCAGCCAAACTTTAAAGAGTAATAAAAAATCTTAGCAATTAGATTCTACTGTAGGTGCAAAAAATGCAGTTGATCAAGCAAATAAAAAAACAACTCTTGAGTAGAATATAGAGGAATAATATATAAATGGTTTATAGAATGAAATCAAGTTATTAGAATATGAATTAAAATTATTGAAGGATAAAGAAACTGAAGAATAAACAAACTTTACTTCATTCTTCAAATATTTTAATGATGGTGTTCCTATTAACGACAATATTATTGCAATGAAAAACGTTTACAGTTCAACTTAGCGCCATCTCAGCGAAACTCTCACTGTATTAATTAAGAATAATTTACTTTATAAAAATTAATTTATTTTAAATAAATATTGATTGATTAAAATAATTTATTCATCAAAAGGCCCACTAAACAGAAGTTGACGAGATATTGATAGAAAATTAAGCTATTGAAGAAGAAACTAAGGAATATGAAGAGAGATTTTAAGAGCTTTAGGAAATAATAACAAAAAAAGAAGAAGCTTATGTTAAGGAATATGCAAAGTACTTTAATTTTAAGGGTTGACAAACTTACTAAATTTTATTATATTTTAAAGATATGAAAACATGTTTTTTGATGAGATGTATCTCTACAAAGAATGTGAGCCTGATTAAAAAGAATTGCAAAAGAAAACAAGATACTATCAAGGAGAAATTATGGTAATATTTTCAAAATTATGATATGATGCTAGTATCTTCTTTTGTTTAGATTTTTAATAGAAATAGAGACAAAGAAGCTTTGATTGCAGGTAGAAAGGAAATCATGGATTAATAAGCTTTAGAAAAACTTAGAAGATAAGTTATTAATATTGAAGAAAGTATTCTTGAAAGAAAAAAAGAAATGGTATATTTTTTATTATATTTAAGTGGTTTTTAATCAAAAAAATCGGGATAGGATGATAGAATGAACACAGATGTCCTTGAACATGAAACTCTATTTTTAGAAGAGTAAAATGAATTACTTAAAAAGAGAATTCTAGCTATGAAGACAGATCTAAGTATGGTTTAGGTTAAAATCTAAGAATAAAAGTTTATTTTAGAAACACAAGCCAAGGATAGAGAAAATGATGTCAGTTAAAGATTAACTTTAATGAACAAAATTTTTGATCTGAAAGAATAAATAGAAGATCAAGTAAATAAATAAATATCGATTAGAATTTATTTGTAAATATTTTTGTTTCCAAAAGCAAAAAATGACAGAGGGATTAGTTCAATAAAAAGTTAAGGAATTAGAAAGAGATAGAGTTAGAAAAGTAGAATAAGAGGTTGAGCATATCACTAAGAGATAAATTAATTTATTCACTGATCGTAACGATGAATTAGAAAAATTAAACGATGACATCATCTACAACAAAGTTGAACTTGAAAAAGAATTCATCGATTTAGAAATTGAAGAAGACACTCTTCATAAAAGAATTAAGGATTCTAAGGAGAGACTTCATTAACTTAAAGTAGATATCGAATTAGCTGCAATCAAAGAAAGAGACCTCTCCGAGCAAATCGATCCCATTTCTCAAAAAATAGATTAGCTTAGCAAAGAAAATCCTAAAAGAGATCAAAGAGTACGCGACTTAGAATAAGAAATATTTAAAGCAGAATAATAAGTAAGTTTGTATTTTAAAAATGAATAAAAAATAATTTTTACTATAAATATCATAATAGCTCGACCTTATTAACCAATTTAAAAACTTTAACATAGAAGAAGCTAAAATGGCTTATGCCTCAAATAATCAAGTAAAATAAATTTATTACTTTATTTTAATTTATTTATGTAACTATTATAAATTAGATTAACAAAAGCATAGAAAAATTAGTAAGAGAATATAGAAAAATAACTACTTCTTGAGCTAATTTAAGTATCTCATATTTAAAAATAATGCTTGTATAAAATTGTAGTAAAACAACCTTTTAAAAAAATAAAAAATATAAATCTTAAATAATATGTTCTTTTGTATTATATATACAAAAAATATTCATTTTTGCAAAATGTTTGTATAAAATCAATAAGGATATTCAAGTATTTCATAAAACAAATTATTATTTAATTGTTGAAATTTATATTTTCAAATCATTTTTATGAATGCTTGATTTGATATTCATAATATAAATTATTAAATTAATTTTTCAATTTTATCTTTTATTTTTTTTTGACTTTAAATAAAATATCAAAGATTTTTGAGTTATTTTTTTGACTTCTGAGTAATATTTTATTAGCTCCTCACTTGAAAAGAAATGCATTTTTTAAGAATCTTCAAGATCAAACCACCATTTATGGTACTTTTGAGCAAGTTTATTGAAATTCTTTGGTGTAATTTCTTCGTTATGATCTAGCTCACTTATTTCATCATCATTTAATTCCCAATCATAAATATTAGGCTTTTATAAATCATTCTTTTGTTTTTCAGAATATTTCTATAAAATTTAAGATTTTGATAAATTTTTATTATCTTTATTTTTCATTTCTACTTTATTTTCTTAACCTGCTAAGCAGTATTTGTGAAATTGTAATCCACTTTTTATTTTAAAGTTTTGATTATACTTTTATAAAATTTCGAATTGCTTTTAAGAAGCAGGATCAAGGACTTTTGACAGTTTCATGGATCTTTCAATTGAGTTATATCTAGAATCGCTGCCTGTTTCTTTTGAATTAATAGATGTTCTTAAATTAGGTGAATTCATACTAATATTATTTAATGACATATTCAATTAATTCTTTGTTTTATCTTGGCTCTTTGGGATAGGCTTTGTATTAAAAATTTAAATTAAAATAGCTTTTAAAGGAAAAATTTTACTTTTGAATTAGTTGCTCCTTTGTTTGACCTTAAGTTTTCTAGAAAATTGTTTTTAAGATCTTGAATATTATTGGTGCTTTTATTTTAGTTATAAGTTCTCTTCGGAGAAAGAGAGGCCTTTATATAGCTTTACACTTTAGATTAAATATTTTTTAAATTAGTTTCAGTTATTTTTTTGTTCAAATTCTTTTATTTATTTTCTTTATCTTTTTAAACTTTTAATATAAAAGACTCATTTAAATTGTTCTTTGCATTTTTCACTATTTTCTTTGGGATATTGGTCTTCGGCTAAATGTTTTCACTTTCATCATCTGATGAATTTAAATTAAAGCTTATTTTTCTGTTGCTCTGTTAATGGAACTATGGGAGATTCTAGTCATTTTAGGTTAAAGTAATTGAAGTATTTACAGCTTACTTATCAGGATTCATAATTAGAAATGATTCTTACAATTTTTATTCAAATATATTGTTTTCATCACAAAAGGAATCCTCTACTTTCCTAAAAACTTCATCTTTTGATGATTGATTATCGCTTTTAATATGTAAAATTTAAATTAAATTTGACAAAAAATAATAAAATACATGATGTTGTACTGCACTTTCATTTTTTTAGTTTCTTTTTAATCTGTAGGATATGGGACTTTTTGTAATTTAAGACTTGATTTAAGCACTTAATGCTATTATTCCAATTTAGAATTATTATTTATAGCCTAGTTTTCTAAACAATTTTAGTTAAAGCTTTATCGAGGAAGCTAATTTTACTATTTCAAAATTATGGATTATCTTAATTAATTAAAAGTTTCATACACTTCAAAAGGCTAATCATTTCCATTAAAAGTTATGTAGTTATTATTATTATTTTAATCTTCATGCATTTTAAAGCTAACAGTTCTTTTGTGCTAACTACTATTCAAACCACCATGATTTTCTTTGTGTGAATTACAATCTGAATCAGGACTACTAGGAAAATTATTTATGATCTTTTCGAGTTTCTTCTTTTAAACTTCTTTTTCATGGCTAATTTGAATTTTATCAAATCCTTTCAGTTTCCATCTCTTGCTTGTTGTTGTTGATTTTGTTAATCTATCAGTCACATTTTCTTCTTTTACATCCTCACCAAATATATTCTTCTTAACTTAAATTTTCTTTTTGTATTTTTGATTTTTGTGTTATTCTAACTTTTCAGGAGATATTTCAGGTGGTATTTTTGGAATTTTTAATTCTTAGGATATGTTAGTGAGATCTTAATTGTTAAAATTTTTAAGTTATATTACAGTTTCAAACACTCTTTACGAAATATTTTTATCAAATTTTGCATTATTTTGTTGTAATAACTTAATAATATTTTCTTAATCTAACTATTTAAGATCGCTAAATTCTATGAAGTACTTCTAATTTTTATCTATTTCTACTTTTTTAGGTGGCTAAGCTTTATTTTTAATAGACTTAGGTGTTGTTGCTGTTGAAACAGAACTCATAAAATTATTTTTAAAGTTTATTAATGAATTTATTTACAATTATATATTTGTATTTATTTTTAGTTAATTATTCTTCCTTCTATCTTCTTACTCCTAGTATCTAAATAAATATCAAAAATTAATTTTGAGAGATTGTTCATCGTCAGTAATTTTAATTTGAATCTATAAGTAGGAATAAAAATTCCTAATACATTGATTGTAATAAAATTTATTTGCAAAATAATAAAATAAAAGTAAATTATTATTTCATTGATTTTTTCAAAGGATTTAGTAAAAATTTATATTTTCTTTTAATAAATAACATTTTATTTTTCTCAATTTATGTTGAAGATATTTTATTCATTTAATTTAATTTTATTATAAGTAGCTATTGATTAATAAAATTGCTAAAATTTAATGAATGAATTAAATACTTTTTGCAAAATAAAATCTTGCTTATTATTATTTTTAAGGACTTTATCAACCATAAAAAAAGCAACGTTTACATTTATTATTAACATGCTATTCCTTCTCTTTTCTATGTAATTAGTTTATTATTTTTGTATTATTATTTGTTAATATTTTTTAATATAAATTATATTTTTTATTTTTTATATTAAACTTAATTAATTATTCTAATAATATTTTAAATTTTATTTTTTATATTTATTTTGCTAATAACATTTTTTACAGCTTTAGTTAAATGTAAATATAATTTTTATTATTAATTTTAACTAAAAAATATTATCTAAATTTTTGATGGATTTTTTATTTATTTTTAGAAACTAAAACATAAAAAAATCCTGTTTGATTACAAAATTATTAAATTTCTAAATTTATATTGCTTACATTAAAATCTATACAATTATATATTATTAAGCTTTTTCTCTCTTTTACTCTTAAAATTATTAATTTTAAATTCTCAATTTTTAACTACCAAAAATAATATTCAAATATAAATTTTTGTATTTGTTTATTTAATAAAATTTTACAAAATCTTTAATTTCTATTGAAAAAGTAAATCTTTACTTTAAAAAATAACTTTTTTTCTTAAAATATTTTTTAATTTGAAATAAACTTGTTAACTAATCTCAAAATAAATTGATAAAAAAAAGATTTAAAAAGTAAATTTAAATACAGTAATTTGATTGAATGAATTTTGAGTTTCTTTTGTATTATTTAGAAGAAAAAAAATTATTTAATATATTCATGTTTTATTATTTATTATAAAAAGCATATTCTTCATAATTTTTAAAAAATAATGTTGCTTCTTTGAATTTCTCAACAGATGTTAAATTAATCTTATTTCAAATTATTTTGTTTTTAAACATATTTTTTGCTTAATTTAAATGTGTAAATAAATCCCATGCTATTTTATTTTGTTTATTGTAGAACTGCTTTTATAACTCAGTTTAAACTTTCCTTGGGAAATAAATTTTTTTTTACTTTCAATTATAATTTTTTAGAGATGAGATAGTATATTTAAATTTATTAAATTTTGTTTCTATCAATTATATTGCCTAATAGATACTTGATTTGAGTTATGATTTTTTCAATATTATATTCATTACCTTTTAGTCTCATATATTTTATATAATTTCTTATTAACTTATTTTAAAATCATCCATACTGATTAGAAATGAAATATTTTTTGTTTTATTCAGTTGCTTTCAATCTTAAAGAGTTTAATTTATGAAATATTTTTAAACTAATTATTACTCCTACTTTTTTTTGGTCATCCTGTAAATCCATTATAAATATGGAATTTAAGGAAATTAATTTACATTACGCATTATCCATTTCAATTAAATTAATAAATAAAAATAATATGGCTTTTATAAATATTTAAAAAAACCTATTTAGCTCTAGAAGCAAAGATTTTTTATATTTATGAAAGTTTGGAAACACTGCCTGTTCTCATTAATTATCACTACTCCTTCTAAAAATAAAAAATTAAATTTTGGTTTTGTAGAGTAGTAAAGTTTAGAATAACAAAAATGAGGCAGCTTAAATTAGTGAAAAATTAAAGTAAATAATTCTTATCTTTATAACTGAAGTTTTTAAAATAAAATTTAATTGACTATTATATTTTATTATTTTAAAAACTCTATTTATAGTATTGAATAATTAAATTTTCTTTAGATTTTATAAAAAATTTACAGAAATGTTTGAAAATGAGAGAGAAATCCATTTTTGAAAATAAGCTAAATAAAATTATGTTGCTTTATCTAGAATTTATCTATAAAATCCTAACCAGTTAGAAATCTTTAAGAGATATAAATTTTGTATTTTTTTTAACTAGAATAATTATGGAGATTTAATCCATATATTCATAAAATTTAAACAGTATATAGTTATTAATAATTTTTTATAATTTAATAAAAAAACTTTTACAAAAAAATTTACTTTCGATTAGAACATTTAGAATAATTAGAGAAAGTATAAGATAGATCGATACGTAATCAAATTTAAATAAACTTTATATCATGTGTTCTTATGTAAATTTAAATAAAATGTTTCAGATTTAAATAAGCAAAATGAGATTAGGTTATTTATAATTCATTTCAACAAAAAAACAAAATAAATAAATAAAAAAACAAAAAAACAATAAAAAAACTAGTATAAATGACAGAATAAAAATAAAAATAAGTCTTTGAAAAGATAGAAAAACATTTTGGATTCCTTCCAAACTTATTCAAAAACTTTGATGGTTTCCCTGTTGGAGCTGAAGCTTTTGCCACTTTTGCCTCATTAATAATTGAGCATACTCCAGAGAACAAATTACCATTATTATAACCAGAAATTGAATATTTAGGTGTTAAAACTAGTGAAGAAAATTAGTGCAAATATTGCTAAACTCACCATTAAACTGCTTTGTAGTAGCTTTTGAAAGATGCATCTAATACTATTCCAGAAAATAAGAGAGCTGCTTTAGATAATTTAGCTCATATCATTGCTAAGGAACCTCACAAGGCAGGTAATGATGTAATGAAAAATAAATTTAAAGAAGCAGGGTACACAGACGCATAATTTAAACATGCAGTAATGGTAGTGAATGTTTTCTGTGTTTCTAACAGATGGAATTTAGCTAATTCTACAGGCATCGAAGAGAATTTCAACCTTATTTATAAATTAGGATGAGAAATAAATTTAATTTTCAATCATCTTATAAAATATTTGCATAATAGTTTTAATATTATTCAATATTATTTACATATTTTATAAAGACTGCAACTAATTATTTTTATTAGAAATACATTTTTATTTTTGGTTTTATTTGGAATTTCTAATCAGTTTAAAGAGATTTTTATTAAAAAATGAGCTTATTTAATATATTGATTAAAATTTAAATAACCTCTAATTTTGAATATTAATAATTTTTTTTTATTTTCTATCTGTTAATTTAATACAAAATTAAACACTTGATTCCTTCTAATTGTATTTTTGAAATATGTAATAAATTTAAATTTTATAATAGTTTTTTTTCAATATTATAAATTTTTTATTACAAAAGTATACTCAGTTTGTTTTAAAGTTTTTTCTAGTTTCTAAAAATTAAGAGTAATGAAATATAAGATTACCTAAAAAATATATGTTAGGTATGTGGTGATATTTTTTGTAAAATAAATATTAAATAATATTTTAGACCATGAATTTTATTTATATTTAATAAGACAGATGATTTATTTCGAAAAAATAATTAGAATAAAACAAAAAATAATATTAAGGTTAGTAAATTATTTAAATTTGATATTTACTGTAACCTGTATGAATTCTTTAAATGAATGAACTATAGATTTAATGGAATATTTAAATATTTAATAAAATTAAAATAAACTTAATTCAATAAATATTTTTATTTAAAAAAAGATTTTACATTTTATATATTTAATAAATATATTTAGAAAGTGTAGCAAGTTTTTCTATTTAAATAAAAGAACAAATGTAATTAAATTATTTATTTTTATAGAGTAGTAAAGTTTAGAATAATAAAAATGAACCAGCTTAAATTAGTGAAAAATTACAGTAAATTAATTCTTATCTTTACAACCAAGGTTTTTAAAATGTAATTTAATTGACTATTATATTTTATTATTTTAAAATGAATGATTTATTCTATTATAGTATATAATGATTTAATTTTTTTATGATATTACTAAATTTTAAAAAGAATTGAAATGTTTGAAAATGAGAGATACATTTTTGAAAATTAGCTAAATAAAACTATGTTGCTTTATCTAAAATTTATCATCTTAATTGATTAGAAATCTTTAAGAGAAATAAATGTTGTCATTTTTTTAACTACAATCATTAATGAGATTTTGCATTCATAAAAATTAAACAGTAGATAATTAATTTAATAATATTTTTTACAAAAAAATTTACTTTCGAAAAGAACATTTAGAATAATTAGAGAAATTATTAGATAAATAGATACGTAATCAAATTTAAATAAACGATATATTATGTGTGCTTGTGCAAATTTAAATAAAAAGTTTCAGATTTAAATAAGTAAAATGAAATTGGGTTATTTATAATTTATTTAAAACAAATAAATAAACAAACAAACAAAACAATAAAAAAACTAGTTTAAATGACAGAATAAAAATAAAAATAAGTCTTTGAAAAGATAGAAAAGCATTTTGGATTCCTTCCAAACTTATTCAAAAACTTTGATGGTTTCCCTGTTGGAGCTGAAGCTTTTGCCACTTTTGCCTCATTAATAATTGAGCATACTCCAGAGAACAAATTACCATTATTATAACCAGAAATTGAATATTTAGGTGTTAAAACTAGTGAAGAAAATTAGTGCAAATATTGCTAAACTCACCATTAAACTGCTTTGTAGTAGCTTTTGAAAGATGCATCTAATACTATTCCAGAAAATAAGAGAGCTGCTTTAGATAATTTAGCTCATATCATTGCTAAGGAACCTCACAAGGCAGGTAATGATGTATTGAAGAATAAATTTAAAGAAGCTGGGTATACAGATGCATAATTTAAACATGCAGTAATGGTAGTGAATGTATTCTGTGTTTCTAACAGATGGAATTTAGCTAATTCTACAGGCATCGAAGAGAATTTCAACCTTATTTATAAATTAGGATGAGAAATAAATTTAATTTTCAATCATCTTAAAAAATATTTGCTTAATAGTTAGAATATTATATAATATTATTTACATATTTTATAAAGACTGCAACTGATTATTTTTATTAGAAATACATTTTTATTTTTGGTTTTATTTAGAATTTCTAATCAGTTTAAAGAGAATGAGCTTATTTAATATATAGATTAAAATTTAAATAACCTCTAATTATGAAAGATAAATTCTCTTTTCTGTTGTATCCATTAAATAAATACAAAATTAATACTTAATTCCTTCTAATTAAATTTTTGAAATGTATAATAAATTTTATTTTTAAAATAGTTTTTTTTCAAGATTATTAATTTGTTTTTAAAATTTTTAATTTTAATTTTTAATTACAAGAGAGAGTATACTCAGTTTGTTTTAAAATATTTTATAATTTCTAAAAATTCAGGGTAATGAAATATAAGATCACCTAAAAAATATGTGATAGGCAGCATGGCGATAGTTATTTAATGATTTTTTGTTTTACTCCAATTATTGTTTTGGAAATCATCTTATTAAGTAAAAAATTCATGGTCTAAAATATTTTTTTAAATTTATTGTACACTAAGAACTATAAAAGTCATTTGAAAAACTATTAAGGTTAGTAAATTGTATAATTTTGATATTTAATGAGACTAGTATGAATTCTTTAAATGGATGAACTATCGATTTAATTAATTAAAATACATTAATAATTTTTCATTTATGTTATCTCAGAAGCAGATATAAAATATAAGATTGATATTTTTTGAGTACTTAGAAAGTTCATTTAAAAAATAAATGATTGATTAAATTAAAAAAGATTTCAATTATGTTTTAATCAAGAAAATTAAAATAAAGTGTAATTAAAGAGTAAAAAATATGAAATAAAAACATAAAAAATATAAATTAAATTACATTTTAATAACGCTTTTTAAAATTTATATTCACTCAAAAGGAATATTTAATTTAATAAAAATAGTTAATTTTTAATTCAATGTCTTTCAGTTGCCATATGACTATAAATAGCCTGGGCATTTGATGGAGTTGGATAATATAAGCATTAAAAGCAAAAATGAGCACCACATTTACAAGTCATATGGTTACAACCCATACTTTTTTATATCATATCATTGCAACCTGGGCACTGCTTATAGTTTAATTTTTTTAACTACTCTACAACTTATTAATCACTTTCAGCCAAACAATATCCAGTACTATGATAATTATGTAATTTCATAATTCCATATGTTGTTTGCTTTAAGCAGAAACTGTAGAAGCATTCAGGACATTTTAGCTCACTTGGCATGTCCACATCAACTTCTTACTAATTTTTATCGTAATACTTTTTACCGAAGAAAGAGTCGCAGTTTATAGATGTGCATCTAATAAATTTAGATAAGTTTACTTTTTTATTTTTCCATGTATCTATTTAGGAATTAATTTTATCATTAATTAGTTTTTCTTCATCAAGCTAGGAAATAAAATCCTTGATATCTTCTATATTTATCAGAGATTCCTTGTGGTCAGGACAGCATACACATTCGCTATTAATAGCACTTGATAATACATGCTGCAACAAACAATCCTAACAGTAAGTGCATCCGCAGTTATCTATTTTTTCTATCAGCTTATCTTCGAAGCAAATTTTACATGATTATGTAGATTATACTAATCTACATTCTTAATTAATTATTCTTAGAGCTTTTTACAGCTAAGATTAAACTCCTTTAATAATGATAGAGTCTTATTTTTCATCATAATTTGAAATAAAATTTTATCTTACTAAATTTTATATTTGATCTTGCAACTACTTTTGATTGTACCACTTTTTTTTCAGTAGTTTCTATGAAATAATATTTTATTAAAAAGCTATCTATATTTTCTAAATAATTTTCTATTTAGCATTTTCATTTTATTCTTCGAACCATACTTATATTTCTGCTTTCTTAGGTGTTGGTATGATGCAGACCTTTAGTTGATTTTAAATTTTCTCAAATATTTGAATATTCTTTTCATACTACTAAATGAAATCTCTTGGATGAATATCAAAGTTTATTATTAAGGGTTTGAAAAGTATCTTTATCTACTGAGTTATTAACTTAAAGAGATTTTGAGTTTCTTGAGTATTGTTTTACAATAAATTTTACTTAAAATCTATTTAAGACTTTAAATTTATTAAAACTTCATAATCTGCATATTTTACATCAATAAAGATTGAGTCCTTAAATTTTAATATGATTTTTTCAAATTAATCTTTAATTATTTCATATGCTTTTATTTTCAAAGTAAATCTTTGTTGATTTTAAATGTATAAATTCAACCTTCCTTGCTCGAACACTTGTTTATTGTATAACTACTAAAATTTTTCAGCTTAGATTGCCTTTGGAAACTAAATTCTTGCTTTCATTTATCCTTTTTTAGGGTTATCATATTAGATTTAAATTTATTAAAGCTCTTCCTCATTAACAATTTTGCTCATTAAAGTCTTTAGCTGATTTGTGTATCTTTCAATATTTTATAGCCTTTATGTCTCATCTACCTTAATTTCTTCTCTTCTTATCAAAATATTTTCAAATCCTCCATACTGATTAGATATAAAATGTTTTATGTCTTATTCAGTAGTTTGCTGACTCAAAGAGTTTATATTTATACAATAATTTTTTACTAGCTGTTGATGCTATTTAGGCTCAGGATCATGCTGGAATACTTTTATTTTAATGCCATTAATATATTAGTAAAGCAATCTATTATATGTTGCATCTCTATCAATTTAGTTATTAAAAATAATTTATGCCTTTCCCAAAGATTTTGCTATTGGCCATTCAGCTATAACAGAAACAATCTCTAATTTTTGAGAAGCTCTCGATTCTGGTACACCTTAAATATAAATATCCTTATATTATTAAGGCATATTTAAATTGAATTAATATAAAAAGTTTTTAGCACTTTCATAATTTCTAAAAACAATGTAAATAGCCATCTTATCAAATGAATTTTTTTGAAAAAAAACATTGAAATAATCTTTATTTTAATCAAGCATAAAAAATTATTCAACAGTTTTCTCTGTTACTTATTATCCTTAAATTTTACTGGGGAAATTATAAACTCTCACTTTAACATATTCATGAGGTAGTAATATGTCTAATATCTAGTATCCTTAACCAAATACTACATAATTTTCAGATTCTTTGTACTTTCGTATCACAATATTCTTTCTTTGCTTCGTTCTTTCATCGTTTAGTATCCTAAGTATATTCTCTTAGACTAATTATTCTTTAAAAGCGATTTCCCCTTCCTAACTGCCTAAGAATTTTATTGAGCAACTACTCTCATCAATGATCATAAATATTTTTAGTTTAGGATTATTTTAGCTTAATTATTTTAAATATTCATTTATCTTTTCAGAGTACTTCTTTTTAAATGCCAATAAAATATATCTGCTTACATCAATATTACAAATATATTTAGGGATAATTTTCTTAACCAGTTCTGCTTAAATTTTGGTCATCATGTTGCTAGGAATGATGGATTCATCTTCTAACCATTCTCTTTTGAAAATAGAAATATGTTATGCATAATTTTCAGACTCTACATTTTCAAGAGAAGCATAGAATAAGCAATCTCCTTCTTTAAATTCAGATTTGCAAAATTTAGAGAAGCGATGAATCGAGAAGTTAATCTCGTTATAAATGTTAGTAAATCCTAAAATTCTAGATCCAGTGTAAGTACCAATTTAGTTCAAATAGCAGCATAGCATACACTTTTAAATTCTAACTTCTTCACTGTCTTATAAAAGTTAATTTTCTACTTTGAATTCATTTTAAAATATTTTCTTTGCTTAGTTTATAACTTAATTTAAATGCCTTTTACTCAAATAAATATTAAGAAAAACAGATTCTTTGATTTTCTTATTTTTAGAAATAAAATTTTTATCATTTTGCAGCTCTTGAGTTATTCTATTAAACAAAAAGTTATAGAATAAGAAATCACTCTTATATTCGTTCTTATAATTGCTTATATCTATTTCTATTTAAGATTTCTTTGAATTATCTTCAAAACTCTAATCTTTTTCATATTTTTTGAAAAGCGATTAATTTTCAGCCATAAAAGCAAAAATATTTAAAACCTAATCTAAAACATCTCTCTTAGAAGCTTCTATCAAGCACTTAGCTTAATATGGCTCAAGCTCAGTAAACTGTATTACTTTACCTAGTTATGTTACTTATACATCTTAGTTTATTGCTCCTAGTCTTTACAGGTTGGTTATTGAATTTTACAAGACTTGCTATCCTGGGTTTTCAAAAAAAGGAAAAGCAAATAAATTATAAATACCACACTCTAGCAATTTTAGCACAGAAAAATCGATATTTATTCTTTAAATTTCAGGAATACTGTCTTAAAGGAAAGATTCATACTCAGATTCTGTATACAATTTGTAGCAAATACCTGGACAAGTTCTTCCGGCTCTGCCTTACCTCTGAATAGCTGAAGATTTGGAAATATTTTACTCTTTCATTGAAGAGATACACTTTAAAGGATCATAGACAAGGCAATTTTCTTTACCAGAATCAATTACAACAGTTACATTATTAATTGTAATTGCTGATTCAGCAATATTTGTAGCAAATATGATCTTAGTCACCATTTGATTTGTATAGGGATTCACGAGATCTTAGAAAATTTTATTTTAGTCATTGATATCTGTTTTATTATGAAGAGCCAAGAGTATGTATTTTCTAAAATCTATGCAAGTTAATTTTCTGCACTCAGAAATACATTGCTCAATATCTTGTGCATCTGTTAAAAATATCAAAATGTGTCCTTGATGAAGACTATCTCCTTACTGTATCATAGAAATAACATGTTTTAAAGTTTAAACAACTTTTTTGACATTGCTACCATACAAATCATTGCAAAAGATTTCGTCAATTTCATATATCTTCCCTGGTATTTAGCAAAGTTCCATAGGAATTTCGTCTTGCTAAAAGAATTTCAAATATTTTTCAGTATTAACAGTAGCAGATGATAGAATTACTTTAATATTCGAAGTATTATCAATACACTATTTTAAAATTCCCATAATTATGTCAGCTTCTACAGTTCTTTCATGTACTTCATCAAGTAAAATGTAACTTATTTAGCTAAGAATTCGACACTAATTAAGCTGTTATTACTTTTCAGACAGTTTTTTGATTCTTTGGACTAAAAAACTTAAAAACATTGCTTGAGTTATAAATATTATGCGAGTCTTATTTTTATCATAAAGCTATTCGTGTTTCTAATACCCAACAATATATCCCACTTCTTATCCTAAAGTAGTGTGTAATTCTTTTGCTACTCTATCTGAAATAGTTAAGCAATTCAGCCTTTTTGGTTGAACACAATATATTTTCTTTGTAAAATCATCAGACAAAATTTATTTTTGTAAAATGTATTAGCATATTTGAGTAGTTTTACCAGATCCAGTTGTGCCAATTAGTAGTGTAAAAGGGTTCTTAGATTATTCAACTTACTGAATTAATTACTTCTTAATTTAGTATGATGGTAGGTTTCTTGCCAACATACTTTTCTCCATTTTCAAAGCAATAGTAAATTTATTTAAAATGGAGTAATAAAATTTTGATAAGTAACTTATTTACTCTGCACTTAAATTCTTTATATCTGACTAGGTATCTAAATTTTAAGAATCACTTAGCTCTTCAGAAAATCCTACCTCTTCGTCATATTGGTTATCTTCATCACGATCTTTGCTGTTACTGAAATCTTAGAGGTTTTATTAGACAATCTAAATTTCTTAATCCTATTAATTACTATTAGAATTTTCACTCTTCAATTTTAATTGATTCACTATTTATTAGGATTAAAGCTAATTTGCTATTTCATCTTGAGAGTAAAATTTATTTTCAAATTATACTTCAGAATTATCTAAATTAGTTTATGTTTCAATTAAAGCAGCATGATTAATAAGTTGAGAAATTTTTTTATTTATGCCTTAGTCAACTCTTTATTTGAGATCAGCTATATTATTTATATACAATTTGATTAAATTCATATAATTTATCTCATAATTGTTGAATTATTTATTTTGTTAATTGATATCTATGTGTTATTTCAAGTATTCAGCTAAATACTTTAAAGCACTTCTCATCTAATAAAGTATTTCTTTAAGTTAAATATTAGACAATAAATTGCTATAATTAACATTGAACCAAGAGTTTTCATCTTCTCTAAGTAAGCTAAAGCTAAAATGTTACTTGCAAAATTGATTAATAATTTTTAAATCTTGAATTTTTTGCTACTTTTGTTATTAACTTTGTAAATCATCTTCAGTGCTTTATCTGTTTTAAGGTTTTTTAAAATACCTTTGATCTTCAGAAAATTCTTCATCTTATTTTTTGAATTAATTATGTTATTAAACATTTACATTCCTATCATTATATTTTTACTTTCTCTATTTATCTTTGAATTCTTTTTGGTAGTTACTATATTTATGATTTTATTACTATTCTTGTGTATTTTCTTCAAAATTTTGATTCATCTACTATTCACTTTAATTGATTCGATCATGTATTTTTTCATTTCTGTCATCGTATTTTTATTTTTTATATCTTTCTTTGAATTCATTTTATTAATTCTTAAATTTATTATTCTACTAATAATCTATTATTTATCCTTATTTCTACATCTAAATTTCTTCTTCTTCTATTTAATTATTATCTCCTTTTTTGGGATGTTAAAACATTCTGTAATTTCGAGTTTTTTCATTTTATTAATAGTTTTTGTATTATTCTTTATGATGATAACTCTTTTACTCTCTTTTTTTCTTAAATTCATTTTAAAATTCACTCTAATCTTAAAGTTACTCTTCTTCTTTAATTTAATTACCTTAAAACTATTACCCATAACCCTACCTTTTATTTCTAAAATTTTATTCTTAAAGCTTTTCGCTTTGTAATGGTTAATTGCTTTAATCTTGAATTTATTCACCCCTGTTATCCCTTTAAGAATGTTTAAAATCATCCTTTCTATTATCTTTATTGACTTCCTTATTATCTTAATTGTTATTTTTAGAATGCTCTTAACCCATTTTTTGTTTAACTTTTATAAGATGATCTTATTTCAGTTTTAATGAAATGTTAACCCTCCTGATTTTTATTTAAATGTAAAATGTTTTTTTTGGTAGATTATTTTTAAATTGACTTATAACTCTTTTTTAATTTTTTTCAAATTTTAAGTTTTATTGTAGCTTTTTTATGATAAGAAATGTTAAAAGATCTTTTGTTTTTGATTTATTTATTGATCAAAAAAAATAACAATTTCAGTATTTATTTGGCTTATATCCAATCAGAAATATTATATTTTATATAGAAAAATGCTTATCATTTAAAATTAAAAGCGGCGTCTCAAACTTCTCAAAATTTTTAACATAAATATGATCCAATGTTAATTAAATCTGATAAAATAAAAGAGTTTTAATAATCAAAAAATAGTTTTAAATTTGTCAATTTCAGAATTTAAAAAATGTAATTAATCAGAATTATGTAATAAATTCTTTTGAAAAATTCATAAAATTTCTATATAAATTTAAACAAAGATAATAATTTTTTATATCTTCTACTGTCATTTAAAATTAAAAGCATCTCAAACTTTTTAACATAAATATGATCCAATGTAAATTAAATCTGATAAAATAAAAGAGTTTTAATAATCAAAAAATAGTTTTAAATTTGTCAATTTCAGAGTTTTAAAAATGTAATAAATCAGAATTATGTAATAAATTCTTTTGAAATATTTAAAATTTCTATATCATTTAAACAAAGATATTACTTTTTAATATCTTCAATCTGTAGAATATGTTTCTATCATTTTAAAATTTATCTTACTCATATCATATTTTTAAATAAAAATAGATATTTATAATTCAGCTACAAATTTAATAAAATATTTATATTTCATTAGCAAAACATGATAATATATTATTATTATATTTGATTACTCAAACCATTTTTCATTAAAATAATATAAAAAACTTTTGAAATTTAATGTATTTTTGGCAGAATTTATTAAAATCCTCCTTATCTTTCTATAATTCATACTATCTTTTGATAAAGTTTCAGAAAAATGAAAAATGGAAAAAATATTTTTTAATTAATTTTTAATATTTCCAATTATCTATTTTTCTTGGTTTAAACTCTACCCTATTAGTCTTTATTTGAGAGAATAGAATAATAGGTAAAACATGCTTAGTATAAAATCATTCATTTTTAATAAAAGAGAGTGCATTCTCATTAATTAAGATATTTTAAAAAATCGATTTTTAACTCAACTTAAACTTAGAGATAATAATTTTATAAAATGAATTTTTAGATCTTAATTAAATGGATCATAATTAATGAGAATTTGCTGTAGGTAGTTCATATTTTATAAAATTTTAAATTTTAGCTTATTCAAATATGATTTATAATCTATCACACATAATTAAAAAATAAAAAATATTATTTTATGAATGATGTTTAAAGACATTTACAATTACAATAGCACATAGAGATGATATAAATAAAATAGATTTATAGAGATAGCTTAAAGAAGATAGATTTAATTTTTTAGTCAAATCACTTTTAATTTTGTCTTTTTGGACTTAAGATTAAGTATTATCAACCTTATGAATACTTCTTTATATTTGTTTTTGCTAATAGATATATTTTCTTAGATTAAAGTATGTAGTATAAAGGTTAGCTATTATTGGAGGTGTGATTAGTATAATAAGAATTAAAAACTTACCTTAAGAACTAAAAGCCAATTTTACAAATGATTAAAGCTGAAATAAATCTTTAGAGTATAACATAGGGTGCTAAAGTTACTGCTAATATCTCTTTGATTCCTCATTAAATTATTACAGTACATGCCTTACAAAAATAAAAATAGAAACGGTCATAATTCCTTTGTTTGTGTTAAAGAATTGCGAGGGTTACTATTCTTATCTCTTTAAAGCGAATTCATGGGTTTTTGAAGCTAACAATTACATTTAATTCATTTAAAGTTAGTTCAGAATTTACGTTTGTATTTAAAAACCCATTTATAGAATATATTTATTTACTTAAGACCTTTAAAATGCCAATTAAATATCAATAGACGTCTTAATAAGCATTTAAATCAACAAAGTAAATAATAAATTCAATTAACAACTCATTTAAAGTTGTGATAGAGGAATAAAAGAGCTAAAGCTAACAGAAGTAGCAAGTATATTGCAACTAGTAGAATCTGTATTGTAACTAATAAAATTAAAAGAGAATCCCCAATTTCTAAACCTATAAACCTAAATTATATATATAATCTTAATGATGGCACCCTTCATCATTATCATCTATTTATTAAAAAAATTCATATTAATAAAAGCGAAATTAAATTTAAATTAAAGTAATTACTTAAGCAGTTTATAGGGCCTGTTATCGGAATTAAATCCTTTATTCGTTCAAATCATCTATCGAATCAGGGATTTAATTTTGTTGGGGTTTGTTCAGGTCAAGGAGATATTGATAGTTATTAGAACCTACTTTGAAAGATTGCTTCTTCAGAGCTTCATTGATTTTATTTGGGTTCTTCTTTAATTCTTGATGGTACTTTTTCTTTTAATTAGAAAGATAAAATGTTGAAAAGTAGCGGAAAATTTATTTTTATGTTTGTCAGTAAAGTATTTGAATGATTTTAATTTAAGTTAAAATTTTACCTTTATTTGGCCAATCGTTTTTGTTTTTAAAAAGGAAGAGATGAGTGAAAAATCAGCACCAATAAACTCAAGCAAATTATAAAATTTATCTAATTCTTGGCTCTCCCACATGCAGTTTTTCATATTTACACACTTTTTACGGAGTAATGATTGGAAAGTACTAGGTTTTGCTTCTACTGTTTCTGACGTTTCAGACTTATAGTTACAAAAACTGCTTAGGCTTTCTGTATCATCGCTAGTAAAATTTCCTTTGTTTTTAAGTTCTTCTTTAATTTGAAGTCTTTTGGCTTGTTTCCTACTCTATTTTTGAAATTTAAATTGATTTAAAATTAAAGTTATATTTTAATAAGTTTACATCAACAATAGTTTCATCGATTAACTGGCTTAATGTTGCATTTTTATCTACTACGAACATCTTTTGTCTATTCTCAAATTCATCATCTGATAGCTCTTCCATTAATTTTGCTTTCCTAACATATTTTCTCTTTTGGCGTGGTTTTTCTGCTTCACTTCTTTCCAAAAGTAATTTATCAGTGCTATCAAAGCTAAATTTGCTAGGTATTTGATTGATTTCCATCCAAAATTTGGCTTGAATTTCTTCTAAATTCATTAATCCAGAAGAAGGTGAAGATGAACATAGAGAATATGTATTCATTTCACCAATTTCTTTATTAGGTGTATCGATTATTTCGTCAATAACCAGATTATCACTTTTAAATCCCTTTACAAGTGATTGGGATTCCTCTTTGGACTGAGGGATTTTAACCCCTATTCCGAATGCTAAATCCGATATCATAAATCCAATTATTTGCAATTGGGTGTATTTAATTTGTCTTGCTATAGCTTTCTATCTTCTTTTATATTTTGACTTTTTTATATTTTTCAATATTTTTTTTAATTACTTATTAATGTTAATAGATCAAATTAAAGTTTAATTAATTAAACATTTCTAGGTAATCAATATAATAATTCATGTATCTGTTTTTCAATTTATTGTCTATATTTTTAATAAATTTCAATGAGTAAATTTTCAATTAGATATTTCTTTTTTAAAGTGTCTTCCCAAAAAAGCAATCAAATAATAAAAATAAATAAATATTTGTTCACATATTATCAAAAACTTAAAACTGATAAATATTAAAATCTATTTTTAATAAAGAACTCTTTTGATGATATTTGAAAAAGAAGATTTAAAAAAAATGTTATTTTTATCTTAGTGTTTTAAAAGTTAACTTTCTAATAAAAAAAATTTAAATTAAAAAACATATTTTTAATTGTTGAAAATAAAATATTTAAATTGACTCCTTTTTTACATTAAAAATAGTTATTTGATTATTCTAAACGCATTTTTGATAAAATTAATTGATTAATCTAGATTTGTATTCTACTTAAATCTTTTTGCTTAATATTACAATGATTAAATAAAAAATATCCAAATTTTTAGTATAAACTTAAGGTTAAAAACAAAAATAATTAATAGTGATTAAAAGCTGATTCATCAAAATGGCTGAACAATTTTTAGAAAAGTATCTCAAGGCTGAAAATAAAATATAGGAAATCCTTACTGCAGGCTCTTCCGATCCTAGCATTAAATAAAAAATACTCAATTACATCATTGAAGGTAACAAAAATTTTCATTTTTGTTTTAAGAAATAATCTCTACTATTTTATCAAAAGGTGTAAACCAAAGAGATAAATATTTAGCAGCTCTTTAAGTTTACGTTTGTGCTCTTTCCAATTAATTCGTATAGACAAGTGACATAAAACTTAATGAAATTGAAAAGAGACTTTTCAGTATCATTAAAAAAAATAAAGATGACCAAGAGATAGTAGAATAATTGAGCATTGTCATTTGTAAAGCTTATTCTCTATTCATAAAAGATGATGAAGAAAATATTAATTATAAGAAATAATTTCCAGTTTTCTTTTAAGAATTTGAAGTAATGATTAAACAAAAGGAGTTATTGTTGGCTGCTCTTAGCATACTCAAGCAAGTTATAGTAAACTGGCCTGACTTTTACACTTCATACTAAGATAAGATTATTGAATCACTCTAAAGTGGATTGTCTCACACTGATAAAAAGACTTTTACTAGTGCAGTTAAGGTTGCTTTGATGATTATTTAGTAATAACCTATCTAACAACTTAGATAATTCAATCCATTAATAGATCCATTAGTACAAAAAATTTATAAAAATTTAAGTGCTTTTGATACAATTTGTATGCAATATTTTGAAGAGTGTATAGTATCACAATCTATTTTGTTTAGGAAGCATTACAATTTTATCTTAGAATAATTGAATAAATAATTGAATGATTCCTCTATTGATCACAAAATCTTTTAATCTGCTATTAAAAGCTGGCTTTTGCTATTCGATAAATAAAAAAGCTTCATAATTTAATAACACACTAGCAGCTCTATCAAAAACATTTATAGTCTTATCTTTAGCTATTTGGCTACTGATAATATAAACGAGGAATTGTTTAGCCAAGCTTAAGAAAAGAAGAAATCTTCAATCAAACTGATATCTTTAGTAAATAATCCTATTTTTGCTAAAACACAATTTGCTCTTAAACAACTCAGAGATTTGTCAAAAATAATGACTTTGCAAGAAGTTAAAAACTATTATATAGAAATATTTGTTGAATTCTATTAGAAATCAGTTCCTAGCTTTACTTATGCTGCATTTATTGGATTTTCTACAATAGGTAAAATTTAAATATATTGAATTTGTTTACAATAAATATTTATTCTTAAAATAAGGTGAGTATAAGATTACTGTCTAAGATTTGGTTGAATTTTCTTAGTTAGCTGTTAAAAAAATTAAAAAAGGTACAATAGTTGAAAAATTTGCAGTATTAAATAGCATTTCATTTATGTGTGACTTTTTAGGAGCTAAATTTACAAACAAGTTTTAAACTCTAATTATGAAAAATGGCCTCATTTTTTCGTTATAAAATTCAAATAGCGAAAGAGCTCTCATCTACTAAACTTTAACTCTATTTATAGGCAATTTGAAAAATGGTATAGAAATAGAAGATCTCAAATAGATATTTGAAGCAGTTAATAAAGATTTAAAGGAGTAAGACAATGAGAGTGCTAAATATTATAGCCTTATCCTGATCGATCTTTTAATATAAAAATACAACAATGAAATGAAAGTGTACTCAGATGATTTGTACAACTTAATTAAAAAGTTAAAGAGCGAAAATATAGATTTGAATTGTTTAAAATATGAAGTTCAAGCAAACTTCATTTAAAATTATAGTGAGAATAAACATTTCTAAAATGATGTGGAGAATCTCGTGAATTCAGCAATATAATTAAAAAAGATTGAAAACTTGGAAGGAGTAGAATAATATAATTATATTTGTAATCAAATAAATATTTTATTTAAGATAACTTAAGCTCTTTAGCAAATTAAGAGTATAAATAAAAAATCTGAAATTCTTGTTAGTGCATCACTTATAATGTTAGAGAAAAGCATTGAATATCTTATTTAGAAGAAATAAAATCAAGAAGAGGAAGAAGAAAATCCATCAGATTTAGATAATAATTAAGATGAAATAGACTTAAATGCACCTCGCAAAATTTTCCAAGCCTTGAAAATAATTTTTGAAGAAAATGACAAAGCATAAAACGCAGATAAAGTATTACAAGTAAATAAATTTTATTTTTTAAAAATTATTTAATTTAATTAACTTGAATTTAAATTAAAAAGTTGGGTTTAAAAGTACTTAGTGACTTAAATGATCATCTTAACTTAAGAGACTCAGTTATTGATATACTCCCTTGTTTGTTTAAAATTTTAAAAGAAAGAAAAAGTGAAAACTTATAAGAAGGAGTATATGAAATGATTAAGTCTTTAGTAAATAACATGCAAGCAGAAACTGATCATGGTGTAGTGCTTGATTAACTAGAATTAATTTATAAAACTTTAGAATAAGTTGGAAAATGCTTTGATGCAGAAACAGTTAAAAGCATAATGATCTTCCTTTTTGAAGTTTGCTAAAATGCTGTTGAAAATATAGACTAAAAGACAGATATTTCTTCAAAAAATACTCACAAAAAAAGCAAAGATGATGACGAAGATGAAGATGATGAAGAGGATGATGATGAAGAAGAAGAAGATGATGAAGAGGATGAAAATGAAGAAGAAATAGAATAAAATAAAGAAGAACTAGAATTAGTCTAAGCAATAGGACCAATTATTGAATTACTTTATAAAACTCATACAGAAGAGGTAATAATAATACTTACAATATATTAATTAATTAATAATTTTACTTATTTATATTTCACCAAATTTCAGGCATACCAATGTTTTGACGAAATTATTTGTGAGAGAGTTTTAGGACTCTGTGATAGCGAAGATGAAAATTTTAAATTAGTAGGATATAACATTATCTCTAACTTAATATCTATACTTGGATATGAAAAGCTTAAAGATTATATTGAAGAAATTTTTGCTTATCTCACGGAAGGTATTGAAGCTTAAATGTATTCCTTGAAGCAAACATCTGTTTATGGTTTGGGATTACTTTGTCAAATTATGCCTTAGCAAGATTTCAAATAATACAAATTATATATTTCAGAAGCTATCATATCTTGTATTTTACATGAGCCAGAAGGAATCAACTTAGAAGAAGAAGAAATGGATGAAGAATTAGAGGAAGAATTTACTTTGTTTATTGACAACTCGATATCAGCTCTTGCAAAGTTAATCAAATACTAAAACTTTAATGATGAATCTGGTCCTTTCATTGATTTACTACCAATTAAAATGGATGAAGAGGAAGGATTAATAGCTCATGAAATTTTTGTAGATTTAATTTTGGAAAATAAATTTTCTGATGAATTTAATAAAGAAATTAAAGAAGCTGTATTAAGAATCAAGGAGAGTGAATTTATCAATGACTCAATCTTGAAAAAGTTAAATAAAATTTTAACTTTGAAATAATTTAAGTGAGTGAAATTCTATTTCTTGCAATAAAATTTATATTTTTTATTTGTATATAATTTCTAATATCCAAAGCAAAATTATTTCTTTTTTATGAAAGATATAAAATTATTTTTTCTTTTAATGTTATAAGGATAGATCCAACTATTCCTTTTTATTAAAACATTATCTTAAATCAAATGATTGAGGAGCTTATCACAAATTATATATATATACTAAAATTTGTAAATTAAATCCAAAATTCATTTAAATTAAAAAATGCATCTAACCAATAAATATTTTAAAATTAGATTTTTGAGCTTAATATATATCATAAATTCTCTCAGTGGTTAATATTTAATAAGTGCAAAATAGTGAAAAATGCAAAAAAGTATTATTCCATATTAATAATAATAGCTATTATATTTAACATTTAAAAAAAATAAATATTGAAGTATCAACTTTTTTTTAAAGTTCTTCTTATTTGGTTAGTTATATGCATTAATCTTAAGTAGGGTTCGACTCAAACTAATATTTATTTTAAGAAAAAAAAAGACAAATGATATACTCTTATTTTTGTTTAATTAGGAAAGATAAAAATACAAATTCATTTAACAAATAGAGAAAAAAAGTAATTAATATAAAAATTTTATTATCGTAATAAAAAGTAAAAAACAAATAAGAAATAAAAATTACAAATTAGGCTATTTAATTAGGTAAACATTTAGTTAATGATAGATAAATTAATTTTTTTCTAAATAACCAATATTGTCGCTCGTTTTTTGAATATTACTAGTGCTGCTATCGCTGTTTATAAAAATGATTGGGATTATGCTTAGTTAGCTTATTTTATCAGCTTTTTATTTATTCTTGTAGTATAAAATGCTTATATATTACTTGTATTTAGAGATTTGGAACATTGGTTGTTAGACTTAATTTAAATGGATTTTCTTTTGATCGATTCTACAAACAAATTTTTAACATAAGAAAAAGCAATAAATTTTATCTTCTATAAAAGTGTAATTTAAATAGCTCACCTTTTATTGTTCTATTTTTACTTAGGAGTTCTAGGTAATGATCTGAATAATATTTTAAATAGAATCTGGATGACTAATTACATTTTATAAGTGATATCAATGTGTACCTTATTATTTACTAACGAAATGTACACTGTAATTTAATGGTTCTTTAGGGTTACTACATACTTGATCACAATGGCTACCTTTACATTTTATAAAGATATTTTTGGAATAAATCTTTCTTTTTATTCATTATTAATAATTTTATTACCTTAATTATGTTTGATAATATATAAATCAAAATTAAGTAAAACTATTTTGATATAATTTTTCACCAGTTTCTTATTTTATAATGTGCCGATATTTAAATAAGAAAATTTAGATAGATCAAGATAATATTAGTTTTTTGATATAGCTAACTATATTAGTGATATAATTAGAATAATAATCATGCTTTCTTATTGCTATCAAGACATTCTATCAGCATCATTTTTATAAACAAAGATTGCACTTCTCTATCTGTCTCTTTTGTTATGCTTTTTATCACTTATTTTTAATTTTTAATCAGTTTACAGATAACTGTTTTAGAAAAAAATATTTAGCTTGTAAGGATATGACTAACTCGGAGATGTTTATTAATACATAGCATAGAAAAATAAAAGAACTAAAGTAATAATTAAATTTAAAAAACTATAAAATAGTAAGATCTACAACGTTTAGTTGAACTAAAACAAAATCAAATTTAAGGAAGAAATAATTACTTTTGTAAAATATCTTACTTTATTTTAGTTCAGCGATAATGTCATATTTTATCTAAAAGAGTCTGATTATGAATATTTAGAAAACTTTTATTAGATGATTTTAATAGATCTCCCAGAAATAGAAAATTAATTGGTTTAAAGAATAATTTTTAGCAAATAAATTTAACAAAATTTATTTGATATAATTATGAAAAGAAAAGAAAATGGATATAGTTTTACTCATATTAGCTATATTCTTTTATATCAACGAATTAAATCAGCTTATCAAAAAAAATTTATATGCCATGATTTATCATCTACTCTTTCAGTAGTTGCCTATTATAAACATATATCATAATTTATGTAATTTAGTTCATATCAAATTATTTATGATTTATATAGTCCAGATTGAATTAAATTCCTTATTCTATAGATCTAAAACAATCGAAAAATTAGCGTTAAATAATTTCATAAATTAATTAATCTTATAAGCTATGTGTCAGTCAATATTAAAATAAATTAATTTTTTGAAAAACATATTTTAAAATAAGCATATATATTATAAAAATAACTTTAATTTTAGATAAAAGTACGATTTATTTTAAAAAAATTTATATTAGTGATATTTTTCACAAGCTACAAGCTGTTGCTTGCTTAATCCTTCTTTATTTATTAATTAGTTATTTATCTGGATTGTTTTTTAAATTAAATGCGTTTTAACTAACATTTTAGCTTTTTTGCAGTTGCTATTTATCATTTTTTTCTATCAGTATTTTTTTTAATTTTTAAAAATAGGTTTTTTTTTAACCATAATCAATTAGTTTAGGAGCAATAAGTTATTTAAAATCTTATTTTAAATTTTTTTATTAATTAATTTTAAATTTGTTTTAAATCATATTATATTTAAAGTAATAGCCTGCATTGATAAAGCTAATACAATGATTTTGAAATAACTACATAAAAGTATTTAGTTTCTATTTTTTCATTCAATATTAAAGTGGGTTTGTTATCATTAGAAAATAATAAAATATAAATTAGAGACACTTTAATATTAAAAATTTGTAAAAAGTAGCTCTCTCATGAAAAGACTTTAAAGATAAAAAATTGGTTAGTAAGCCTTGTATTTTAGCATTCGACTATAAATGCACAGATTGTAATTTTTCTATTTGTACTTACTAAAAAATAAAATAAGCAATAAAGTGGCAAAATTTTACTCATTTTAAAGTTTGCAAATTTTATTTTTAAATTTAAATTTTTTTCCTTTTTTAAAAAAACCTTGATTAAGAATATAATAAAAATATAAAAGTTTGAATTCTTTCTAAACTGAATAATAAAAAATATAAAAATTATTTTTGAAGTTGTTTTTATTGTGTAAAAATTAATTGAAATTGTTGAAACAAACTTAATTTATTAATTATAATTATTTATTTATTTATTTTTGTATTTTAAATATTAAATTTTCAATTATGTTAAAATATAAATAAATACAAAATATATTTAGAAAACGTAATAACATTACATTTAAATAGTTTTAATAGATTTCTATGTATGCATGCACTGCTTTTTAGTTGGTTATGAAAATAAAAATATGTTTTTTTATTTTAGATTGTTTTCTAAATATTTTTATATTTATTCCTGATAGATTTATATATAATCATTAATCATATTTTTTAAATATCATTATTATCAATCAGCAAACAAAACTAATTTTGTATAATCATGCTAATTTATCAGCGCTTTCAAGATAACTTTTAATTTTTTCCATGATGACTTTTAATTAATCATTCATGCTAATCCATTCCTTTTTATCAAGATATTTACCATAATTAGCCCTAATTTTTTTAAATAAAAAGAAAATTAATTAAATTCTGCTTTCAAATAAGATAAATTATTTACTTAACATATATAATTTAATTGTATTAGTCGATTTGAGCATCAATAATTTTGCTAGTGATAGCGAGGATGACCCAGTTTTCAACATCTTCTATGTTAATCTTTAAAAAAATATTATTTTAACTATTGCTTTACTATTTATTTTACATGGAGGTTTTATGCGAATTGTTGATAGCTAATGAGTTCACCTGATTTAGCGAATCTGGAAATAGATTGGACTCTAACTTTTTCAAGGTATTCCTCTTCAACAATATTATTATCTTTCAAACCATTAGGATTGCTTTTTTTAAAATCTTCAAATCCCTTAACATCACCAGTAATGAAGAAAGAGAAGATTTAGAATAAAACTGGATTGGACTTTTGTAAATGTTTTAATCCGTTTGTTTCGAAAATGGAACCATATTCAGAAAGAACTTGGCCGTAGTTGAGAAGTAAGTGAATATATTTCTTTAAAGTTTCGTCGTCTTACTTATCTTAAAATTCAAAGCTTTAGAAGTATTTCAAAACAATTTGGCATCTGAAGTCTTACCTAAATTAAAGATTTAAAATATTTTATGAAATTTAAAAATTAAAGTTATTTTTTTGGTTTAATTCAAGATTTTATTCTAAATTAGAATTAAATAAAATCTTTGACTTAGTAATTTATTTATTCAAAAATGGCTTGTTTAAAATAGAAATCCAAATTTAGAGATATAAAATTTGATTTAATTTTATAATAAAAAAGAATAATTGTAAATTACTTGATAGATTTATCTAAAGCATCAACAATATGAGAAAGAAGTTTCTTTTTTTCATTGTTGGTAAGATTCCAGTTCTTAGTGATAGTATCGATATCAGTGAAAGTAGTATTTAAAACACCAATTTTATCGTTTTTCTTGCTATAAGCAATAATGTAAAGCAAGAGAGAATATTAAATCTTAGGTAAGCTGTCCAAACCGTTGAAAACAATGCCATATCTAATTTAAAATTTAAAAAATAAAATTTTTTTATGCTTTTCTATTTACTTTGGCTAAATTTATAATTAAAAATAAATTTTGTTTCTATCTATCTATCAATATCAAGCAAGACCATAAATTATTTTTAATAAAGCTTGTTATATATCTTCTAATATTTTTTAAGCTTTTAAATACCGTTTAAGATAGAAGTAAGTATGTATGTGCTTGATTTCAGAATCTGAAATTTCTTATTTTTCAAATTAAATTAATATATTACTGAATTAAAACGTTGCTTGCATGTGATTCTTCAGCTTCAAGAACAGTTTAGTACTTTTTAAGAGTAGCTTCTTGTTTAGGAGAAGCAGTTATCAAGTAGGAGGTAATTGCAGAAATACTATTTAAATCTAATTATTAAAAACTGTATTAGAAAATTTATTTTCAAACCAATTAAAAATAATATTCTAATCTAAATAAGAAAGCAAATTCCTTATTTAGACCTAATTAATTGCGAAAAAGAAACAAATTTTGAATAATCACATTTTTGATCAAGCTTGAGATTCTTTTTTGCTTAGAAAAGAAGTTCAATAAGAGCTTCATAGCTCTAAGATTTCAAATATTAACTAGATTTTTGCTTAAATTCTTCTAAATACTTTTCTTCTTCTTCATCAAACTTAGAAGCTTTGGTTAAAGCCTATTCGATGTGAGCAGCAAGTCTATCTAAATTATCTAATTCAGTAAGCTTAATTAATTGGTAAGACATTTTTGACTTTTTCTTGTTATTTGGTTAAAAAGGATATTTTTTATTTATTTAATTAGTTTTGTTTTAATAATTTAATTAGATTTTTACTTTCAGCAATTCGCTCTTTTTATTTTTTGCACTTTTTAATTTTCTTACTTTATACTAATTAAAAGAAAAATCAATCAAATTAACAAGCAAAAAAACATACAAACAAATAAAGCCAATGAAGATACAAGTGCCAAATATAATAAATAGATAAAGAAACATGCCATATAAATAGATATAAACTTATCTTATTTAGATATAATTTATAACAATTACTCTATTCCATTTAGAATTTAATTTATTTATAAAAAATTTATAATAAAAATTATTTTATAAAATGATTAATTAATATTGTTTGAATAAAGCATCATACAAAGCAACAGTTAATTCAACTATTTTAAAATAAATATAAACCATATAATTAATATACAAGTACCAAGTATAAAAAATAAATCATATAAATAAAGAAACATATTCCAATAAATTTAATTTTTGAATAATATTCCATTTTTAAATAATTAATTAAATAAAAAATGATAGAATTTAAATTATTTTATAAACTGATTTGGCTATTATCTGAATTTAGCATCATAAAAAATAATAATCTATCCTTTAATATTTTTCAAACTTAATAGTGATTTAATAATTAATGTAAAATTTGCATGCTTTTTTTAATTTCTCTTTATATATTTATATATATAGTTTTTTATTTCATTTTTTTTAATAAAAATGATTTTTAGATTGTTTGTTTTTAAGTTTAATCAATAATAATAAATTTAAACAATTATTAATCAAATTTTTATTATTTAATTAATTTACCTTTTTGCCTTATTTTAATAAAATTATTTATTTAATAATTCAATGAATTTTAAATATTCATTTTGTTCTTAATAAAATAAATTATTTGCTTAAAATATTAATTTTTTATTGAAATCTTATAAAGTTTAATTAATAATTAAAACCTTTTTTATTACTTAATTTTTATTATTTTTATACAACTCATTATTTAGAAATATGTGTTTTAAAACAAAATAAATTTTTTGTTTTTAATTTATATTTAATTAATCTTTTTTTAAGTTCATGCTTTTAAAGCATTATTAATTTCAAATTACTAATAAATATATGAAACAAACACAAAATTATGATAAATAAATTATATATTTTTTAAATAAAAAATATTTTAACTTATTAAAGTTGGGATCAGAAGCTTAAATTTTCATACTCTACATAATTTTTAGTATTTAATATGAGTGATTGCTTAATTATAACATTTTAATTATACGAATTAGCAGTAATATGAAATCAATCTATTTCTTTTTAATATGAATGTTATTAATGATAAATTACTCCCTTAATAAATTAAGGATAAATGAATAAATTAATTAAATTAAAATACATTATGAATTAATCGCAATTTTTAGTCTGTTATTTTTGAATTCAAGGTTGTATCTTAATCAAATCTTTTAATTAAAAATTCTGTACTATGCTTCAAATTACTAGAAATGTATATTTTTAATAAGTATAATGAATATCTTTTAGTATTTACTTCTCGCCAAAGAAAAACCATGAATGGAATTATTTAGAGAAAAATCATATTATTTTTATTATCTTTGTTTAAGCTTACTAATTTTAGCTCTTGATATATAAAATTAGTAAGATAGAAAAATTTAATAATATGCGATACTATTTATTTTAGTTCTTAGAGAATAATTTGCAATTTTGATAACAAAGATATTTCAATTATATTTCAAAACTTACCTGATGGACTATAATAATTTTTAATTAAATAAATAATGAAATTTATATTTTTAAATAAATATTAAGTTTTTAAAATATTTTAGAAGTTCTGTAGTTTATACTCACCACACTTAATCCTGATTTAGGTTGGCTAAATCAACAGTTTTTTTATTTTATAGTTTGTATTGAGAATATGTACACAAGTATGTTGAGAGAAATTTATCTGATAAAAATTAAAATGAAATAAATATTGATAAAAATCAAGAAAAAGAAATTTAGAAAAATAGAAAACGTAGACTAATTATTATTTGAATAGTATATAAATCATTATATTTAGTGTCTATGTAAAAAGAATATGCTTGTTTTTAACACAATTACTGCTTTTATAGGTGGATCTCTCTTTGTATAATACAATAGCTTGTTTTAAACCCTTTTTCATTTTGGATTGCTTTTGAAAGACATTATTATTATTTTTCATGTTGAAGTTTCTAGAAATATAGAATAGAAGATTATGAAGTAGGGGTCTTCTAGTTATTAAAAACTTAATTTGAGGTCATATCCGCTTAAAAATTAATAAATAATCAAAAGATACACAAAACCAAAAAATAAAACAAATCAAGTAAAAATAAAAACACAAAAATGTTCGCCAAGAAAGCCGTTACCCAATACATTAAGTCTAGCACCAAGGGTTTATCCCAAAAGTTCCCTATGTTCTTCGCTGCTAAGGAATTGAGCTTTGGTATGGAAGCCAGATAAAAGATGCTTATTGGCTGCGAAAAGCTTGCTGATGCCGTTCAAACCACCCTCGGTCCCAAGGGTCGTAACGTTGTCATCGAATAGTAAGAAAAATGATTTTTTTATTTCTATATCAATCTTAAAACATTAACAATACATCATGAATGAGAGAAGAAAAGATAACAATTTCAAATATGGTGAAATTATTTCTTATCCTTTTGTTGGATGTTAAAATTTTAAGATTTTCAATAAAAAAAGCTTGACATTTTATTCGTTAAGAAGGAATACTTTTATCCTTGATAAAAGAAAATATTAGAATAAAAGTTGAATTTTAAGTTATTAACTTATACATTTAATTATATAGAACTTTCGGTCCCCCTAAGATCACTAAGGATGGTGTCACTGTTGCCAAGAACATCGAATTTTCTGATAAGTTCGAAAACATTGGTGCCTCTTTGGTCAAGCAAGTTGCTTCCAAGACTAATGACGAAGCTGGTGATGGTACCACCACTGCCACCGTCTTAGCTAGAGCTATCTTCAAGGAAGGTTGCAAGTCTGTTGCTGCTGGTATGAACCCTATGGACTTAAGAAGAGGTATCAACCTTGCTGTTGACCACGTCGTTAAGACCCTTAAGGCCAACTCTAGACCCGTCAACACCACCCAACTCATTTCCGATGTTGCCACTATTTCTGCCAACGGTGACCGTGAAATCGGTGATCTTATTGCTAAGCTCATGGAAAAGACTGGTGAACACGGTACTATCACTGTTGCTGATGGTAATATTTTGAATTTCAAATGCAAACAAAAAAAATACAGAAAATTCTATTAGATTTCTTGAATGATCTAAATAAAATAATTTGAGATAGATATTCTTTAGTTTAAATACGAAAACTAAAAGTTTATAATAGGGAATAGCCACGTTTGTATCAAGCATATAAAAACAAGCGTAGTTAATGAATACTATGACATAAAATAAACATAGAATAATAAGTAGTACTTAAGGATTTAAGCAGTAATAGATTATAAATTTACTCTTACATCAGTAAGTTAAGTGATGTATAAGTTGATTAATTAATTAATTTATTTATTAATCAAATAAATAATTGATAATTAAAGAAGCAATTTAATTGAGATATTGACAATTTTATTTTCTTGAAAAGTGATCATTGATAGATAGCTGGTGAAAAATTTTTAAGAAATTTCTCAAATCAAAATTAAATATAAAGAAGAAAATAAAATTTCTCGAAATTCTTTAAAAAGATTAAATAAACAAATATCTCAAATTAATGAAGCTTTAGCAACAACAATTTAATTTATTTAGAATATTTAAGAAATCTTAAAGAATAAAAAAAATTGTTTATGATAAAATATTTTTTTTTTAATTTATTAAAAATGATATTTTTATGAAATAAATAGGTAAGACCTTGAACCACGAAATCGAATTCGTTGAAGGTATGAGATTCGACAGAGGTTACATCTCTCCCTACTTCGTCACTAACACTAAGTCTTAAAAGTGTGAATTAGAAAACCCTCTTATCTTGATCGCTGAAAAGAAGGTTACTAACATCCAAGCTATCTTGCCCTACTTAGAACACGCCATGAAGTCCAACAGACCCATCCTCATTATCTGTGAAGATGTTGAATCTGAAGCTTTGGCTACTTTGGTCGTCAACAAGCTTAGAGGTGGTCTTAACATCTGCGCTGTTAAGGCTCCCGCTTTCGGTGATAACAGAAAGGCTATCCTTAACGATATTGCCATTCTCACCAACGGTACTGTCATCTCTGAAGATGTTGGTCTTAACTTTGACAATGCTGAAGTCAATGTTATGGGTACCTGCAAGAGAGTTATCGTTACTAAGGACGACACCGTTATTATGGATGGTTCTGGTGATTAAACTGCTATTAATGAAAGATGTGCTTAAATCAAGGAATAAATTTAAGAAACTACTTCTGAATACGACAAGGAAAAATTATAAGAAAGACTTGCTAAGTTCTAAGGTGGTGTTGGTATCATTAAGGTCGGTGGTGCCTCTGAAGTCGAAGTTGGTGAAATCAAGGACAGAATCACCGATGCTCTCTGTGCTACCAGAGCTGCCGTCGAAGAAGGCATCGTTATTGGTAATTTATTGTTTGATCTATTTATATATTTGACTTTCAAATAAAATTTTAATTTATTAAAAAATTATTTCTTAAATTAATAAAGGTGGTGGTTGCGCTTTATTATATGCTTCCAGAGAATTAGACAACTTGAAGGGTGAAAACTTCGATTAAAACATTGGTATCTAAATCGTCAAGAAGGCCATCCAAATTCCTTGCAAGACTATTGCTGAAAATGCTGGTAAGGAAGGAGCTATCATTGTTGGTAAATTACTTGAATCTAAGGATGCTAACCTCGGTTATGATGCTTCCAAGGACAGATATACTAATTTAATTGAAGCTGGTATTATCGATCCCACTAAGGTCGTTAGAAGAGCTCTTATCGACTCTACCTCTGTTGCCTCTTTAATGATTACTTCTGAATGTATTATTGTTGAAGATGCCAGCCAAAAGAAGGATGCTGCTCCTGCTATGGGTGGTATGGGCGGTATGGGTGGTATGGGAGGTATGTACTGATCTTACTTACCATCACTATTTACAATACTATTAATAATTTTCTAATATATTTTTAATCTAAAATACTAAAAAAATAAGCAAGTCTTAAATGAAATAAATAAATATAACTCAAATATTTTAAACAATTTTATAATGTATTTAGCCTTTCATTAAATTCATATTAGTAAAAAAGATCCTTGTAAATTTTTTTAGTGTTTTTTACTAATTACTTCATTTCTGATATTTTTGATATTATTTTGTATTAATCACTATGTCTTTTTACAGATAATATTTATTAATTCTATTTTCAATAGAAATTATCACCTTAAAAAACTCTCATAATAAATATAATAAAACTTAAATTAAAAAGAGTTAACTAAATTAGAAAGTATTATATTTATTATTATCATATACTGTAAATGCTCATTAATTAAGGCATTCCCTAAGTATCTTTTTTGTCCAAAAAAAATTGCCTTACCAATTTTAATAATTACCTTCATTATTTTATGAAAACTTGTAATTAATAAATAAATACAATAACTAAAGTTATTTTATTTTTTAATAACATTTTATAATATTAAGAATTATTTAAAAATATTACAACAATTAAAATGTTCAAACATTTGCATTTAATTAATTTGTCAACAAAATAAAATTCATTTCAAAAATAAATTAATTTTAAAAGAAATCTTTAGCAGCTAATTAAAGTAAACGTTTGTTTAAAAAATATCCAAACCATTATACAATTTTTCAATTTTTCATTTTAGAAATAAATAAATAATTTTAAATAATGTTTTATTACTTAAATAATGATATTTTATGGCTTAATTTTTATAAACAACTAAATTTGAAATTAATTAATAGAATTCTACAGCTAAATATAATAAAGTAATATATCTATCTAACTTCTTTTAATATTAAGATCTGAAAAAATTAAACTAATTTAAAATGAAATTATTGAAATAAAATTTATTTTTTAATCATTTATACTTGGCTTTGCAATTTAATGCTTTTAGACACAAACTTTATTATTTAAATAAATTAAAAGATTGATTTTAATATTTATTTTTCAATAAACAGAGAAGTAATATTTTATAAATATAATACTTAAAATAATTTAATTTGCAAGATTTTTATATTTTCATTTTTTAGCAGCTTTAGAGTTTTAAGGTGCTTCTTAATCTGGCTTGACTCCTTTTATAACTTCATTAATATATTAAAGAGCTTATTCTTAATATTCTTTTTCTAATTCTTCGTCTTCATCTACTTAGTTATCCTATATTTAGGTAAATTTAAGTATTTAGTTAAATATGAGAAATAGAGCTTTATTACGACTTTTTAGGTTGTAGTTACTTCTTCAGCAACTTCTTAATCTTTCTTTTCTTTTAATTTTTTAAATTCTTCTTCTCTAATTTCAAATCTATGTTTAAAGTATCTAACTCTTAAAACTTCACGATTCCAAAAATCGTTCATGGTTTTTTCTTCTTCTCCTATCTTTTTCCATAAGGTATATGGTAATTCTAAAATATGTACAGTACCATCATAATCACCAACTGCCTGTTTAAAAGTTAAAGCAAAAATAAATAAATAATTAAAAAGCTTATTATAATAAAAATATATACTAATGAATGATGTTGATTTTCATGGAATTTAATATATGAGAGAGGTTTAGCACCAACGTGATATGTAAGAGTTGCTTTATGAGATTAGTCGAGGAAATCCCAAACATTTATATTACCATCATTAAGTCCAATGATTACAACACCAGGACGTGAAGGTGAAAAAGCACCACATGTAATTTATCCTTATTTAACTATAGCAGAATCAAAAATTGGTACATCAACATCATGCTTCCAGATACAGAAATTGAAATCATGGATAGTAAGAATTATATCATCATAAAAGGGAGAATTTTCTAAGGCAACTGTAGGACGATAAGATCTTTCATTTTACCATAATTTAGTTACTTTGTCATTTCTGTTACTATCTTCTGTTGGGTGAACTGTCCAATCAACCAAGAAAAGTTCACCTTCATCAGATGTTCCTGTGAATGTAGGATTTCTTTAACCTTTTCTAAATGCAATTTGTGCACCACCCATTGTACCTCCACCTTCAGGTCTAACAAGTTGCAAACCGTAATTTGCTTTCCATTGATGACTGGTAATCTAAATAAATAAATAAAAAAAATAATTTTAAATTTAAATTTCATCATAAGTAGCTAAATTACATCAAATTATTTCTTAGAGTCTTTTTAATCATTAAATCTTGTATCCCAAAAACAAACTTGGCCATCCCAAGAAATAGATGCAAATTAGTAACAATCTCCATCTAAAATAAATAAATAGATAATAATTTAATAGAGCCTTAATGAAAATTGAAATTTTATTTACGAGTGGGATGAACAACATTATTAAATACTTTTCTATCAAATTCTACTGTAGGAGGAATCCAAGAAATTGAAAGAACTGGATTTTTATGGGAGCAAACATTTTTGCGGACTATTTCATTATTTGGTAGTTACTAGGCACTTGAAGGATCTTGAAGCTGAGAAAGAATCAAAGGATTTATTTCAGGAATTTCACTTTTACTGTCTTATTTAGCTTTCTACCCTTTTTTACCTGTTACAGTGTAAAGACTGTTACTTTATTTCAAATCCCACATGATAATTTAACCATTTGCAGCACCACCTATATTATTAATTTATATTTAAGATAAAAATTGCATTTTTAGAATAGTTTTATTTACCGATGACTATATTTGGATCTTTAGGATTAAATTAGAAAGTTATTATTTCTAAAGGACTTGTGAGAATAAGAACAGGATCAATTGAATGTTAGTCATCATAATCCCAAAATACAATCATAAATTTATGAGATTTCATACTATAAATTACTCTTTCCTCAAAAGTTAGATTTTCCATAAATGCAGCTGCAATATATTTTCCTCTTTTATTTAAAATGAAAGAAAAGTCATAAATAAGATTTAATTTAAATTTAAAATAGCTTTTCTTAGTTTTTTAATCATTTTATAACATTAAATTTTTATAATTTTTGCTATTTCATTAAAAGAAATAATGTAATATCTTTTTTTAAATTTCAAAATGCATTTTTATGCAAATAAATTAAATCAATTTTTATATTTAAAAATTGCAGTTATTTCCTACTTTTAATTGAGCTGGTTATTAGGTTGGAATTGAATACAAGATATTTTCTTGCCTTTGCATTATAAATAGTAAAATGTTTTCCATTCTTTAATTGCATTAGAAAGTTCAGTGCCTTCTGCAGCTACATCATCGGCATCAAATAACTCAAAATCGTTTTGATAAATATCAATAGTTTCATTTGATTGTAACGCTTCTTCCATCAAGGGATACACATTATCTAAAAATTTGAGAAGCTCTTAGTTATCATCTTCTATTTCTACAATTGTTTATTCATTATCTACAGTGAGAGCTTTATTTATACGCCTATTCCAGATTGTTTAAGTGGAAGAATTTACTATTGGATTACAACCTTATAAACCTATATCAATAACTTTATTACGGACATGAGCAAATGGATCACTTTGCTGTTTTACTTCCAACATTTTTTCACTTGCATCAGTTTCATTTAATTTACATGGTTATCCAAACTCTCTTCTTTTCTTAATGAATTGCATTTTTATGGTTGGTCTATTTTTCTTTATCATAGACAATTATATCTCCTTTACTGTTTCTTCAAACTAAGACTACCAGAATCTCCAATAGCGATTACGTTCTACTTTATTTTCTTCATCACTTGGGTCTATTTTAAATTAGAATGTAAATTTAAATACCAAGACATTAATTTCACTATTTAAAAAAATATCTCATATTATTATGGCTATGCATCTAATTTTATATCTTGTAAAAGCTAGATAGATACCTTCTTTATATATTTAAATTCATATGATAATAATGATCATATTGAATATTTATGAAGCTTAAAATAAACTTTCATAAAAAAACAAATGCTATTTCTGTAAAGGACTTAATTGGGTAATAATATATCTAATGCGTATTAAATTTAGCCATATCATATTTGTAATGAATACCTGATGAGCTTTCGTCTCTCTTGCTTAATTTCATTTTTTACTTACTTTTATTAATATATAGAAAAGAGTTCTTTGTTAATAATTTAAATCAAAAAAATAGTGAAATAAATTGAAACTTAAGAATTTTAATTAATTAATTAATGAATAAGGGCAAATCATTTATATAATTTTTGTTTATTTATATTTATTTATTTTATTAGTCATTCATTAAGGTTGATCTGTGATTGTTTTTTAACAAATATTAAGTAAGATAATCAACCTATTTACTAATCATACATATCTTTTCTTTTCTTCTTAATCTCTTGATAATCTATTTGCAAATGGCGCTAGTTTACTTATTTAAATACAATAAAAATAAAAAGTATTTTACATTTTTGTTGAATTCATACAGTTTATTTTGAACAATATTAAATTTTATTATTTAAAATTATTTTTTATTTATTTTATGATTCGTTATTTTTAAGGTAAAATTAAATTATTATAAGATATGGTATTTTAGAGAATGTTCTTTCCATTTTTATGAAAATACTTAAAGTAGTTAAGTAGGAGATTTGTTCTTTGATAAAAAAATTTATATTAAAAAATTTTCGAGTAATTAAAAACAAATGATTTGTTCAATTTTCAAAAAATCTATTTAACTTTAAAGTAGAATTTGTAAATAGATTCTAAAATAACATAAAAATCATAATTCTATTGATTATTTCAATAGATCTAATTTATTAGATAAGATTTGTCTAAACTCAAAGTAAATTGCATTCATATTTTCATAATATATTCTACATGGTTTTTCATAAATAAATAATATTAGGCTAAATAAATATCAGTTTACTTCTTAATAAGACAATAGAGTTGACAATGAAGAGGAAATTACAAAATTTTATACACAAAATTAGATTTTAGTTGAACAAAATAAATTTGAGGAAGCAATTTAAAGTTGGAATCAAATGAAGTCTAATTTGTCATTGAAAGGCATATCAAAAGAAGAATGTGATTACCAAATAGCAAAGATTTATTTAGAAAAAGGAGAAACTTAAAAGTCAATTGAGCTTTTTAACGACTACTTAAAAAATATTTCAAATCAAGAACATTATACTGATTAAATTATAGCAGATGAACTGTTTCATATTGCTCAAGAATTTTAAAAAGAAAGTTAATATGAGGAATCGATACCATTTTACTAAGAATCTCTTAAAAAAAACTATAAAAATGTGGAAATTCATTTGATGTATTTACAAAATTTGATTAAAAACATGAACAAAAATGATGCTGCCATCGAACATATTTACAAAATTATTAACCATAACGAACTTTATAACCCTATACTTTTTTCCTTTTTAGGTGAAGCTTATTTCAATAAAAGAGAGTACAGTCATAGTGTAGATTACTATCTTAAGTATTTAGATGTTATTTTAAGTGGCAAGAAAAAAGATACAAAAAACCAAGAAGAAGCAATAAATGAAGAGCTTAAAAATGCAAATTTAGAAATTGCTAGCTTATTTTTAAAGGTAGCATCATCATATTACTTCTTAAACAACTATGAAAAATCTTTAGAATATTATTTAAAGAATTATGAATTTTAGAAGGAGCACAAATATGAAATAAGTCATCAGATGTTTTTGAATATCTCTGAACTATATTTGAAATTATAAAACATATAAAAAAGTTTAGAAATTCTACAGATTGGATCTGAAAATTATCCTGAAATGATAGAATTTTAGTATTTCCAAGGCATGATTAACTTAAATTTTTTAAAGAATAATGATTAAGCATAATAATGCTTTGAGAAAGCTATAAAGATAAATAAAAAGCATTCTGATTCTTACAAATAGCTAGGCCTTTTGTATTTAAGACAACAAAGATATGAGGAAGCAGAAGAGATGTTTTTGAACTGCATTAAAATTTACCATAATGATACGGATGCTTTATATTACATGGCATACATTTTATAATATCATCATAAATCTCCTTAAGACGCCTTAATATGCTATCAAATGTGCCTTGATGTCAATTCAGAGCTGCCAGCTCCTCTAATGCAATGTGCTATCATTCATTACGATACCTCAAACTACGATAAAGCTATTGAATATATAACTAAGGCTCATTAATCTGACCCTGATTCTGAATAAATAAAATTACTCTATGAAAAAATGAAATCAAAGCAAACTATTAACTTTTGAAATATTTTTTTTTAGTATTTTCAGTATTTATATTTTCTACAAAATTTTATTATATAAAAATAAAATGCAAAATTATGGATGGATGGATATATAAATTGGTAGATTGATTAATATTTACAGTATTTAATTTATTTTATAATTTTCTATATTTATAAATAGTTTTTAATTATATTTTATTTATCAGATAAAATTTTGTTTTATAAGTCATTGATAAGATGATAGTCTTGGTTGGTTTTGGTACTTTATAATTAAAAAAATTGTTAATAAAGATAATAAAAATGAAACATTATTTTACATTAAGATTTGATGGCTTCAAGATATTGTTTATGTTCTATTGATTGTTCTAGAATTGCGAGTTTTATTTGGTACTTAATCCGTTTTGTTATTGGTTATATTATTTTTTTTATTATAGAATGCTATTAAAAGAGTAGTTTTCATTGTAGAATTTATTCTGATTTCCTGCATTTTGAGGTTATTGAACGAAGCTGCCTTTTTAGCTGTAATTAAAATTATTGCTATTTGTAATGTTGCAATTGTTTTAAAATTTTTATTCTTTTTCTCTAAGTAAATATGACTTATTTTAACTTGATTTTTAATCGCAATAGTCAATAATTTAATTCATATTTTTATTTTATAATAGAACTTATTTTTAAACCTTTTAATTAAAGATCTCATTTGGTGAATCTATGCAAGATATGTCACTAATATTTATTAATTTATTTTTATTTTTGGTTATGTTAAATTTATTTTGAATTTAATTTATATTTTACGTAAAAACATTAGTTGAAACTTCTTATTTCTGTTATCTTAGGAGTTATTCATAATCGCTTTGGGATTTATGAAGCATTTGTAATATGATTGTAATGCTTTCTTCGTTTTTTTTAGTGATTGTTTCTAATTCTATAATTCTCTGCTTGCTTTCTAAGTTTTCCTTTTAATTTTTAGTTAATTGTTAAAATTGGTTTGAATAAAATAATTGAATTTACCTTGATGTAATTTGCTTTCTCTTCTTTAATCTTTATTAATTCTTATGTAAGATTTTAGTTTACTTTTTCTAAATTGTCAGTCTTTTATTTTAAAGATAAAACTTTTGACTCTAGCATGAAAACTCTTCCTTCAAGCTGATTGCTTTAGGTACTTTTTGCAGACAGAGGATTAGTAGATATGCTACTGTTTTTAGGCTTTTGCTCTCTAGTGATGGTGTTATTGCTCTTCTACAAAGTATTCTAATTGCTATTGGTTTTGCTAATTTAAACACTGTTAGTATTGTGAGTGTTTTAACCTAGCTTAAAAGAACTGCCATTACCTTTTAAGTAATCTTTAATAATCTGGGAGTAAGTTTTTCTTTGCTATTCTGAGTCTATTGTCAAGAGCTATTATTAGTTAAGTTATTATGCAGGTTGCTATTATTACAACATTTAAAATTGCTGAAGCTACTTTTAAATTTGCTATGATTGTTCTATTGACATAGTTTAACTTATACCTTAAAATTATTGCTAACTAGGATAACTAAGTTAGGAAGAAGTTTATATATTGATAATTTATTAAGGATTAGAAATGTTGTTGCTGCAGTTCAGAATGTTGTTGCTGCTTTTGCTATTTGATGAAGTGGTAGAATTACCAATATTTTAGGAACTTACTAGCTAAGACATATTTGTATTAAAACTTACTTTTCTTTAGGTTGATTCACTTTCTTTTGGTAAGTTTCTAGAACTGTTTAATTATAAATTAGAGTTTTAGTTGTTTTATAGGTAGTTATTTTATTATATTTGATGGATTTCTTTTTCAAAATTGTTTGAAGTTTTTTAGATGTTATTGCTTGCTTAGTTATTATTTACAAAGGATTAAGTATTTTAGTTTTATTTGTTGTTAAATGAAATACTTTAATTAATTTAATGAGTGGGATAAGTGTTAGAATTACTTACATGTAATTATTCAGTGTTATCATTCTAATGTCTTCTCTATGATTTTTAATCGTTAGAGTTTAGAATATTGTTAAAATTATTAATTTGCATGTTTAACTGATTTGAAAAACTCATTAAATTACTGCTCTTTTGTGAGTTAGTAGAATTAGAAATGTTTTGATAAGTCTAAGATTGGATTTATTATTAATTATTTTAATTCATTTTCTCAGTTTAGTTTTTATTTGATCTAAAGCTTGAAATTTGTATATTTTAATTATTATCTTAGCCTCCTTTTGTTTGCGATGTAGCGGGGGTTATTGATTACCTGCCTTCTTTGGGTGAGGCTATTGTTTCAATCATAGAGTGTTATTCAGAAGAGTCATTTTAATTTTGTTAATAGCGCTACTTGCCTACGTCCTTTCTATCAACAAAAGCTTTATTTATCAAGAGATTTACCTTTTGAGGAAAAAGCAAATGACTTTGCTAATTGATTGTTTAATCTTCCTTTTTTTCATGTTCATTCATATACAAGTTAAACTACTAAACAAGAGGTCTAATGGAATCAGAAAGGTTAGATCCTCTTCCACTTAGGCTATTATTAGTATTAGATAATTGCTATTATTGTTGTTGCTACTATTATTGTTATTAGTACTTTGATTCATTTGATTAGACTTAAAATATTTAGCCGTTTTGAGTATTGGTTTTTTAACTACCATTTAAAGAAGCTTAGTTAAAAATCTCATGAATTGAATTTCTTTTAGAATACTTACTAATGTTCAAATCTTTAAATTCATTCTAATTATTTGTTGCATAGAATTAAGAAGATTCGCCTCTGCTGTGATGATATTGAGATATATTTGAAGAGGAGGTTAATGAAGGATTAATTTGTTGGGATTAAGATGAACCAATATTTTTATTAATTAATCCTGATGCTTAATTATTAGATTTAGGTGAAATAATAGAAGGATTTTGATTATTTGAAAGAGGAGATGTAGATTGTTAAAATGAAGAAATATTTTATTAGTTTAGATTTTTATTGTTTAAGTTATTGCTTGAGAGTGGTGAATGGCTTTATGATTTTTATGTCTTGTAAGATTAGTTAGTCTCTTATTATGTCTGTTAGTTTATTTTGTTAGAAGTGTTTTGCTGGCTTTGGAATTAACTTCCTTTTTGGAAGTCAGATGCATCGTTATTAAGAAACTGTGGATTCTAGATTGATTTGATTTAACCAGCATTACTTTCATTTGACTTAGCTTTGCTGCTGATTTAACTATTAGTCTATGTTAAAGGCTGATTTTGTCTTAGTACTTAATTCATTTAATATTTTTACTTGGCCTACTCATATTCTTATTATTATTGCTTTAAAATTTGCTAGTTTACCATATCTTATTAATATTATTGTTAATTGAGACTAGCTAAAAAAGAAGATGGAATAGTTTAAATATTTTTCTATAAGAGGATTTAATCACAGTTAAAATCGGTGCTTGATGAGTTGCTTGGATGAGTGTTTAGAATCTTTGTTGTGTTAGCTATTGATTTTTTATGACTGTGGAGACTCTATGTGTCTTTGTTAATTGAAGTTCCAAATTCACTAGAATTAGCAAGCTCAGGAATTGCTTATAATCCATCGCTGAAGGCAGGATAAGGAAAACAATTATGCTAATTAGAATAACTATATTTCTTATACTTTTAGAAAAACATGCTATCGAAATCATCATCTGCTTCCCCATCTTCTTCGTCTGAACCACTACTTCTTTTAGTACGATATTAGCTATCTTCGTTGAGCTTTTAAAGGTCTGCAGAAGGTTGGATGAATTAAGAACCATTTCTTGATAGTGTTCCCACATCGCTATTGTGTCTTTTCTTTTTTTGTAAATTCTTTCCAAAATTAAACATAGAGCTGGTACCTGCCGAAGAAGGAGGTTGTGTTTAGGATTCATCTTCAATACAATCCACAATAGTTTTTTTTTCTTCATGATTATTTTTTTGAGCATTAAGGGCCTCCACAGTAGAGCTTGCATCTATAATTCTGTTAATCTGAATCATTTTTTCGAAATCCTCTTTATTTTTTTTTTCTTCTTCAGTCATCTAAGGAGCCACCTAGAGCTAAGTGAAATCATATTAGGAGTTAGATTATGTTCTTCTGTGCCCACGAGTGGATCTTGCGTTTTGCAACTTCTACTAATGAGAAAGTTTGTCTTCTTCTGCTGACATACAAGTAAATTAGGATAGTTGATAAATGTAGAATATAAAAGAGACTCTGAGTTAATTTAGTAAGTGTAGTAAATAGTTTTATATTGAGCTTATTATGAATTTTTGCGGTTTATAATTTATGTTCTTCTATGTTTTATTTATAAGTTGTTTTGATAATCTTTGAAAGATAAAGATTTATTTTATAATTAGAACTAAATATACGAAGATGTATGCTTTTTTTCTTATTTTTATAATTAAAAACTTAAGGTTCGTTTAACTCTTTTTAATTATTTATTTTTTAATATTTTCTTTTAATAAATATGCGATAAAGGATATGATATCTATATATATCTTGCCTTATCTCATTGTATTTCATAATGCTTTTTTAACTTTATTATGCAACTAAATGAAAATATAAATGATAAAAAAACACATTCATTATTATCTTAATAAAAACAATTCAAAATCTAATAAAATTATCTAAATTTTTTTAAAATAATCTTTAGCACGACTAATTTTTGAATTTTTAATTGAATTTCAATCTGAAAATTTTTGAATTTAATTATTTCTTCTATTTCCAACGTTTATTTTCTTTGGTGTTAATTTTTTTATGGAGTCAATAGTCAGTTTAAAAATAAAAAATATAGTAAATTAAATAATATAATTTCTTACTTAGTTACAAATATTATCTGTCATAAGAGAACAAATATGAAATGAAATAATTAATTAAGTTAATTTAAAAACTGTTTAGTTTATTTAGGAAGATTTTTAAATTCTGTAATAATATTTTTTCTTCTTCAATTTATTTTACAATATAAAATAATATGCAATTCAAAGATATAAATTTAAAGTAGTTTTAATTTTTAAAAGCAAAATTATTTATTTTATTTTATTGCTAAGTTTAATTGAAAAAAATTTTTATCTTAAAATATTTTTTATCAATTTGCTAATTTTTGAGGAGAAAATTAATTTTATTAAATGTGAGGAGCTTCTATTTCTTAAATTGATATGTTTGGACTATATATCGAATTTTCACCACATTTAATTTGATAGTCTTAATTTATTAATATGCTGCTTTTATTTCTCTCGTTTTTTGTAATCGATGATAGATCATGAAAGCTTTTTTTATTTAAGCTCTTTATGACAAATTTTTTGTCGTAGTAGTATTTTGTTGAGTCAGGAATATTTTCTAAAGACTAACTTCTAGATTTACTATTATTTGTATCAGCGTAGTTTGATAATTATGGTATTAAATTTTCTTTATTCTGATTTAAAAGATTCTTAAATTAATTAGGATTATCAGATAATTAGCCTAAATTTTAATTATCTTCTTTATTTAACATTTCCTAAACATTTGCTCTGCACTTATCAATTTAAGACTAAGAACATTTACTGTTTATAAAAGGATGTTTTAATATTTCGTGGGATTTAATTCTTTCTTGTGGATTAATCTTAAGCATTTAAATAATTAAATCTAATAGAAGTTCTCCTTTTTCCTAATTATCAAATTAAGATAATATGTTTGTTAAATATGCTGGTAGTATTTCATTTATAGCTTTTTATTTTTGCAAGAGCTTCTCAAAGTCTTGATTTCTAATTGAAAATATCCCTGTCTTGATAACTGTTTTTTCTTTGTATGAAACTCTACATTTATAGCTCAACCACTAAGGCAATCCAGTTAACAATTCAAGAAGGGAAGCTCCAAAAGACCAAACATCTATTGTGTCTAAAGACCCTTACAAGTTTTAAATCATAGTGTGATTATTATTTTTAATGCGATTGTTTTCGTTGATAATTTAGTTAATTACTTCAGGAGGCATGTATTCTATAGTTGCTAAATTTATTGTACCCTTTTCATGATAACTAACTACAGATCCAAAATCAATCAAGGCAACTTACTCTAGATTGAATTTTTAATTTCCTTCAGATTTATAATTAATTAAAATATTTTCTGGCTTAATGTCACAATGTATAAGTTTATTCTCACTTAAAAGAGAAAGAGCAGAAGCAACTTTATATATAAACTAAGCCATTAGATTGTTTTCAAGTTAAATGAAATCATAATATGATTGCTAAAAATTAATTTTATAAATTCTCTCATTATTATGAAAATCCCCATTCAATCCATAAAATAGCTTAGCTGATGTTGATCCACCTAACTCAAATATTATCCAAGTGTCTTTAGAGTCTTTGATAACTTCAACTAAACCAATAAGGTTTTTTAATCCTTTTTAAATAGATTTAATTTTAATAACAATTTTTATAATTTTTAACTAATTCTTACTCTAATCATTTTAATATTAAGCTTTTGGTTAACCATCATCATTATAGAAATTTTGTAGAAGCTTAAGCTCTCTTTGAATAGATTCTTAGTTATTCTTGTTGACTATTTATTTTACTGCCACTTTTTACTGTGTTTTTGAGCTTTTACACAACCAAACAACAGAGAACCCTCCTCTTTTTTTAGTAATTAATTAATTAATAAATTAAATATTATTAATCATATTTACTTTCCTAAGATTTCTATTTTTTCATACCCCTAAGGACATCTTGATCCATAAAGCTTTGTCTCTTCTTCGCTTAAAGCAATTATTTCTTTTTTTAATAAAAACAAATATAAACTTTTTTATTGATAAAAGCAAATAATAAATAAATTTACCTTTAAAATTATTTTTGAAATTTAACTAATCTCCCTTTATTGCATTATTTGGTGACCTATTAAATAGCAAATTGATTTAATTAAATTTATAAAAATTATATTTCAAATTTATTATTTAATTATTTATATTTATTTACTGGTAGGATTTTTTTTGGTTGGGATTTTATTTTTATAAGTCTTTCTAGAACTATTGCAAATAGCCATCTTTTGGAAATGGGATAAATGTTGAGGACTAACATCTAATTTTATTTTCTAGTTAATTCACATTGTTTATAAGAACAGCAGCCTTTTGTTTATTGATTTATACTTTTAAGTTTTATTTAGAGAGATAAGGCTTTATTATCTCAGAAGGATATTTTTTATAGGAAAGTTATGGCAGAAGGGATTATTAAATTGATGCATTTAATTAATTTTAATTGCTAATATTTTAACTACTTTATTAATAATATAGCTGCTACTAGTTTTAGTGATTTTGTTATTAAGAAAATAATTAATGCTAATTTAAATTTTATTAATTCATATTCTTTTCTTATCTAATTGACTTTTCTGAGGCTACTGGCACAATATTATTTTATTTGGCAGAAGGTTATCTATTATTTGTATTGCCTAAGAATTCTAAGTTTCCCTTTTTTAGATTGTCTTATAGCATTGCTAGTCTCTATATATTATCGTTTATCTTTTGGATGTTTTATTATTAAACAGACTTCATTTTTTTAAAATCTTGGATATTCTTTGCTTTGAATAAATAAAAATAGAAATTAAGAAAATGTAGAAATTGCTAATAACATTATTTAAAAATATTTTGAATTAAGATGTAAACTTTTTATTAAGTACAGTTGATTTCTAAATAAAAATGTATGATTATTTAGGATTCAATCAACAAGTAAAACTATAAAACAAATTTACTCTTTGTGCTTTCAAATTATTTCAGACGAAAGAAAGAAAATAATTAATTCTACCATAAGGATTAGACATCTAAGAAAATTAAGGTTTATGTTCAGTTGCTGTAATGTTATTAAATTGTTGATTCGATTTGGTAAATTTTAAATCTTCATCAAATTTTTTAACCCTTGGAAGAGTTCCTTCTTCCTTCAAATTTTTAATAATGCTTTTGATTTCTACAGTATCACTAGAAGAAACTGTGAATCCATTAGGATTATTAACTTTGAAATCAGCGCTCACAAGTAACCCTCTATTTAAATCAGTTTCTCTAGATCTTTCATTCATAATCCTAAATAACAAACATTAACTTAACTTCAAAGCTGAAAAAATTGAAGTAGAAATAAATTTTTAGAGTGTTTAGATTAAATCAAAATCCTTACTTATTCATTTTTTTTGCGATCAGTTACTTATTATAAACAGAGTTAATTTTTTAAATTCTATCTTCTTCAAATGCTAACGCCTTATCAGTAATCGATTTATTTTGTTTTCTTTCTAAAATAGGTGATATTCCATTAAATCTATTTTATTAACTAGAGTCGTTGAGGACGCTAGCACTTTAAGAAGTTCCAAGTTTTAGCTTATTCATTATGTTTGAAATTAATTTTTAGTAAATTAGTTTGTTTACTTTCTAATTTTTAGCAAAATAAATTATTAATATTGTTATCCATTCAAACTCCCTTCTTATAGTTTTTAATAATTAAATTAAATAATAAAAATAAATCTTTATACTAAAAGCAAACTAAACTATAAATAATTTAAGTAGATATTTATCATCAAAATACTAGAAATAAATCCATATTTTCGATTCAGTATTAATTTTACTTTTGATTATTACTTTTATAAGTAAATTTATTATTTTTTAAGTGCTTTTTATATTAAAAACAAAAATACTTAAGAAGAAATCATCTTTTATGTTTTTAATTTATTACTATTCTTATTTTTAGTAAATTTTAATCAAGTTTAGCATTTAAAATGATATTAAAATAGAAAAAATATTTTAATTCAAAAAAACAATACATTTAGTTAAATAATTTAAATTTGAACAAAAAAATAACACAAAAAAAATACAAAAAATATTAAAATTAAATATGTTTTCTTCATTTATAAAATTTTTCCATAATCGGTAACAATTTGTTTGTAATCTTCTTCATTTATTTCATTTATTTAAGAAACCGATCTTAGAGATAGCAGATTGTAAATCTTCTCCTCCTTCTCCTCCACTTTGTTAAATTCCTGATTATTTTTCTAAGTAAAAAGTTTAATTAATTTAAAAAAAAAATATTTAAATTTACTCATTTTCATTTCCTTAAGAAGGCCTAACATATCTGACTTATTTTTGGTCATTAACATACTCTCTCTAACATTTTAATAGCATTTAGACATTCTGACATCGCCAGAATTAAGATTTTGCATACCAATAAATGTTCCTCTAACGTTTTCTAAATTTTCAACCTTTTGGTTAGCTTTTTAGCTAAGTTGACTTTTAAATCCCTTCATAATACTAGCTAAATTTTGTTGTGGATTAGAAACACTCTGTTCAGGAACTTAATTCTTTTATTGTACATTTGATGTGGAAGCCTTTAAGTCTGGTTTTGCTTGTTTTTAATCTACTTTTGAAGTTGAGGTCTTCAAATCTTCTTTAGCCTTTTTTTCCTCTTCCTTCTTTTTCTTTTCTTCCTCTTTTTTCTTTGCCTCTTCTATCTTCTGCTTATCTGCCTTTTCTTTCTTAATTTTTCTAAAAAGCTATCCAAACTTTTCAGCAAACTTTTCAGAAGGATCAGTTGGCTTTTCTCCATACAAGCTTGCAACTTACTTGTAAGTTTCATCTATAGTTTTAATTTCAACATCCATACTATTTATACGTTATTCGATAGCATCTACGCTTCCATCTAGTTTTGATTTGATATTGTCATTTGGAAGATCTGTCTGGGATTAAATAGCTTTTTGCATAAAGCGGAAATTTTTCTTTATTTCATTTAAATCTGCATTCAATTGTGATATAGGGAGCTACTCACAAAGATTTAAAGCTTCTTCATCTTCTAGAGATATGAGAGGATTGTATTTCTTTTCAAAAATATCTATTACATACATCATCAAAGTTGTTTTATTATCTTTCATTTTTAGTTCACTTATTTTAATCAAAGAATCAAATTTAAAGCCCCAGGCTCCACCTCTTGCTGATTCTCCATTTAAATAGTTACCAAAAGCTAAAACATACTCAAGCATTTCAGGTATTAATTTGTTATCTTTCAAATAGAAAATACCTCTTCTTAATTTTTAAACTTTTGGCTCTAAATCTAAGAACATTTCTTCGTGAGTTTTAAGGAAAATTAAACCTCTGATACGATCACCAAATCCTTTTACTTTTTTTACTTCGTAAATAAACTTTTCAGGGTTAGCTAAATCCTCAGGTTTACCTCCACCTTCAATATAACCTGTAACTAGGTCTACTTCTTCTTGCTTAGGACAAATGTTGTTAAGAGATTGAAGATTATTAAGAGTTAAAATTTTTTCATCACAGCTAACTAAAGCATTGCTGATTAAATTTGAAGATATTTTTAGCTTTTACAAAACAATTTCATAAGTCTTTGTTCTATCACCATTAATCAAGCTAGTTTTTTGAATAATCATTGGTTTTGGTGGTGCTGTTGTGCTGCCTTAAGTGCTATTAGAGTTAGATCCATTTGGTTATGAAGAAGCTCCACCAACTTATTTGACAGGAGCAGTAGGCTTTTCAAATTAATCTTCTATAAATTTAATATCCAATTCAACTTTTTCATCATTTAATTTCTCCCATATAGTATTTTTAATATTATTAGCTGTTATTGTGTTCCACATAAAAGGTTTGAGAGGGACATTTGGCTTTTTCTTTTGTTTCTATAGAGGCTGCTAAGGCATCATCTAATCATAAAATTAAATTATAGTTGTAGTATAAAGGTAATTAATTTACCATAGGCATATTGAAAGAAGGCATCATCTTTGATATTTTAAAATAATTAATTAGCATTAAATGAAAACTTTGTTTATTTTTATTTTACTGGTGCTTAAGTTCCAATAAGAAATGGTGGTGGCATCTTTAATAGATAAAAAATTAATAAATTTGATGAGAATTTTCATTTAAAAATTACAGGTGCTCCTCCTAAATTAATTGCCTTTTTTATAATTAATAAATTAATAATATATGTAAAGAAAAAAAAAATTACAGGTGATTATCCAAAAGGTGGTGGTGGCTATTAAATAAAAAATTATATTGTTCAAAAAAATAATACATTTTTTCTAAATATATTTATTACTGGTGGAATACCTCCAATTGATGGTGCCTGTTTTAGAAAGTAAATAAATCTTTTATTTCTAATTAAAAATAATTTACAGATGGAATACCTCCGAAAGGTGGTGGCTGTGAGATTAAAATATAAAAATTAATAAAAATAAAACATTTTTATTTAATTTACAGGTGGAGGTGGGATACCTCCAAACGATGGAGCCTAATTTTAAAGAGAAATAGAATTATTTATTTTTTGGAAATGAAAAAGTTAGTTTACAGGTGGAATACCGCCTAGAGGTGGTGGCTAAGAAATAAAAATAATAATTTCAAAACAAAAAATATAATATTTTGAGGTAATTTATTTACTGGTGGAATACCTCCAATAGATGGAGCCTTTTATTTATTTAAATTGGAAAAATAAAATAAAATTGATGATTTTATTTCAATTTATAAAATTAATTTACTTGTGGAATTCCTCCAAAAGGTGGTGGCTAAAATTATATTTTTAAGTTAAATATAACAAAAATAAATTTAAAATGTTTACTGGTGGGATGCCTCCAATAGAAGGAGCCTTTTTAAAATAAAGAAAATATCATATAAAATATTTTTAAAAATTATTTATTTTTATTTTACAGGTGGAATACCTCCAAAGGATGGTGCCTTTTTTCATAATTTTTAATAATTATTATTATTTTATTTTTTTAAACAAGATTTACAGGTGGAATGCCTCCAATAGGTGGTGCCTAGATTAGTAAGTAAAAATAAAAATAAATAAACTATATTTATTAATTTATTTACAGGTGGAATGCCTCCGATTTATGGTGCCTTTTTTCATATTTTAATAATAATTATTAATTACTTTTTTAATTTTTTTAAACAATATTTACAGGTGGAATGCCTCCAATAGGTGGTGCCTATAATAGAAAGTAAAAATAAAAATGTTTAAATAATCTAATTTATTAATTTATTTACAGGTGGAATGCCTCCGATTTGAGGTGCCTTTTTTCATAATTTTTAATAATTATTATTATTATTTAATTTTTTAATTTTTTTAAACAAGATTTACAGGTGGAATGCCTCCAATAGGTGGTGCCTAGAATAGAAAGTAAAGATAAAAATAAAAATGTTTAAATAAACTATATTTATTAATTTATTTACAGGTGGAATGCCTCCGATTTGTGGTGCCTTTTTAAATAATAAGAAAATATTTAATTTAATGAAAATGTTAAATTTATTTAATTTACAGGTGGAATACCTCCAATAGGTGGAGCCTAAAGGAAAAAATAAAAAGGTCAAAAAGAAGATAATAATTCTCAAACAATCTATTTACTGGTGGAATGCCTCCAATTTGTGGTGCCTATTTTAAATAAATAAGTACATAAATACTATATATTATTATTAACAAGTAAATAAGTATGTAAGTAAGTAAGTTGTTTATTTACTGGTGGGATGCCTCCAATTTGTGGTGCCTTTTAATATAAATAAATATAATTAATTATATTTTTTATAAATATTTATTTGAAGTTAAACTTACAGGTGGAATACCTCCGATTGGTGGTGCCTTAATAAAATAAATAAAAAATATTTATATATGTTTTAAATTTTCTATAAATTTTATTTACTGGTGGAATGCCTCCTATTTATGGTGCCTTTTTTAAAATAAATTAATATTTTTATTGGGTTTTTATGTATATATCAAATTACTGGTGGAATACCTCCAATAGGTGGTGGCTAAAATAAAATATACAGTTAAAAAATTTAATGATTGTATAAAATATTTATTTATTTACTGGTGGAATGCCTCCAAATTATGGTGCCTTTATTTTTATTAAAATAGTAATAATGAATAAATTGATAAATAAAACAAATTTAATTACTGGTGGAATACCTCCAATTGGTGGTGCCTATAATTTTTAAACAAACAATAAAAATTATTTAGATTTAAAAATATTTATTTATTTACAGGTGGAATTCCTCCTATTTATGGTGCCTTTTAAATGAAATAATAAATTGAATATTTAAAAATCAACTATTATTTTAAATTTTACTGGTGGTATACCGAAAATAGGTGGTGCCTATTGAATTAAATACAAATAAATCATAAATATATAAAAAATAATTTAAATTTTTATTAATTACAGTTGGAATATCTCCCAAAGTTGGTGCCTTTTTTATTAACAAAAATTAGATATTTAGATTGCTTAAATTTTGCTTACTTATGGTACACTTCCTAAAATAGGAGCCTTTATATCAAAATTAAAAAGTATTTAATAAAATAATTGCTACTTATTTGTTTAATTATTTAATTACAGGTGGAATGCCTCCTCCGATAGATGGAGCCTTTATTTTTAACAAAATTATTTTAATTTAAAATTGTTTGATTATCAAAATTTAATTCATTTATTTTAAGGATTATTTTTTCTGGAAAATAATTTTTTTTATTGAATAAAAATGAAGTTTTTTTTTTAGTTGATTACTTGTGGGATACCTAACTAAGGTGCCTATTTTTAAATAAAATAATCTATTAAGTTTTCTTTAAGCTATAAATTACTGAGGGTATGTTTGATGATTCCTTTTAAATTAATAATTATCTTAAAAATTTTTAATAAAATAGAAAATTAAAATACCTAATTATTAACTATTTAAGCTTTAAGCTAGTTAATTTCCTTTAAGAGAGTTTATATCTAGCTTTCCATTTCTTTTGTTTGGTTTTTGAGGTCTATAAATTTAGCTGATATATCATCTTTTTGCTACAAGATACCAGATATTTCAGAATCCTTTATTCTATTTTATTCCTCCAACTAATTGATTTGTTTAATTAGACTCTCCATATCTTTATTGCTCTCAACTAGAGCATTTAGTTCCTTTTCGCTTATAACTGTTTGGATAAAATTTAAGAAACTAATTTATTTATTTTTTTATTTTACCTCCTTGAGGTGAAGCGAATATCTTAGATAGTGCTTTATCTAAGTTAATAAATACTTTTTTAACTTTATCTTAATCACTTGGAAGCAATAAAAGCTTTTGTAAAGATCCAGTTAGCTAATCGTAGCAATCATTTTCAAATGCCTTTTTTTTAAGCTTTTCAATTAAACTTTCAAATGTAATTTCATAGTTTTAAGGTTTAACAAAAACAGAATCAACAGGATCTAAGATTGTTTTTTCACTATCATCCAAATTGAAAGTCAAAAAAAGTTGCATTTAATTCTTTATGCCCTAGATATGTAACTAGAATATTTTAGTATCTCCTTCGTTTAAAGTGCAGGAAAGTAAGAGCAAGCGGTCAACTTCCTCATCTACCTCATCGTCTTCTTATTTTTCCTCTTCAAAATTCTCGAGTTTATCTGCTAAAGAATTATAATCTACTGTTTCAGCTTCTTCTGACTCTTCTTTTATGATATCTTCTTGTTCATTTTTTTTACTGAGAAGCATCATCTTTAGGTCTATAAAAAATGTATCAATTTAAAAAGAAAAATGTAATATTTAAAGTCAGTTTACTGCTATTATTTTAATCTATGTGACCATCTTCAAAATAATTTTATTCTTAAATTTAATTTTTCAAGGCATTTAAATAAGCTTATTATGTACAATCTTTGATTTTGTACTTTCCTAACTTGATTCTTGTAAGGATGATCTATTTTATATAGAAATAATTTTAAGGACAAGATTTTTATGTGATTCTTTGGTAGCAAGTAATAATTAATTAATAATATTTTAACAAACATTTTATTGTAAAAGAAATTACCTCAAATATATTTTCAATATTAAGTTCTATAAATTCTTATCTAATGAGTTTAGCACGCTATTTGTTTGAAGGAAGTGATATGAAGCTAAACAAGAAATCAACTGTGTTCCTAATCAAAATAATGTTAGGAGAGTCTTTTAGGATGTCAATCAAAATTTAAAAACGAGAAGATAAACTGTTATTTATTTTATACTCGCTGAAACCACGACATACACTTTCTAAATCTTCATCGTTTCCAAGTAAAAATTATGAAGAAACATCAAACACATATGCTGTAACCATAGGATGGTAAGGGTTTATGCATGAAACAATAGTTTAAATACCATTAGGTACACGCTTCAAGTAATCAATACCTTAATCGAAAGTGGTAACCATGTAATGAATAAATTCAAATAGTTTTATTAGCAAATCATATTTTCCTGATTGTCTTGATTGTGTATTTTAATTACTGATTATATCGATCAATATTTGAGGTCCTCTATAATTCTTAAAGTCTTTCCAAAAGATTTCATCATTCTACTTTCTTTCTAATTCGATTTAGTCAAACAAATTGTTATATGCGTAAACGCTTTGTTCTTCAATGAGTCTTTCGAGTAACTTTTAAAGAGGAGTCTTAGTAATATTCTTTTATGATTTTCCTTCCATTATATCCTAATGTTTATTTAGAAGACGCCATTTATATTTCTTTGGAAGATTGTAAATTATTTATTTTTAATCTTCAGAAGCAATAAGCTTTGAAGCAAAATTTTCAAAGTCTTTTTGAAGAATTTTGTCTGAAGGTATTTTCTTTTGAAAACGATGTTTGTTTTTAAGACTCCCAAAAACTAATTCTATCTCATCAGGATAACCTTTGAACCTATATCTAATTTATTAATCTAGCTCAGGCTTTGCTGACTATTGACCCATAAGCTAATCTAGTTAGTAAATGTGAACTTTATTTTTTAGTTTGAATCCTCTTTTAAACCTAAATATGAATACTTGTATTCTAATGATAATTTTTTTGTTTATCAAATGTTTTATTTATTGAAGGAATATTGCTTTGATAGAATTTTAAAGCTTTTATTTTAAGGTTAATAATATTAAAGGTAGATTGATTGATTGCTTACTTTAATTTTTCAACTATAGTGCATATAGAAAAGATCTTAATTTCTAATAAGTTAATATTTTGAGGCAAATTTTTATTTAACAAATAATAACATTTTTACTTCATATTAAAACATAATTAAAATATCTTTCTCATTGCGTCTCCGTCAAATCAAAAAATGAATATTAGATGAATGAATTTTCTATAAATATTTGATCTAAAAACTTATTTAATAAAATGCATAAAATTATTTGCTAGATTTATAAAGTTTTCTAAAGATAATTAATTACTTATTTTTTTTACATTTCAAAGTTTAATAATAAATTAAGAGTAAAGTAATCCCATAATACTATCTCCTTTACCTAATATTGAAATTTTAAATAAAATTAAGATATTTATTTTGATATTTCTCAATATAAAAATAGAAATTGAAAATATAAATGGATATTTTATGATAAAAAATGGGTAAAAAATAGAAAAATATTGCAAAAAATTTATTTTTGAACAATAAATATTTAAAAAACAAATTATACAAAATAATAGAAAAATAAATGGTTTTTAAAATAATAGATAAGATTTTGTAAATGAATTAAATTATTATTTAATAATTAGCTACATTTTTTTATAAACTACTTTCAAAGAATAGTTTAATAATAATACTCTCTCAACAATTAATTTTAAAAAATTGTTTTAATTTAATTAAAAAATAGGAAAATTTTTGAAAGTTATAAAAAATTTTAAAAGTAAATAAATATTATTAAATAAATTTTAATTATTTAAAAAATGTAGTTTTACTCAATTAAATTTATAAATAATGCTAATATAAATTTTATATCAAAATTCAAATCTTTTTTAGTATTTTTATAAAAATTTTACATAATTTTTAGAATAAATAAGTGAATAAATTAATCTTTAAATTTGAAAAATTAAGTATTTAAGCACATAGAATATTTTATCATAATTTTATTGTTAAGAAATAATAATAAAATCAAAATAAAAAATAATTCAGAAATAATAATCTATTTCATTATTTAAAACTATTTAATATTTTATTAAAGTTAAAAATGTTTAAAGATATTTCATATATTTATTTCTGTTGAAATATTAATTAAACAAAAGCTAATTTTTATATTAAAAATTTGCGCGAAAATTTAATCATTATAAAATTTTTGATTTCAAAAAGTAAAAAAAATAAATTATATTAAGTATTTTTATTAATTTATTGAAAAAGTTGTTAAGGAAGAATTTAATCCTCAGTCAGATCATCTATAAACAAACATTCAAACTTATTTATAGGTGTATCTTAAAACATTTCATCTTATACTTAATCCAAAATGAATGCACTAAATTAACAATATTTTTTCTTTAAAAGTGAAATTTACCACCAAAAAATTAAAAAAAAATAAATTAAGAAATTTTAATAATTGAAATATTTAAGAAAATATAAACTTAGCAAGAAACAAAGCAACACTTTTAATAAATCTATCAAAATTAAAATGGAGGTATTACAAGGCAACTAAGAAAATTAGTCATATAAAGATGAAATCCAATACAATAATAATAGCAATGATGATAATTAGGCTGAAAGCTAGTTGAATAATGAAATATTTAGCAAGAAGAAAAATCTTTTTAGAGTAGAAATTAGAAACAAAAAGACAAGGACTCTTTTGTAAGCTAAAAGAAATATGTCTTTGAATGGAAACTTACTTCAAGATTATGAAGTTTTACCTCCTTTTTACCCTTAAATGATAGAGCAAACGATACATGAGTTTAATTAATAAAACCCTAATCTCTCGTTGATTCAATAGAATTTAAGAGTGATCAGGAAAGAAATAGATTAGAATCGCGAGAATACTTTGCTAATGATTAAGAACTCCTAATTATTTATGAAGTTGGTTTAAATGATAACATGGGGTAGAAAACAACCTTCATTGGTATTTTATTTAGTTTCAATTTAATAGTATAAAACCTCATTAATTATTTTTAATTTTTATCAATACTGATTAATAGAATGCTCATTTATTAATTAGTGTTTGTTTGTCAATGCTCTTTTAATTGACAGAAAGAAAAATTTCAAAAATATTAAAAAAATTGTTTTATTTATTTGAATAGATGTTCGAAATTGCTTATGATTTGGTTATTAATGTCACTAGCTTTTGTGATTGTAGTGATGTTGTAGATTAAATAGTTGATATACTTATAAAAAGAGATGAAAATGGGTAAGAGATAAATGACTAAGAGAATAACTACCTCTTCTAGTAGCCTGATAAGAGAAAGTTTTATGTACTCAGTGTTATCGAAAATCATATTTAGAATGACGAGTATTTGAACATTAGAGAGTCTGCCATTTGGCTTTTATCAAATATAGCAGCAGAAAATACACAAAATGTTGTAAAATCTATCCTTTCAAAAGGAAAGTTGTTTTACATCTTAAAAGAAAATATTGAATTAAAAAATCATACAAAAGATATGCTTGAGTCAATAGTTAATTTACTTTCTAACCTCTCTATGAAAAAAGAGTACACTACTTATATAGATTTTGTTGATGCTCCTGAGTTGATTCTCTCTATATTTCCTTTAGTTATTAATTAGGAAATTGTAAACACCACTTTGATGAGCGCTCTAAAAAAGATAGTTTTTAAAGCAGATGATGATGAAGTTCATTAAATAATTAATTACTACTATGATCTTATTCTACAAATGGTAAATTTTGTGCAAGGTTGTAATTTATAGATTAAATCTCACTGCGATTGCTGCTCCTATATTCTTGAAATATTTGATTATCTCTGTGATTTCTATGAATCCCTCACTAATTAGGTTGTTGGTATGGGTATTTTTGATCCTATTGCTCACCTATTAAATTAAAATATCCCTATTGAACTGCAAAGCATATGCTTAGATCTCCTTACTACTATATTTTCCAAGCATTCTCACCAAATTAATGATCGCTTTATTTTCGAGGAGTAGTTTAACTAAAATCAATATTTAACCAAAATAATTATAAATTTAGCTTCTAGTTATCATTCAGATATTAAGAATTCTGCTCTAAGCTGTTTAAGCAGCTTACTTGCAGGTTGTAATCAAGATCAATGTGAGGCTATATTTGATAGCAACTTAATGAAGATTTTCTTAGATTCTATGTAATAGGAAAGCGTCAAATAAGACACCATCACTGAAATACTTAATGGATTAATTAACCTAATTTTTATTGGAAATTTGAATCATTCAATAGAATAAAATCCTTATAGCATCGTTTTTATGGATTTATAAGGTGATGCAATACTAGACAATATCTAAGAAAGACTTTCAAATGAAGGCTATAGCTCATCAGAAAAGCTTTTAAGATATATTACTGAAGGAAATGTTGATGACGAAGAAGATAATGAAGGGTAATGAACATTTATTTAGTTTTACATCAAAAATGTAAAGACATTTCTGAATGTAAATGTAAAAAAAGAAAAACAAAATATTATTTATTGATAAATAATAAAATTAAATTTTTAAATTAGCTTTTATATGAATTATTTATCTATGTAAATTATTAAAATTTTAAAGTATTTGATAATTTAATTATCATTATAAACCTTTTACTACTTGACAAGCAAAAACAAGTAAATAAATACTCCATAAAATATATAAAAATAAATTTTTTTAAATGCAGAAAAATACATATTATATAAAAAGAAAAATACTGCTTTAATTAATACAAGTTAGTTTTTTAGTTTATTTCAAATGAATGAATGAATGAATGATAAATCCTTAATTAATTAAAATATAAATTAGTTGTTATTGGAAAAAATATTAATCATCTATTTTTAAAATATTGTTTTATTGTTGTTTATTTGCTTTTTTGGTTATTTGGTTATTTGTTTTTTTGTTTGTTTGTTTACAAACTTTTTCAAATTAGTGTAAAATAAATATTTTAATTTCTTTTAAAATAAATTTTCAATTGCTTAAAGCTTATCCAAGAGTCAGTAATTTGAAAAAGCTTGGGATATTTTCGTTTTAGGGGTTATCATTATTTTCGTTAGTAGAGTTATTTGATAAATGTGAGTAATTTGTTTAAACCAATCCAACTTAGTATTTGTTCTAAGAATTAGAATCTTATTAGTTAGTGCTTTTTGAAGATACTTTGTCTGCATAAAGCTATTTCATTAATTAAGTTTCGCTTTTGATTTCTCTATTTTCTTTCTCAAGTTCTATGTAGTTTTTAAGTATTTCTTTGTGTTAGTTACGCAATTGAGTATATTTTATTTTATACTTATTGTATGCCGAAGATGAGGAAGAACCTTATGAAGAGGGATTTTATTATTGCTTATTTGTAGACTGTGAGTTTAAAGCAATACTTTGACCACACATAGAACAAGATGAGCAGTTTGTTGGGTTAGATTAGTTATTACTGCAATTGAATGGTGAAGAGTCTTGTTATTCAGACTTTTATTAACGCACACTGCGTTAAAACTCATCTACGCTGGAAGTTAAGTTGGAACTATTACCTAAATTGTTAAGGAGTAAATTTTTATCAGCAGAGTTACCACAATAGCTCATATTTATAGAAGTGTTATTAAAACTATTTATTCTGCGAATTTTAGAGTTCTCTAGTGAGATATCTCTATTAATATTTTCTTATTTTTCTAAATTTTCTGAAAGCTTCTTAGTTTCTTTTTCTAAAGTAGCTATGCGCACTAAATATTTTATTTCTCTGTTTTTGAACTATTCAATTTCCATTTTTAAGCGCTTGATTTCTTCGCTTTGCTGTGCTTTAGAAGAGGATGATGTTGATGTATTTAATCTGGTAGCAGAAGGGTTAGCCTAGCTGGAAGATTAGTTCAAGGGTGAAAGGCCATTTATTTTTCCACTTGTATTTAATGCAAACTGATAGCTATTTTCTTATATATAAGGTTGTTAACGAGCTGAAGTCTTTGAGTGGCTACGACATGAAGTATTTAAAAATTTACTTGAGCTATTACAAGATGAGTTTTAATTATTTTAATTTGTGCTGCCTTGCACTAAGCTGCTGCTGTTATTAATATTATTGCAATTGATCGTATCTTACCCTTTCCTTGGTGTTTGATTTGGTATCATATTGACTTTCCATGAAGAATTAAGTATATTTTGATAAAGGGTTTTTTGATTAGGAGATTAAGAAATAGAAGTGTTATTATTGTTATTTTATTAATGCTAAATCTGATAAAATACATTTTAACTATTCAAACTATTCGTTAAATTTACATTAATATTGCTGTTATTGTTTATTTAATTATTGGAAATTTGTGAGTTTGTCCCAGCTAAAATAGAGTTATTATTGTTGCTGCTACCAGATGGGATTTTGTATTGATTTATAGCTGATGAAGAACCACTATGCTTATGCATAGATATGCCAATATTTTCTTTAGTATTACTGAGAATTGAATTTTAGTTCAAATATTTTTATGAAGAATTTGAAGCTGATTAGATTGGCTATTGTTTTATCCCAGAGGAGTTGCTTGTGTTGCTGTTATTATTCTATTGGACACCACTTAACTTTGAATTAGAGTTTAGATTTTAAGTAAAGTTCTAATTTAAAGAAGTGGTATGGCTTGTCTTTGTTCCTCCACTCTCCATGATATACATTGAGATATTTTCCTTCTTTTTTTATGGAGTTGCACTAAAGTTAGAATTACTACGCAAAATCTAACTGGCTTTAATATTGCTAGATGATGAGTTATTACATGCAGAAGAGTTTTAAGGATTTGCGTTGTTTAAAATGCTTGTGCTTATTGATGATGATGTATTTCTATTTTCTGAGCTATTCCTTACAGCACGTAGCTACTGTTAGTAGATAGTTGAAGACTTTTAATTAATGCAAAATTTTGATTAACTAAGTGAAAAAATTAAAAGCAATATGGCCAATTATTGTAAAATGTAAATATAAATATCTCTATTAAATAAAAAAATAAGCTGTGCTTGCTAATTGATTAAATTAAAAAATATTCAATTACTTGAGAATTTTGCTGATTCATTGAAAGCTGAGCTAAGTTTCCAGCTCCTTCGTTGTAGTTGCTACTACTAATAGATGATTATTGATGCATGTTATTACCAAAAAAGTTAACTGAGTTAGCCAAATTTGATGAAGATGTATCCCTTTATGTTTTACTGCCAGAAGAACGAGAAGCAGTATGATTTTTTCTAAAAGGACTTTGAGAGTCTATTAGAACCTTACTTGACATATTGGTTAGGTGAATTTAGATTATTGATAAATATATAGATAGATATATAGCAGTTTGCTTGTGTTTTGATACTTATTATTAATTATATTTGTTTTTTTTCAACTTACTCTTGTGATATTTGTTAAAGTAAATTTCTTTCAAAAGAATTTGATTGATATTTTAACAATTTCTTGAAGATTGAATTAATCTGATTGTTAGAGTTTAATTTATCTTTATATTTTATTTCTTGAACAATACATAATTATTTGTTTCATATTTTAACAAGACCATTAAATTAGCATTGTTATTTATTATTTATATGCTTGTTTTTTTGTGCGATTGGTTGGTTGGTTGATTTATTTATATATTTGCAAAAACAGAAATATTTTCATGTAAAAAGTAATCAATCAATCATAAACATCCATATTGTTAATTTAAATTAAAAGTAATTTTTAATATTTTATTAGTAAATTGAAAAATAATACTTTAACACTTTGAACTATTTTTTTTAAAGAAAGATTTTTTTAATTTTTTTAATAAAAGTTAGCAAATAAAAAATTAATGAATCAACAAATAAATAAAATAAATATTTTAATAAAGAAATTTTTAAAAATTATTTATTGTTTTAAAATATTAAACAACCAAACAAATAAGATATTATTCTTATAATTACAGTTTTTATTTATAAAATGAATCAATAAATGATAAATATCAAAAAGCGAAACTAAAATTGGCGAATATACTTCCTTTTGTGCCGTCTCCCAAATCCATTTTTCTAAACTACTAAAAATCTTATTGTTATAAAATATACTCGCACTTCCTGAAATTGCTAACGTCTTCCTCATATTCAAATTTAACTTCATCCTATTGTTTTTAATTATTATTCTACTATTCTTATTCACCTACGAATTTCACATCACTTTTTGTTTCTTATGGGCCAACATAAAAAGGACAGATAATCTTAAAATTTGGGAAATTTTCATCAGTCTCAAATCTGTTTTAATCTTTTTCCAATATTTTCTTTTCTAGGTATGCTCTCATTGATTCTAAACAGACTTCATGCCCACAACCCAATTTAAACTTTTTATTAGAACATTTATCATTGGTAAAACTATCATAAGAATGATCAAAGTGGCATATAGGGTAAATATATTTCTTTTATTATGGAACAACCTATTAATTCATTTATTATTATTATTTAGGTTGTTAGTAATTAGTAATTTATTACTATTATTAAGCTTGAGCTTAACCATTATTATTTATATTTCTCATTTGCTACTATTGGTTTTAACCCATGCCCATGTTATTAATACCATTGTTGAATGGTCCATTATTATTTTATGCATTTATTTGATTTGGGATATTTGGCTGGTTTTGATTTGCCATATTATTTCCTACTCCAAACTAATTAATTTATCTTTAGTTATTCGCCATTCCTTAACCAATTTAATGTGCTATTTAATTACTATTTTGATTCTATACATTATTTAACTAACCTTGAGGGACTTGAGATGGTTAATTAAAATTATTAGGTTATCTATTTGGTATATTGTTATTATCTTATACAATGGGCTTTACATTCTAATTGTTTTGAGCTATATTAGGATTAAAATTCGGATTCATAGGTAATTATGGTGGTTAAATATTGTGATTCAGATTATTAGGTTAGTTATTTTGAGGGTTAGTATTAATTTGATTATTAGTTGTTCCTTGAGGTGTGGTTAAAATTTGTTTATTTTATCCATTAGCAGTATTTTGTTGGTTATTTGTATTTGCATTGTTTTGAAAGGTAGGATAATTCCCTAAACTAGTATTCTGTTGTGGCATGTTGTTAAAATTGGATTAATTTGTTTAATTTTGATTCATATTAGCAGGGGGCTACATTTGTTAATTATTTATATTTGGAGGCATAATTGTAGGATTATTATTTCCCCTAGGATTAAATTAAGTTTAATTATTATTTAGGCTATTACTCTACATTTATTATTATCCAACCAAATTCTAATTTGGAGGTACCATGTTATTTGGATTACCTATATTTGCAGGTAAGCCATTGCTTGCAGGATTTCCCATGGTTTATTATTAATTCATCCCAAATTGAACCTGAGGAGGCATTATCAAATTTTTAGGTAGCTACATACCAAACTACTAGTTTTAAGCAATATTATTGTTGTTGAATTATTAATTTTGAGTAGGAATATTATAGTTATTATTGATATTATTACTTTAATTATTAGGATTAACATTGCTCACCTCTTACTAGTTTGAAAATCTGTTTTAGTTAATGTTTTATTACATGGTCATATTATTAGGAAATCCCATTTGATTATTTCCATTTGGTTGATTCTGATTCATTGGTAATTACATGTTATTTTACATCCCAAATTAGTTTTACTGATTTCTGTTTTGGTTTTGGTTTTGAAGATTATTATTATTATTAAATCCCTAATTATTATTCTAGCCAAAGTTGTTAGGAGGTTAATTACCATTGAAGTTATTTTAAGGGGGCTAAACATTTGGTTAAGTAGGTTTCTAAAATTGAGATTAAAAGTTACCTTAGCCAAAAGGATTCATTTTTAAGCTTTCTTTTTATAACTTGATATGAAAATATTTTTAGTTAATAGTTTTGTGAACTTCTTTCTTTCCTAATATCTGAATGTTTTTCTTTATTATATTTAATTTATAAAAAATAAACAATATAGATTAGTTTTTGTTTTAACTAATTAGAATATTTAATTAAATATCCTCTTGTCTTCATAAAAATAAAAATCTTTTAATAAAAAAGGGGGAAAATCCATCCGTATCTAACTTATACCTCTGATTTTCATAATTTTATAAACGCTATTAACTTTAAAAAAAAAATATCTATTAATATACTATAAAAAATTTATTATAGATACATATTTCATAAAATTTTAAGATATTTGTCTAAAAATATTAATTAACACTTATTCAATCTATTTTTTAGAAATTATTGAATGTTATTTTATTTTATAAAATTTTGTTAAGATAGTGATTTTAAAGTAAAATCATCTTACAAACAAATATTTTTAATGTTTGAACAAAGGTAAATAAAAACCTTTAAAGTATTGTTTTTGTAAGCCCGTCTCAAAAAATTTATTAAGAGGAATAAAAAAGAAATCTAAAAAAAATTAAATTTCTAAAGTAGCTTTTTTCATATAAAAATAATGATTCATTTAATTTGAAAATAAGATAGTGATTGATTTCATATCAAATTAAATTTTAATTTATTTTAATATAAAATTATTATAGCAACTCCCTTAATAAATCAGATTTGTTGAACAAAACAATTTAGAATATAAATAATTTTTTAACATACATTTTAATTTCTATTAAATTTGTTTTCCATTCCTATTTATGAATCAATGCTAAATTAAGATTTTCTAATTATTTATTTGTTGCTTAATTTTTACCCATATTAGATATATCTTATTAGAATAAATGAAAAATTAATAAATATATAGCCAATTAAAATACCAAATTAATAAAAAATTTGTTTCATTCATTTTTTGTTATTCTTTAAGAAGAATATTTTATATATATATTTTACATACGAAAATAAGAAGCGAGATATCAATAATGCCATGCCTTTTATAAGTCTATAATTATACAAAAATTGTATTTAATCAAAATTTCAAAAATTAACAGTTTTTTAAAAATTTTGGTTCATAAATTAATTTATTATTAGGCAAGTAAGTAAATATAGAAATGAGTTAATAAAGCAGTACAAAAGTTCCATCATTAGTATTTAAAATGGAAGATCATAGCAAATAAAAACAAAAACCATAAAACTCAACTTTAGGTGGAAAACATGGGTAAATAAATAAATAAGAATTTTACTTATTGGTATTTAAGAAGAAAAATATTCGATTCTAAATATAAAATAGAGTAGTAAATTATAAAGACAGTGAAAAGAAACTAAGTTTATAAAGATAAATTTAAATAAAAGATGTTGATATTTTTTCTTTGAGATTTAGTTAAGATGATAAGCTTATAGCCGCTGGTAATTTATAATGGATTTTACAATATTTTATGTAGTTTTCGACTAGCACTAACATTTTAAAATCTCTTGTATTAATTAGGATGCGCAGATGGAAGCGTCAAAATTCTTAATGCAGAAAATGGTACAAAATTTTATTTTAAATTAGCTTAATTTAAATTTAATTTATAAAAATAATATTAATTTTAAACCTATTATTGCTTTAAAAATAGGTCAATAGCTAGGATCTTTATAGGGGTAAGTTAAAAGCATTTGTTTAACCATGTTGCAAAAATGATAAACACACTTAATTAAATAATAGAGCAATCCATATTCTCAATGCTCCAACAACAAGCGTCAGGTGGAAACCAAAACAGTAATAAAATGACCCATATTAGTTGCTATCTGTAAATTCAGATGGCTCTATTACTCACTGGGATGCTTTAGGATGTAAGTTTCTAAATTAGAATTTTATTATATAAAATAATTGTTTATTTTCTATATAACTAACTATATAGAGAAAGCAATCCATAGAATGATTGAAAATAAAGGACATAATATACTTTCATTAGATTATAATAATGATGGGTCTAAATTTGCAACAGCTGGAAAAGATTTTAGAGTTAGTTATTTTTATTTATATTTAATTATAATTTTATGAAAATATTATCTTATTGTTCCATAAAAGGTGAGAGTATACGATGATTAGACAAAGTAGTTATATATTGATTTTGAATAAGGAGATTGGAATATTCCTGGACACACAAATAGAATCTTTTCTTTAAAGTTCTTACAAGATTAGCCCGATATTCTTCTTAGCTGTGGATGGGATAGCAATATACATATTTGGGATTTAAGAGCAAAAAAGAGTGTTGCCCATTTTTATGGACCAAAAGTCAGTGGTGACAGCATAGATTACAAGAATAATTAAATACTTACTGGTTCTTATAGGAATGCTGATTAAATTTAGTTATGGGACTTCAACACAAGAAAACTTATAAAGAAGATAGATTGGGAACCTGGAATACAACTTGATAAAGCATATATTTATTCGATTTAGTTTAGGTAATATTGTAAATGTTTTTTAAATTAATTATTTAATATTTAACTGTAGTAAAAAAAATGATGAAACCATAACTGCAGCATGTAGTGGATTAAATGAAGTAAGAGTATTTGATTAAAAAGACAGAGTATGTGGCTGCATAAATGACATGAGTGATAGTATATACACTCTTGATTACTGCAATACCAAAGATGTTTTTGCATTTGCTGGAACTGAAAGCATTGTTTATTTAATGAATATAGAAAATGTATGATATTTATTCAAAATAATTCAAATCAAAAAATTCCATAAACATCTTCTCATGATAACCAATTAATCCTATATTTGATAGAGCTTTTCTAGCTTGAGAGTAATTAAAAAGAAAGAGATAAATTATCGAATTAAATTTTATTATAATTAATTAATTATTGGCATTTTATATTCCATTTTTCCAAATTAAAAAAAATTTATAGAGTATTTCAATTTTTAGGTTGTAAAATTTAATAAAATTAGCTTTATTTAAAATAGATTTTATACAAAATGTATTTTTATAATTTTATAGAAAATAAATAAATTTAATAGTATTTACTTTCAATAAAATAAGAAAATTGTTATGTTTTCTTATTTGTATAATTATTCAGTCTTTATTACACATTCATTTTAATTATTAGGTTTTTCAAGTTAAGTTTTATATATTAAATATTAAGAATAAGTTTCATTATATTTATCTCAGATATTTTATAAATAGCTAATATTCAAATACTTTTGTTGTTTAAGAGAAAAACAAAATTTTACAACAATTTCTGTAATTTTGACATTTTATTCCAGTGATAATTTTTTAAAACATTTAATTAGATTTTTGAAAATTTTAAATAATTTATTGTTAAGATATAGATTTTAAGAGATTTGTGAGTTATATATATTCTTTGGATGATATTTGTTTGTTTTTTTACTTATGAAATTTCAAATTTTGGTTTATTAATTAAACTGTAAAAGATAGAAGAGGATTTATAACATTTTAAAATATTGAAGTTATTGTTTTTAGTTATTAAATTAGTATTAATCAATTAATTAATTAATCAGCTGTTTATTTTTCAATCGATATGAGCGATTTAGAAGATATAGATGATTTTTATAATGAATCATTTGAAAATGATAAAAAAGTAAGGCCTCCTGCGGCTCCTCCAAAATAAAATGCAGTAGTCTCTTCAAATAATAAAAATAATAAAAACTCAAATTAACAAGATGATGAATATTTTGATGATTTTAATACAAAGCCATTAGATGAATCTATAAATGATGATCATGCAAAATAGAATAACCATGAAGAATATGATTCTTATGGAGATTAATAGAAGAATTAAAAAATTCCTATTATTCCAAAATAAAATTAGCAAAAACCTTAAGCTGAATAGCACTAACCAGTTGTTTAGGAACATAGAAAAAGCGAGTAACAAATATTATGATTTGCTTAATATTGAATATTTAAAATGATTTATTTCTATAGGCTTCCTTCATAAAATCAGTCCGCAAAAAAAAATGAAAATCAAATACCAACTACAAATTCAATTTAAAATTCAGTTATGACCAGCTAAAATAAGCAAACTTTGATTGAGAAAAATAAAAAGTTAAAATAAGATCTTAAAATGTTGGCTACTGAACTTGATAAAATATTAGTCAAAGAGAAAGAAAAAAGAGAACAAAGATACAGTCAGAAGGAGGAAGACGAAGAGCTAAAAGGTATAGTAATTAGAAAATAAGCACTTAAATAAATTTTAATTCTAAAAATAGATCGTAAACATAGAGTGTAAAAATAATTAGCTGAGATAAATAAATTGAAATAGAATATTACGAGGATAAAAAATCAATTATAAAATGTGTTTGAAAATAATAAGTAATTTAATTCTAAAAAATATAAATAATAATCTTTATTTTAGTGTAGTCTAAAAAGAAGATGAGTTGCTCTTTTTGAAGAAATAAATTGCTGAAGTTAAATCTGAGTATGATAGCTTGCAAAATATAAACGAAAAGTAGTAACAAGCTTTAAACGAATTAAAAGATAATGGACAGTATTCTTCTAATGTAAAAAATCATAACATATTATGATTCTACTACTATTAATAATTTTTTTATAAAGGTTGAAAAACTACGCTAAACTTTAGCCAAAGTCAAAGATGAATATAGAAAGTTGAATGATTAAGTATAAGATTAAGAAAAAGATTTAAGGAAATAACATGAAAACTTAGTAACAAAAGAAGATAATATCAGATAGCTAACAGAAAGAATAAATGAAAAAAAGAGATCTTAAAATAGTCATCAGTCTCAAGCTGGTGATGATGATGTAAATTAAATTAATAATTGGATAAATGTCTTTAAAGCAATTTATTTTTTTAAATAACAAAGGTTTATGAGAGAGACCTCCAAGATTTAGAGGAAAAAATTAAAGAACAAGAAAATAAAAAGAAGCAAATTGAAAAAAAATATTTGGAAAAGTAAAAATAAATTGAGAAAGAAAAGAGAGATCTTCAGCAAGAGCTTTCTAAGAAAATGACAATTTTAAAGAGCAAAGAAAAAGAAATAAAACTTAACTAAATCAAGCTTAAAGAAGTAGAAAAATATATAAGAAATATGAATGCAAAAGAGGGTAAAATTAAGAAATATTCAACAAAAATATTAAGGTTTTTATAATAAAAGATACTAAAAGTGTTGTTAGTGAAAGCCATATGGATATTATTAATAGAGACCATTCTAAAAATGTAACTTTTTTCTTTTAAATTAAGCCTATGATCTAAAGAATGATTAATTAAATATTTCTAAGGTAAAACAACTTAAACGCCCACCTATGCTGAATAAAAAACCAGGAGCTTCTGCTAACCCTAGAAAAGACGAAGGACAAATAAAGGTTGAGGATTAATAAAAGTAGTAGCCTTAAAAGAAATAGAATGAAGCTGATGATTAAGAAAGAGGTAGAAGAAAAGAAAGGACACCTGAAAGTAATTAAAAGTAATCTAATAAAAAGCAAAGGTAAAATATATTTGATATGAAGTATTTATTTATTTATTTATTTACTTTTGTTAGAGATTAATCCCCTGAATAGAATAACAACTAGTAACACAAATAAGAAAAATAATAAGATTATAAAAAACCTTCAGAATAAGAAGTAGATCTTGATGAATTAGAGTATGCAAACAACGACTTTGACGATTATAATAGCAGATAAAATACTGCTTAAGGGTAAAGAAAACCAGATTCAACAAAATAGATTAGTAATAATTAAATAAGTTAAAATCAAAATAAAAAAGATGATAGCTTTGATTTATAAAGTGAGTCCTAACCTTCAAAAAATAAATTTAAAGAGCTTGATGATGATAAGTAATTATTTTTAAATTAATAATCCATAAAAATAAATTTATTTTTATGATTTCAATAAAAAGTGCAAAGGATCAGGAAAATAATAATTAAATGAATTCAAAGGAAGAAAATATTGAAGAAAAAGTAGAAGAAAATGTATTTTCTAAGCCAGCTTTCATGCTAAAAAAGAAAAAATGAAGAAAATAGATTTATCATAGGCGATTATGGTTTTTAAAAAATTAGATTAAGAAAAAATAATAAAATATAAAAACAAACACATATCATATTTATTTCTTAAAAGAATAAAACGAAAAATTAAAGTTAAAATTATAGTATTATATTATTTAATAAGAAAGAACTAATTATGATACCAACATATTAATTAATCAATTTTATTTGTATTTATTCTTTAATATTATTTATAAATCTATCAATTAATTAATCAGTTAAAATCTATCACTTGTTAATTCACTTATTTTAATAGAGATGAAATATTACGTTATTCTTTAACGATAATATTTATTTTATATCATATTCCAATTATTTTATTTTATTTTATTTATTTAAAAATCATTAAAGTATTAAGTTATTACCTTATGTTTTCAATATTTTTTTGCTTTAAACAATCTAATATCAATTATTTAAATCACTAAATACATATTATCTTTACTTAAAATTGTAAGTAAACTTACTGTTTTCCAAAAATATTTTTTTAAGTTAAATATTTTTCATAGTTTTTTTCATTTTAAATAATTAAAAATTATTTTTCAATTAAATTTAAAGGAAGGAATTAAATAAAAAAGTAGTTAAATTTGGTTAAATATAAAATATAAATAGTATTTAAATGAATCAAACAATGATAATATTTACATAATTGATATAGAAATACTAATAAAAGTAATTATTTTGCAAATATTATTAAATTTTAATGGTGATTATAGTTAAGATAATTTAAATTGTTTATATAACTCAAATAATTATAAAAATATTTACTTTGTTAGTATAAAAGTCTTAATTAATATTTGATTGATTAATTTTATTAATTCTTATTTACTTAATGAATTACTTATATTTGTAGTTTCAAATTTATGTTTGTTTTTTTAATTATTTTTGCTTTTTTCTTGCAAATCGAAAATAAATTTGATTTATTTTTATTTATCAATATTAATTTTTAATACTTATTAAATTTATATTATAATTAATTAGCTGGATTTAGATAAATATTAAAATCCTGCTCTTTTTATATTAAAGTTTTTAATTATATGTTATTTTTTTTAATTTGGTCGCTTTGCAACAATATAATTTTGATAGATAGTTAGTTATGCTTTATTTTCAAAAAACTATCTATTAATTATGATTTTATTACTTATTTCATCTGTTATTGCTATTGATTTTTCTATCAAAAGATGAGAATTAATTCACTTTGTTTGATATTTCAGATATTTTTTAATCTAAAAGTCTCAACTTGTTGAATTGGGCGTGAATTTGATTTCCAGAATTAGTGTTACTGATTTATGAAGAGTTTGATGATTGGGGTTAATTATTTTAATTATTGTTGAAGTTATTGTTTCCGTTGTTTGTACTTGAATTCATATAAGAATAATTTTCATTATTTCCATAAATCTAGTTTTCTTTAAATTTCTTTCTTAATTATAATTCACCAGCTGCTGCTCTGTTACTTGGAGTAATGTTCAAAGATTTTCTAAAATCTTTATCTGAAAATTTATTGAAATCTCCATTGTAATGTTATGAAGAAGAAGCTGTTGCAGTTTTATTGCCTTAGTTTAATACAGATGAATATTCTAACTTATTACCATGAGAAGCATAATCAGCAGAGTTTAAAGCAGGTTGTTAAAAGTTTTTGCGTTCCTCAAGGATTGGTTTATTCTTTTTTTCTTAATTTCCAAAAAGCTTTATTTTATAATTATTAAATGCTATCATAACTACAGTGACATTGTCTAGTGATCTCTTATTGAGAGAATCACGGAGTATACTCTCTACAGCCACGCTGCATTATTTGTGAATATTTTCTGATATTTCTTCATTATTCCAAACACTTTGGATGACTTCTTTACTGGTCATTTTATCAAACACACCATCACCTATTTAGATAATAAATATATTTAAATTAATAATGATTTTTTTTCTAAAATGTATTTAATTTAATTTAATGATTTTCTAAAAATATTTAATTTACTAGCCAAAACAATAAAATCATGATCATCAGTAATCTTAAAAGACTTAATCTCTGGCTCTGAGATGACAACATTAGGATTCCCTCCTAGTTTCTCAACTTTCGCTTCAATGTCACCAAATGTTCTTGAAACCTTAATATTCAAATTAGCTTAAGAAATGTAAATATTTTAATATAATTTTTTACAGATAATCTTCCAGGGAAAACTCTGAGGGGTCCAACGACTAGTTAAGTCTATGCCTTTTAATCTCCAGTTCCTTGCTTAACTTAAGTAGCATGAGTTCTATATTTTATTAGATTAAATGTTATTTTATGTAATTTTAAACTTTTTTATTTTTTATTACTGATAAATTTTTCCTCCTCCTTGAATGATTCTCTTTTATTCTAACTCATCTGTTGGCTTATGATCACGAGAAAGAGTGTAAACTTTTTAACCAGACTCTCCAGATAGCACTGCTCTAGAATCTCCTACATTGGCAACATAACAGGTATCACCAACTATCAATATTACAATAGCACAAGAGCCACTGCGATCAATTTAATCTTCCTAAGCCTAAGCAAGGTCTAAGAATGCTTTTTCCGCAGCTGCAAAGCCATTTCTTAAGGCCTCTTTAGGATTCCAAGGGAAACTACTTTCTTTAATCACCTAAAATAAAATATAAAATCAATATTAAAATTCATTTGATTAATAAAAAAGAAAATTAATCAAAATAGATTTAATTAACTTAAAAAATTTGTAAACAAAAATATATTCAAACACATTTTAAATATGGCTAATTTTTGAAATTTTAAATAAATTAATTTACAAATTAGTGGAGATTATCACGAAGGAAATCAGCGCAGTTTACACCACCATGACCATCGTAAACTCCAAAGAATGAACACTTAGGCCACTGCTCATTAGCACGAGAAGCTGGTTTCATGATATTTAAAATAATAGAAACTCTATCTTCGTTATAATTTCTGACTAGACCTTAGTTTGTGTTTGCAGCATACTATTTTTTTAATGTTAAAGATATTTTTAATTAAGTTATTAATTCAAATTTGAATTTGATTATAAATTAATAAACTCAATAAAAAGCTTTGTTACTTGTTTTGAGTGTAAAAAAAATTTTTTAAACTCCTCAATTAATTAATTAAAAATTGTAAACTTAAATCTTATTAAAGACTTTAACTTTAACAATAAAATAAATAAATAATCAATCGTATAATTAATTACTGCTTTAACAATTCCGTTTCTTTTGAAAGAACACTTAGTGGGCTCGTGGTTAGGGAGAGGTTCAGTTTTTCCTATAAGTGGTTCATTTACATTCTATGTTAGTTAAGCTTTTAACATCTACTTTTAATCCATAGCAGCTTAATTTTACTGTTAAATTTAAGTTGAATTTTGATTTGTAGAAACCTAAGAAGAGTTTTAAAGTGGAACTTGCTTCTTAATTTAGTTGTTTTATATTTGCTGTTATTGTTATTATGATTATTGTGTTAAAGGGTTGATGTTTTCGTTATTTTGACTATTCTTTTATTGGTTTTACAATTACTGTTGTTACTGATAAGGTTAATTTGGTTATTACTAAGCAAATTGTTAATTTTATTAAGATTAAATAACTCTCTATATTTCATGTCCTTATATGCTTTTAGAGAGTCTTTTTTATTCTTCCTGCTATTTATATGAAGCAAATCCTTCTTTCAGATTTATAGAAGCTCCAACTTACTTTTTGAATTAGTTATTACTGTTTTGTCCATTCATAAAAGAGTTATTTCCTTATGATTATGACACCTATTACTATTATCCATTCATGCTGCTTGGCTACATATAATTGTTTTATTTAGCTTTAATTGAGGGTGATTCATCCCTAATATTTTATTACTAATTATTTCCGTTATTGTTTGAGTTTCTTTAAAGGTTATTTGATAAATGATTGTGGTTTGAGTTATAGTTTGCTTATTAGTTATTTTCAGATCCATGAGCAGCAAAGTGCTGATTTGTTAAATTATGGCGCTAATAAGATGTATTTAGTGTTGGGATATTTCCTGTTTAGGTAGAAGATGATGGTTACTGTTATTATTATAGTTGCATTTAATTGTGAGTAGACTAAAATTCTAAGGAAGCCTTTTCATTGAATTTGGTAGTCATCAATCCATTTAAAGAAGAAATCAAAGAATGTTTTGTGCCGAACATAGGAGCAGATGAATTTGTAGCAGAGTAAGAAGTAAAGTTATTAGCGCTATAAGGACGAGTTTCTCCTGAAGTATCTATAGAGAGTTTGTTTATGTTAGAATTTAAAGTATTGCCTGAGCTTCCATTTATATTTTGGAAGTGATTACTGTTATTGTTGCTGTTGGCAGTAGAAGTATTTTGCTAGAAGTTACGAGTAAAATTCATAGAGTTTTATAAATTATCACCTTGCTTGCCAGTAATTTTAGTTTATTACTTTTGAGAGTTATTTCTTGCATTTGAATTGCCGCTACTTGTATTCAAAAGTATTTATTAGGTATTTGAATAGTTTTCAGATTTATTTTAGTCTTTATTTAAACTACTTGAAGCGTTTCCAAATTATCTAGAGAATTGTTGCTCATATGAAGAACTGCTGCTATTGGTATTTCCATTTTATTAATGATTTCCATGTGATTAGTTCTAATTTTACATAGCTACTTATTGATATCTATGCTAATGTTAGAAGTGCTAAGCACCAAAGTTATTTCCTTAAGCTTAGTTTATATTCTATCCAAAAACACCTTAGGTAGTAGAAGAAGCTTCAGGAGTCATGGATTATATAAAGTTTACACCTCCTTTTGATATGCGGAGAGGATTATAACTTGAGCGTACTGACTCGCTTTCTATGTGGAGCTTTTATGATTAATTATAAAAATTACTGCTATTGCTTTGCAAAGACAAAGAAGGTGCTCCTAATCCTCCATTATAAGAAGTAGTTGTATGAGGAGGATATCCAGCTGAAAGCGGAATCGTGTTCCCAATTAAGTTATTGGAAGTCTCTATATTGGTCAACCCAGGTCTATTTCTTTACATTTTTTTATTGAATAGCTTTATTTTTTTGGATTAAAATGGGTTTATGTTAGAGATGCTAATTAGCTTTCTTCTTTCTCTCTTTCTTTTATTATATTAAATGTTACTAGTTCTTCAACTGTTTTTAATAATATAAATAATATCAATTAATTAATGTTTTTGTTTAATTCTTTTGCTTATAGATTTTTTATTTCTTTTTGAATTATTTCTTTTCGTTTGTAATTCGTTTAAGATTGCTTCTTTATCAAAAAAAAAGCAGTGTCAAATCAAATCAAATTTGATTTTTTTTTTTTTTCTGTGTTTTAATTACTGCTTAGGATCTTTATTATATCTCCTTGAAAATTAAATAACAATTCTATTTATTTATTAATCAAGTATTTCGTTGATAATTATCATTGATTGTCTATGAAGAAAAAGAAAATTTTAAATAATTGCTTGCTTTGTTAATTTCAATTTGATTAAAATGCAGTAAATTTTGAAGTATAGCTATCTTTATTTATTCCCAACTGAATTAAGATTATTTTGATTAAAGATATATTCAGTAGTGTAAAAAATTCAAAAAATTAACAGATATTTAAAAAAAACCTTTAATATTTGTTTGCTTGTTTGTTCCCTTTCTTTATTTTCAAAAATTAGCATTTATTTATTCAAAAAAAATTAATTAGAAATAAAAAGTTAAAAGTATTTGAAGCATCACTTCAAAAATTGATCCATATTATTTAATATTAGAAAAATTGGAAAAAAAATGCATATTTATTTTAACTAATAATGAAGTAAAGTTAAAATTTCAATTTTTTCAAATAAAATTTAAAAAAATAAATAAAAGTTAAAAGCAGTAAATATGTATGAGAAAATACAATCAACCAATCATTGATTACTTCCTTTAATTTTGAAATTTGAAAATTTATTAGAAATAAAATATTTTTTAACAACTTTTAAAACAAATAAATACAACACTGATAAAAATAATTTTAAACAATAAAAATTTTATATTTTGAAATTGAATTTAAACAAAAAAATAATTTTCTTTCTCCAAATTTATATATTTTATTTTTATTAATTATTTATCTATTTTTAATTGGCATTTCAAATAATTTACAATTTTGTTTTATTATTAATAAAAATTTCAAATGGTTTTTTTGTGCAGATTTAATATGAATTCTTAGTTTATTCTTTATTCTTTATTTTAAACTAAAGATTGAATTGATTCTACTTATTATTAATTACTTGATAAGTTTATTTAACATACTATTTGATGAGTATTTTTTAATAATTAGAAAGCTTATTATTCTAATATTTTTTTTTAGCTTTTTAAATTTTACAAATATTTATGTAAAATTTATTTGTTGAATATTTAGGTAAAGGTTAAATAAATTACTGCTTTTTAATTTCAAAAATAATAACTTGTATTTATTTATGTTTCTTACTTTTTAGTCTAAATCAAAAATCTATCATCTATTTAGAGTTTTTTCTTTGATTAAATGTTTTTCCTGTAAAAATAGATTTTTGAGACTACTTTTTTGGTTATTCTGACATGACACTGTCTTATATAATTTTAGTTTTTATTGAATCTTGTTATATACTTAATTTTGTAGGAGATTATTCTAGAGTTATTAAAGGAATCTGATTTGAATTCTCCTTAAGACTGGGTTTAGCCTATATTCCAGAAAATTGTAGCTATTGGTTTGACCAAAGAATTTCTTTCTACTTATCTAAACTACTATTTTATATATTTACAAAATTTTTAGGCACTGGCTAAGGGCTTAGAGCTTCTTCGTTGTACACATTAGAGTGCATTCTTTTCTTTAGCTTGTTCTTACTCTTCCCATAAAACTATGTATTTGTTTTACCCTAGGGAAAGTTGTACATTTACACCTATGCTGTATCGTCAATATTATCATCATTACCATCTCTATTTTATTTTTTATTAGTTTAGGCTTTCTTCTTTTTTATCAGGTACCCAAGAATAAAATTTTCTAATATTTTTTTTCCTTTTTCCATACTTTGTTAGTTCTCTAATTCCCTTTTTTTAGGGTCAATTTTCTTTTTAATAATTCCTTTTTTCTCTAGATAGTTGCTATCTAGTTCTGTAGGTAAAAAGTGAGAGCCTTCAAATGCTATTACTCTTCCTTTTTCTTCATCAGTTGTAAAGTTTTTGGTCTTCAAAATTATGGCTTTATTATAAGTTATATCTGCTATATCCATTCTTTTTAATGGCATAGAGTATTTATTTTCTTATTTATATTCACTAGTTCCTAATTTATTAGAGATTTCATCCAATCTATAAGGACTTTAGCCTTTTATATCACCATCCTAATATTACATACTTACATTAGTCCTGCTAGTCATTTGAGCATAATTTCCAATTTAGTTATAATTTGTTTGGCTTGGAGTTCTCTTACTATTTGTTCCATCATAATACTATATTGATTTGAGCTCAGTAGGAGACTGCATAGCTGATCCAAAACCATATTTATATTGTGTTTTTCCTGATGTACTACTTGGATTGAACCTTTTAGTAAAGGGAGATGGATGACGAAAGCGTATATCTATTGTGCTGTGTTCTTTATAATTAATTTCTGGCAATATCAATTCCTTCTAATGAGGATATTAATTTTAAATATATGGTGAATTTCCTCTTGAAAGATTTGTATTTTAAAAATTATCTTTTCCCCCACTTTTAAACATTTAGCCTATTTTAACTAAATTATTATCATTCTGCACACTTTAACTTCTGATGTTTCTTGGTATTATTTCGTTCTTTAATTTAAGTTGGTTGCTTAAATATTAATTGGAAGTTTAATTGCTCATTGAAGTACTTGTATTATGTCTAGTTTCCACTTCTTCATTGTTTCCAAGAGAGCTTTTCACTCCACTTTTTCTGTAGAATCCATAATCAGTATCAATTTTTTATCTTGTATAGGATAAATCTTTTTATTGCAAGTACTAATCTACCTTTTTTAAGTACCTATTTGAGGTAGGAGTATTCATTTGAGTGCTTTGAGGTATGTTTCTAGTTGAGTTTTATTCTAAATTATTGATTTAAGTAAGCTCAAATGTTTTTTAAGGCTCACTAAAGCTAATATTTTGTGTATTCAATACTTCTTTAGAAAGAGGAGAACTGCTCCTTTCATTTTTTGGACTGACTTATTTCTTGTTGCTCATAGTTAATCTAAGTAATTTAGCTTCACATGAGTATTTCGGAGGAGCACCCATATATTCTACAAATTATTATTTGACTTTTTATATTTAAGCTATATTTTCTTTTCTCCATTCATTTTTTAGTTGAAAAGCATTTTCTAGCTCTTTCCAATCTTCATCTTTAAATTACTAAGATAAAACTCTAAAGAAATCTTTTTTTGATATCTAGAAATACTCTCCAACCGCAGTATCACATAATACAGTGAAAATTCTTTTATCATAATTCTTAAAAATCTCTTCATCTCCAAAGCACTGTCCTTCCTCTAAGAGGGCAATCTTTTATTAAAAGCAATTAAAAACATAAAACAAATAATCAATTTAATAAAAAATATAAAATGTTAATCATTTTAGTTTACCTCAGAATATTTTTTAGACTAAGCTATTTTAAAATTATTAACGTCTAAATCCTCAAAATTATAATTTTAGTTAGTGCTTTTTTATATTTTAAATCTACCAGATTTTATTATGTAAATTCCATCAGCTTCATCTCCTTCGCTGTAAATAATATTATTGCAAAAACTCTTTTTGAGATGAAAGTTTTAACTAAGAGCCTTTAATTATCGAGGATTTAAATGATAGTTAAATATGCAAGAGCTTTGAATCAAATTGACTTTATTGATTTCTTATTTTATTTCCATAGATATTTTGAATCCAAGATAATGATCTCTTCTCAATACTGCACATTCTAACATCTAATCTAAATTGCTTACAGAATATGAGCAGTATTTGGTTTCATCATAATTGCTTCCTTTCAAAATTTCACGACAAAAGCTATCACCTTTTGATAGCATCTTTTTTAACAAACATATTTTTCTTATTCCAAAAGTTCCATCTCTCTTTTCATACTCAATAACATCATATTTTTTAACACACGCTTTCCCATCTAATATGAAATACATTTATTTTTCTACTTAACCTATTTAAAATATTAGATGAATTATTGTTATAATTTTTATATAACTTTCATAATAAACTCCACCTTATTTGCAAACTAATTCGTTTCTTGAATATTTTTTGTATGTTATATGTGAAATTACTTACAAGAATGTTTGCTCATCAAATTTATTTGAAAGCTTTTATATGAAATCTAAGTCCTTAAAGTAAAAGAGTAAAACAGTCACATCATCATTTTCTCTGTTAGCTATCGCCTTCTTCAATATCCTTTAAACTAGCTTTTATTTTTTATTTCAACACTTTTTATAATATCACTAAATTTTTAATTATACTTTTGAGACTTCATGCATATCCATTTTCTGCATATGCTTAAGCTGAGCCTTATCAATCTCAAAAATCTTTTTATTAAGATAAATTTAGGGATTAAATTTCCCCCTTTTCCTTCCCAAAACTTCGTAATCCTAATGATCCATAAGCCTTAAACCTAAGGGAAGATTTTTGTTTGTGATTAGTCTTAAAAAAGCTTGCTAAATTAATTAAGTCTATACTATTAAGAAAAATAAATATTCATAAAATTAATTAAGAATATTTACCAACTCTAAATAACAATTGAACAAAATAATGACCATCAATTCTTTTTTGTGAAATAACCAAAATTTTAATTTAATGTTCAATAAAATATAACAAAATCTTTTACTTATATAAAATATTTAAAAAAGCAAGCAAATTTTATAATTTTTCAAAGAATTTTAGTCTTTTATTTAAAAAAAATTTAATACTTTTTTAAACTAAAGCAAAATACTTTATTTACAAAATTATTTGAGATAAACATAAAATATTAATTAAATTCTAAAATTAAAATAAATTATTCACCCCCTTCTAAGGGAGAAGATGAAATTTGTTTATTTATTTTATAAATCTAAGATTAATAGAGGTAAAATTATATGACATTGTTTTAATTTTTTAGTTTGTTAATTAAAATTATAGCTATTTAGGCTATTCAGTTAATTCAGGTTATTTATTAAAATTAAATTTTACTTAAAAATATTTCAAAAAAATTTATTTAATAAAAAATAAATAAACTTATAAAAATGTAATAATATAGTGATATAATATCTAATAAAAATGTAATAATATAGTGATATATAATTAAATAAACTTTTAGTTCATTTTATTTCCTATAGATAACTTGATTCTTAAATACTTTGAATTGATATAAATGTAGTATTAAATTAAAAAACTATTACATATTCCTATTCTTCTTCAGTAAATTTAAATAGTTCTTTTAAGGTTTTAATATACCTTTTTTGAGGATAATCATAAAAATCTATAAAATTATTTTCTAAGTCAATTCTCATTTCTATTTCCATTCCTTTTTGACAATATTTATTTAGTTTATCATCCTCAGTATATTTACTAGGTTTATAATAAATTTAAGGATTTCCTTATTACCATTGATCATATTCTTCTTCTTCCTCCTCCTCCATATCATTACTATCACTATCTTCATATTCACTTTGATCTTCATCTTCTTCATAATAAAAGTTCATAAAATTTTTTTAGTGATTATTTGAACTTAAAAAATAACTTTCAACATTTTTTTTTTCCATTAGTCCAACGCATAATTAGAATGGCTGGTTTTATTCAAACCTAAATCTCATAATATATTTCTTATCTTTTAATAGAGGATAGTCTATATAATATAGCTTAAAGAATCAAACTAATTTGAATTAATTTCTAATTATCCTTACTTGTTTGATTTAATTTCTATCTTTTGATTGAAATTATCAATAGAATATGAAAGAAAAGTACACAATTTTATTTTCAGTTAAGTTAAATCAATGTCATATGTACCTAGTAATGATTTTGCTATATTTTTATTTGCTTACATGTTTAAATCTTCTAAATCTTAAATTTTCTAAGAAAAATATTTGTATTTTTCTATTCCATTATTCCATATGAACTTATTACTTCTAAAAATTAAATTTTACTTGACTTTATTTAATTGTTATTAAATATTTTCACTATCACATAAACTCAATGAATTTACAATTGCATTTTATAGTTCTGTTTATAAATCTTAACGAGAAGCATTAGAATCTATTTCATTCTAAATTTTCTATTTTAATAAGTTTAGTTTCTACTTAGAATTTTAAATATCTACCAAAGCTAATTTTAAGCTATCAATACCTGTTTTTTATTCATTCTTTTTATTATTATTAGCTTCTTAATTTATAAATTTAGCTAATTTGATAAAAAACTCTTCTACATCAATTTCTGATTTTTCTTAGCTATTTTAATGTTCTTTGGTATGGCATTTACTGCATATCAATTACATGAGCTTTCTAAAACCGCAATTATTATTTATACATACTCTATCAGCTCTTCTTTTTTTGCAATTTGCACAATATGGAGGATTAAATTTTTTCATTAAATCTTATACATTATTTGAAATATTTTGATTTTCTATGTTCAACATTATTGCTTTTTATACTGATTAAAATTTTTTTGTGTTTAATTAGCCTTTAATATTTATTTCTATTTCATCTTTTGAATCAAGATTTGTTGATTAAGGTAATATAGTACTCGATTATACATTTTAAGATTTAAACAACTTTTTTTAAATGTTTTCTTCAGGAATTTCTTCCTCAATAAAATTGATGTCTTCTATGTTAGAAAACTTTCTTGCTAATCTTTTATTCATATTGAGTTTTTTATTTTATTTTTAAAATTAATTATTCTTTATTAAATAAGTAACAAATCTTTACCATATAAAAAGGATATTTCTGATATATTATATGTTTATTTCCTCCACTTATTATTTATTTAAAATAGCTTCTTCTTATTTGATCTTTAACTTAAAGATAATTCTTTAATAATAATTTGTTTGATTAATTAGAAATATAAAAAAGCTTTGAAAAATGATCTTAAATTTAAAAATAATTGAAAATTTTATCATACTTACATATGCTGCAATAGATAAATTTGCAATAATAATTTTAATGCCAAAAATATTTATTATTTGAAAAAAATAAAATATTTAAATTCAGATTAAAAATTCTTAGAAATAAGTGGAATTGGAATTGCAGGAACATAATATGTTTAAATTAATTATTAAATGCTTCTCTTTAAAAAATTTTAGATTCTATGAAATGAAAAAATATTATTAGATATTATTATCTTTCTTACAAATTACTTAAAAGATAGAGATAGATCTTGAAAAATTATTAAATAAATTAACGAACAGAAATTTAAGACTTAAAAAAAATATCAATATTTGAATAATTAATTTAATCAAAGTAAAGGGTTTTACATTTAAGGTTAATGCATTTAATTTGCTTTAGCTTCTCTATTTCTTTTACCTTTAAATATATTTAATGTTTTATTTTAGAATTTAGATGCCTATTTTGCATTAAAAATCTAAACTGCCAATACTTCAGGGTTCCAGTTTAGAGGACGTTCTATTTATCTCATTTCAGGCAAATTATCACCTTATTTTGGATTTATATAAACTTAAAGATCTAAAGGACTTTCTTTACCTAAACAGCAAGACTATATAACTGGTGTAACACCTATGTAAAATTAAATATGGATCAACTGTCCTTTTATTGATGTAGGATAATTATCAGGAATATCGATTCTCACAACTTACTTACACTTTTTATTTTCTACTTTAGCTTCATAAGAAACTGATTGCATAGTAAAATATTTATTCCTAATTGGATCACTAGTGCTTTTAATATTTAAATTACCATACAATGAAATATCAACTGAGCTGACCTTTTCTTTAAATTTACTAAAATCACAGTCTATAGTTGCATAAATAGTTTAACCTGGAGTATAGTAGCGTTAATCTAGAGAAAGCTTTTAGTGATAGCTTCCAGTTGAGCAGCAACAATAAATAGGTTCGCTTGTAAATTAATTATTTGGTAGTTCTTATTTTTTATCTTTTTTTTCTTATTATCTAATAGAGATTTCTTATGATCCTTAAATCTTTTCACCATTTGAAGATGATGGAATAATAAAAGCTTTTAGCGTATATTTGAGTGAACAATAATTTGACTCATCATCTTAAAATTTAAAAGAAGAAGGTAAACCTGCTGATGTTTATATTTAAAACGGAATCTACCATTGCCCTGGCATCAACATAAAATTGTCATCGTTCATTCCGTTAGAGAAATCATAGAGAGGAACAGCTAAATTTAAAAATACTTTAGAGCCTTCTCCTACATGTTTCTCAATTTTATCGTAGGTTTATCTATATGTTCCATTCTTTACTATTTATACAGCATAAGTAAAATGTGTTTCTTCTATTCCTTCTAAGCAAATTGTAAGTATGTTTCCTTAAAACTACTATAAAACAGAAATGTGTAGAGTTCCTTCTATGAGCTCTCCGCTAGCATAGTTTACTTTTGGAATTTATATAAAAATTACTCCATTTTATGAGTCTTAATTTTCTTTTTAATTTGCTTGGTTATTTCCCATTCTGAAAGTTATTTATTTTTAAAAATATTCAACTAAATTAGAAATTAATGAGACAAAAATGCATTTCTTTTTTAAAGAAATCTATCTATATATGCAAAGTTCGCAATTTTGCTCGAATTTTAATTAATTTCTTAACCATTAAATAAGCTTAAGTTTCTATAAAACTTAAAGAAATAAAAGTAATCGGATATGTGTTGAATGTTAAAGTAATATTTAATAAAAATGAATATTTTTCAGTTTTAATTAAATATCATGTCATTAAATAAGTTGTATTCTTTACTTAAAAAAAAACAAAATAAAATTGTAAAGTAAATAATTTATCATATCTTAAATCATAACCTTTGTTTAGTTTTTCAAATTTTATTTTGCACTATTTATGACTATTTTTGATAATTTTGTGAAATTTTTTGAAAAAATATTTTTTTTTTTAAATTAAAGTTGAATTATAAAATATGGTTTAAAAATCAGTATTTTTCTTCTGAATATGAATTGTATCAACTAATACACTGCTTTTATCTTAAATCTAAAATCTGTTTACAAAAAATAAAATTATTTTTAACTATTATTCTTTATTTATTTAAGCTCATTCAACATCTCTGTTTTTAAAAAATAAAAATACCAATTTAATTATTTATTTATTCATTCGATTCGAACTATCAAATAATTTTTTGTTTGTTTTTTAAATTTAATAATTTTAAAGGAAAATTTAAATTTTTTGATTAATAGAATTTTAAATAGAAAATTAATAATTCATTTCTATTTGATATATCTAAAAATAGCATACTATTTCATATTATATTGTTTTTGTTCTAGTAAAGTGTTTTTTTTTTTTTTACAGAATAAATAATATAATATAATAAATACTATAAAATAAGTATTATAATAAGTAGCTTAAATAATGATTGCGTTTTTAATCAAACTAAGGGATTATTCATTCTAGGTTCTTCCATAGTTTTTTAATTTTTAATATTACTTTGATCTTATGAAAAGAATTAAATAGAAATCTTCTAAAAGTCGATGGCTTATTAGCTATCAAATATCTATCTTTAAAGGACTTCTGGCTACCAATTTTAAGGGAGCTATTATTAATTATTAAATGAATCGTTGTAATCTTCATTACTGTTAATTTATATGTTAAAATTTAGAGGATCACTTGGCTCAACAAAGCATGTGCTTGTAATTGCCTTAGCATTAACACTAAATTAAAGTTCTATCAGTTCACTTAATATAGATGAAGGAGAATTCTTAGGTATGCTAATATTAATAGTTTGTTAACATTTTTTGTTTTCCACTTTTATTTCGTATTAAATGGAGTATAAATTAAAATATTTCTTTATTTATTGAGGAGTTTTTGATTTTATACACAAACGGCCATCAAGGGACACATCTATGTAATCCACCTTTGAAGTGAATTTAGTAAAGTCTCCTAATAAAACAAGTTATATAGTTTCTCCACCTATAAAATTTACAGCATTAATATTTGCTTGCAGAGTATAGCTACCAGTTTTGAAACAACACTAGCGAGGGCTTCTTTCATATTCATTTTCAAGAAACTCATCATCAGTCAATAAGGAAGATTACCTTAAACATATTTCTTAAGATCCCTAAATTGGTTAATCGCATTGGTTAGTTGGAAAAATGTAGGCATTTAATGTATATCTGATAAAGCAGTAGTTTTCTTCATCGTTCTTAAAGTGTAAAGAGGAAGGTAATTCTGAAGTAGTATTCAGTTTAAAAGGAATAGACCAATTTCCTGGCTTTAACACAAATTCTTTAGTTTTATCACCATTGGAAAAATCATAGAGAGGTATTGTTAAATTGAGGAATACATTAGACCCTGTGAATGGACTTATGACTGATTACTTGCTAGCTTATTTCCTTTTTTAATTACTTACATCAGTAAAGGAAGTCTCCTCAATACCTAACAGATTTATAGCCAAGAAAGAACCTTTAAACTCTTTCATTAAAGATATATGCAATATTCCTTCTATATCATCACCTCCGGTGTAAAATAACTTAGGAATTTCTATATAAATAAGCCCTCGTTAATCTTATTAATTAATTTCTGGATTAAATTAATTTTTGCTCATAAATTATTCACTTGAATTTAATAATTGATTAATAATATTAAATATCTTTCCTTCTCTCTCACTAATTTGATAAATTTATTAAATTTTTTTGTTAAAATAATAATTATGTTCAAAAAAATTGATTCTAATCCTTTAAATAAAACAAATGAATATAACCAATTTATATAGAGTTTATGTTATTAGTAAGAGTTGATATCTACTTAGCAAAGCAATAACAAAAAACAAAAAATCCATTGGTATATAACATAGGCTAAGAAAAAAAGAGTAAATTAAGAAATCTTATGCAAAAAATAATTATGTTTTATAGATACTTTTAAAAAAATCACTTCAAGTAAGCATTCTTACAATTTATCTAGGGAATTTACTTGAATGATTGTTTGATAGCTAGTGAGTAAATAGCACTTTAAATTAATTTGATGAAAAAAAAATTTATTAATGTTTGTTTCATTTACAATTTGAGTTTACTTTTTTTAATTAATTATTCTAAAACAAATTGTGAATTATTTATTTATAATTAATCTTATATAAAATTTAAGGTAGCAAGAATATTTTGAATAATTTAAAATTATTGTAGTAGATTTTTTTTTAATTTTTTGTATTTTTTTATTTATTAAAAAATATTGTTAAATCAAATAATAAATATAAAAATTATTTTTTGAGGAAAATCAATGTTTTATTTACAAATAAGTAAGTAATTATGAAATTATTTTATTTTAAAGTTTGTATTTAAATAGAATATTTATTAAAAAGCGTATTTATCTATTAGTTGATAGGTATTTTTTAAGTTATATATATAAATAAATTTATTATTTAAATTTAAAAAGACATTACTGTAGAATTTTTTAAATCTTATTTTATGTTTTGTTTGAATTATACAGAACATTTTAGTAAAAAAACTTCATTTGAAATAATTTTATTATTTATTGAGTTTACACACATACATTTAGCTATGCAAAAATAATAATATATTTTTAAAAATTTATAGTATTATAAATGAAATAATAAAAATTAAATAGAATTTAATATTTTAATTTTTTGAAAATATTTGCTTTTAAAGATAAGAGTGAAAGTACTACACTCAAATATATATTAAAAATGATTAGAATGAATTTAGAATTATAATAGACTATTAAATTTTGTATTATGCTTTGAATATAGAAATATCAAAAGATACTTATTAAGGGTGCTATTAAAAATTAAATATATATTTTACGCGTAATGGAAATTAAAAATAAATCAAAAATATAGCTGTTAAAATTTTTAATTAAGATAAAAAATTATTAATAAAAATTTAGATTTTGATAAAAATTAAATTAAGATTCTGAAAAAGGGTCTATATAAAATAAGAAAGTCCTTTTAGTTGGGCTTTTTTATTTTAAAGTAGCTAGTTAAAAAAATAGGAAGTATTTCATAACAAAGAAATGTAGTTTGGAAAAAAGAAATGCTTAGTAATTAATCCTATCGGCTTGATTTAAGTTATTTGGAACTTCTCTTTGCTAAACTTAGCTATTGATGTAAATAGATATGACTCATTAATTTTAAGCAAAATATAATCTAATAAATTTGAGATGAAACAAAGAATTTCTACTTTCCTTTCCTACTTTTGTTATTATATCTATTTTATAATTACAGAGTCAAGCGAGGTTTTTATTGTTACTTATATCATTTATTTCTAATTTATGAATCATAATTTCGATAAGTGATATATTAATTAATGGAGATATATTTAAACTAAAGGAACAAAAAACATTGGATGAACTTTTGCTTTTTATTATCAAAATAAAAGATATTTGTCTAATACTGTTCCTAATGTTTAGCTTAAATAATCTAACAATGTTTAAAAAGTTTCAAGTCAAAATTTATGTATAATTCCTTTAATAATGGGAATATCACTTCTTTGAATCAAGGTTGAGTTTTCAAAAATTAAATATTAGTAAATGTTGCTTTTTATTTAAAACAATTGAAAACTCCATTGATCTGGGTTCTCTCTCTAATTAATTATTCTAAAAGGGCTTAATAAGAAGATACTTTATAGGTTTTATTCTAATTACTAATTGATCTCATGTTTATATAGTTTTAAGAGTATCCAACTTTATACTTTAAAAAGTTAGTAATAAATAAAACCAGGGTACAGGTGATTTAAAATTAGTTTTTAGGTTTAAAAATCATTTTATTTTCAACATTACGCTTTGTTTTGCTGTAAACAATATAGGCTCAGTAGCTGAAGGCTTCCTCTAAATATTATTTATAAAAATCATATAAGAATTAAGAGTCTATTAAAAATATAATGATAAGAATTATATTTTTATAAAGTGGTTTTAAAGGAGTAAATACTTTAGGAAGTGAGAATAATATTTAATTATGAAAGAAATAGCAAGTAGTTTTTTTAGAATTAATGTTTTGATAAAAAAAATCTTTTAATTTTGTCAAAATATTCTTTTTTTAAAAATTACTAGCTATCTCTAATTAATTATATCTATTTTCAAATTCTAAATTATTTGCTTCTTTAAAAAATAGTAAACTTTCCTACATTTGCTAATATTTACTTGTAAAATTTATTAATTCATATCTTGTAAAAAAATTAATCACTATAAAGTTGTCTTTAATTTATAGATTTCATTTACATTATTTCTTGATTTTAATATAAATTAATTAACATTTCTCTTAATGTTTTTCTATCTTAATTATTATTTTTTACATACAGCAAAATTCGAATATGGGCAGGTATTGAAGCTTATATGGAATTTTAAATTATATTTAATATAGTTTTGATTCATTATGCTTACTTCTTTTACAAACAATGATTTAAATAATACTCAAATTTTATTAATTTTTATTTATTTAAAAACATTAAAATATTTCATTTTTAGTTAATTAGTTTTCACAAAATTATTTTATAATTTTTATAAATATATTTTTTAATTTCAATTAATAAAATTAATAAAAATAAATTATAAATATTTAGAAATAAATATAAATAATTTAAATAAAACTAATGATATGCTTTTTTTACATAAAAAATATTTTAATATATAAAAAAAAAACTTTAATAAAACCTAGCTTTTTTTGTGAATTTTTATATTTAACTTTATTTATTTAATGAGGAGGATAATACAAATTTATTTTATTTATGTTAAAATTCATACTAGAATTTATATTTTAAATTTAGTAGATTTGTACTCAAACAAGCAATCATCCAAAATAAAATAGATAATAATAAACAAAAACACCTATTAAAAATCATCCTAAAGAAATAAACAAAGATGATAAAGAAAACTAAACAAAAAGAATGTTTTAATAAATGTCTTAATAAAATCTTATGAAAAATCCACCAGAGAAATCTTAAGCTAAATATCTTTTCAATAGATCCTATTTACGCTTATTAGAAGATTAAATTAAGATTATGGAAATCCCTATATTTGTTTATTAATATATATTAAATTATACTCAATTGTCTTAATAAATTACATAGTTTGTTATGCATGAACAAATTATTAACTTTTTAATATTTTTTTGAGAAAAATAAAACAAATACTCAATAAATAATTAACTATAAAAAGCATTATGAACATATTTAGCTTCATTTACGTTTTTGTATTTTTTTTGCAAATTAGTGCAAAAGCAGAGCAATAAATTAATGAACATAATATAAAAAAGAGCTGCGATGATATTATCATTTAAAATTTGTAGAAATAGCAAATTTAGTTCTCTATTGTTGACTAAGAAATTTAAGTAGACATCCACAATCAAAAAGAGTTTGATTTACATATCAAAAATTGTATAGCCAATAAAACTTTGACATTTAACCAAATTTCAGAATAGAAGCTCAAAAATATAACAATTTAGAATGCTGTAAGTACAAATAATAGTTTAATAAGGTTTAAGGGTTTAAGTTAAATTGAAATAGATTATTTTAAGGTAGAAAACTGTACAATTTATGCAGATTATCTTATAATAGAAATAAGCACTATTCAAAATCTGTTTATTAATTAGTTGTTTGTTATCAATTCTTATTAAATTAACTTAAGCAGTAATTTGATTGCCATAAACAATTTAGATATTTAAGATTATCAATTCCATGCATACAGTTTGTTTATATTAGCTAATGATTAAGTTGATATCAAAAATATTAAAATTTAAAGCCTTGCATAATTAAAAATACATTCTTCTAATAAAATTAGCATTGAAAAATTTTCTTTAATTACCAGATACATACTAATAATGGATTTCTACAGCGAAATAATATTTGTTAAAAACCTTTATGCATAGATACCTTACTTATAATTTATAAAAAATTAAGATCAAAAGGCAATAAATAAATAATTTGAAATTTAAAATATTTTTATTTTGGAAAATTACAAGAAAAATGATTAAATCTAAATTTATCTTGACCAATTTACTCAAAACTTGAATATAGGTCATATTCATTACTTAAACAAATTTTCTTAGAAATTTTACCTTTTTTTGAAAAATTTGCCAAACACTACAATTAAAAACATTGATTTGAATTTAGACAATTACTAAAATAATTCAGACCTTGACTAACCTATTATTACTGGAGTTAATTTACAAAATTTTACTTTAAGAAATGCAAATTTTTTGTCTAATTTCAGCACACTCAATATCAACATATTCAAATTTTAAAACGTGAATACAATAAAAATTGAATAGTTGAGTATATAAGACACAATTTTTAAATAAAAATTGGTTGATGTAAATAAATCTAATTATACACTCTTAAGTGGTTTTAGAGTAAAAAATTGTTTCTTTAATGAAAGTCTTATTGAGATGCAATAAACCCATATAAATATAATAAAAAACTCCATCTTTATCTTAGAATCAAATTCATCCTTGTTTAACTACTTTTCAGCTTTAGATAATTTAAATTAAACAAGCGAGTCAATTACAAAAAACTAAATGCTAGCTCTTTTTGACAAAAAAGATGGCTCTAAGTCTTTAATTAATATATATGATTTTTAAGAGGTTTATGCCTAAGATACTGCTTACGAAGTAATATTATAAAATATATAAGCAGATTTTAGTGGGTATGATTCTAGATTTATATCTGTCTAAAATCCTCATTTTGAAGTATTAGTTGAAAAAAGTAGCTTTTCAAATATGAAATCGTCCCAAAATGGAGGATGTCTAAGATTTTAAAATACAACCGCTGTCGGCATTGGTTCATCTAACTTCACCAATTGCAAAAGTAATAAATTTGGAGGAGCTATTTCTATTTTTCCTAAAAATTTACGCTAATATACTAATATTACAGGGCTCAATATTATAGGAAATAGTGCTTTATTTGGAGGAGGTATATTTGTTAACTCGAGAAGCACTATTGACGAATAAAAAGATGTTACCTTTAAAAATAACACTTCAAGTTATTTAGACAATGATTTATAAGTTTGTAAACTATCATTTGCTATAAAATAAATTATTGAATACATTCCAAATTATTTTTAGCAAGAATACCTAATAAGAAACATACCTTTGAGCAATAATGTTAACTTAACACCTGGTTCTATATACGTTGTTGCTATTGAGTTGTAGTTTTTTAGCAATCCAAGTGATGATGAGGATTTTTATACAATAGATAATTTAATTTTTGAGGGAAACATGTACGATTATTGTTTTTTAAAATAGGAAAAACCATCATTTGAAGATTATGCCCAATATCTAAACTACTCAATAAACATATAAGAGTTTGATCAAAAAAACCCATATATTTTATTTTAGCCAAACTCTAAGCTCTCCAAATATTATACTAACTTCTAATATGAAATTGAAATAATAGATAACATCGCTTTCTCAGCCAGTTAATGTATAGAAGGCTAATAAAGAATCTAATTTAATAATTTAGATAATTCTAGGTATATTTGCTAATACTGTTCATCTATGTCAGCAAATATCAGAAATGATACTTTTGAATGCCAAAGTTGTGATTCTTAGTTATTCTCTAAGTGCTATCTAAACTACACAGAGTTAAACACAGGATATTGGAGATAGAGTAACTAAATTAGTAAAGATTAAATTTACAAATGCTAGAGCGTATTTCATGATTCATGTATTGGAGGTAGTGGATATGGAAACTAGCTATGCTCAGAAGGAAGAGTTGGAAATGAATGTGCTACGTGTGATGAAACTTCCTCTTATTGGAACTCTACTTATACTGCAAGTGGACTCTATTCTTGTGTTAAGTGTGAAGATATTTAGCAAAATACTCTTAAAATATCTCTTGGCTTTTCACTGTTTATAATACTTCTTTTAATTATCAATTTTAATAACTTTAAGAAAACATAAAATTTCCTTTATCAGCAGTACCTCTCACAAATGAAGATCATTTTCATAGGTACTAGTTTTACTAAATTTGGACTTGCATCTGTCTATATAAAAGTATTGTCATTCAATGCTTCTCTCCTTGTCTTTATCTAAAATTAACTGGAAATTAACTTTTAAAACTCGATTCTTTAAACATCAATTTAATATTCAGCTCCGCTTTAAACGACTTTTGCATCTGTAAACTGTGCCCTCTATGAATTTTTTCCAAGTAGTTAGCATTAAGGCATAATAAGACTCAAATTTTACTTAATTCTACCACTGGTCATAATTCCTTTGACACTTATAACTCCATTCTTAAGATACTTATTTAAATTGTCAAGTCTTAGGTTTTTGAAATACAATATAGCTCTTTCAATAATTTATACTCTATTTATCGTTTTTTATAATTTAATCCTTAGTACTATTTTAGATTCCTTAACATGTAGAAGTTTTGGTAATGGTGAAAGAGCACTCTAATTAGATTTAACAGTACCTTGCGATTAAGCATCTAACTATTACATTTACTCATTGATAGGATTGGCAGTTTACTCTATTTTAGTCCCTGCATATTTGATTTATAGTTTGATATCTCGCAAACATAAGTTATATGCAACTTAAACCCTATTTTAATATGGGTTCTTATATTTGGAGTACAAAAAATAGTTTTATTACTGGGAATTTATTCGTTTTGGATTAAAAATTTCATTCTTAATAATATAGAAGATCTTTTTTTAGAATACTCAGTTTATGAACTGTCTATACATTGCTATTTTGACTCTCTACCAATATTTTTTATAAAAATTTTAACCATTCTAAAGAAGCTCATTAAATAAAATAGAACTAATTAGTGTTTAAATTGTTTTCTTGACATTTGTTTGCACAATAATCTTCTAAAGTTAAAATAATTCTCTCAATTAGTATCTAAACTATATCCCTAACATACTTCTATCAGTGTGTATAATAATAGCACTAGTTTTTAATTTATATATTTGCTTGGCAACTATATCATCTCTAGCTGAGACAACAGTTTTAAAAATACTCTCTAATCCTAAATTTTCTTGCATTCATAGATATTTTTCTAAATTTTATAATAATAGCAATTAAGAAAGAACAAGGAAGAATTTAAAAATTTTCAGATAAAAAGTCAAATTTATTATTTAATTCAAAAATCAATAAGAAAATTTTGAAATTAATGATAAAAATTATTTCTTTTGAAAAAAAGCCAAAGCCTTTATTAATTCATATAAATATGCTCATTAATAAAAAAATATTTTAGCTACCTAACTAATTATTTAACTAAATATTAAAGTTTATTATTCCTAAATTAATATAATATTTATATTCTATATAAAAATACATCATAAATTATTAAAATCCTTTAATTAATAATAAAAAAATATTTTAACTTTTTCTTTTATTCTCTATTATTTTATTTCATATTTTTAAATACAATTTTATAAATTATTTTATATTTTAATTAATTGATTTAATTATTATAAAAATTTATTAAAAATTGAAGAATCAATATCACAAATAATTAATATTTTAATTAATCCCGTGATTATTTATTTAAAATTTACAATTTATATTGAAAATTTTTGTTGTCTTTAAATGGAATAATGTTTGTTAAAAATTTCTCATTAACAGATATTTATAAAAAAATAGGTATTAATTGAACCATTAATATAAATATATTAAAAATCCGCCCTATAATTATGCTAAATTATTATTGGCATTAGCTATATAATATCTTCTGCTAATATATCTTAAATCTAATAATTTAATTGCAAAATGTAAACAGATTAAATATCTCTTGTAAAAATAAAATTACGATAATAAATAAATAAATTACTTTTAATTATCTATTTAATTTCAATTGATGTATTTAAAAAAATGATTGTTTAATTTGCTAATAAATTAAGAATTATATCTCTATCAAATTCTTTTTTAGCTTAAATAGAAAGCTCAACAATATAAATTATGATAGTTCATATTCTTTTTTTAAAATCCCCTAATATTTTTAGATTTTTAGTAACAAATTTTATTTTTAAATTAGATTTATAATGAGTGAGTGTGGAAATGCGATTAATTAAATTTTGCAAATAATTGAATTTATATGAATGTATGATAATTTAAATGAGTGAAAAAATTGCATTTGTTAATATTGATCAAACTATATTTTATATTTCTTTGAAATACTCAGTCATTTAAACGTAAATGTAAAAAAAAATAATATTTTTTTAGAAAACATTAAAAAATAAATTTAACTTCTTCAAAAATAAGAAAATAAGGAAGATAAAAATAAATTAATGCTATTATTTTTTATAAATATAAATGTATTTTAGAAATAGTCTGTTTAAGCCTTATTTTTTGCTGTAAAATTCAATCAAATAAGCATCTTTTATTAGCAGAAGAATATTTTTATTAGAAAGTAAAAGTAAATATTTTGCATTTATTTGAAAGATTCATTGTTGTTTAATAAATAAATAATCAATGATAAAAGTTTAATTTATTTAAATTGTATAGGTCTTAAGCTCTTTAAATTTTAGAGTATAAGAAGTAAATAAATAAAATTAGTTTAGATTTTAGAAATGAATTTTTAAGTAAGTGCCTTATTGATATTTTATAAAAAATAAATATATATAGACTAAGCGGATAGGAGATTAATGTTATCAGAAAATATAAGAAATGCAAAAAGGAATTTATGTCTTCAATTAAATAAGAAAAATAAAAGCCAGATGAGAAATTTCAAATTTATTTCTTTTATTTTTATAGTATATAAATTTGTTAAATCAATCCACATATAAAATTGTAAATTTTTAATAGATAGATAGTTAGGTGAGCGATCTTAAGTTTTAATCAATTTAACTAAGCTTCATTTGTCATTCTTTTCAAAACTAATTAAATCCACTCATTCACTCATTCATTTTTTGAGCTAATCAAATTAATAATTCAAACAGCTCTACAACAGTTCCAAGTGCAAGCAGGGTTAAGTAATTGAGAACAGTTGATGTGGTTTTCAGCCAAAGGACAGTTCTTTATTGGGACAGGATCAAGCTTGCTCCAAGGGAGTTCAGCATCCCAAGCTTGAAGAATGGCTGCAAACCATTAAACTCTGTACAAAGTGTGACCATAAAGAGGGAAGTATCCACTAGAGGGACAACAATCGTATCCACCATTAATCAAATTGATGACTTCACCCATGCCACCTTCTCCAATAATAGCCCTATGAGGGCTGTTTCTTCCAACAGGGAGCCAGTGTTCTTTACTACAAACAGAGTTTGAGCATGAAGAAGGTCCTAAGGGGCATTCTTCTTCACACTTGTCATGGAAAGGCCAAGCAGCTTAAGGAACGCACCATCCACCATATTAGTGTTCAGCCATCCAAAACCATAAAGCACTAGTCCAGCAAAGAGTAGTGTCGTCATTCAATTTAGTGGGATTTAAGAGTAAACGATCATCTCCGTAGAGTTATTAAGAGAAATCTGCATAGTTGTAGTTCCAAGAAAGTTAAAGAGGACCACGTCCATAATATTAGAGATTGGGATCTACATCACAAAGTTAACCAGCTGTATTGTAAGAACAAGCTTAACAGTTAGGACATCCATTTTCTTTAGTGCAAGGGAATCCATTGGATGAATCGAAAGAGGTTTCAGCTCCAATAATAGAAAGGAAAGCTGCAAATTCTTACTTGTCTTTTTCTTCGTTTCCACTGTTGCAAAATTCGGGGAAAGATTTTGCTGCTTCAGTGATTTCTGCAGCCCATTTATTACCAACAGCAGTTGAAATAACAGGATTAATAGATTAGATGAGAAGAGCGATACCATTCAAGCTACCTTCTGGGTTAATAGCGTTCATCCAAGCAGTGAAATCACGACTCTTACCATTAGTTTTAATGTAGCTTTTATCATATCCTTCAGGTCTATGTTGACTATGATTGTGGAATAATTGGTGATCATGAGGATTGGCAAATTTATTTTTTCCAAATAATTAATAGTTTCTGAATATGCTAGCACAGTTAGCAAAGCTTATCAATAAAATGAAAGCGCAAACAGAAAGTAATGCAATTTTCTTCATTCTTCTGAAATGTTTAGTATTTAAGGTAATTAAACTTCTTTTTAATTAATTTCTAATTATACTAAATTAAGAAATCCAAAAGATCCTTAAAAACTTGTTTGCAATTTTTGATGGCTTATGATTAGATGATAAAAATATCAAATCCTAATTATTTTGGAACTATAGTAAAGAAAATTCAGTGGTATCGAATTATAATAGGAGAAAAAATACGTATTTAATTTAAATATGAAAATCCTTGTTAAGATTTATTTATTTATTTTCTGATAGACTGACTAATCTTAAACTAAAATTAAAAACATAAAAATCAAATTTAATAATTTATTAACATGTTTTAATTTATAAATTCATTTTTCTACCTGTAAAAGAATTTTCAAATCAGTTAAAAATCATAAATAAATCACTTAGTAAGTATTTATATGTTATTTAAGAAAAAGCCACAAAATTTTCTTAGCCACAAAATGTGATAGCTTTTACAATTTTCAAATAAAAATTCTTTTATTGTTACAAAATTTATGATCGATTCAAGCTCATTTGTTTAATCAATTACATAATTAAAAAATAATTCTGTTAAATACTAGAATGAAAATGAATAAAAAAGCTATTTTATATGTTTAAAAATGATAAAAATGAATATATATTTTTATCTTAGTCATCAAAGAGTTGATATGAAAGAATAGATGTTAATCATACTATGTATTTTTAACTTATAATTAAATAAAAAATATTTAATTTATTAATAAATATTATTAAAAAAGGAACAAACTATTTTTAATTAAGTAAAATATTGATTACTTGATTTTTGTTTTCTTTAAGGATCTATTTTTTGATATGATTATTTCAATTATTTAATATAAATTACGTTTTACAGTATTGGTAAATAATTAATTATTTAAAAACTATGAGCATCTATTTAAAAAATATGTAATTAATTTAATTCAGATAAATACATACAATTAAATTAATATTATTTATCTATTGAAAAGAAAAAACCACTAAATACCTATTTATGAATTTTCACATTTTTCATTTATAAAATATATTTTAAAATAAATATTTAAAAAATTATTTTTTTTTTTATTTTTAGATAATTAATAAATAAATGGTAGAATTTATACAATCAATTTATTTGAATATATCTTATTTTAAGAATGCAAAAAATGCATCATAAAATATTAAATAAAAATTTTGTTTTTTTAAATTTTTAATAAAACTCTAAATTTAATCCTAGTTTATAAATTAATTGCATTAAATATTTTTTTAATTCAACCAATAATTAAATTTATTATTAATTTTTATAGAATTTTCAAAAAATTGCTCTCTTACTTTAATTGAAATATATATTCGACACTTTTTTATGATAAAAACTAAGTATTTTGTTTATTTATATTTTTAAAAAAAAAGAAAATTCCTTTTAAAAGGGTTTTTAAATATTTTAAAACTTAAAATAAATAATTAATTATTATTAGTAATATTTTTAATTAATATTTTTAACAAAAGCTAATAAATTTCTTTAATTAGCTACTTGATAAGCACTGGAACATACTACTTTATTGCTTTAAAAATAATTTATTTCTTTACTTTCTAAATATTTAATGAAAAGAATTTTAATTCTTTATTTTTTAAATAGCAAAGCTAAGTTGTTATTTTATTTTATAATTATAAATTATATCAAAATAAGAATAAAAAAAAAATAGAGTTTTTTAATGGAAAATAAATATTTTATTATTTTAATGCTTTTTCATCTTAAATTTGCTTTATAATAATATTATTCTTAAATTTTTAAAATTAAAAACTTAATTTAGAGGTTTTAAGATTTTTTATCTATTTTCTTCTAATGATTAATTTTTTTTTGACTTTTTTTAGTTTTTATCTAATTTGTCAATTAAATTTTAAAAATAAAATTATTTTTTCAAAAGAAATAACATTTAGATATAAATTATGTTAAAAAAATATTTTATAAAACAAACAAACCCTTTTTTTAAATTAATAAAATTATTCTATTTAACTTATTAATAATATTTTGATAAATATTTGCTTAAAAAGATTTTTCATATGTTTTTATAATTTAAATTTAATTGGATTTTTTTAAGATTACTTCAAAATGTTATTTGCACTTTAAGTATCTTATTTTAGGATAAAAATGGACTTTAATAGATCTTAGATAGGAAATAAATCATTTAATATCCTAAATTTAGTTTGAAGATTTATATGATTGACAAAAATCTGGTTTATATTAAACACTTAACTCACTTTACAATAGGAAACCTTACTGATCATATTTTGCATAAATTTTTTAATTTCTTATGGTAAAAGATTTGTAACCTTTAAGTGGACGACAATAAAATTAATCAAATGTAAATTAAGAAATAAAAATTAAGTTTAGTAATTAGTATTTTTTTGCTCAAAATATTAAATAGAATGGAGTGAATATTTACTAGCAATTTAATGTAACAAGAATATTAATTTTTATAGTATAAAGAAATAATTTGTAGCTTTTAAATATTTTTTTTTAAGCAGCTTTTTTTACAAATAGATTGATAGCGGATGTTTTTTAAATTTAATATTAGGCAATTAAATATTTTAAATTGGTTGTAAATGTATTTTGCAAAGGTTGAATCTATGCATTTAATGATTACATAAGTGTTGAAACGATTAAATTAAAAAAATAAATTAGTTACTTATGTAAAATAATTAGTATTAAATTAGAAATAAAAAATGAACTGATATAGATAATTTAACCCAAATAGACAAAAATAATTTAAATACGTATCACATGATGTAAAAATTTGATAAATCATTAATTTTGAGAATGCGCAGTATCAAAAATTAAATGCTGGAATGACGTAATTAAAATAGCACAACAATTCTAATTTCATATCTATGGTAGTATTTAAATATAAAAAATAATATATTCTTTAGAAAGATAAAATTAAGCTAAATATAGCAAACATGTTGTTTGATACCTACTCGCTTTCATATTAAATTATTAAAACTCTCTTTTGATCAAATATTTTAGCTCTAAAATGACTCTTTGTTAAATTTTTTATTTTAGTATGTTTTTGCAACATTAATTTCTATGCATAAAATTCCAACCTTGTAAATATACCAAATTTAAGCAATTAGGATATTTACACTGTAAATCTCTAAATAATTATTTACAATAAAGAATCTCGTAAGGGAAATAATAAATCACTGTATTAGATTACTCACACAATAGTAAATTTTTCAATTCAAGCATCAATAGAAAATATTAATATCAATTTTAATGTATGTGAGTATATATGTACTAGTTAGTTATGGGGAACGAACTTACTATATTTTGATTTATTTATTATTTATATTTATAGAATATAATTAAGAAAAAGAATTATTTTATTACCTTTATAATCTATTAAAAGTGTTTAAAGTCTATAAAAAATTAATATTTAATGAATGTCTATTATTCAAAATTTCTTTTATTTAACTAGCTTCATTTTAGCAAAAATAAATTTGTGTTAGTTAGTTAGTTAATTAATAAGTACGAAATTAAACACATTTTTAATTTTTAAAATATTTTGGCTGAGATATTATCAAAAAGAACAAATTATTTTAGGATTTTTGCTTTTTAAAGAATTTTTAAGTGTTTAATTGTAAGTTTAGGAAGAGGGCTCTGATAAGCTAAGCTAACTTTTATTCCGTTTAAGATATCTGAATCAAGTTTTTTAGGATTATTCAGTTCTAGATTTTTTAGTAAGAGTGCTTGCTTGCTTCCTAAAAATATAATTCAAATTTCAATGTAATTTAATTAACAAAATTTTGTGTAAGAAGACAGAAAAGTTAATTTTAAAGCATAAAATAAAGAAAAATCTGTTAAAATTTTACTAATTCAATTTAATAATATAATTTGATTCAAATATGAAAAAAATAACAAACTCATTCTTTTTAAATGAACTGCAAAAGAGCTAAAATATTTTAAAGTTATGCATGATGTTATGCTAAGAAGAGTAAGTATGTATTAAAGTTTGATAAGTATTAGAGAAATAATTATTGAGAGCCTTCTTATTTTTTAATTAATTTATTGTTGTAATTAGTGTTAAACTCTAGCAATATAAGCCAATTATTAATGAATAATTATATAATATGGATTTATCTGAATATTACATACTATCAATAAGTTAAGGTTCAATCAATCAAATAAGCTATCAAAATTCAAAAGATAAAAAACTATTTATTTATTTATTTGTAAGAATACGCACCTTACTAACTTCTATTTATTCTTTCTAAATGCGTCAATCAATCTTCTAAAGTTCCTTCCATAAAGGATTTTTCATTATTCTACTAAAATTTTGTGATGAAATTTGAAGCTTAACAATATTCTTTAAATTTTCGATATTTAAACTAGATTGCAATAATTTGTAAAGTTTTACAAACAGTATTTTAATATATCTAATTGAGGTATATTTGTGAATTAAGTTGGGTAATCACTACTACCAAGAGGAATATTCGGAGATTTGTAGAACATAATTTTTAATTTTTGAAAGGTTTTGTTTGTTTGTTATGTATGATTAACTGCAAATAAATATAATTTTCCTGATAAAAAGCAAAAAATGAAATTAGTAATTAATTACTTGACTAATTTTGGTTTACATTATGCTTTAATAGATATATTAATAAAGCAAAAAAATATTGTTTAAAAGAATGTTTCAAGCCGTTGATTTACACCTAAAGCAAGTATTTAAAAGCAAAACAAATAAAAAACCGGAGAGAAAAAAATATTTTGGCATGATTGAGTAAACAAATAAAAATATTATATTTTATATTCAAAATTTTTTTTTAATTTCAGCAAAATTTTTAAAACTTTCAATTTAATGCCCAGCCAAATACTATAATGCGTACGTAAGTTAATTTTTTTCTTTGCTATTGTTTATTATTAATCAAAACATTACTTTTAACATATTATTGCAATTAAACTAATTAATTTACATCATTTCGAAATCACGTAGATCTCCGTCTTTGTCCAAAGATAGAACACAAACTGATTTTGATTTTTTTCTGACAGATTTTGATTGCTTTTATAAAAATTATTTACATATTTCTCATTGATTCAAAGCAATTTTTATTACTTCTGTTTGACAATTGTCACTCGGCATCCTGAATTTTTTGCTTCTTACACAGCTTTGAAGCTGATTTGAATTGCACTGGTTCATGGATTTTAAGTGTATTTTTATAACTAAAAATGAGTACATGCTACTGTAGTAGTAATCTCGAGTACTTTTTTATTATAGATTTGGAATTAGGTATGTATGTGTGTAAATATGCAATCTACAAGATTCGATAATTTTGAATACTTTTAATTATCATGCTTGAAAATGATATATATATATGTAGAGAGAAAGAAAAATAAAGAAATAGAAAGGTTTTGATTGATTGAATAAATTTTTAGTTTATTTTAAATTAAAAAGAAATATAAATTAAGGGGTTCAGATATAATTAAAATATATACAATCTAATTAGTACTGTGAAAATAAAATAAATAAATTAAGAAAGAAAGAAAGAAAGATAAAAAATGCTTTTTGATTACTAAAATACTGTGGATTCTCCCACCAATCAAAACAACATATGTTTCTAACCTATTTATTATAAAGTTCAGCCAAGATATAATTACGATAGTTAGACTTGTTCTGAATACTCTGATGATGTTAACCATTAGGAAATGTCACAAATTTCATCATAAATTTCTACCAACACATACAAATAGTAGAGTTAAATTATTTCTAAGCTAAATACATAAAACGATTTATATTAGTGTGAATATGAAAAAAATCTTACAACTCCTTCATAACAATCTGAGTTTCAAATGACAAGCTCAATTAATTCAATAGATAATGGGTCATAATTCACATACAAAAATGAAAAAAGTGGTTGTGGTAGCGGCGAAAATAGAGTTTAGAAAAGGAAACCAAAATTAAATCTTGGGAATAAATAAAAAAATTTAGATTATGTTAGCACCAGCACTTTGCACAATATTAAGACAATACGTTAATACAAGCAACACTTAAAAAACTTCAAAAAGCGCTTTAATTAAACTGAAAATTAATGCGCATATACAAGTTTGCTCGTCAAGCAAGTACCTGATAGAGAAATTTTCTTCTTAATTGGTGATATAATTGTTGAGCCTAATTTTCGTGAGGAATGGTACTCTATTGGAGAACCATCACCTTATAACTACTATAAATGCTTGGTCCGTAATATATTCTACAAAGAAAGAAGAATATTGCAAAGTGATTATTCATAATCTGATAAGGGATTGTAAGATTTTAATAATATAGTGTAAATATTAAAGAACTATCCAGACTAAGAAACTCATGATTATGGCTTGATTTTGGAAGAATATCAATGGCGCTGTAAAGAATTGTAGTAAATTGGGAAAATCATGAAAAGTAATCCTGACTTTTAGTAATTTAGAGATATCTAAAATAAAAAGTATATTAATTTTACTGAGCGTTGTGAGAAATATATCGAAGCTTCAAGAAGCAAAAAAGGAGAATTTTTCTTTTATGCATTCTGCAAGTTAGATTTAGATAAATTTAGCTATGATATTTAGAGTTTTGGAGTAAGTGAAGCCATGTCTTAGCTGCTAGGATTAGAGCTTTCTACTCTTTCCAGTGTCATTTAAAAGAAGGGTTTAATAAGTTCTTTTTCTAACTGCACAAGATAAATGATTATGAAAAATTTCATTTAAGCTCTGTCAAAAAAATGCTAGCCTACTCAAAACTAATAATCTTAAGACGTATCAGACACTACTATCCTTAATCTAACTGTTCATACATGGGACGGTCTTTCTATTAACGTAGAAGGTCACTTTCACTCAGTTTATGATAGGAATAGTGATTTTTCCCTGATCCCATTCACAGAAATAATGTCTATGGTTCATGTAAAAGTTGATGAAAGCGTTCTCAATGCCGTCTACAAGATGAGATCTAATCAATAAACTGAAAAGATAATAATGGACGCATCTGGCGAAGACATTTATTACAACCTTCAATTCCAGGTATTCTATGATAAATTTTATGCCAGTAATAATAACGATGCAGAAATTAATTAAGAAAAAATGCGCTAAGAATTTGAAGAAATATAGAAAAAGACTTGCAAGTATCGTAATATCCTGTGATAGGAATGCCAAAATTAAATTCTTAAGTGAAATTACTACATAAATATACTAAAACTATCTCACCTCATTTGATAAATAAATAATTTAATAATAAAAACTCAGCAACAAAACAGAGTTAACAATAAATACTACTATCTTTAATAAACCATAAATAAATTATTATCAAACAAACAAACAATAATCATAAATGTCAATTAATATAAAATAAAATATCTCATTCTACATAGTCTATAAAATAAAAAATAACAACTTTTATACTTAATTATGTCCTAAAACTTCTATAATATATTATTAGTCTTGTCTTTCTCATTAATACTGTCATTCAATAACTTATCCTAATATAATTACTGAATAACTAAAAAAATACTACATTTTATTCAACTGCTTTAAATATTTCTACTTAAATATTTATAAATACTGTAATTCTTTATGCTACTAATATTAATCCCTCATTTAAATTTAAATTTTTTATATTTTATATATCAAATCCATCATGCTTGCTTAAAACTATTTTCATTTTTTTATTTGTAACTTATAAACACTTATCTTTTTATCATTTAAATTTTCTTTAAATTAGCTTATAGATTTTGTTATATTATATGAAAGAAATTCTTTCTTTTCAAAAAGTTTTTTTATAAAAATGATAAATTATTTGTCTATTTTTTCATTTTTATTTTGTATAGAGTAAATTTTAACTACTCATTCAAAGAAAGTTTTTGTTACCCCTATAAAATAATTAAATATAGAATTTGTAATACCATTTTTTTCATATTATTTTTAAATAACACTTACAATTGAGATGTAAATAAGATACTTACAATATAATTTCTTATATTATAATTAAATATATATATTAATAAAGTATGTAAATCATGTTTGTTGTATTTAAGAATAGATGAAGATTTAATAAATATTATTTAATTGTTTGGGAAAGAAAAAAAAAGAAAATTGTGTAAAAAGTAATAATTAAAAGATTTAATATTATTGTAGTACTCTGATTGTATTAAAATCTATCTTTATATACAAAACAAACTTATTTCAACTTATAATATTAATGTCATATCAGAAATACAAATTAAATTATTCATTTTAACTATGGTATGATCATTTTATACCAGAATAAATAGGAAAAGATTATGAAAAAAGTTAAATTATTGTTGGAGAATTTGATTCCATACAAGTAATAAGCATTAAAAATCTTATTTTTGAATATTTTGTTTGTTTTTTGATATAATTTTTAATTTCATTTCTAACATTTGTATCAATTTAAATATTTTGAGACGATTGATATCAAGAATAAAAATCTACCTCTTATTTAAAAATTGTAGTCGTTTTGGAGTTTATTCAATAATATCCCTAAGCTCAATGAGCTCTCTATAGGCTCGTCATATCATTTAATGAAATAAGGAATCAAGCCGCTCTGGTAAGATTTCTAAAATATTTATTGTAAGTTCGATATTTATTTGCAAGCTTTTAAAAATAGGGAAGACCCTTTAAATAGCGATGGAAGCACTTCTAAGCTAAAATTAACTTAGAAATTTGATGAAATATGGATAGAGACTATAGTTTTATGGATTTCAAACGAAGTAATTTATTAAATAAAATTTAATTGATTTTGAAGATAATTTTGTTTGTATAAGATAGCCATTTATTTACCCACTTTTATATTTAGAGATAAAAAATACCGCATTTTAGAAAAAAATTAATTTAATCCATTATATATTAATTGTTATATTATATTATTTACATATTATTATTGTAAACGTATTTTAAAAATATTTATATATTCTAAATAGTTCAAGGATAATTACGAAGAAGAGTTCATAAATGGAATTTCTATCACAAAAAAGTAAAATGATCTTTACATTTTATAGATATGGTAAAATAACAAGGAGGAGCCTGAAGAGTTTTATGAAACATGGAAAAATTGCATTAAGTAAAACATTTAAGTGGCTGATATACCTTCTTTGAATTTCAAACGTAAATAAATAACAATAAATAAATAAATTAATGAATATTTTTTCCTTTAACTTTCTATTTTAAGTGATACAAAAATACTCAATTTTCTTACTTAATAAAATAATTTGAATTGCTTTCACTTTTAAATATACTTGAATCTATTTTAATAATTTTAGTAAAATATTCTAATTTGATTTAAATAAAGTTTGTTTCGATTCTATTAGGGGCTTAAGGAGAAAAGGAGCTTAGTAAAAACCATCCAGGTCCAATCAATCTGCACAGCAACCTATTTCTTTGAATTAAAATAACGATTGAATTAATTTTTAAAGTATAATTTATTTGTGCGTCAGATTAAGTCTGACGTCAGCAATACTTAAAATAGCGACGATTGATGCGTTTGTGTGCTTGTGATAATAAAATTTCGTTTCAATTAGATTAAAACTTATTTTAAATGTATGAAAAATGACATTAATTTTATCTATATTTATAATTTGATTTACAATTATTAAGCATTTATTAATTTGGTTTGTTACAATACTTTGATAATAAAAATAAAAAATCAAGTGTAAGATAAAATGATGCAATTTATTATTTAATGGAATTACATTTTTTTTTTGAAAAATTATCATTCATCACATTTAGCTGGGAGGTTTATTGATAATGTGTATTCGATTTGCAACAAAATTGAAGATAATTCATTGTTTATTTACCTAATGAATGATTTTCCCAAAATAAATATATAAATGAAATGAATAAAGAACCATTGCAAATATATATATTGAATAAAAAGAAAAGAATATTTACTTATAATTATCAACCTCTATCTATCAACTTCGTAAAATTACTAATAAATGAAAATAGTATTTAATTGCGCCAACATCAAAAGACTTACGTCAGCTTCTTCTTTAATTATTTAAACAAGAGAAATATAATCATTCACAGAATTTTACAGTCAGAGATTAATTGATAAATTAATAAATAAATAACATTGATATTGATATTGAGAGAGAAAAGATAATTATAATTAAGATTATCTAATAAATTGATTTATATATAATATTAACTAAAAAAGTCAATAAAAAAGTATCAGAAATTTATTCTAAATCAACAAATAATCAGCAAAAGGCATTAGTTTTCACATCATTTAAGATATAATTTACGTCATTCTAAGTTGAGATGGATAGAACAGAAGGAGACGATCCTCTTCATTAATTCCCTGATAATGATTTCATAATTAATTTCTTAAATAATGACACAAAGGGGTACTTAAACATTATTTATTAAAAAACATGAATAAAATGCAGATAGAGTTTATTCAATTCTAAATGAATATTTCATTTTAAAGCCAAAGAAAATTACTCTCTGCAGCAACCTTAATTGAAATTATGTCTAACGGTTGGAAACCTAATAATATTTTATTTAAAAATATAGCACACTAGGAGTTCAGAACCAATTGATGGGAAATTATTCACACAATAGTTTGTTTGTTGGAGGAGATATTGGATATTAAACAGGATTAAGTAATAATGCTCCTTACCAATACCATAACATTGAAGACATTTCAAAGTATGTCTCGCAACAAAATACAGGTTTAGGGGAAACAACTGACTATTATTCATAGCATATGAGAAAGAATAATTCATATTAAATGCATTCAAACTAAACATAATAGTTGTCTTAAAACTCCCACTCTAATTTAAACTCTCTAAACTAATATGGGCAAAGTACTTAATAGCAACATAACTAGCATTCTTAATAAGGACACAATGGCGGTCATTAATAAAATCCTTAATATTTGTACTAGCCTCCTCACAATATTAAACAAGAACAGAATTAATACAATTAAATGTAAAAAATAAAAAATGAATATAATTTCTTTAAATATTATTTAAAAATAGCATTTAAATTTTCCATACGTTTTCTCTTTTCTATTTAAAATTTGTGAAAATTATTAGTTGATTTTATCATTAATGATGATCTTTCTATCTATCTAATTGATCAGCAACTAAATTTTTAAATTGTCTCTTTACTTGCTTTTTACTTTAAAAGGAAATTAGAAAAAATCTTTTTAGCAATAATTTTAGGAATTTTCCAAAATATTAAATTATTTCTTAAATATAAAGGTAAATTACAAAATTGGAGGATCAAAGTATCTCTGAATATTCAAATACTAATTATGGGTCTACCTCCAATAGCATTAAAAAGCCAGAGCATGTTTTTGAAAAGAATAAAAACCTCTTTAATTATAAGAATAATTTAAAAAACACCTACATCAACAAAATTAGCACTCTCATTACTGATAACCCAACTAGTAAGAGCAAGGAAAGACCTGCTCCAATAGTACCAGAATAACCTATGTAAATATTAAATATTTGTTAAAGAAAAGATGTTAATCTTATTCAAAAATTATTTAGTTAGCAATAGTGGTATCCAAAGGATCCCAAGCAATAGGCTGACGAAATATTTAAAGAACCCTTGAAGCCTGGTTAATTTGGCTACCCTTAAAATATGTAAAATATTGGAAGCAGCTTTAAGGTACCTACAAATGCGAATGTTCAAATGAATCCATAGCAGCTACAATAATAGCTAAAAAAAGTAAGATCTTTCGATGCCCTCAAAGTTGATGAAATAGGTAAAACCTTTCTCAAAAATAAATAAATTTTTTAGCTAATTAAAATATTTGTAATATTAAAGAGAAAATGAATTAGAAGCTGGCCAGAAATAGAGAATCTGCAAGAAATAGCAGAAAAAGAAAGAAAATATATATTGAATTGTTAGAAACTAAAGTTGCCACTATATCTGAAGAGCTAGAAAAAACAAAGAGAGTTTTAGAAACTAATAATTAATATTTAAATAAACTTAGCTTTTAAACATAGATTTTGAATGGATTCATTTTCGGAAGATAGCAATTATATGAAAAAATAGAAAAAGCTATTTAATCACAAGCTGAAGAAAATGAAATTAATTTGATGCTTGATTCTCTAAGAGTAAATAAATTAATATTTGTTAATTATTAAATATTTTATTATTGTATAATAGTTTAGACTCGGTGCTGCAGGTAAAGAAAGAATTACAGCTGTTAACTATTTCTTTAAGTAAATTCTTGACATTTGTGTACCAACCCATTATCGCTATTTATTGTGGAGCTCCTAAGAATGTATAAATAAGATTTACTAATTAGAATGAGTATTAAGAATTTAATTATTAAAATAGCTTTAGATATGTTTAATGAAGAGGGCACGGATGCAGATTAAAGAGCACCTTGGAGACAAGAGCTGATGAATACTATTTCACTTTCTGAATAACAAAAGAAGTAAATGCAAAAATTTAAAAAGCGCTTTACAGCAGAAAAACAAAAACTTGACGAGTAAGCAATCACTTTTAAAAAAATTATTTGAAGCTAAAAATTATTGTAAAAATAAATATAGATTAATCGAAGGACTTAATTAAATGAAAAAGTAGATATAAACAAAAACATAAAATGTTGAAAACATAATCGACGATATGCGTAATGTATTTACTCCAATTTAAAATGCCAAATTTTTAGTATTCCTAGAAAAGGTAAATAAAATAGCTATCTAAAACAAAATTTTAACTAATTTATTTATTTTTTAATAGAATAAATATAGAAGGGAAATTAGTAATATAGCCTTATGGGAGTCATTTAAGAAAGAAAATGGTGAATATGACTTTGATGAAGAAGGATAATCTGATTCAAGTCTACTTAATCAGCATATCTTAGGTTAGTAACCGAATTTACCTTCTGGAAATGGCATGGGAGGTGGATCTGACCTTGGCTTCATTTCTTAGTATTAAAGTAATGGAGCGGGAATGCATAATAGCTTGGATAGTAGTGATATAAATTAGATGTCTGAGGATGACGAAGAATCTCATGTAAAAGCAAATGATTAAGAAGGTCCAAGGAAAAAAGTATAAATTTAATAAGGAAATCAAAACGTTTATATGTGAAAAGTAAAGCACGAATGAAATTTCATTGAAAAAATTTGTAAATTACAAAGAATAATATATTTAAAAGAGTAACAAAAAACACTACTGCATGTATGCAGAGACAGATAGATAGATATACACACATATTAACCAAATTTCTCATTTATTGCTTAAATAGGCAAAAAATATACAATAAATATATAACTTATTTCAAAAAATCTTATAATAAAATATATTTAAATCATAATTAAATGCCCCTTCCTCTAAAAATAATAAAGGAGTTATTTGTATTAAGTCTTTAAAATATCATTTATATAAATATGTCTCATTTATTTTGATTTATATTAATGTAATTCATCTTTTACTATTCTTTATAAATCTTTAATTAATTAATTAATTGTCTATCTATGCATATTTAGGATTTAAAATAATCTATTATATATTTATTTATTATTTGAATTTAATTTTAATTTAGTTTTAAGCTAAACAAAAAAAAAATCATACATTTAAAATTTCCAATATTAATTTGTAAATTATATAATATTATTTCATAATTTATATTTTTATTTAAAGTGTTGTCATAAACATTCAATTTTTAAAAATAACCAAATGCTAAATTTTGTAAAATTGAGAAACATCTTTCGGTTGAAGCTTTTAATATTTATTTATAATTCTTATTGAAACAATTTTTTTAAATTTGTCTAAATAAAATATTTCTCCAAACATATTGCTTTTTTCTAGACTTATATTTAATTCTTGAACTGATTAAAAGATATCTAAATCTAGAAAAATAAAATCATAAACAAATCTTCTACTACTACTAGCACAAAATAAATTTATTGATGAGATATTTGTTTGTTCACTAAAAACAAACAAATCTTATATTAGATATTATAAATAACTCTCGTTTGTGATTTATTTAATAACGTCTGAAGATTTGATGGGGTAGTTTTTTGTACTTTCAAGTAATTTACTAGTAGCTTAATTAAGAAATACCAATTGCGACTCATATAAATCAATCGATAATTGATTTTATAACTCATTTTCTATTCTAACTTAACTACTGCCTTATAAAGCTAGTTCTATTGTTTTAATACACTTCTATATATCCACAAATAGCTATGAAACTTCTATTATAGAATTTTATGAAATTAAATTAATATACTCTCTTATTAATTTAAAGCTTATTGGACAAAATATTCTTGAAGGGGATTTAAACTTACTTAAGAAAGAATTATAAATTGTATTTATTATTTCTAAGTATTTTTAACATTATTAATCTCCACCCTCAAAACTATATTGATTAATTATTATTTAAGAAATTGTATTTTATTTTATTGCTGTGTTGTCTATTAGTATGTTCTTAGGGTCAATTTTTGTGATTGGAAGATTGTGCTCTGTTAGAAGCTTTTAGCTTAAATTAATTATATTTTACAACAGCATAAAAGAAAATGTTTAGGTATTAGGGATACTATAAGAATAAATAATATCTCCTAATGAAAATTAGTCATTTATGAATTAGCTCTCTACAAAAATATAACAACACTCTGTTTTTTATTGTATAATATCCACATTTAGTAAGTTAAATTTTATGAATCCTCTTTAAGCTATATATGACTATATTTCATTAAATGTATTTTTTGCTTCTTAAATAGAATTACTTTTAATAACCTCTAAACAAATTTCTTCACCCTCCTTATTCACTCTTAAACAAATCTTGTCTTTCATTTATGCATTTATCTAAATACTTGAATAGTATGGGATCTACTAAATAATTTCAAAAATATCTAATGGATAATTTTATAATATATAAGAATAGGATTATCTTATCTCATTAACAAGATTTTTTTTTTGTATAACTTTGTTTAGTGAGTTTACGAAATTCTAAAAATTAGATTAGACAAATTATATTTGCTCTTTACTATATTCCTATTAAGCATCAACAGAATTTTAAGCAAGATATACTAGTTTTTTCTGTCCATTATTAATTTGATCATCTTTAATTTTGAATTATTGAGTGAAACTACTTAGACTTAGCATGTTTATTTTAATATAAATCTAGTTTTAATTAATAATCTTAGCATATAATTCTAATCCTTCATAGAGATTGTTTTCATCAATTTTATACTTATTGCAAAAATATTTTTAAAATTATTTAAGTAAATCAATTATTTATTGTTATGATATTTAATTATTTTCAACTAAAGTATAGAGAGGCATATCACACCATTCCATTTCAATAGCAAAATACCTTCCAACATCAAAATAGAAGGATTCTTAATACCTTAAAACATGATTATCGTGTAACTATAAAGACTCTAATGCAGATTAAACTGCCTTCAAATCTTCATTTAGCATAAATTCTAAAATATAAACTAGTATGATCTTTTTCTTCTTTTAAATATCATCATACACTTATAAATTTAAGTTTTTATAGTAATTTTAGAACCCAGCAATTACTTCCTCTTCTCCTGTATAACCTTCGTTAATATTTTCTATTTACTTCACCTGCAGGAATTTCTCAATTTAATAATGAGGACATTATATTTTTAAAGAATCTTTTATTATTCGTTTATGTAGAGATAGCAATCTCTAACAGATCTAATAAGAATATACTTGCATTATTAATTTTAATTTTTAAATTATTTATTTTTAATTAATTTGTAAAGTAAATTGAAAATATATATTTGATATTTAAAGCAAATTACAAAGTTTTCGCACTTGAATTTTATATGGTAAATATCTTTCAATTTTATCAGATTTTAATTTTAATTAAAATAGACTTTTAATATTTGAGCTCACAAAATTTATGGTAAAATTTAAAAGAAATAAGACTCATTTTAAATATGTTTTAGAAAATTTATAAAATTTCTATTCTTAGAAAGCAAATAGGAATTCGAATATGATGATTCACTCATTATTAATTTTTACATTTTATATTTTTATTTTTTTAATTAATTTATAAAAGTAAATTGAAATAATATTTGGTATATAAAGCAAATTCCATAGTTTTCGTGCTTGAATTCTATGTGGCAAATACTTTTCAATTTTATCAGATTTTAATTAAAATAGAAAATTACTATTTGATCTTACAAAATTAATTGTAAAAAATTTAAAATTTCATATTAAAATGCTTTTTAGAAAATTTATAAAATTTCTATTCTTAGAAAACAATTAGGAATGAATATACCAGAATATCAAATATCGCTATTCCAAAATAATTATCTCTCTAGTATGAAATATATATTTAGTAGAATAATAAATGTAATTTTATAAATTTAAAGAAAATTTAAAATAAAAAAAAAGGTACCGTAATAGGCGAATCTCAAAATACAAAAAAAAAATCAAAATGTTTAGTCAAAGATTTAATTTTTACCTCGGTACAAAATGCGGTATCGGCACGGTAAGAGGGTAAGAAGTTTAGAGGTTATATGGTATATATATTTTTATATTTCTTAATTTAAGAATTTTATTGGTTAAATTTTATTGCAAATCTTTTTATAAATATTGTTTTCATTTTTTATTATTTTGAAAGATAACCCAAGAATAAAAATATCATGCTATCAATCCAGTTCAACATATTTTAATTTCTAGATTATAAATTTATAAAATAAATAGTAATTAATAATAAAAACAAAAGTAAAAATAAAAAAATGAGTTAAATTAGCAAAGAAATAAATAAAAAACGTAAGCACAATAAAAAAGACAAAGAAAAATAAATCAAATAAAAAACAATAAAATATCTTAAAAGAGCTTTATAGTTTTAAATTCATTAAAAAACACAAGCGATATAAAAAAGAAAAATAAATATCTAATAAATAAATTAAAAGATTTATATTGTTTTAAATACATTTTTATCTGATGAAAATATACATTATAAATAAATTGAAAGTAAAATATATAAAAAAATTAATATTTAGATCAATATGGAGGGAGAGCCTAATGAGATTAGAGTGAGGATTTTAAAAACTTTTATTATTAGTAAAAATAAATTTAAAGAATATACATAATAAAATAAATAATTACTTCTTCTAATTTGTTGTAATAGTTAATCAATATATTATATCATTTATTTATTTTTTAAATGTTGAATAATTAATAATAAGAGGATAAAAAGAATGAATTAATATTAATTTATAAATTTAATTTTCTGAAGAGTTATCATGTCATATATTGAAAAAATTCTAGTAAACAATATTCTTAAATTTTATCAAAATAATTTATATTTAGTAGATTTTTCTGTTTTAGTCCAGTAATCAGTAATGAATGAGGGGATGGAATATTTATAATATTTCTAATTATTCTCTAATCCAATTATCTTTTTTGCAAGCACATTTTATTTGGGTATATAAGTTTTATGCATCAAATAAGTGTATTTATACCTATTTAAATACATTTTTAATAAATAATAGACTATATATTTTTATATCATCAACAATTAAGTTAATTTTTTTATAAAAATTAAGAAAACACCCTCTTGCTTAAATTCTTTTTGCAGTTATCTGATTTCTTCTCCAGGTAGCTCAATAAATAGTATTTAAAACTTACGTTCTACCCACATGATAAAAAAGTACCTTTTATCTTTAGTGTTAGTTAAAATAATATAAAATTTTTTACCTAAGAAATTTTTAACAAGATGTTTAGATTTTAGAGTTTTAGAATTTTCTCAATTCCCTATGATTTTTAAGATTTATTTTAGATTTTTGCTTATATATCAGTTAAATTAAATTTTATAAAATTGTAGAGTTTTATATTTTGATAATCAAAAATATTTTTTTTCATTTAATTTAATGGAGACATTTTTAATCAAAAATAAAAAAATAATTTTATGATACAGATAGAAATTAAGATGATTTTTATATTTGTGATATTTATTGTGTTTTATTAAATAAATCTAATAAAAATATGCTTACTTAAGATAATATCTTTTACTCTTAATAATCAAAAATATATATTTAAACTTATTAAATGAAATTCAAATTACAATCAAAATGAATAGATGAGATCAAAAGTTTTTGAAAGTCAAATTTGCTTTTTAAATTTTTTAAATGGAAGATTTTAAAATTTAAATGAAGCATTTTATTAGTCCAGTCATTAGTTTAAAATGAATGAAAATTAGATTTATTTAAATGTAATATCACAATTTAATTTGAATGTTTATACCACTAATTTTTTAATTTGTTTATTTTCTTAGATTTTTGAAAAATTAGATATATAGAGAGAGATTAAATTCAAATAAAAACCTTTATAATATTCAAAAAAATCTCTTCATAATTTTATAATTAAAATTGAATAATGGTATTTGAATTTATTTTTGTTAAAGAAAATAGATAGGTCAATTTTAATTCAAAAAAATATTTAAATAAACCTAGTTATTAAAATTAAGTAGGTTGCTTTGTTGTTCAAATCACATGTTGCTAGGCATAAATTTATCGTTATCACTCTTTTATCAATTAGTTATAAAATATTTAGTTTAACAGAAAATTGTGTGTTTTCGTTAATAAATTTCTAAAAGGAATACTTTACTCAAAACCATACAATTTTACAATGCTATCTAATCTTTTTTTTCTAATGAAGCAAATCTTATGTTGTCGTTTTGAAATTTGAATAAGCGATTTTTTTATTTATATTTAAATTTTATTTAATTATTAATGATATTTTCAGCATATGATAAGCATGTGTTTAATTGAGCTGAAGAAACGAAAAAATATAATAAATCAAATTTGTTGATTCAAAATATCAATCTGGCGATTGAAAAATCACTTATAATTAAGCAGGCTAACGAATAGAATTCAAACATATTTTTTGAAAAAAAAATATTGGGCTTTTAATTGATTGATTAATTGATAAAGTAAAAGAAGTGTTAAGAGAAGAAAATAGTAAAATGAGTGAGAATCATTCAAATAATATAGAATCGTTTAAATGTGAGAAGATAGATAGTTATTCAATTTTGAAATAAATACATTTAAACTAAGATGATTGAAAGAAATGAATGAATAAGAAAATTTAATAAATAATTTCATGATATAAAAACTTAAAGTGAATTAAGAGTGTTTGATATAATTAATTTGAAGAAAAAAGCATAAATATACATCCTATTCAATTTGCATTTCTCTTAAAAAAAGAAACAAGCAAGAGTTAAAGAGAATTTAAAAAACAACAAAGAAATACTATATATTTTATTATATTATTATAATATAACAACAAACAAAGTAATAAATAAATGGCTTGCCTACAAATGAGAAATGGTGAATAATCCATGTTTGGAGACTCAAACAAATTATAAAGCAATCAACTTCGTGCTTTCGGGCGTGAGATTCAAAATATCCCTGACAGTCGCTTTGTAAAAATTTTTTTCATTTTTCAAATTAATTTCAAATATCCATCTCTCTTATTTTGATGCTTTTAAGCTTTTTTTTAAGCTGCTTCAACTAAAAGAGTTTGATGAAAGCTAAAGGGAAAAGAAGGATATTGTTTCAAATGAAGCCATAGCATAGCTATCTCTCTTTAAAATTTTCTAACAATTATTTAATTTATAATAGAATACAAGATCTTAATCAATAAAAGCAAACATGTAGCCTCACCACGCCTAAAAGCTTAGCATGGAATTAGATACAAATATAAATGAATAAGAGAACGGAATGAAAAGAAGTTCTCCTAGAAAATTTTCAATGCATGTGAAGCATTCCTCCGAAGTTCCATAAAACCATTAAAAGAGAATGTCAAGCTAAATTGACACTGTAAGCAATAATGGAACAGAGCGCTCATATTAAACCAATTAAACTGGCCTTTAAAATAAAAATATTGACATGAAAAATATAGAATTTGAATTGAATAGGATTTCTAAGGAAGACTCTGAAAAACCAACTTTAGTTGCTTAATACTCAAAGCAAATATTCGATTATATGCGCTAAAGAGAGGTAAAAAAATACTTTCAAGCTCATTTATTTTATAATGACTCAAAATACCAAAAATGTTTGCCAACTAAAAATCATTTCCTCAGCAAAGCAATTCATTTTAATTTTGTTAAGCATTCATTTTAAAATAAACATTTTTGTTTTTAATTTCCATCAAAGAAGTTGCTATTAAAAATTAAAAGTGATATTTTTGCTTTACGCAATTTGAAATGTAAATTGAAATATCAAATAAGCAAGCAAGCAAATAAATAAACAAAATCCTTTTAAATTAATAGAAAAATTTAAAATTAAATTGTAATAAGTATTATCCTAACTAATATTTTCTTGCAAAATAATTCAAATAGTTTTATTTTTCGAGAGCCAAGTATTTTTTAGTATAATTATTCGACTACTAATCTCCTGATTTAATTAAATTTGCAAATTAAAAATTGATCACTTTAAAATTCAATTATTCAAAAATTAAATATCTAATAGAGTTTGTATCTAAATGTTTTTTAATCGAATTTAAATTATTAACGATTAAACAAACATCTTTTTTAAAAAAGCGGCATGCTTAATTTATATTTTCTAATTGAGAAATTTCAAATAAAAGGAAAATTATAAAATATTTTAAAATCACTCAATTTCTAAAATTTATTTTATTCGTAAAATAAACTAGATTGCCTTCAAAGTCGGTGAATACATGGAAAAATAAACTTAAATCAATGACAGAATGAGAGCCATTTTGGTTGACTGGATTGTGGAAATACATAGAAAGTGTAAATTGTTACCTGAAACTTTATTTATTACTGTCAATTTAATTGACCGCTTCTTGGATAGAGCCACATGCACTAGAGATAATTTATAGCTTGTAGGTGTAACTGCTTTGTTCATAGCTTCTAAATACGAAGAAATATATCCTCCTAATCTTAATGATTTTGTTGAAGCCACCTAGAAAGCTTACAGAAAAAATGATGTTTTATAAATGGAAGGAAGCATTATTTGTGCCCTAAATTTCAACTTAACAGTTCCCACATCTCTCCGTTTCCTTGAAAGATACGGACGCGTTGATAAACTTGATAAAAAATCTTTTGACATGAGCTTATATATTCTTTAACTCTGCTTAGTCGAATATAAATTTGTTAAATACTCAGAATCATTAAAAGCTTGCGCTGCTATCTATCTCACAAATAAGCTATTTAAAAAGAATATTTGCTGGAGTGATGTCCTCACTGGTCACACTTAACATACCGAGCAATAAATTAGACCTTGTGCTCTCGAAATGTGCCTTTTACTTCAATCAGCATCAACTAACTAAACCCAAGCCGTTCGCAGAAAATTCCTTAGTTCAGAGTATAGCGAAGTAGCAACCATACAAATTGAAAAAATGAATCCTTCATAATAAAACACACAATAGCATTCATATTAAAATAATTAAAATTACCCTCCCAACATTCCTAAATACAACTACAGAGAATAATATTGAGAAAAAATAAAGTACTATTTTATCAAAATAGATCAGATAGAAATAATTCAAAAAATATATATGTAAAAACTTTAAATAAAAAACTCTAATTATAAATATTAATAAACCTACCAAATAATATAATTAACCAAAAAAAAAAATAATAACCAAAAAAATATCAGCTTTATCTATTATTTTAGATTATAAAACTCTTCATTATTTTATTAAGATAATATTCGGTGCTTCTAATTTCAATATATGCTGTGCAACTTCATAAATGTATTGAAACTTCTTGTTCTTTGTTAATGATAAACAATTTTCGAGTCCGAATATTACTAATAAAATGAAGATATTAACTAATGAATAAATTGTCAGCAATTAGGAAAGAATTCATAAATACAGATCGATCTCCTAAATATTGTATAAAATTGTTATAAAGCTAAATTAAATAAATATATTTAACGCTCCTTCACTATATTTAAGAATAAAACTATAGTCTTAAAATATATTCATTCAATAATTTTATTAAATGTACTCATAATAAAAATAAATAATACACCAAATAAACAAACAATATAAAAAACATAGAGAATATATTTTTAAAGCAAATTAATTATTATTTTTGAAACAATTAACTAATTTTGTAATATAATTTCATCTATTTTCATGTACATCATTGTATGGTTCCTCATTCAATTTAATTTACTTCAAAAATCTAATTTACCTCTATTTTATCTGATAATATTTAAATTTTCTCTAATTCTAAATCAAAAACTATCATTTGAAATTTTTTAACCAATAATCCCAGCAAATAATCAAAAAAATGTAAGAAAAAAGTATTTAAAAGCGTGAAGCAGTTATTTTTTAGATAATGAATTAAAAATATTGCTCTTAAATATATATCAATCAATCAACTTAATTTATCCATTATACAAATTCCAACCAAAGATTAAATTATAAATCTTTACCATTTTTTTCAAAAATTGAAATTAAAGCAATTCAAATTTTTTTATAATGTTTCACTCCTAAAAAAGTTACTCAGAAAAATGTGTATGTTTTTTAGTAGAAATTACTTTTAATATCATTCATTCAAAATTTTTGCAAACAAACAAACAATTAATCAATATTTGAAATTTATTAATCTGAATTTTTAAATAATATCTTTAAGTTCCTTTGGTATAATATATCACAGAATTAATATTTTGCAGCAATATAGATAGATAGATACATTTACAAACACTTTCAATTATCACAAAATCTAAATATGTATAGTCAAGAAATAGATTCAAATAAGCGAAAATAAAATGAAATCACTGAAAAATTTATTTTGGAGTTCACTTAAATTAAAAAAGATAGGGATGAGCTCCTTGAAAGAATGGAAAAAGCATAGCTCAATTATAATTAAGAATTAGTTAATGAAAAAGATAAATATAAAAAACTTCAATAAGAAAATTCCAAACTGTCCAAATCCATCAAGGAATTAAAGAACGAACTGTAAAATTATGAATCTAAGCTTACAAAAAAAGAAATGGAATGCGGTGAGTTAAAAAAGAGAATCGACACTAAGATTATCATAGATGATAAAACTAAAGATAGAGATACTAATATTTTTATGAAATTTTTAGGTATTTAGTTTATTTTATTACTTTAATGAATTATTTTATGTTCTAATTGTATTCATATTTTTATTCACATATTTATTTAATTGTTTCTATTTAAAATATTTAAAAGGTCGCAAACCAGTAGCATCAAATAGCCAGGACTAAAAGTTAGTTACTATATTGAATCATTTTGAGAATCAAAAAGAAAAGCTTGAGAAGGAAATGTCTTATTGGAAAAAAGAAGCTGAAGCACTAAGAGAAACAATATTAGAACAAAGAGGAGAAAACAGTAAACTAAGTGATGAAGAAAGGAACAAATCTAGATTTTTTGAAAAAGTCAAAGAAGAATTAATGAATTAAATAAATCAACTTTAAGAAGAGAAGGAAAGACTTTTGGATATTAATTTAAGACTAACAAAGAGCAATGATTTTATATAAAAGGATCATCAAGCCCTATAAATTGCTCATTCAGAAATGAAGGAATTATATAAATAATTAAGAATAGATTATCAAAATTTAGTACACAAAAATTAAGAGCAGTATTTATAGTTTTAAAGCATAACTTCTGAAAAAAATATGAATAGTATAAATCAGTAGCAATAAGAGCCGCATTATAATGATGAAAATGTTAATAATCAAAATATAGATAATTATTAAAATAACATTTCCCAGCAAAAACTTTTTACTTAGCCTGCTATGCAAGAGCCATATCCTTATTAAAATAGTGTAAAGCATAATAGGAGTAGATCAAAAACACCTGAGCAGAATAGAAGTAACGGATTTTATGATGAAGGCCAGCAAAATTCTGCTACAAAAAGGCGATCTGATCATAAGTTATTAGGAAATAGTGCTACTTCCTAGCAAACACAATAAATAATTGCTGCCTAATAAGAAATAATTTAGCAATTGTGTGATATCTATGCTGTAGAAAGTGAAGATGAGCTTGTTCAATGCGCATAGAAAACTGAATTAGTTATGTAAGCTATACCTAAAATGGAATCTCTGCTATAATAAATAACAGAAATAGTCTTTGGAAATAACTCTTAATAACCTCATGATAATTCTAATAAAAAAGAAAAAAATATAGATAAAATTGTTCCTATTCTTTTAAATTGGAAACAGGAAATAAAATTGATAGACTAATTTGTTCTCTTTAAAGATAAATTGTGTTAAACATTATAGTTAAATGAGGAACACTCCACAGACAAAGACATTATAATTGCAATTGATAATCTTAAAATGTAAGTTAATACATAAATATAGCAATCTGTATAAAATTAAGAGAATAAATAGCAAAAGTAAATTATAGAATTTATGAAGTTGTTTGAAATCGGTGAAGATGACAATGTTCAGACAAAGATTAGCCAAATTTTCTTACAACTAAATGATATTCAAAGGTTTATAAAAATAACTAAGAAATTATTAGAACTTGATGAAGATATGAGATCTGAAGCATGTCTAACTTATATACTAAAATTGCTTGAAAAGATGAAGCTAAATAAATATAATGATCCAGACCTAATAATTAAAATTTAAAAAGCATTAAAGGTTGATGATCCTGTGTAGATATTGCCAAAGATAGAAATTTTATAAAAAAATAGTAAACTTAATACTTTAAATAACTCTCAAAATTCTTTGAAAAAGATATAATTATGAAATTTAATGGCTTTAATTTGAAATTTTTAATGCAACATTCATAAATAACTGAATAAAAACAAACCTCTCAATTTAAAAAAAAACCAAACCAAATACTTTATGCAAATATACAAATAATAATAATTATTTGATAATTTTATATAAAAATTAACTCTTGCTATCAAAAATTATTAATTTTAACTTTATTAAATACCAATTATTGAATAAAAATATTTAAATTAAATTAAATGCGAATCTGCTTTTGAATTTAAAATAAGTAAATAAATAAATCAAGCCATCTAAAAATTTTAATTTAAAATAAAAATTAATATCTTATTTGTCTCTCTATTATTAAAAATTCATTTTTATAGGATTCATTTTAATTTTATGAGAAAATATAAATCTAATTATTTAAAAATTTCAATGTTGATTTTTTTTTTTAAGATAATTTAATAAAGAGAATTTAAACTGTTCAAATCTTTATTCCTGAAAAATTAATGATAAATATTCTTATTTATTTATTAGGAATTAAATAAAATTATTAAAAATTAATAAACTAATTATTTTTAATTTTTATTTATAAATATTAAACCAATTATAGAATAAAAAAAATTTTAATATTGTACAATTTTAATTTCTTGTGTATATTCATTATTTTTATTTTGAACTGAAAAGTTTGTAATATTTTTAATTTCTAAATATTTTTTAATATTTTTTTTACATAATAAAATATATAAAAAAACATAACTTTTAGATCTAAATTATTACTTTTTAACTCTGCTTAATTCATAAATGGCTCATAATAAAGACTTAAATATTATAATAAAATATTTAAATACCACTTTTTTTTTTAAATGCTAATATTACAAGCTTTTGCCTTTTTAAGTTAATTACTTTTTAATCAAGAATTATTATGTTGCTATAATTGCTCATTTTACTCTGAGTGTCCTTAAGGATTTTTTTGTTAATCTTAGAGATGTTGTTGATCTTAAGAATTTTTTTGTTTATCTTAGAGATGTTGTTGATCTTAAGAATTTTAATGTTGTTACTACTATTGAGAGTTTTGTTGTTAATGCAATTGAGAGTCTTCCTTTTATGGTTACTATTGCTAAACTTTAGAATTATTCTATGAATTTTCTTAATGAGAGTTTTATTACTATTACTATTATTGTTAAGGATTATGATTTTCTTATTTTTAATTGTTGTTTTAATGCTCAGATTATTTTCTCTTTTGTTATTGTCCATCTTAGTTGCTTACACCACCATTTTATTAATTTACTACTTTTTCTTAACTGTTATTTAAGATATTGGAATTCTCTTCTTGTTTCTTTTTGTTTTAAGGACTGTTGTGGATTGATCCTTATTTTGTTACAGGGTTTTTCTTTTGATTATTTTATGGAGAATTTTAATTTTAGACTTTATTTGCTTGTGGCGAGTTTTCTACAGATTATCTAAATTCTTTGTTTTCATTTGCTTCATTCGTAATATTAATATTTTGATTATTGTCAAAATCGTTAAATTCAGAGTGAACTTTTGAGTTATTTGCATCAATGATCTTTCTTTATCCGTTTTTAGGTTGATTCTTCTTTGAAAGATCTGCATATAGTTCATAGTCATCTTCGTCATATTAGTTATTATTTTAATATACACTATTTCCATTAGTTCTATTAGAAATGGAGTCAACTTTATTCATTGCATCTCTCTTTTTTAACTCAATACCAAAACTGATAAGTACCATATCTTCATCTTACTATGTTTCGGATTCTCTATCTATTTTTACAATTAGATTATAATTAATGAATAAATATTTTATTTTACTTTTTTTCAAGTTTATTTTATCGACAACTCCAAAGAAGGATATAGGTTTTTCGTCTTTCTTGATATCGAATTCAAATTTCTTGCAACGAGATTAGTTTTTTTCTGTACCAGCTAAGATGTAATTGCCTCTTGATGAAACTATTCTTAAATATTCAATAAAGTAATTATTATAATACCCAGATATGCTCTAGATATATTCAGGTCCTCTTAATTTTAAGACTTTTTCCTAAAGATTCTCTGTTGATTTAGGGAAAAATCCATCAAGAACAACTTTCTCTCCATTTCTCAACTTATATTCTACCTATATTCCCTTAATTTACTCCTCTTAGAACCAAATATTAATTTGTTAAATTTAATAATCTTTTGTCTCTGGCAATTCGTTGCTATTATCCCAAGAGCAAGCTGTCTCAGAACCTACTGAAACACCCTTTTGTTCTCTTCTGTATTCTTTCTTCATTTTCATGTATAAACCAACATCCTTTTTTAAAAGTAAATTAAATTATCTATCACTTAAACTAGTTTAAAGCATAAATTTATTTTTTTTTACTTGTCTATTTCCTTTGATAGATTCCAAAACTAATGGCTGTAAGGCATTATGTTTAGTTAGTCTTTTTAGTTCATTAATCTTCATAATAGCAATATTGAGTTCCTATAATAAATTATAAAATTTAACAAAATATAAATATGAATTAATTTATTTTACCTTTTCCTTATCTCTTAGTCTCAAAAGGATAGTTTCTCTCTCTGCACTCACTTGCTTAATTTTGCTTTAAATGTCATCTAATTCTTTTTTCTAACTGATATCCAAATCTTACTTTTCTTATTTCTTTTTTTTGATATCTTCATTTAACTTTTTGTAAGACTCTGCATTAATCTAATAGATAAAAGTTTAGAGTAATTAAAACATATATATTTCTAATTACAATTATCGAAATTTCAAAAATAAAAAAAAAAATGAATGAATTAATCAATAAATAAATGAATAATTTACTTCTATATCTCCTAGCTTTTTTTTCTTTTCTTTTTCTTATTTTTCATTGATTTTTTATCGATTCTTATGATTTTCAGCAATCAGATCTTATAAGTTATCAAACCTAGTTTGATTTAAAGTTGGTGATATGCCAAACTTTTCACAGACCTCTTTGTGCTTTTATTCAAGTGCTATTAAATATTAACACTGTTTAGTCATTTCCTTTTCTATTTATCTATCTTCTTTTCTTACATCTTTGAGTAGCCCTCTTAAACCTATAGCTTCTTCTTCTAAGTCTTTGATTTCCTAAGCAGCTTCTCTTTCAGCTAATATAGCTTCATTCTGTATCTTGATGTCTTCAAGGAGTTTATTTTCTTTAATTAACTTTTAAAGCAACATTTATTTCTCTGTTATTTCATTTTTCATTTCAGTGATTCTATTTCATATGAAAAAATAAAATCAAAATAAACCCAAATATTTTTCAATATAAAAATACTGATTTTTACCTTTGGACATTTTAGTTGGATGATTGTTTATCTTCAAGTATTTTTAGTTGTCTTTATGCCATAAAAATCCTTTTACTGATAACATCTAATTCTTTTTTAACTGGATCAACTATTTAAAAAAAAACAGTAAATATTTTTTATTACTATAAAATTCTACTACAAAATAATACCTGATTTCTATTTCTTTTAAGGAGCCTTCTTCTATTTTAAGGCTTCTATTTTTTCCTAAAGTATTGAAGAAAGTTCATCTATCTTAACTCTCAAATCTTCATTATTTTATTTTAATCTTTCAGAAGCTTTTACTCTTGATATTTAAAATAAATTAAAATTTAGTATTGCTGTGTGTATGTTATTTTTAGTGATATTGCTAAATTTATGTTGGGCAAGCTTAAGAACTTCTTTTAAAATGATTAATTTTTAATGATATTCTTGTATTTCAAATAAAAATCTAATGATTAAGATCACTACAAAAAAAATTTTTAATTACTATTCATCGTATTGCTAGTCTAATTTTGTACATCTTTCGCAATCACCAGCAGACGCTCCCTATCCCGGCTTTCTATCTTCTACTACATGAGACGTAGCGAGGTTGCTTTTATTATCTAAAATATTACTTTAACTCATGCTGCTGCCTTTATATGTTAACTATTTTATTTCACTTGCTTGAATTAGTAGCACAATAAGACTTAATGTTTTAAGATTATTTATTTTGAAGGTTAATTAATTTATAAAAATTATAAAACGCTGCTCTAATTAATATACATTATAATAAATATAAATCCAAACAAATAGTAAGCAATAATATTGAAGACTTGCGATAATGAATTAATAATAATTATATAGAATAGAAGGGTAATTAAAATATTTGCATTATGCTTAATAAAGATACTAACTAACTTTTGCTATTGATAATTATGGTTGCTTTTGTGAAGTGAAACCCCCAATATGATTATAAATAGTGTTTAAATTTGAGGTTTGAATAAATGTAATTTAATTTTACATTAAATGTAAAATTGTTATATTTTATATATTGTTTGAAACTATAGTTCTTTTAATTAATTAATTTAGTTTTCTAATAAATAAAATGAATTTTAATTTTAGAAATATTCTATATACAAATATTAATTAATTATTTAATTTACTATGCATAAACATAACTAATTAATTAATTAACTAACTAATTATCTTTCTATACATTTTTTATTTTTTTTAAAAATATTATAAAAATATTAATTTTAAAATTTTATTTTGATTCTAAAAATGAAGAAATAATTTTCATTAGCATTCAAGTAGATCTTTTAGTCATTTCTTTTTAGACTTAGACTTCTACTCTGCTTTCTTTTTTTAGCTATCTTTATTTTTCTTCTTCTTTTTATCAGACTCTGAATCAGATGAATCACTAGATTTTTTATCTTCATCATCACTATCGCTATCGCTATTGCTACTATCACTATCACTACTATCACTGCTGCTATCACTACTGCTGCTACTGCTACTTTAATCTTCGTTTTGGAGCATTTATTGCACTGCTTACATTTATTATTCTAATTGCAATTTTTACATTTCTTCAGTTTATTTTTTTAAGTGCTCACTTAATTTTTCAGTTAATGCACCCAGACCAATAGAAATAAAGAAGTTAATTGCAAAACGAGTATTTCTTGGATGATCGATTGGGAATAATCCATTAAAGAATTCTTGATGTTCTTCTTTGCTAAATCTCTCTTATAAATTTTCAAGTCCAGTATTTTCACATATCTTTTTATTATGATGAAATAAATAAATAAATATTTTTATAAAAAAATGAATAAAAAAACCCAAATAAAAATATTACTTCTAAAATTAAATTTTTGATAAAAATACGAGAAGATGCTGTGGTAGTCTCTTAAGTCAATGTAATGCATGCAAAAATACGCCAATCAATTGAATCAGTATAAAAAAGATGTGCATAAAACTTTGCTGAATTACGAATTTTAGCTGTTTCATAACGATGAATAGTAGAATAAAGCTCAACAAAACAAGACATGAATTTATCTTTATACAATTCAGTCATTTCACAGAAACGCTAAGCTAGCAATCCATAGAATTTTAAGTAGGTACGTTCATTCTAACAGCATTCTATAATCATTTGGCAAATCTTTTAAATTTAAAAATGATAAAAATTAAAGAAAATCGCTATGAAATATTATTTATTTACTTCTTCTTCATGGCCTACACCTAAACTCATCTTTAATATTTTATGAGCGCATTCTTCAAAGTCGACAGAACTCATGATGACAAGATAAATAGTTCTACGTAGATTGACTCTGTCTTCATCAGTTAAATCCTTTATAACCATTTAGTCTTAGTTGTCATCGTCTTCTTATTCTTCTTCAATTCCTGTCTTAATTTGCTTTAAGCTAAGAATATTTTCTTCTCCCAAGATTTCTAACTTAATTTTTTCCCATTCTTATTCGGTTTTTTCATAATGGGGGTCAAACTTGAAAAGGTTTTCATGGTCTTCAGGATCTATCTAATCAAGTACTTCGTAATTATGTTCTATAATATCGTCTTCTTCAACAAGATCAAGTTCTGGGATAACACCAGGATGATCCTTTTTTTAAATAATACATTTTACTAACCACGAAATAATTTAACAAAAATGAATACTTTATATTTAGTTTTTCTAACAGCAAACAAGTGCTCAATACTATATTGAATTCTTCTTTCACACTCTCCTTCATGCAAAATACCTTTGAGTCTTTCAAAGATAGCATTAACACCTTCTGGTGTAGAATCTGACAATACTTATCCTGCCTCAATCATAAACTAGCAAGCAAGATCTACTTTATCTTCATTTGGATCATCCAAAAGCAAGAACATTAATTGCAAGCCAACATAATCACTTAAAACTCTTTGATTTATCAAATGAGCTATCATTTTAATGGCAGCTTCACAAACTAATTTATTATTTCTCTTATAAGATCTTTGGAATTATAAAATAACTCTTCTTATAATAAGATCTACAATATCTGGCATCTTAGTGTTTACGACTGCGATCAAAGCAGCATAGACATGAGTAAAGTTTGGAGAAGACTTAATTAAATAAAAATTACAATTTAAATAATGCTATTTATAAAAATAAATAAAAAATATTACTAATTATGCCTTAATAATAGCTCTAGCAAATAGTCCTTTTCCTCTGATAAGGTTTTCATTAAAAAGTTCAACAATTACATTCTAAATGTTTGAGATATTGATCTTTTTTATTCAAATAAAAAGAATTAATTTTATTCTCTTCATTAATTAAAATGAGAAATATGTTTATATTACCTTATTAACAATACCATTAATAGACTTACGTAGTAAATCCCACATTAATTTTTAATGCTCTTCACTTTTGTTATCATTTTGTTTCATCATTTCTTCTTAAAGCAATCTCAATTTGTATGGAGGAACATAAACACCACCTGCTCTACCAGAAGCAGGAGTAAACAACTCTATTGTTCTTTTTTCCTTGGCATCTTTTGCCTCTTAAATAGCTTTTTCTCTTTCTTCTTACTACTTTCTATTGTACTCAATAGTTAAAAATCCTACATCTTCTTTAAGAGAAGTAATCAAATCACTTTCATCAACTTTATCTTTTTGGTTTCTATTGCCTCCTTATCTTTCCTCATTTGATATTTCTATCAATACTTCATTCTTATTTTTACCAAAATTCTTCTCTACTTCTTTCCTACTATCATACTTTTCATCTCTTTTACTATCTCTTTTATCATTATCCCTGCTACGCTCATATCTACTTGATTTTTCTTTTTCATCTTTATATTTAGGTTTTTCAGTAGAACGAGATCTGCTTCTGTATTTATCGTTTCTAGATTTAAAACTATTCTTTTAATGTCTATCTCCTCTATCGCCTGATTTGCTACGAGATCTATCTTCTCTTTTTTTATTGTTTTTTCTATCTCTATCTCTCGACTTTGATCTTGATCTATTTTTTTCTCTTCTATCAGACCCCATTTGTTATTCTAAAAATATAATTAATTAAATAATTAATCAATATTAAATTAAAATACCAAACTTGATTTATCTTTTTATGATATAATTAACACATAGACACCACTTTATTATAAGTTAAAATTAAAATCTTATTAGAAATATTAAATTAGACTTTTTATAAAACTTAAATAAAAAATTAAATATACAGTCTTTGATTTTAGTCAGTGAATTATTCATTTCAAAAAAAAAAAATTATATAATAAAATTATTAGAGAGAAATTAATTTTTTAATGTAAAGCTAACTTTTTATTTCTAAATAGTATTTATTGTTTATTATTAATGATATTAAATTGAAAAAAATACAATCCTAATCAAATTATTTATTTCATATTTTTAAACTGTTAAATTATAAATTAAAATAAATTAGTAGATTTTTTATAAAATTAAATAAGCCTTAAATTTATTTTATTTCAAAATAAAAATTTAAAGGATTTCATTGAAAGTAAAAATATTATTAATAAAATATTAACTAAGCAAAGTCAATTTATTAGCAAAAAAATCACTATCAAAAAAATTTTTTTCTGACTAAGTATTATTATAAAAGGAAAGACACAGTTTCTCTAAATTTATTTAAAATAAATAACTTAGCAAAATTTATTCATAACACCACTAAATAAAAATTATAGAATAAACAATTTACTTTTATAAAATACAAAACATTTTAAAAATTTTTATTGTATGTTATAGATAGATAAAATAGTTTTATATTTTATATTTTAAACAATTATGACTCTAAAATGTTAAAATAAAAAATTTTTTAATTCCTTTTAAAATAAATTTAATGATTGTATTTAAATCCTTCATAATTTTTTTTAGTAACATAATTCAATAATTTCATAAGGTAATAAAATCTTGTGTATGTCTAAAAATTTTTATTAAATCCATTTACTTTATTATTTCTAACCTTTACTCTTATAATTTAGGTAAAATCAGCCAGGTAGGGCTTTAATATAATTTTTATGGGATAATCAATCAAATCATTTTTTAATAATGTTAATTTAAAAAATATACAGTGTATGATATTTTAGATTTCAATAACGAAAATAAGTTTTTTTAATCACATACTATGCTTGCTTAAAAGAAATAGGTAATTAAATAAATAAAAATGCTTAAATTATTAAGTTTTAATTAAATAATTTCAATAAAGTCTATATTAATGGTTAATAACAAACATATAATTGAATATAAATCATCTACCTAATAAGAATTTATCAAAAATTTAAAATAGTATTTATTTAGTTTCACATAAAAAAAATCATTTTGCAATCAATGGTCATATCATCAAGAAAGCAATTATAACTAACAAAGTAATTGACAATTTTAGCTTAATGCTTCATGTTTTACATCATCAAATGTTTTAGAAATGCAAGTTTCACCAGTTACCCAAGAGCAATTAGTTGTATCTGCTTTACAGGTTGATTCAACTAATGCTGAACAAGTCACAGTGTTAGCTCATGAAGATGGAGTACCACTTGACCATTTACAGTTACTACTACCACATGTAGCTGAATCTGAAATTGCATTACAAGCTCCTGCTTTGTCAGTCAAGTACCTGGTTTAGTTCTTTTTTCACAAGTATCAGAGTAAATTATTTTGCAATCAGTTAAGCTCTTTGTTCCACACTAAGCATCACCATCTTTGCACTATAAAAAAGAAAAATCACATCCTCCATCAATACAAGTCTTTTTATCCATGTAACTTGGACATATTTTCAAATCTTTAGGTTTGTATGTAAATTTTGTTTCAAGGTAAACAAATGGATCAAAGAAACCCCCTGGGGTTATAATTCATGCAAAATAATTGGCCTAAATGGTAGATTAATATTTTAAATATAATAAAAAAGTTTAAAAATGTATCTTTCTTTGTTTTGAAAAAAAAATTCATCTTGATCAGATATTAAATTACTATTAAAAACATAAATTTAAACTTTCATATCATAAAAAATAATGTAGCTTACTTATATCAATACTTTTAACAAAGCCTATAAATAAAATTATATTAAAAAATTTGGGTTATTTCTTTTCCTCTTTTAAAAATAGACTATAATTTGATAAGAGCAAAATAATATTTCATATTTTTCACTTGCATTTATTTTTAAGTAATGTAACAATAAAACTTCATATTTTTAAAAGAAAAAATTATTGATTGTAAATTTTGAGTTTTTCTTAAAATATTTGTTCTATCAATAGAATAAAGCATTTAAGTATGGCTTTCTAATCATAAATTCTAATAGAAAAAATTGGAATTTTAAGTATTTATTTAGTTAAAAGTAAAAACAAAAAATATTTATAAAGTAAAATTAGAAAATCAAACTCATTAAATATAGATTTTTCAAAATATTTTATAATTTGATTTGAGTTTTATGCTATTTTACACTTTTCATAAACATTTATTTAAGTAAATCAACAAAAAAAATAAATATTTATGTATAACAAAAAATAAAAAGTGTAAAGAATTTGAACTTTTATTTAATTATTTGTTCTTTTAATACAAATAAATATATAATTATTTCTAATTATAAATTCTAATAGAAAGCACAATTACTTAGCAATAGATTTAAAATAAATTATCAATAAAATAAAATTTTAAAATTAGTATTAATTAAAAAACATTTTAAAAAATATTTTTTTATTCTATTAGAGTAAAATGCTATTTTAAACTTTTCATTTACATTGACACAAAAAAATTTAATTGCGTAAAAAAAATTATAGATAGTAATTTTTAGTGTTTCTTTAATTATTTGTTCTTTTAATACAATAATGTATCAAATTATGGTTTTCTAATTAATTCTAATAGAAAAAAAGTAATTTTAATTATTTACTCCTCAATTTAAAACAAAACACATCAATAAAATAAAATGATTAAATTAACATTATTTAATAAATTAATTTAAAAATATTTGATAATTTAATAAGAAAGAGTATTTAGTATTTTAAACTTTTCATTTGCATTTATTTTTAAGTAAAATATCAAAGAAAGTTTAATATGCGTCAGAAATAATCGTTGCTGGAATTAATTTAAGTTTTATTTTTATTATTTGTTCTTTTAATAAAAATTTTGTATCTAACTTAATATGGCTTTCTAATTTTAAATTCTGATAGAAGAAAAGTAATTTTATAAATTAATTACTAAATAAAATGTAAAAAAAATATTAAAAAAGTGAATTAGAAATTCAGCAGTATATAATATTCTTTTGATAATATTTTATAATTTTTTCTGTGTTATATATGATTTATTTTAAGATTTTCTTTAAAGCTTGCTTATGTTTGAATATATTAACAAAAAATTTATATTTTGTGTAAGGAAAAAATCAAAGCTGGTAAATTTTAAGCTTTTCTTTAATTATTAGTTCTTTTAATATAATTATCTATTTAATTATGGTTTTCTACTTATAAATTCTAATCAAAAACTTTTTTATGTATTCTCTTAATTAATTCATAGTAGATTAAAAGAAATAACTCAGTTTAAACTTTAACATATTGACCCTAAGATTTCAAAAGAGCAAAGATATTTAAAAAACATTAATTTATTAAAATTATGCATGGAATTAGGCTTCTATAGCTGTTTTGCATTTGAAATATCACGAACCATGATACCATGATTTGTGAAATTTCAAATAATTTTTATATTGATTATGAAAATTTTTTTTTCTTCTAAGGCCATCAACCAAGTTTAAAATCTGTGGCTGGAGGTGGGCATTTATTAATGAGGATTGGTTGTAAATAAATATTTGGAAGAGCTTAGAAGATTGTTAAATTATATTAGAAACTTATCTTCGGAAGTTTAGATATAAGAATATTTAGTTATGGGTTTAGAATTAATTAATCAATTTAATAAATAATAAAAGAGCAGAAAAATATATTATATTCAAATTAATTATTTATCAATCTATATATGAATAAAAATTGATTATTTTTAATAATTAAATAGAGTTTTTATTAAATTCATTGCAAAAATTAATAAAGCTTAAAAAATAATATTTAAATTAATGTATAAAAATTTTCATTCCTTATACAGGCTATTATAATCGTATAGAGGTATTAAGGTACTAAAGAATATATTTTGTATTGATAACTATAATTATTATACTTTTTTTATCTTAAATAAAATCGATTCTATTTAATTAAGACTTATAAAAAAATAATTGCTCAATTAAATTTCTACTTTTCTTAATTTATTTTTTTATATTAAAATTGAGTTTATGGAGTTATTTCATTTTTTTTTGAAATATTTAATTTCAAATGTTTAGAATTATTTCAAAGTTTTAATAGCTAAATTAATTATTATTTTATTATTTATCTTTTAAATAAATTTTTCAGCTAATTATTATTTCAATTACAGTACGTTTAATCCATATTTATATCAAATAAGAATATTTTAATTTGGCAAACAGTTTTACATAAAATATTTTCTAAAATGTGTAATAAATAATAAATACCAAAATTCAATTCATATTACATTTTCATAAAAAATTTTTCCATAAATTATCAAGGAAGGGGGGAAGTAAATTTTTGAAGTTTTTCTTTTGAATTTATCAAATTTTTTTATATAGAAAGTGTAAAATTAGCTTAAAATCATAAAAATTAAATGAAATATCACCATCTGTACCTATGCAGTTGGCGATATTTTAACAACAAGATTAGCAATACTTTTATCAATTTACCAATTCAAAATAATTTTTTTTAATCATAGAAGCTACACTTAAAGCAAAGTGGTAAATAATAACAATTTATTTAGAAATTAAATTTTAATTGATTTTAATAAAGCCTCTTTTAATAAATAGGTACAAATACATACACACTCAAATAGATATATATCTAATACCTTATAAGAATTTATTAAAATATTAAAATAATATTTACAGAAAAATATTATAAAAGATAATTATATTGTAAATGTCATATCATTAAAAAGGCAATAACAAATAACAAAGTAATTTATAGTAATGTCTAGCTTAATGCTTCATTTTTTACATCATCAAATGTTTTAGAAATACAAGTTCCACCAGTTACCCAAGAGCAATTAGTTGTATCTGCTTTACAGCCTGATTCAGCTAATGCTGAACAAGTTACAGTGTTAGTGCATGAAGCTGGAGTACCACTTTACCATTGACAGTTACTGCTACCACATGTAGCTGAATCTGAAATTCCGCTACAGGCTCCTACCTTATCAGTGCAAGTGCCTGGTAAATTTCCTTTTTCACAAGTAGCAGAGTAAGTTGTTGTGCAATCAGATAAACTCTTTGATCCACACCCAGCATCGCCATCAATACATCCTGTATAAGCAAAATCACATCCTCCCTAAGTACAAGTAAGTTTATCTTTGTGAGTTGGGCACAACGAAAAATCTTTAGCATCACATGTAAATTTTACATCTTACCAAACACAGGGAGAAAACATTCCACCCCCTGGTGGTGTCTATGGAACAGCATCACAATCAGCTTTATTCAACTTAACACTACATTTAGTTTAGTCTGGTTTACAATCGAAATCTTCCCACCACCCACAATAAGTTTTTCCATCACAGTCAGGTTAATTTTTAAAACCATCACACTCTTTTTAATAACAATCATTATAGGTAGTATCCCAATAGCAGTTTTAGTCAGCAGTGCAACTTCCTGTATCGTTATATGATCTGCATGAAGTGGATAAAGTTTTTTGTGAACACCCTGAATCTTTAACTTTTTTTATGCAAAAGGGATCATTTGCATCACAAGCAGAATCTGAGCAATAATTATCACTAGTATAGCATCCTTCTCTTGATATTTCTTTATAATCGCAAGCACCATTTGATTAGCAAGTAGTTGGAGTTGTAGGATCACATGTCCTACTAGCAGGTGTTGTGCAAGTGCCTAAAGCTGAGCAATAGGTTGCACTTGTACAAGCAGTTTCGTTTGGTAATGAGCCACATCCATAGCCGCTTCTTTTATTTTAACAAATTTCACTTCCCGGAGTAAATGTGCAAATAGTTGATGTTTTACAAAATGTATCACCTATTGTTCCACAATAATGAGCCTGGGGACCACATCCTCCATGGACTTCATCTGTATAACTGCAAGTACCTTTGCAGTCAGTTTTAGATTTACCAGAACAATTATCTGCAGCACTAATACATTTATCTTTTGTAGTATCAGGTTTCCAAGTGCAGTTTTTATCAGAATCGCATGAAGAAGTTGTAGTATAAGTACTGCAATCACAGTATATGCTAGAAAGGATTAAGAACGTAAATATTAAATGTTTTATCATTCTCTTATTTGGTATATTTTTTTATTTTTATTAAATTGTTTTGTGTTTATTTATTTATTTTCTTTTTTTTTCTGTAAAATTTCTATTTAAATGTGTGATGAATTGAGAATAAATAACAATCTATTCTATTTGGCAAGTTATCAAAGCTGTTAAAGATATTAAGGTAATCATAATTAAATTAGACGCTTTTTCATTTGCTTCATACTATATTAATTCTAATTAAATCGAATTGTCATTTTCATTTGATATGTTCCGCGCTTTTATTAGATTTTTGATATTTTTTTTATAATCAAAGAATTCCTACATAATATGAACCAATTTATACAGCATGTTTTAAATTTTAAAGCTTGATACCATTTATAAAAAGATAATTAACAATCATAATTCGAGAGCATATATAGTTATACACTATTTAGCAATTAAAACCAAAAATAAGATATCTAATTAAAATACAAATACTATATTTGAGATCAAATAAATATACAAAATTCTGTAGATAGGAATATTAATTATGAGATCACATAAGTAAAATCAAATTGAGCAAGATAGATAGAGGCAAAATATGAAAAATAAAATTTGTTTTATAGACTTTAAATAAAAATGTCTGCTAAATTGATGATAAGTTGATAATTTTAATTAAATAGAATCTTAAAGAGGTAATATTTTAGATAAATCAAAACAAATAAATAATTTAATTGTCATATTACACAAATAGCTACACAGATTAAGTTTAAAATACTAACTATTTAAACAAATTATGAAGAAATTTATCTATTTTCTTATATTAAATATCAAACTTAATTTCTAATTATTTAAATACCAATAAAAATTTTAGATTTTCAATATTTTCTTATTCAAGTTTTAATGAAATTTCTTATTTATAAAATAAAGTTTTTAATCAACCATGCTTAATAATAGACATGATATTGAAAATTTCACTCAAAGAAAAATGAAATTAAGCAATTAAATAAAACTTAGTTGCAGATGCTTATAGTAAAATTATTGATATCAATAACTGATTCATATATTGAATAAATATATCTTTAATAATAAAAATTCCTCTTTCTCATATTTTAAATATATCCCCTATAGAAGCTTAAATTTAATATTTTATTTCAATTTGCTTCATAAATTAATTTAGCTTACTTTTTTCAAGCTATTTAACAATTAATATCAATAAAATAAATTATAATGATAGGTGTGTATAAAAAGCAAAATGTAATAAACTGTTTTAAAAATATTTTTTTATAAAATCAGAGTAAAATAAAATACTATTTCAAACTTTTCATACAAATTTATTTTTAAGAAGCCTAAGAAATACAAAAAAGTGTAAAGAAATTTAAAAGCTGACTATTTTGAGTTTTTCTTTAATTATTTGTTCTCTCAATATAATTTCTATCAAATTATGTTTTTCTAACATTAATTTCTTGTGTAACTCTTAAGCAAATTTATTTAACCTCCCAATTTTTGTTTTTAGAAAATTAAATTCGAAAAAAAAGGATAAAAAATTTGCTCTACATACTAAAACTAAAATAAATTACCCTAAAACTTCATAATGACCAGCATATTTACAAAAAATCATCTGCTTATAATTTAATATTAAAACCCTAAAAATTCACAATATTTATCTACCCATGCACCTTAATATATGAAGATTTACAGTATTTTAAGAAATTGTTTTATTTTTGTTATTATTTTTGAAAGGAATTAATTTCAGATTAGATTTTTCATTTATAATCCAATATATTTATTTTATATTGACGAACATACTCCTAAAATCGTTTGAAATACTATTTTGGATAATTTTTAATTGAGTAAAACTCTAAAATTTAATTTTGTATTGACGTATATACTCCTAAAATCGTTTGAAATACTATTTTGGATAATTTTTAATTGAGTAAAACTCTAAAATTTAATTAAAACAGCATCCGCTTCTTTTCTTAATACATAATAATAGATAAAATTATTTTTTGAACAATTTAGCAAATGCTTATTTTGCTAATTACAAACTTATTTCATCTCTTTATTTTAATTAAAAGCTAGCTTCTTTCTAGATTTTATAAAAAAATCTCTTTGAATTACTAATTAGTTTTTCAAAAAGAATAAATACTAGAGTAATTAAATCAATTTAACATACTAAAAAAAAATTTATATGTTCTAATTTAGTTGGTTAATATTTTTAATTAAAATCTTATTTACCATAATAAATCAAGATAAAAATAGACTTCAGTTTAAGCAAAAATAATATATTAAGAAAACAAAAAGTGTGAGTTTTTCCCATAAAAATTATTTTTTTTTTTAACTTAACTTACAGGTTAGACGGTATATTAAATTTATAAAGAGATTTGATAAATTTATTTATAAATATTCATAATAAAGTTATGAGAACAATCTAATTCTGATTTTATGTGATTTATTTAATAGAATTTTTTATTTTAATTTTAAATTAACAAAAAATATTTTTAGGATTGATTTAATTTTCACTCTTTCTCCAAACTGTTTTAATTAATTACTTAAATAATAAATTTAATAAAATTTTTATTTTATTTAATCAAGGGCAATAATCCTTTAACGATCAAAAGTTTATTATATTTTATTACTATTGATGATATTTTATAAGATTTTACCCACACTTAATTAACAAATTAAAAAGTAAATTTAATTATTTTTGTTTTTTAATTTTTACATTTTAAATTGATTGAAATTAAATAATCTTTTACAATCTGTCCTCCATTAAGAGGAAGAAAATATGGATGGTTCTTATAATGAAAAAAAATTTATTGATTTCTTAATTATTATTTATTTATATTTATAAAAAAATAAAATAGTAGTTAAAATAAATTTCGATAAAGTAAACTTTATTTAAATAATCTTAGTTGTTTTATAGAAATTTCTATAAAAATATTTTTATAATAATTATTTAAAATTTTTCAATTAAGTAGTAATTAATTTAATTGATAGTAAACAGAAATTATAAATATAAAAAAATATAAGCATAAATAGGTGCTGACATCTTCAAGAATTTAAAAAAAGTCAACTAATTTTAAATAACCATGTTAAAATAATAATTAAATATTATTAAAGATTTTTATATTAAAATAGCAACATTAATAATTTAAAAAAAATAATACAAAATTGAATATTAAATTCAAAAAAAATTAATAAAATAAACAAACGAAAATTATTTTAGCTATCTTTATATTAAAATTTAAATGAATAAATCTTATCGGTTTATTTCTATCCTTGAAAGTAAATTTAAATTATTTATTCTAGTTTATTAACTAATTAATTTATTAATATATTAAATTTATTGAATTAATGTGTAAATAAATTTTACAAATCCACTTTTGCAATTATATTAAAAAAAATAAAAATAAGTTATTTCTAATTTTTTTAAATATATTTGACATTTATTTTGTTAAAGAATAACATTTCTAAAATATTTGAAGTCTCTTTTTAATAGAGATTTTATATTTTTAAAATAATCTATTTTAAATAAAAAATTAATAAAAATAATAAAATTAAACTTACTTTTAATCAAAGGTTAATTATTTTTTGAAAAATGTATTTTAAAAAGTACGAATTAACTAACTAGCTTATTTTAAAACGTTTAATTATTTTTTCTTAATTTATTTTTTTAAAAATATTAAATTTAGAAAAATAAATGAAATTAAATTGCCTCTTCGTATAACTCAATTAAAAATAGTATTAATAAAATTTAGTTTTACTGTCTATTTTGGCTTTTCTTTTTCATAAGTATATTTGTATTTTAATTTTTAATTAACATATAGAGAAACTTGGAAATAGATAAAAGGGTTTTTTATTAATATTAAAATTGTTTGTCAAAAAAATTAAAAAATAGATATTAGGATGCAATATAATAAATTTTCAATTGATATGAAGATTTAAGTTTATTTACCAAAATTCTTAATAAATAAAAATTTATGAAAGGTTAATTTTAATTCAAAAGATATATAAAAAATTAATTAATTAGCCTTTTTAAGAAGTAATATAATTTATATTGAAGGAAAGATGGTTTTTGATATCTATTAAAGATTGAGTTTATTTTCTATCTCTATATCCAAAAATAAAATAAAGATAATTTGCGTTGATAGTTCGAACAATTAATTAAATTTATTAAGCTAATTTTCTTTATAATAAAAACAAATTTTTTCAATCAACTAGAATAATTAAAGTCTTAACGAAGAACTCTACTCGAACTAATTTAAATGAGAATTATAAAGAATTTTAAAAAAAATTCATTTATTTACTTTACTTTTTATTCTAAATTAACATATTTTCAACAGTTACTTCTAAAAAATAATTTAAATATTTATTTGAAGAGATTAAAAAAATGAATAAATAAATAAATTTGCTTGCCTTTACACAAATAAGTTGTGGTAAAGAAAAAATTTAATCTAATTGATAGATAAAATATCAAAGATACAACAACCTTGCCTTATAAGATATTAATTCCGTTTTTAAAAATTGTGGATCATGAGTGTTTATTTGTTTATTTATTTATTTTGAAATGAATTCAAGATAAAGTAAATAATTTGAAAGAAGTTAATTAATTAGCTTAGTGATTGTAAATAACATCATTTAATATAAAAAGACATAAAGATTGTAAATAAAATATAATAATTAAATCAATAAGAATTATACTTTGGTGAACAATTCAAAAAAAGTTATTCCTAATATTACCAAAATTAACAAAAAAATAAAGCAAGAAAAAAATGTTTGGCCAAAACTTTAACATTGCTGATTTAAATTCCAAGTTCGGAATGTCAGCTTAGCCTCCTAGTTAACCTAGAAGTGGATTTGGAGCTAATAGCTCTTAGTTATCAAATCCTTTAACTGCAAACACTCCTTAAAGCAGAGGTAGAGATGATACTGCATCTAGCACTCACAATATGTAAGACTTCCGTATGAATTTTAACATTGACTCTATATCAGCTCCCAGATAAGGCAATTTCAAAGATTCTCTATCAAATCCTATGTCATTTGGTGGCGGATTTGGTGGCTCAAGCGGATTTGGAGGCTAAGGCGGATTTGGTGGCTCTAGCGGATTCGGTGGTGGCTATGGAAACTATGGTGGAGGTTTCGGAAGTAATACAGGAGGATTTGGAGCTCCAAGCTCTAACTTAGGTGGCTAATATGGTTTGAACAAACCTTCTTAACCTTCTTCTTATAACTATCAACCTACTTCTGCTCCTATTGGTAACCAAAATGTTTACTTTGCAAACAAAAATACAAAAATGGCTGATTAATTTGTTGCTCCTCCTCCTTAAAAACCTACTCCCTCCTTTGACACAAACTAGCATAAATAGATTGAAAACATTATGAAGCAACATAGTGATGTCGATAAAGGCGATATGATGGACAAAGCTCACTTGGTAAATAAAATATAGCATTTTTTAAAAATTGTTAAATAGATAGATTCAAAAAGATTGCAATAAAATAAATAAATTTTATCTAATGAAAGATAATCAATCAAGGAATCTATTTATTCTATTGATTTTATTTATTTATTTACAAGACTTTTCTTATTTTTGGTGAAGGTTTTTTTCCCTAATCTAATTGTTAATTACTGTGAAAATCATTAATTAATTAACTCAATCAAAAATATTAGAAACCAAAACGAAGCAAATCTTTAAATAAATAAATAAATTATAAATAAACGTATATTAATTAAAAACAAACTGATTAAATATTTCAATATTAATAGGGTAAAGTTATTTACAGTGCTGCATTAAGTTCTTCATCTACAAGCTAGAAATATGACAAGCTTCTTGCAGACTTAAAGAGAACCAACTCCAAGTTCACTGATTCTGATTTCCCACCTGAAAAGAGTAGTCTTGCCACTCCTGACAAATTAGGTTCTTACAGAGATATTGTTGCTTGGAAAAGAGCATCTGAGATATTTAAAAAACCTTGCCTTTACGAAGGTGCAATTGAACCAAATGATATTCTTCAAGGTAATATGGGTGATTGCTATTTACTTTCCACCCTTGCTGCTATTGCTGAAAACCCTGATAGAATCAGAAGGATTTTCCTTACTTAAAACTATAACGAATAAGGTATTTATGCTTTAAACATTGTTTGGAGAGGTGCCAATCGTGAAGTTATTTTAGATGACTACTTCCCAGTCGATAAGAAAAATGAGCCTTATTTCTTGAAATCTAAAAATAATGAACTTTGGGTCGTTCTTTTAGAAAAAGCTTGGGCTAAGTTACATAGAAATTATGATAGACTTGATGGTTAGTTAACAAAGGAAACTCTCCATGATTTCACTGGAGCTCCTGTTAGAAGTTATAGAACCAATAAAGATTAACAACAATTATGGTAAAAGATGGTTGATGCTGATAAGAAAAATTTTATTATGACTACTGGTACAGAAGGTGAAGATGTTGGTGCTGGTGATCCTTTAAGAAAATTCGGTCTTGTTTCTGGTCATGCCTACACACTTATTGGAGCTAATGAAGTCAGACTTAACAATGGTCAAACTGTTTAATTAGTCTAAGTCAGAAATCCTTGGGGTGAATTTGGTAAATTTCTTTTATATTAAAAAAATATTTTTTTAGAAGAGAAATCTTGTTTACTTATTTATTTTTTTGGCTCTTTATTATATTTAACATAGAAAAGTTTATATTATCTGATAAAAAAGCAAATTAATAGTAAATTTATTAGAAAAATAAGTTAAGATAGATTTCATTTATATTTTAAGCGAATAGATATTTATTTAAATACTTATGTTTAGATAATTATTTAAAGTTTGTCAAAAAAACAAAAGAGCATATCATTGTTTATAAAATTTATAATTAAATTTAAAGAATCAATAAAAATTTTATTTAAATAGCAGTTCAAATATAATATGTTTTTAATAATCAAATATTTTATTTAAAGAATGGTCTGGCAAATGGAGTGATAAAGATAGTTTGTGGAATAACGTTTCTTAATCAGAAAAGAATAGAATTGGCTACAGTGTTGAAGATGATGGTACTTTCTTCCTTGAATACAGAGATATGCTCGAATATTTTGATGGTGTCTAAATATGTTATTACCATGATGGATTCGTTTATTCAGGATAAGAGTAAAAAATTAATTAAATATATTTTTTATTTATTTCTTACAATCCTTTCATTATCATAAATAATAAATTTTAGTTAATTTTTATTTTTATCAAAGTTATTTATATGTTATTATTTTATAATAGATTTAGAAGTTCTTCTACTGAATCAAAATACTTTGAAATTAAGATTCCTTAAACTGGCAATTATTATTTCAATGTAAGCTAAATTTCAATTAGAATATTTGATGAAGATTATCAAGATAACCCTAATTCTCATTATTCAGATACTAAATTCTGTATTGCTGACTAAAGTGGTAAGATTCTTTAAGGTTACTATGGTAAAAAGCGTGACCTTTATTCATGCAAATACATCGATAATCCCTTCTAGTTCTAAGCTGGAACTTATCAAGTTTTTGTAAGAGTAAATTGGTAGAAAGGTGCCACTCACAGCTTTGGTCTAGGTGCTTATGGTCCTGGTAAAATCGAAATTAAGGAAATTAACAAATCTCAAGCTGGTAACTTATCTAATGCTGTTGCTCCTTGGGAACAAAATCGTTATCCTTAATTCGAAATCGAACAAATTGCCGTCATTTGATTACAAAAATAAAAAATTAAACCTTTTAGATAGTATTTATGTATTTTTGCATTTTGTAACATAAATAAAATCTAAAATTTTACTTATCTTTATCTCTTACTTTTTTTAAACCAAATTTAATACCCTTCCCACCATTTT